CTCTCTCTTTTAAGTATATATAAATATTTAATTTTGGGTTCTTTCTATTAGGAAACAACTAAAACTTGGTATTTCTTTCTTCCCTTTTTTTTAAAATAAAAAGAGGAAATGAAATCGAACCAAATTAAATTGCCAATATATATATATATATATATATATCTATCTATCTATCTATCTATTTATTTAAAGATACATATTGTTTTAAGATCAAAATAGAGTGTAACTTAAATTGAATATAAGCTGTAAAGAATCTAAGAAAAAGAAAACAATCTAAAACGTGTGAAAGTTTAAAATGTTCTCCATCAAGAAAATCGGACTTCCCTATTTTTTCTTCCTCTTCATCTTTTATTTTTAATTGAAAAGGTATCACAAAAACGAATATTAACGATACTTCCCCCCTTCCTCCTCTCCCTAGCCATACAAAAAAACAACAAAAAGTAACATCAGTACTAATTGTTAATAAGATCAAGTCAGAAGGGGATGCATCAATATCCATATATTCTTGACAGTATTGCATATATTATAAACCGTATTGATCCATAGCGTTATTTATATATGTAGGAAAGTACTAAGGACACTACAAGACATGGCAGGCTTAACTATATAATTAATATATCCTTTTTAAATCTATCGATCTATTTGGCCCTCTTTCTCGAACATGATAATACTAATACTATATCATCTTTGGTATTGGGTTGAGATTAATCAATTAAGATATTTTATTATTTACTCAACATTTATATATTCTCCAATAGAACTAAGGTTATAACGTATACCACCTTATATATATATAGCACCACCATCATTAGGTTGTTTGTACTTTTTGCCGCCGAAGTTTTATCTCGAAATATGTCTCTTCTCCCCTCTTTCCAAAATAAAAATTCAATTTTTTACCTATTTAGGAAGTGTAAGTGTTCTCGTTTGTTATTGTCTGGAATCATCGTACGGCGTTGTTTTGAACAATTCAAGTGCCCCTCCCCGTGCACAATGATCTCGCCAGTCTTATTTTTCTCTCTTGTTGAAATCTGACCCTCTATTCTCCCCTTCTCTACGCGTTTTCTCTTCTAGAGACGCCCATCCAGCAATAAGAAGAATTCTCGATTGGGGAAAAAACATAAGAATATGACGTAACAACAACGTATACAAATCTATTTTTTTTGGGACAAAGAAAGATATTCTTAATTAAGGTCCCCCCCCAATGAAGCCCACTAAAAACAATACACTGCATATCGAGACCCTTACTTGATAAATAATACATATTTAGTTTTTGACCCAACATCGGTGAAATAGTGCACAGACTCAAGCAGTTCTATTTGTCCCATTTTTTGCAATAATCACTTTACATATATATAAATATATATATAATTTTATATTTGTGACATATTATATTTAAAATATTAGTTAGAGTGATGTAACAATCATCTCTAACCTTTGCCTCTTTTCATATTCTAATATATTTTTATGTGTTACCACCGATAACATATATATTCTTTAAAATTCATCGAAAGATTAATTCGTCATTTTTATTTTTATTTTTTGGCAGGGCTCGCTTGTTGTACGGACTTTTATTAGTACGTATTGGAATCACTCTTTCAAACTTATTTGTTCTGTTTGAGAGTACTGTGCACTGGGCCTAAAATTTTCATTAGGCGGATCTTTTCTCTCCTTCCAGTTCTTAAACAGAGAGAGAGAGAGAACAATCTGGTAAAGGAACTGAAAAAAAAAATGTAAACAGAATAAGGTTTAAATAATATAAAAGGAATAGAATATTGACGAATCATTCCATTGTTTAATAGATATTAATTTATAACTATATATATAGATAAACGGATTAGCAAAAATTCTCAAGATAAACAGAAAAAAGAGTAATTATAGAAATTTTATAATACTCGAGATTCAAAATCAATCGAATGCAAAATTTATAAATATATCTTTTTCTTTCTTTAAAAAATTCGATGATTAATTTAATAAGATAAAGTACTTTATTTTTATTTTTAAATCTCTCTTCATTAGATTTATTATTATATATATATATTTTTTGTTTCACCTCTTTTGATAATGTCTAGTGCTAATTCAGTATCGAGAAAAATGTCTCGAAATGATAGTAATGAAAATATTGATTCTTCAAATAATCAAGAAGTTATAAGTAATAACACAATTAGTGATAGTGATGGTATAAACTCACTTCATTCAGATGATACTAATACTCAAATTCATAAACCTAAAAATGTTAGATTTGACGAACCAACAACATCAAATCAAAAAAATAGTGAAACTAATTCAATTGCATCCATTAAAAATTTTTTTAGAACTAGATCAAATAGTGATCAAATCAATCCACCATCAAATGATGATAATTCTTCAATTAGAAGAAGAAAAAAAAGAATGAGGAGATCAATTCATCCAGGAATGAGAAACTTAAGAGATATTCATTCAGAAAATGAAAGTGATGATGAAAATTTTGTATCAAAAATTGTTAATAGTATTGCTCAAGGTGGTTTAGCTCCAGGTTTCATCGATAATGATTTACCAAAAGTTCAAGATATTGAAAATGATATTCCAATGGTTGATTATAGAGAAGCCGCCAGAGAAATTATTGGCTCACATTCAAATCATAAATTACCAGATATTGAAACTGATACAGATATGGATGATGCTTATAGTGCTTATACTGACACAACACATGAGACAAGATCAACTGATTCATCACTAGGTAAGGAATCAAATAAAGATGATTTTAATGCACCTGCAATGATTCATTTCGATGATAATAATGGTCTAGATTCTGATTCCGATGATGATGAAGAATACGATGCATTGATGGGAGAAGATGGATATGTTGCCCCACCTAAAACTGTTAAAGGTGGTGTTTTAGGCTCTTTATTAAAAATGTATCAAAATGAAGATTTAAAAGATAGTAGATCAACAACGTCAATCTCAGGAATTAGTGATACAACTGATGCTATAATGTCATCATCGGATTTAACAACAAATGATTTAAAATCAGATGTTGATACTCATACACTTGAACATCCAAATAATAAAAAAACAGGATCCTCATCAGAAGAACTGTTACCACCATTAAGTAAAAAAATGAGTCAATCAAAGAAAGATAAGAATGCAACCAAGAAAAAAATTAGTGCTAATAAATTAAGGAAAAAATTGAAAAGAAAGAAAGCTTCGTTAGCAAAAATTACAATTCATATTGCAGATTTATTACAAAGACATAGGTTTATTTTGAGAATGTGTAAAGGCTTAATGTTATATGGTGCACCAACCCATCGTCTTGAAGAATATATGATCATGACTTCAAGGGTTCTTGAAGTCGATGGTCAATTTTTATACATCCCGGGGTGTATGATTGTATCATTTGGTGATGCAACTACAAGAACCTCAGAAGTTCAATTGGTAAGATGTTCTCAGGGTTTAAATTTATGGAAATTACATCAAGTTCATTCAATTTACAAAAAAGTCCTTAAAGATGAAATGGGCGCTGATGAAGGGAATATTCAAATCGATAAAGTCATTTCTGATCCAAACTTATATCCACCTTGGTTACGTGTTTTCTTATTTGGGTTTTGCTCTTCCATGGTCACACCTTACGCTTTTGGTGGCCATTGGGTCAATCTTGCTGTTACCTTTTTTATGGGGTCGTGTGTCGGTGCATTACAATACGCTTTTGCTCAAAGATCAAGTGTATACTCGAACGTTTTTGAAATTACCGCTTCAATTGTCGTTAGTTTTTGTGGTAGAGCTTTTGGTTCTATTCCAAACTCCAACATCTGTTTTGGTTCAGTCACACAAGGTTCTTTGGCATTGATTTTACCAGGTTATATCATTTTATGTGGTTCATTAGAATTACAAAGTAGAAATCTAGTTGCCGGCTCTGTTAGAATGTTTTACGCCATTATTTATTCTTTATTTTTAGGGTTTGGTATCACTTTAGGTGCGACTTTGTTTGGTTGGATGTATAGTGGAGCATCCAATGAAACATCATGTGGTCAGCCTATCTCCCCTTGGTATAGATTTCTGTTTGTTCCAGCGTTTGTGATAGGTAACTCAATGTTAAATCAAGCAAGATGGTCTCAATTACCCGTCATGGTAACAATTGCATGCATAGGATATGTTGTTACATATTTTGCAGGAAAACATTTTGAAAGTTCCACAGAATTTACCGCCGCATTGGCAGCTTTTGTCATTGGTGTCCTCGGAAATGTATATGCCAGAGTTTGGAAAGGGTTAGCTGTATCTGCAATGTTACCTGCCATTTTTTGTCAGGTTCCATCTGGTGTAGCATCTCAAAACTCCCTTCTGTCGGGTTTGCAAAGTGCAAATAAGATCGTTAACGGTAATACAACCACTATAATTACGGATAACGATTTAACAAAATCAATGTCTTTTGGTATTACTATGATCGAGGTTAGTATTGGTATATCTGTTGGTTTATTTGCATCAACATTATTCGTTTATCCATTTGGTAAGACTGGGAGTTTATTCAGTTTATAAAGAGACATAAAAACTAAAGCATCATAGCCCTTTATCTTTATTGTTACCACCTACGAATACACAAATATCTATTTATAAGTATAATATCATTCATTAATTAATTTCATACTATTACTCCTTACAAATACTTTAATATATAATAGTTCCGCTTAGTTGTACTCAAACAAAAAGCTCAATGAGATACTTTCGAAAAGTTGTATGAATATCCAGTAAATATTCTATAGTTAATAAAAGAAGTAACCTTAAGACATAAAACTTGAAAATATAAAGATGATCATTGAAATGTTTCCTAATGTTTAAATAGTCAAGGGTGGCAACAAAGCTAAACTTGTATAGCACATACCTTAAAAAAATTGAGGTGAGGGTAAATTCCGAAGAGAAAATTTTTTTTTTCACCGAAAAAAAAAAATTTAGCGATGAGCTTCAAGTTGTATAACCATCTATAAATTTTCAGCATCTATATTACTACATAAATAGGAATATTCGAGTTTTTGTTGTATTTTAACATATTACGATTAAATACAAAACAAGCTAACGAAGCAGAAGATGTCGTCCCTAAGCGAGCAATTAGCCCAAGTTGCTGCTAATAACTCGACTGTCGCATTTGATAGAAAGAGAAGACAAAAATTACATTCGGCCTCATTAATTTATAATCCAAAGACTGCTGCAACCCAGGATTATGATTTTATCTTCGACAATGCTTTAACAGCTTTAAATGAACTTATTGATATTGATCCAAGATTCGGAATCTTCACAAAATCTTTATTTTCTGAGACGTCAATCAGCATTGATAGAAATGTCCAAAGCAAGGAGGAAAATAAAAACCTAGACAATGCCATTAATGGTTACTTATTATTAGCATCTTCAAGATGGAACCTAACACCAACACTTCATGCAACAGAATGGTTGGTACGTCGTTTTCAGATCCATATTGTAAACGCCGAAATGCTCCTATTATCTACTTTGAATTACTACCAATCACCTGTCTTCCAAAGAATTTTGAATATTGTCAAATTACCTCCTTTATTTAATCCACTGTCTAATTTTGTAAAGAATGATAGTACCCCAACTAATTTAACCATGGTTAAATTATTTAATGACAATGATTTCCTAAAATTATATGCCAATTACTTGAATAAATGTTTGAAACAACAAACTACTTATACCAACCAGTTACTTTTTATTACATGTTGTTTCATTAACCTGATATCCTTTAATTCAGTAAACGAAGAGAAATTGAATACTTTAGTCCCTCTTCTTTTGGAAATCTCAGCTAAGTTACTAGCCTCTGCTTCCGTAGACTGTCAAATAGCTGCTCATACTATCCTTGTAGTTTTTGCAACAGCTCTTCCTCTTAAAAAAGTAATTATTTTGGCTGCTACAGAAACTATATTGGCTAACCTATCTGATGAAAAGGCCAAAAAATCTGCCTTAAGTACAATTTTTAAAATGTTCCAAACCCTGAAGGGTCAAGGTAATATTGATCACTTACCAAATAAACTGTACACACTTTTTGATTCCAGATATAATATTGAATACATTGCCAAGACTTTGTCCGCTGAAGACATTACTTCCTGCGATAAATTCATTACAACATACGCCAGAGCTATTACTAGATATGATCAATTTAAGTTGTCAAATATTGTTGCTATTTTAGAGAAAGTTAAACTTGAAAAATATGAGGTTAGAATGATTATCATGGATCTTATTAATCTATCCGAAATCATTGATGATAAATCACAACTTATCGAACTATTTGAATATTTTGTGAAAAATAACGAAAAGTTAGTTATTAGTTGCCTGAAGTCTCTAAATATTGCACCTGAAATATTTGAAATCAGACTAACAACGTCTTTATTTTCCACTCAAAATGAAACAGCTGATATTGTAACAAAAATTGAAGCCCAAAAAGTTGTTGGAGAAAAGAGCAAAATTCCATCTTTCAAAGAGTTTTTGGATAAAAACGCTCAACACATTACTACTGGTGACTTTTCTTTGTTAGCTGAAAATGATGAAATCTTTTCTAAACAATTATCTCTGTTTGTTGAAGCAGTCGGTAAAAACTATCAGCCTGGTCTTTTCCTTTCATCATTTTTCACTACTCTCGAGGCCAGGATAACATTTTTAGCAAGGATTTCAATCTCTCCAGCTGCACCAGTTGCTCTAAGATTAATTGCTTTATCCAACATTTCTAAATACTTGCATAGCATAGATAAGGAGTCTAATGTGTTCTCAATTGTTCCATGTCTAATCTGTTCTTTGAATGACTCTTCAAGAAATATAAGGATCACAGCCAAGAAAGTTCTTACTCAAATATCAAAGAGACCATCTTCAAAGCATTACTTCATGGCTAATGACATCTATGGTAAAGATATCAAAGTTCCTATGTTGTCCCCCAAAGATAGTGAAACTTGGTTAAATAAATTTTTAGATGAGTATATTGTTGAAAACAGGGATTTGTCAAATGTTTTTATTCCAAAGAAGAATGATAAGATTTACTTACTATTTTGGGCTGATCAAGCACTATATTTCCCATTACCTCAAGCTAAGATCATTCTTCTAGATAACCTGAAGAAATATTCGGCATCCACTACTGCATATTCTTCAGTCTTCGAATCATTTTTGAAAGAGTACCTATCTAATAGACAATCATGGGAAATTAGATGTAAGACTAATAAGTGCAATTTTAAGGATTTTGAAAGAAGGATTGTTGATCTAATATCTGAAAAGGAGAAGAATCAGAATATGATTAGCTTCATTATAGATGCTTTGAAATCTGAACACGAGCAATTGTCTGAACTAATAACTGAAAGATTAATTAAAATATTTGATACTCTAAAAACTTCTTTTCAATTACAAATTTTACAAAGCATTATCGAGACCACAATTGAACCCGATCAAAGTTACGATACTATCGGAACTATTCAGGCACTACCTTTAAACGCTGATTTAATTAACACTATCTTATCTCAAAATAAAATTAACAGTGATACTGAAGTTGCTGGCTTTTCAAAAAGAAGAAGAAGAAGTTCATCAAATAAATCCGCTCTGCAAAAAGAGGAGATTTCTATTTTGGCGGAAAATCATATGAAAAAATTAACTGTAGTATTGGAGGCTCTAGATAAACAAAATGTTCAGGGGTCTGCTGATCTATTATCTACGCTATTATCTCTGCTATCCGATCTTGAGACACTTGACCAAGATGGCCATCTTCCAGTTCTATATGCTCAGGAAACGATTGCATCGTGTATTTTGAACACCATCGCTTCTATGAAGAGTAACGGTGTGTCAGGTTTACAAAATGTTAGGGCAGATATTGTTGTATCCGGTATCAGAAACACAGCATCCCCTCAATTACAGAACAAGCTCCTACTTGTAATCAGCGCATTGGCATCATTAAGTCCTGAAACCATCCTGCATTCTGTCATGCCAATTTTTACCTTTATGGGTGCGCATAGTATCCGTCAAGATGACGGTTTTACAACTCAAGTTGTTGAAAAAACTATTTCTACCGTTGTCCCTGCATTGCTAGATAATAGCACTGAAAATCTACAAGACGAAATCGAGTTCTTATTGATGAGTTTTACCACAGCTCTTCAACATGTTCCTAAACATAGAAGAATCAAACTGTACTCAACTCTTGTCCAAACTTTAGGTGCATCCAGATCGTTAGGTCCTTTCTTTTTCCTAATTGCTCAACAGTATTCGACCTACCTTAACGAGTTTAAATTGGGGGATGCAAAAACTGTTGTTGAATTTGCTAAAGCTTTCCTGGGGAAATTTGAAGTCAAGGAACAACTAACAGGGGTTTCTAGCTTCTTTAACATTATCGAAACACTGGTGAGTGCATCAATGAATGAGGACAAGAAGCAGGAACTTGAAACTCAAACATTGTTTTCGAATGGTATTTTAAACTTGCCAAGTAATGAATTATCGTTGTTTGTCAAGAACTCCTTTGATTTCATCAACAAGACTATTCAAGACGATAATTCAGATTATTACACTGCAAATGGTAGCTTTAGAGTCAGAGTATACTCATCACTAATTGATGTCACCAATGATGCTAAGGAAATTATTGATATAAAATCAGAGTTTAGCAACATCATAAGAGATATACTACTATTTATTAATGATATCAATACTTTTAACAAGAATAGCTCTACTTCAAGTGATTCTGATTCCGATACCAAACAATCGAACGAACACTACGATGAGTTGAAAGCGACCTTATTTAGTTTATTGCAAAATATGCTGTCTGTCTTACCTATCGAAGACTTTATCGAAACAATTAAACCACTGTTAAATAGCAAAAATAACGATATTAGATATCATATTACATTGGTTATTGGAACCAAGTTTGATTTAGAACCTATAGATGTTGCACCAACAGCCGAAAAGGTAATAAATTATTTACTAGAACAAATATCCACTGGTTCTGAGACAACTCTTGTTAGTCAAGTTATGTTGAACACTATTGCATTATTAATCAATAAATTCGGTTCAAATATCAGTCAACCAATCATTAATAAATCACTTGACGAATGTACCAAAAATCTTTCACAGGACAAGGTAGAAATTATTATTTCCTCCCTTTCTGTTATTACAAATAGTATTCAAGTTCTTGGAATTAAGACAATAGCATATTATCCAAGGATTGTCAAACCTTCTATTGAGTTGTTCAAGAAAACTGAGAACAACAAGGAAACGTTCTTAAGATCTCAACTACAATTATCTATTATGTTACTATTCGCCACAATGGTGAAGAGTATGCCAAGTTTTGTTTTATCTAACCTATTCGATGTTTTGCATATAATATTCTTTGCTGATGAAATAGAGACAACTGTTAGATTATCAGCAATAGATCTGATAATTTCCAATATTGATTTGAAGGAAGTTTTGAAAGTTTTATACAAATCCTGGATAACTGAGGTATCAACACTGGATGATTCCGTTACAATTTCTTTATACATGAGTGCGTTAGAAGCTACTGTGGAAGCAGCTGACAAAAAGACTGCTACTTTTCAATCACCAACATTTTTCAAATTACTTCTTTCCTTATTTGAGTATAGATCTACTAGTGCGTTTGATAATAACACTATTAGCCGTATCGAAGCCTCTGTATACCAAATTGCGAACTCATACGTTTTGAAAATGAATGATAAGGTTTTCAGGCCATTATTTGCAGTCGTAGTTAGATGGGCATTTGACGGCGAGGGTGTAACCAACACTAAAATGTCTGAAGTAGAAAGATATATTGCATTCTTTAAATTTTTCACAAAGTTGCAAGAGAACTTGAAGGGTATCATTACCAACTATTTCACATATATTTTGGAACCAGTTAACAACCTTCTACTAGAATATATTTCCAAAAAAATGAAAGATATCAGTCTTCAACGTTTATTGTTTATTTCGCTAACATCGTCGTTTAAGTATGATAAAGATGAATACTGGAAGGCTACATCAAGATTTGAGTTAATTAGCGAATCATTAATCAACCAGTTAGGCGTAGTCGACAGAGTCCTAGGTCGTCATCTGGTGAAGGCTATTGGTTCATTAGCAGCCGCAAACAATGGTGTTGATGAACACAACCAAATTATGAATAAATTATTGATTAACCACATGAAAGCTACCTGTACATCTCAAGAGAAGCTATGGGCTGCTAAATCTATTAAATTGATTTACTCTAAGGTTGGTGAAAGTTGGTTAGTACTGTTACCACAATTAGTCCCAACTATCGCCGAATTACTCGAGGACGATGATGAAGAAATTGAGGATGAAGTGAGAACTGGACTTGTCAAAGTGGTGGAAAACGTTCTAGGTGAACCTTTCGATAGATACCTAGACTAATAAAGGAATGCATTAGATTATTTCATCATATAAACATTTATGTACTATAATAAATTATATTAATTAAAATATCATTAGTTAATCAATTTCTTGACGATTGTCATATAGATGCTATGTTGGTTGTCTTTCTTTCCATGATGTTAAAATGTGTCAATTCCACGTAGTTAGTGATGAATCCTGCAGAATCCGATTTTTTTTCAGCAGCAGTGAAAATGCTAATACTGAAACTGCGAATTTCGATGACACTGCAAATATAAACAAGTCAAGACTACAGGAATTACTACAAAAAATGAGAGCTTTCTGCAACTTTTTGGATTTCTATTGATAGACCAACCCTACATGTACATTTCTGATTACGTAAGAAAGTACGAAAGAAAGTGCCAACGTCACAATACAAAGCAACATATGAGAATACTGTGCGGATAGTCAGTAGTATATATCGCACTCTTCAATAATAACATATTATAGTGGTATGAAAACGAATAACAGTATGGGACAAAACGAACAAACTAAATTCGTTTACAGCACTAAAAGTCCAATCTTTAAAAGAATGGGAATTGAAAATCCAGAGATACAACAAATGGCACCAGTAAATTCGACAGCCAACCAATCGACAGAAAATAAAGTGAAACCGGTAGGGTCGCAGTTGCTTTTTCGTAATCTCAGCTCTGCTGAGAAATCTCATCAGGTTAGTACAACTTCAATCTGTAAGAACTGTTTAACCTCAACAACACCCCTCTGGCGTCGTGATGAAAATGGAGCTGTTCTATGTAATGCTTGCGGCCTATTTCTGAAACTTCATGGTAGAGCTAGGCCCATCAGTCTAAAGACAGACACCATTAAATCAAGAAATAGAAAAGGAAACCCAGGGCATGAACAACCTGATGGTTCAGGTTTACCAAAGGTGGAGTCCAAAAAAGTGACGAAATCAAGCGAAAAGAAAAGGAAAAATAGACTTAATCACACGACCTCTGATAACTATAAAAAACTTAAAACTGAAGATAGAAGCATACGTGAGAGTATTTTACCTGCTGAAAAAACTAACTTTGATCAGAAGGATAAAATAGAAAAGAAAATTACACCAAAACCAAGATCAACAATAAATAACGATTGCAATGCTAGCAAACCAGTTAGTTCGACGCAAAACAAAGTTGTAGCACATTTACCTGGGGTTTCCTCACTACTTAGTGACATTGAGAAAAACCAAATAAATAATAATAATTTAACAGATAAGCTTAGATCACCACCTGATCATAGATCACACCAATTTGTTCCTGTACCATTATCATCATCTTCGAAAGATCACCAATCACTCAACCAAAACATCACTGAATCAACAACCCCTATTGTATTTACTCCTCAATTCCGTTCAACAGCTTCTCCACTTATAGCGTCTAGCCTGAGTGGTTCATTATCTTTGAATACCTTGAAAGATACCTTCAAGTTAGACTCATATTATGAACCATCTTTGCATAAACATTCTGACCAGAATTCGGAAGTTACTTCACTCAATGACCAATATAAAATCTACCCCGTTCGATCTGGTGAAAGTGGAAATATACGAAGTATTTCTATCCCAGGAACCAATGAATCATCCGAGAGTGCAAATAAACTTTCACAGACTAAGGATATTGACAAGATCTTAGTTAAAAGCGAACTAATAAACTTAGAAAATGATCATGAAAAATCAGAAGATTTATACTCCCTGGAGGAGGAGGATTCACAACTAAGTGTTGTTTTAAAAAACAAGGAAGAGATAATAAGACTCAAAACTAAAATTAACGAACTCGAATTAGTAACAGAACTTTACAAGAAACATATCCTTGAATTAGATAAAAAATACAGAGATCTTAAGAAACAATTAAACCAGTAGCATTGATAAAATAGAGGACGTATTTATATTTTTCACTTTATTTATTTATGTAAAACTAATGGTCAAGTCTACCGAGCTGGGACAAACGATTGCATAACCACATACATACATATTCACAATATCGAAACTTTAACTTTTAAAGATTAATACATTTAATAGTAGAATATCAAAAACTTTAAGGCCTATATATATATTTACATTATAAACCCCTAAATATGTATTTGGAATATTAAAACCTATAACAGAGATAGATCTATGTGAATATATAGGTCACAAAGCCCATACATTAACATCTCCGCTATTTCTTCCCTCGACTAAATACCCGTCCTTGTACTTTAAACTTTCTACTAAGGACAACTCGTCGTTGGGATCATCACAACACCAATGTTTTTGTTCTTTTCTATCAAAAACTTTTACAGTGTTCTCTTCCGTGGCGACAATAATCTTGCTTTTATCAAAATCTAGAGACCTAATGAATGAACCAAATGTGAATGAATCTACCATTCCACCTGTCCGTAAATCCCATGTTTTAACACTTTTATCTGCAGACCCAGTTATAATGTTTGTCGTATCAAACTTTAGGCACGTAATGGCATTAGAATGACCCTTTAATGTCCTAATAACTTCTCCTGATCTTAAATCCCATAATCTAACCAATCCATCAACTGTACCCGTGGCCAATGCAACATCGAAAGCCTGCAAAGCACCAGTGACAGGAAAGCTAGTAATAGATTCACTATTTGAGGAACCACTACCTAATCCTATATCCGGAGTAGATGAAGGCTGTAGAGGAATGGTAGAGAAATTCATATCCAAAGTCTGAACACAATTACCTGTCATTAGATCCCAAATTCGCACAGTCCTATCTTGGGACCCGGTTACTAAAGTATTGGAATTTATAGACAAACAAGTAACTTCGTCAACATGCGCTTCAAATGTATGCACACAACAAGATGCATTGGTTAAATCTAATGGGTCCGAATCGTTCTTATCACGTATAACATAAGGTTGAGTAGCTGCATCTATATCCCATAATTTCAGCGTCGAATCCTTACTACCTGTTATCAACATACTATATTTGGAATTCATTTCCATACAGCTAATTAGGTCTGTATGTCCCTCCAATCTTCCCATTTCTTTGTATCTAGAGAGATCCCATATCTTAATCGTGTAGTCATTATATCCGGTCGAACATAATACTCCAAAAGGAACATCAAAATCAAGACAATTGATACTACTTTCATGACATTTTTGAAGAGTATGAATTTTAGTCCCTGTCGGATAGTATTGTTGTAGTGTTGGTTGCGTTTTTCTGAACTTCATATTTTTTGGTTGAAAAAAAGCCTGTAGTGGAGTGAAGCCACGTTCCTTTGTAAGATTTTTATCATCTAGAACTGACGTATCTTCAACGTAGGATTGAGTTTTGTCAATACCAGACTCCTCAAATGCAGCCCCCATTTTGGGTCGTAATTTATTTCTTTTCATCTGGACAGCTTCAACGTCTGAATTTATGTCTTCCGATAAGGCACACTTTACATAAGTATCTTCAGCAGAATCAACCAAATTTTCTGATCCTTTTATTGTCTCGATTCTATCTTTTAATAAACTAAGTTTATTTTCCGCAAGAAACTGATTTTCTTCCAGAGTCACTATTCTGTTAAACATCAGTTCTCTTCTCACCTTTAGATGTTCTATCTGAGAATCTAACTCATTAACCTCAGAAGCTGAAAGTTGCTTCTTAATCTCTAAATCTTCCACGTTTTTTAGTAAATCATTAAAAGATTTGGTGAGAAATGCCAAAGAAGTAGAATCCTTTATATCAATTAAACTTGGGAATGAATTTTGTTCTGGTGCCATAGATGTTAAGCTGTTACTACCGACCTTACCTCCCAATAGTTTTGGATCGGACTTCGTATTATCAGTGTTGATATCCTTGTATAATGTGGCATTAGTGTTCACTGTCACTTTAAACCCTTCAAATAGTGAGGGATTATCTGTATTACTTAAACCAACATTCGGACTTTCTTTATCAGGTGTATTGCGGAGCAACCTATTATGATTAGAAGAGCTAGAAGAAACTTGGCCAATATCATGAAGGAGGTCATCGTTAATGTAGCTCAATATCCGAAAAGTATTTCTTTTATCTGTATAATCGTTATTGAAATATTTCTCACCATTTCTTGCTGAATAAATATCCTGAAATGTTTCACTCTCTCCAATATGGAATTTTAATTTTTTTCCCTTCAGTTTGGATAATGATTTTCCGTTAAAAGTATCATTTGCTAATGTATTCTTAAGAAGTGTCTCATATGGCCCATTGGATGAAAGTATTGTATCAGATACATTACGCGAGTTTAAGAACGATGACGCTGTAACAGATAAAGTCTTTTTTATGTTGGAAAATGTGTCATTATTTGACATCTTTTTTAAGAAGCCTGTTATTAAATTACTGACGTCTTATGTGTTAAACTACCTGATCAAATATGCAATGTTATGGTAAGTTGGGGTGTTTTTTTGTAGATCAGTTATCAAACTAATAGAATTGATCGCAGCGTAATTTATTTTAGTAGGTTCGTGCCATATACATTTACCCAAATAACCTAAAGAATATTATGACGAAACTACAAATGTCCAAGTATAATCGGTAGTTGAACTTATTATATAATAATCTATCTTTAAAGTGCCACCCTTAAGCGCAATGTCCATTTCGCGATGACCATCCAATGACAATGCGAATAATTGAAAACCATATATTATAACTTAAAGAAAAGATATAAATTAAACAGAAAAGATAAAAACAGAAAAAATGCGAAATATAACCAATTTATCGTTAAGAGTAAAATATTAGTGATATCTATAGTCGAATTATAGTATACAAAACCCTTCCTCTGTTTCACCTACTATTAATTTAACAAAAAAAACCTTAAAAGCCGGGTAATTGTAAAATTCAAAATTTGTAAAAATAAACTCCGCGACGGGGAATTGAACCCCGATCTGGCACGCGACAAGCGCCCATTCTGACCATTAAACTATCACGGATACTTAATTGAACTTAAAGAAAATAATTTCGAATTCTAAATTACTTAAAATTTCAATCTTGTATGTTCAATTCACATATTGTTTATTTAAGTACTGTTACTTTCATATTTTCTCTTTAAAACAGGTATAAGCATTAAAACTGTAGTGAAGCACGCCAAAGGATGTGGGGTACTGGATTTGTAACCTTACGAATACAGTAGTGTCCCCCTCTTTAATACACTTATAATTGTTTAGTTTAACATATTTCATGTTCGATATCTTTCTACCCTCACTAAGTTTTTCAGAATATTTAGTACAAATGAAGTCCGAAAAAGATTTTAATCGTATAATTATACAATTATATATTTATAATTAAGTCAAACGTTCACAATTCCGAATCACCTTTGGTATTCTCTCTTAGTCAATTACGTTCACAGGTATTCCCTTTTTGATTAATCCACTCACGATAAATTAAGTATATTGTATTGGAAAAGCTCATTTTTAAATAACTTTAAATAGATTCAAGACATAAATGAATAATTTGGTTGGGTGATTTTTTAAATTGATAGTAATTGGTTCGATATAATTTATATTTAGTAAGAAAGCAAGTCTCTCACTTCTTTTCAATATCTATTAAAAAATAAGAAAAATTCTTATGAAACTGTTATACTTACAGTAAGAAGACTCACAAATTATTATTTTACGTCGAAGGGCATCAATTCAAAGAGAAAGAATAGACAACTCCACATTCTTAAACATGAAAACACAAAGTTGGTACACAATATACCTATATAAGTCGTTCACGAGAAAACTAAAGGTTGGTTATTCATTATAAGTAAAGTATAACATATATGCTACATTTATATATATTAGGCCTCATTATCTTTTGGTGTACTTGGAGTTTCTTCCACTTCTTTATTAGTAGTGACGGCGGAAGATTCTTCAGTTTTACGTTTTTTCTTTGGATTATCTTCTTCTTCGTCATCTTCCTCATCATCTTCCTCATCGCTATTTCCTATATCTTCACCCTCATCACCCTCATCTTCATCTTGATTATCTACTGCTGCTTTTGCATTTTCATTTTCATTATCTTCAACTGCAACATCTTCGTCGTCATCTTCTTGATCTTCCGCCTCTTCCTCTTCTTCTTCCTCGTCATCGTCCTCATCTTCTCCTTCTTCCTCTTCTTCTTCTTCTTCCTCCTCCTCCTCCTCTTCTACTTCAGGTTGTTCTGGTGGATAAAAATCACCTTCATTTTCATTATCCCAAACAATATTAAACCTCGTGACTCTAGGTTTCTCAGCTAAGATATTTCTTACAATATGATCAACTTGAACTTTTGCTGGGGGATTTTCTCGTAATTCTTCAGAATCATATTCATTATTCACATAATATCCAACTCTAACAAATTCCCTACCATCATATGAACAACTCAGAAGTATCACAGTGACACTTACTAATTCACTAGCAGGGATCAATTCTGCAGAAGGTGGATCTGCAGAAAAGATAAATTTATTCACTCCCACTGGTACAGGTCCTACAAGAATAGAATCTAATTCTTGATCATGTTCTAAAGAACGAGATGAACCCACATAAGTTAATTTCCATTCTAGATCATTCTTCAATGGTTCCAAACATTCGAATGTGATTTCAAACTCGTATGAATCTGAAAATTTAGCAGGATTATTTAATACTTTAATACCTAACAACGATACAATTGACATTTTTTAATTTTATTATTTTGTTGCGTTTTCTATGAATATACGTTATTCTATTTTATTCACTAAAGATCAATCGAATAGCTATTTCAACAAACTCAAATAACAACTTATAAATCAACAATTCTGAACTATTACTTTTGTTTTCATTTTAAGTAACACCCTTTATTTCAAGTTGTCATCTCTTGTTAATATTTATTACTGTTTTGATTGAGCATTTCCTATGAAAAATTCATTTTGAAATGGATAAATTCACGAAACTTTTACGCGTCGCAGAAAAACAGAGAAAAATTATTTTCAAGCACGTGACTTAAATTCTTTTTAAAAAGGTTACCCCTACAAATTGCAGAATATCATATTCGAAGACTTTATTTAAATTAGTTTATGATTCAACGCAACCTAATGGTGAGATTTTCTTATAAAGCAAGATAGACAATAGTGATTTAAATGGACATTGTTTCACATTTGACAAACATGATTATTAGGGCTCGTAAGCCCTGATATAATCCTTCCATTTGGGTACCAAACGTTTTATTATAAATGCTTCTTCTCTTATTCTATTCTCATTAGCTATATGCTGCACTCTTACACCACACTACGAAGTATCCAAACCATGTCACTCACAGAGAGAGACAATTCCAGGCGGTCTCAAAAAAGAAACGCCATAGCAACCATCGTCATCTCTCTTCGAAGTGAATTTCCCTTGTGAAGTTTGGCCAGGCCCTCTCTGCCTACATTTATATATATATTTACATATAAGAAAAAGGGGTTCTAGACTTTCAAACAATAGAAGAAGAAAAGTTCAAAGTTGGATCGAAAGAAACATCCCACATGAAGAGAGACCAAACACAGAAAGAGGCGCACGTAAGAAAAACTAAAAAAAAAATGCATCGCAACGTAGAAAGTGATAAACTCTGTAACTCAGAAGAACAATCAAGGAAGAAGAAACGAAAACCGAAGTAAATTTTCCAAGTAAGGGAGGCGCATCCACTCAACGGAAAAAAAAGACGATAGATGAGGAAATTATATTATAATTGCAGTACCCAATATGTTAGCCTAATAAGGAAATTATTTGTAAAAAAATTTCAGTGAAGGACTTAATTAAAGAGACAACTCATCATCTATCAGTGGGATTCATGAAATTTAAAATGTCATAGATTTGCCTTTTCTTATTCAGGTAGAAAACGTTCGATTTCCACTTAATTTTACAGAGTTGAAAGAGAACAACACATCGCCGTTAATACAAGGTAAAACGATGAGTGAAACTTGGCGGTGCTTCAAGTATTTTTCTTCTTCTTTAATTGTTCCTTAAGTTAAAATTTATAAAGATATTTTGATGCAACCTCGAGAATTTTGATTGTATGGTACAGAGAGGTAAGGTCTATATCTACCGTACAAGTCATTTATATGTAAATGTACCATTTGCCGAGACTTTCTTGGTATATACCGTTAACCTCCGGATTCAAATTCAAATTAAGAAAACACATATGTGTCGTCACAGATTGGTTTCGGGCTTTTCACTTTACCATTCTGGGGAATCAGTAGCATTAACATTTAACTTATTATATTGAGTTTACTATTTCATGCTCATAAATTAACCTCTATTTCTATTGTTATCTGATTTGGAGGCGTTTTTAATTCACTTTTCTTTTTCCTTTCTTATACAATGTTTTCCCACCATTAATACAACTACGTATTTCGGAATAATTGATAATCTTAAAAGAAGTAAAGAAATGAGTACTACCAAAGTCTCTTTAATAATATTAATATTATATTATTTTTAAATTTCTTCAACAGAATAGTTTGTTTCGATTCTTCTCTGTAAATTTCTACAATAAATTTTAAAGTTCTATCCTGATCTTTCATGATTTTGAAAGTAAGTTTATCAATCTCTTTTTTTTTCAAACAAACTAATTAAGTGCTGTAATTCTGGACCTCCCCTGCCTCTTTTCAATCGAAACAGGGAAATTGTAACATATACTTCTTTGAGATTCTTTAAAAATTCAGGGTATCGAAACAAGAGATACCTTGCATCTAAGTGGCAAATTTAAGGACTATCAAAATGAAACACATCAATTGATCCTAAGAACTATGTTTTTTTGGATATATATAAGAACAGACTTAAGATCTCCAAGTTTCTTATTTTTAAGATGTTTTAAATACTGCTTTTATTTAATCTTGTTTTCTTTTAATTAATTTAAAAAGAGGTTAATACACATTATTCCAATTTTTTTCAATAAATAAAATAAATATAACAATAGTTTATTGCCCTCTGTGCATTCATTCATTCATTATAGATTTATATCCCAACTACTAAGTCATTCCTTATTAATTAACAAACAAAAAAAAATAAAATTAAATATTTTTAAAATTACAATATGAAATTCTCTACTGCTTTAACAATTTCTTCAATTGCTTCTGTTGCTATTGCTGCTCCAAGAGGTGACCATCATTCTGATGTTCATTTTGAAAAGAGAGGAATGGTCACTGTCACTCAATACGTCAATGAAAATGGTGCTGTGATCATTCCAGGTACAGATGCTTCTGCATCTCAAGCCACTTCCGTAGCTATTGCAACTGCTACATTGGCAGGCGCTACTACTTCAACTTCTGGTTCTTCAAAAGTTACAACCACTTTATCACCTTCTTCCACTAGTGTATCATCAAGTGATGATTACTCTGGTGATTTAACTGGATCTTCTACTGGTTCTAAATTTGAAGATGGTACAATTGCTTGTTCTACATTCCCATCAGGTTCCGGTGTCATCAGTCTCGATTGGTTAGGTTTATCCGGTTGGTCTTCAATCCAAGATTCTGATGCTAACAGTGTTACTTCTTGTGAGGATGGCAGTTATTGTTCATACGCTTGTCAAGCTGGTATGTCCAAGACTCAATGGCCTTCCTCTCAACCAGAAAGTGGTGCATCCTTAGGTGGTTTAGTCTGTAAAGATGGATTCTTATATAGAACTAATACAGACACCGATTACTTATGTGAATGGGGCGAAGGCACCGCTACTGCTTCAAACTCTAACAGTAATGGTGGTATTGCTCTATGTAGAACCGATTATCCAGGTTCTGAAGCAATGGTTGTTCCAACTTGGTTAGAATCTGGTTCATCTTCAAAACAAATATCTGTTGTCAATGAAGAAACATATTATCAATGGGAAGGTAAGCAAACTTCCACTCAATATTATGTCAACAATGCTGGTGTCGCCGTTGAGGATGGTTGTATCTGGGGTTCTTCTGGTTCCGATGTCGGTAACTGGGCTCCATTAGTTCTAGGTGCCGGTTCTTCTGATGGTATTACTTATCTATCATTAATTCCAAACCCAAACAATGAAGATGCTTCTTCTGCTAACTTCAATGTCAAGATTGTTGCCACTGAGGGATCTACTATAAGCGGTGATTGTTATTTCGAAGATGGTGTATTCTCCAGTACAGATGGCTGTACTGTCAGTGTAACTTCCGGTTCAGCCGAATTCCAATTCTATTAAGAGAAACGACAATTGAAATGAATTTGTGAATTGCTATAGACATTTTTTTCCTTTTTTCTAAAGATACCCTGCCCCCAAAATGATTCATTCAAGTTCGTTTACTCTCTTTTTCGTTCTTTATATTATTAATTACATATATATATTCGTATATTTCTGTTATATTATTATAGTTCATGGTGTGGCGCGACAACTTAGTGTCACACTAAATAAAAATAACATAAATAAAGCACACATGCTCAAGATAAAAAAAACAAAAACAAAACAATACAATAGTCGATTTGATAAGTATATATGATGTATATTTAAAAATGTGATTTATGTACTTCTTCTTTTTACAATGCTGGATTCTTTACATGGAATTGAACGCCCCAAAGTTCTTTTTTAACACCAAATAATCCACTTAACAATCTATTTTCTTGAGCTTTACCAACAGAAATACAGGAATAACCTTTCTTAGTTAAAATTTTCTTCATTGCATCATCAAAGGAATAAATTTCAATTAAAACTTTCATTGATTTATCTAATTTATTCTTTCCTGAACCAATGGCTTTAGTTCTAATCATTGTCCAATCTAATAAATCTTCTAAAATACCTGATTTAACATAAACTCTACGACAACCAATTGCACTAATTGTCATAGTTAAAGAATCTGGTGTTGACAAAACTTGATTTTCACTTACTGAGACTAAAGCAATTGGAGTATTTCTATAGACTACAATATTAGTATTTTCAGGTAAATTTGGTGTATCTTTATTAATTTTAATAATTTCAGGTAATTTAAAACCAAAAATTATTTCACCATCACCTTTAACAATTTGATCAATTTTTGTTTTAAAGAAAGTATCAGATAATCTTGAAACCAAAGTGAAAACAAAAGATGTTAACATCACAGTAAACAAAGCAGCAGATAAGAAAGTGAATTTATTCATCATATATATATGATATAAATAACCTGAAACTGAATTAAAGGTTAAAACCATAGAATCGTTAGAATTTTTTAATGGCGGATAATTTAAACGTGGACCTAAATAAATTATTAAAAATAATAAATCAACAATTATAACGATGGGACTCTTAATCAAATAATAATTACATAATGATTGTTGTTGTTTTAAAAAATCCACAGATAAATTTAATGCAGCAGAAGCTAATTCTGGAGTCAATTTAGTTTGGTATATGGTTGGTGGAGCATCTGCATCTAATGGCTTATCTAATGAAGCATCTATTTGCTTCACTTTCATCTTAGGAACTTGAACTTCAGTATCTTTACTCATAGTCTCTATTTTTTTCTTTTCAATAAACAGACAAACGGAACGAAACGTAAATATGTGTATATTTCTCTCTCTTTTATGATTGCTATTAGCTAAATATCCAACTACTTAAAAAGTTAACACTCACAGACCTATATATATACTCCTACTATAAGCAAACATCAAAGCACCATTGTCGTTTGGCTGTGTCCCACCCACATGGGCTTCTTTACAAAACCGTTAAAAAACGAACAAAGGGTTTGGTAGAAAATAATACATACATTAAGCCGAGAGACCAGACGGAATGTTTTTGTACGGAGTGCTACAAGTTGAAATACGTAGTACAAATGAAGAAAATACAATGAGCACCGAGAATGTCACTGCTAACGGCACCTATCTCGTCTGGTATTTTCTTACAAAATATACACATATGTCAATCAATACTAAGCTTTAACCAGTTCCTATATCTATTGCAAATCCATTTCACTGGGGGGTAGACATGTTCCCTTGTTACCATTGTACATACGTATAGAAGTATACCACACAGAACGTATTATCTATCAAAAAGCCAGCTGTAACCTTCTCATAGTTAAAGTGAACTACAAATCACTTAATAAGTGCGCAATATGTAGCAGAATTTATCAGAATTTTGAAATTTTGAAATATTTTTCACTCATCGCCTGCATCGCTTAAACAAAAATTAAAATTCGGCACAGAGCTGAGAGTGAAACTGTTTTTCAATTTGAGTGAGGCATCGCAAATATTTTGTTTACTGATAGAGAGAGATAATCAGTGAAGTGACAGAGAGATAGAGAGAGAGAGAGAGAGAGAGAGAGAGGGACCGTCACGCAGACTGATAGTCACACCTGCAGTAAATGTTAACTTATCTATTTTATTTATTCTAACCAAAGTGAAAAAAAAAATGTTTATGTACGTATATTTAGAGATCTGACTCTTTAATGTGAATGTTTACAAATATTATATATATATATATATACGTTTTAGTAAATTGAAGGTTTATTTCAATTGATTTTAATCTTGTTGATAACATAGTATAGTAAAGAAATCTTTTTATAGACTGGATCTGTAGTAGATAATAGAAAAGGGACGGTATATATACATATATATATATATATAGGGGAAGAGAGAAAAGAAAAGAAATTAAAATTAAAACAGGATGTCCGACGAAGTTGTACAATTGACTACTTTGGAATCAATGGAAGAGTTCCCAGTGAACCAAAAACCCCAATCATCTCCTCAACGTATAGCTAAAGATATTCTTGCAGGTACCACAGGTGGTATCGCTCAAGTACTTGTTGGTCAACCATTTGATACAACAAAAGTTAGATTACAAACTTCGACAAGGCCGACAGGTGTATTAGAAGTTATTAGAAATTTAGTACGTGAAGAAGGACCTCGTGCTTTTTATAAAGGTACATTAACTCCGTTGATCGGATGTGGTTTATGTGTTTCCGTACAATTTGGTGTTAATGAATCAATGAAACGTCTCTTACATTCAAGACATCCAAATCGTAAAACATTATCATTACCTGAATTTTATCTTTGTGGTTTAACAGGTGGTTTTACAAATTCATTTTTAGCATCACCAATTGAACATGTTAGAATTAGATTACAAACACAGAAAAATCAAAAAGTTTTTAATGGTCCTATTGATTGTATTAAACAATTATTGGAACATGGTGCATTAATGCGTGGTTTACCTGTAATGATGTTAAGAGCAGGTCATGGGCTGGGCTGTTATTTTTTAGTTTATGAAGCTTTAATATCAAGAGAAATTCATAATGGTATAAAACGTATCGAAATTCCTGCTTGGAAACTTTGTAGTTTTGGTGCAATTGCAGGAACTGTATTATGGGTAGCCATTTATCCATTAGATGTTATAAAATCAGTAATACAAACAGACAATTTGAAAAAACCTGTTTATAAAAATTCAATGATTAAAGTTGCTAAAACATTATATGCAAAAGAAGGTGCAATGGCTTTCTTTAAAGGGTTTGTACCAACTATATTGAGAGCTTCGCCTGTTAATGCAGCAACATTTTTATCATTTGAATGTGCAATGAGACTTATGGGATAAATTAATTATAATTTATATATTTGTACAATACTTTATAGAAATCAAGAAAATAGTAATAATTAACAGTACTAATCAAAAAAAAAAAATTAAAAAAAATTATGCATCATCATTATCATTAGAGGGGTTGTTTTTTTAATATATATATATATATATATATTTATGCAGGAAAGAGAATAAAAAAAAGTCTATGCGTATTCAAAAGAACTTGATCCATTCGAGACTGTAGAACTATCCTTTGTTGGAGCTAATTCTAATTGTTGAAATTTTTCAGCTTGTTCTTGATAATAAAAACCTTGAATTATACCTAGTTGTTGATCATGAACAATATAATAAAACCCATCAAATGATGCACCTTCAATACCATCTTCAAATGGATCAGGTAGCATGAATCTTTCTTTCCAACGCATATAGATATATCTTTGTTCATTATATGATTCATTTTGTGAATCTAATAAAGATTTTTGTTTAAATGATGGAAAATGTAGCCAATGTTCCATATCTATCGAATCTGTTGCAGTCATTGGAACTAATTGTGGATCATCACAAGGCCAACTTGAACTTAAAAATCCACATGGATTATTATTTGATGTTACTGCAAAACCTTCAAAAAAAGTACTTATTTGTGGATTTGTCTGTGTCAGTCCCTTAATAGTTAAAGTTCCACATAGATGTGGATTTGTTGTTATCATCATTGAATTATTTGATGGCATTTGAACAGAATGTAGTGTTACTGTTACTTTATATCTTTTATAGCCTGAAATTTGATACCCTGAAAAACTTGTCTTTGGACGTAACCAAGGTAAATCAACAATAGATTTATTAAGTGTAATACCATAATTATCATTATGATGAGATGAAGAAGAAGAAGAAGAAGAATATATTGAATGATCATCATCGATGTATTTTTTTGTTACTGTTGTTGATATACTAGTATTTGTTGACGTAAGTGCTAAACCTTGTAAAGATGGTAAAGAATCACGCGATTCACATTTATAAATAGTTGAAGATGAATCGCTATCAATAATATCATCATGAATATTACTGGTATCTTTTAATAAATTTAATAGACGACGTTGTTTATTCAACCGTTCATTTGAACCATCTAAAGATTTTTTTAAATTCTCAGGTAATGCAACAGCAATTTTCTTATTTTGAACAGGATCGTTAATCATTTTTAATAAAAATAGCAATAATAATAATAATAATAACAATAACTAGAAAAGTATCTATCTGTAACGGAGCTTATTTTGTTATAGCAAACAAACAAACAAACAAAGCAACGAATAGAATAATATAACGAAAATGATGGTTGATTTTATATCGTATCAGTATTATTAAGTCGGACTTTTTTCATAGAAATTTCATGTATTTATATACATATGTATATTTTTTACCCATATTCCAAAAAAAAAAAAAAAAAAAACCTTGTTGAAATTACTCATCTAGTAGCCCCATAAAAAGAAACAGAAGAATCCCTCCCTCCCCATAGTTGAAATAGATCACCTGCCGTACTGTCAAAATACTAAGAGTTGAGATAACAGTATATTATTTTTCAGTTTGAAGGAGCACAGGCCATCGCAAAGCAAAACAAAGCAAAACAAAAAATAAATAAGAAATTTTCACCCGGAACAATCATTTAATCAAGCAATCTGAAAATTTCACGTTTTTGTTTTTGTTCTTCTTCTTCTTTTAACTAAGCGCGAAAAAAGCAATTCCAGCGGGGAGGGGGGGCGTGTTTGCCGGTTCCTGTTCCTGCCAGCCTGTCTGAGCGCCGGACTGGGAGCAGGCTGCCCGTTCTTTCTTTTTCCCTCGCTTTTGCCTGCGCCGCGGCACTGGAACCGGCAAGAAGAAATGAAAAAAAGCAACTTTCGGACCGCCGTGGGAAACGATGCCCTTGCAACGCGACAATGTACCACGTGACCCACGGGTGTAAATGTCCCGCACTCTCTGTCCCGGGTGCGAGACCTCGTTTCCGTGATTCTTCTTTAAAATTCTTTAAAATTCTTTTTTTTCCATTCAACAAAAGAGATGAAGAACCGGATTCGTCGTTGATTCGCGTGGCGTCTTTTTCTTGATAGTAGATATCTCTCTCTCTCTCTCTTGATAGAAATTTAGACACCCACATCAGGTATAAATATGTATATATATAAAACACACTTTATAATTAGATAAAAGTTGACATTTATTGCGTTACTATTTAAAAGTTTGGATAAGCAATAGATACACACACACACAGTACAATTATCAACATGCTAAGCCCTCAAGTGACTAATATCGCAGTGATGCTGCTAATGATGCAAGCATCACGTAGAATTGATATGGAAAATGAACAAAATATTCAATATATTCGTATCGCTTATATTGTTTCTATCGTTTCATCATACTTAATTTATATGGTAATTAAGAGAAAAATTATTGCAACTAACGATGAAACTCCAGTAAAGATTGTTTCTGCTAAAAATCCAATGAAACCACAAGAACCACAAACTACTGAAATATTATCAACAAAGGAATATGATTTAAGAGAAGTCGATTCCGCTATGAGATCAATTCTAAGTGGTATGGCTATGATGGGTTTTATGCATCTTTACATGAAATACACCAATCCTTTGTTTATGCAATGTATTAATCCAATTAAAAATGCTTTGGAACATAATGAAGCTAGAATTCATCTGTTCGGTCACAAAGCTGAAGGTGATTTAAAGAGACCTTTTAAGAGTGTGGGTTTATTAGATGGTTTAATGGGTAATGCCGCTGCTGGTAATGATGATTCAAAGAAAGATGAAACTGAAGAATCTAATACTTTAGAATCTGCTCCAGCTTCCGCTACTACTTCTGGTACATCTAATAGAATTGAAGAATTGAACTAGTCATATTGAAAGATAAACACATACATTCCCTTGTATATACACATATATACATATTTCTATTTTATAACAATCCTATACAAAGTTACTACTATTATTTTTAATTTTTTTTTTTTCTTACTTAGTATAAGAATCTTACCCTTTGACAAGCTTGGAAACATATTTTAATTGAGAAATTAATATACTTGGAGATAAAGAAGGTCTCACAGTTCTTATTTGATTCTCAGAAATTCTTAAATAATTTCTCAATGAAATATATTTAATTGGTAATTGGTTTAAATGAAATCCTGTTTGTTTTTCAATATATGGGAAAATTATTATTTCATATGGATTATTGTCCAAAGAACTCCCAATTAATGTCTCACAATCATATTTACTTATAGTAATACTCCATTGAGCTAATCGTCTCTCATCATCTTCATTGTCTCTTTGTCGAGAATTCTCAAAATATACTACTGTGTCATACCAGTGTGCTCTATCAACTACAGAATCTAAAATATTAATCATAGAATCCACATTAAACAACAAAGGCCACAATACTACACCTATCATCATCTTAAAAATTTGTAAGAATTTTCTTTGTATCGTTTCATCATGAAAATTCATACTCATTATACTATATTGTACATTTCCTCTCTCTTTATCTTTTATATCTGGTACAATAATCATCACTTGCCAATTAGTACCTTCTAATTTAATCAAATTAAACATACCATCAGATGGCATTGAGTCATGAAATATTTCATCACCATCACGACCAATGGTATCATTATAAGTACATGTCACTACATCATCTAATTGATCTTCAAATTCCGGGAAATCTAATTGTTCAATATCAATCAGTTTATCTAAACCATATAATGTCCAACGATGTGACATCCGAGATTTCTAGTGGGTCCATACTACACCTTCCCTCACTTTCAGCTTAATAATTAAGGTCTCTAGTAGTAGTTTTCTGTCTCTTCGAACAACTCTTATTTATTAAATATCTATACCTTCCCGTGAAGTTTTCCATAATTTTTGTTATTCTTGTTTTCTTTCTCACCCCACGTCAAAAATTGGAAAACAAAACAAAAATAGTATTGAAATTTTACATATATAAAAAAAAAGAGTCATTGTGAAAAAATGCTAACACACACACACACACAGGAACTTTATTTTGAACTATATTAGAAGCAACATAATCATCCAATTGAAGCAAAATGTCAGGTTTCTGGGATAATAATAAGGATTCGATTAAGTCCGGTTTAGTGTCTGCCGGGAAATATAGTTATCAGGGGACTAAATATGTAGCCAAGACAGGTTATTCAGCTGGTAAGAAACATTATAATGAAAGTAAAGACAAGAGAGAAGGTAAAAATGGTAAAAAAAAGAAAAAGAAGAGCAAGAAAAATAAAAACGGAGATGATTCTGAATCTGAATACTCAGATTCTGATGATTATCAAAGACCATCAAGAAGTTTAGAAAGTTTCCAAGATCCTACAAATTTTCCTCCTCCACCTTTAAAAGCTGGACAGACACAATATGCAAGTGGTGGTCAAATTGTTACTGGTGATGGATCTTCTCCAGCAGTATATATGCCAAATCAACAAACTCCGCAGGGATATCAACAACAACCGGTACAGCTACAAGGATATCAACCACCATCTCTACAACAACAGCAAGGATATCAGCAGCCTACTGAACGCCAAGCAATGCCTCCACCTACAATGCAGCAACAACAGGGATACCAACAGCAGCAACCTATGCAACCACAAGGATACCAACAGCAGCAACCTATGCAACCACAAGGATATCAACAGCAGCAACCTGTGCAACCACAAGGATATCAGCAACAACCTGTGCAACCACAAGGATACCAACAACAGGCACCACTACAGCAACAGACCCCGCTTCCGCAACAATTATCTACTCCTCAAGCTATGCCCCAGGTACAACAGTTGCCACCAAGACAACAACCTGCATTACCAGTAACTGCTCGCCCCGGTGATTATTCAAGACAGGCAATGTCTCTTCCAGCTACAGGAGCAACTACACCCCAACCTGGATATATCGCACCAAGTGAAAATAATAGTTCAATGAATAGTATCCCAAAACCATCCACTATACCAGCAACAATAAACTCAGATCAACAAAGTGAAGAAGACTCTGAGGAATTTACACCAGGTCCACACTATGAAGTTACACCCTTTGATCAGGCTGCATATGAAGAGAATAAAGAAAAAAATAAACTTGAGATTAAACAATGCGATGTTAGTTCTTTTGCTCCACCACCTTCTCATAGAGATAGAGGTGCAAATATGAGACCTAAAAGAACCTTGAATAATAACAGTTCAACTAGTTCTTTACCATCTAGCAATAAAAGCATATCACAAATGAAAAAAACAGTTAATACTACCAATGTTGCTGGAAGTACGCAGAGCCTAGATGAGAATAGCCTAGAAGAAAGTGCCGACGAAGCATCTATGTCAAGTGTGGGGCCATCAGAAACTAAATCTGAAGAACCTCCAAAAGCTGCCGTATTAGGTGCATACCAAGAACCGACAACAAGTTTTGCTCCACCTCCAAAACCAAGAGGTGTCCCTGTACCCGCTAGAACCACACAACCAAGTCCATCAACATCTATACCAAATATTTCCCGTAGTAAACCGGCTACCTTACCGGAAAGACCACCTTTACAACCAAGATCTACAACCTCATCCTTGAATGCATCTACAACACAGATAAGTCAAACAACACCATCTCATAATAAAAACGAACCAGAAGTGCCACAAGCTCCTATATTAGGTACATACGTTGAAAAACCTGTGGGATTTGCACCTCCGCCTAAACCATTTAGACATATCGAATCTGCAAATAACAGTGTTCGAAACACTACTGGTCAGGTTATATCTTCGGGTTCCCCAACAGCATCTAATACGCCTCCACCACCACCCCGGGCACTCCCAACAAGTAATAGTCCTCCTGTAACAAAAAGTGCACCTGAAACAAATACTAAGCCTTCAATAGCTCCTCCAACCAATAATGGTATGAAGGATCCTTCGACATTTTTACCTCCTCCAAGACCTTTCAGGCACACAGATCCAGCTCCTGAAAGGAGTCCAAGTATTAGTGATAGTGAAAGTCGCCCATTAGTATCTAAGAAGAAAGTACCACCGCCAGTCAAGCCAAAAAAGCCAAATATGCTAAGTACTAGTAATAATCTCAACAACGGATCAACTTCATCCTTAAACTCAACTGGGCACACTCTTGAGAAACGTTCTACAACCTCAAGTATCGGTAAGAAGAATCCACCACCAGTGGTTAAACCGAAACCCAAGAATTTATCTCGAAGCAATACAACACCTATGAATGAGATCACCAATGAATTAAACTCAATTCATTTGAGACACGCTCATCCGGGTCCACCAGTACCAAGTAGTAGACACCATGTGGAAAATACTGGTTCAGCTTCATATGGAAATAACGATGAATCAAATCCTTTCGCAATATATAAGAAGGATGCTGTTCCATTAGATGAGGATAGAATCCATAACAGAAGATGATAAACCTAATTTAGGTTGTTTACTTCTATTACCTATTTATTTACGAATTAATGCACTCTATTTTTTATTTTTAAAAGATCTTTTTTCTTCTTTATTTAATTTTTTGTACTTTTATATATTTTTATAAATACATATACAGATAGATAAACAGTGGTATAATTTAGCTGTTTCTTTTCTTTTTTCTTATGTTTTTTTTGGGGGGGGATTATACTAATTGAACAAAAATTATTGATCATGACGTATGAACAAAAAAGTTCAATTATGTTCTTTTAAGGTAATAGTAATATTCGTAAAAATGATGACTTTATAGTTAATGCTTTTATTTAATTCTTCCTGACGGAGACATTTATAGGAAAATGTTTAGAAAGCAATCTATTTGGATAATAAAGCTGCGAATTGTTGAATATTGATTTCACCAGAACCATCACTTACTTCTCTCAACATATCATCAACTTCAGCATCTGTAAGTTTTTCACCAATTGAAGTCAAGACATGTTTCAATTCAGCAGCAGAGATCAAACCATCGCCGTTCTTGTCAAATACCTTGAAGGCCTCTAGCAATTCTTGTTCTGAATCATTTGATTTTAATTGACGGGACATAAGGGCTAAAAATTCACTGAATTCAATCTTGTGGTTACCATCAACATCAATCTCGTTCATTAGATCAGCAACCTCTGCCTCACTTGGAGATAAACCTAGTGATCTCATAACAGTGGCTAGTTCACTTGAGGAAATGGAACCATTATTGTCCTTGTCAAATAGGGCAAATGCTTCCTTGAACTCAGCAATTTGTTCTTCAGTTAGATTAGATGACATAATATATCGACGTCTTGTTTTAGGTATAAATAAAGGTGATTATTTTTATAAATAGATATCTAATGAAAATGTTCAAAAACTGAAATCCACTTATATATATCCCTCTTTGTTAAATCAAAATGTTAGCTTACCATAAGTAAAATATCTTAATGTGTCTCTGTTTACAATTTTGCCAGCCTGTATCTCTTCGTCTCTTATTTACACATATTCCCGAACTTTGCAAAAGAAAAACACATTAAAAGGAGAAAGGGACAAAGTATGTGAAACAGCGAAGGGTCGCTCTATACGACATCGAGGGAAACCACTAATATGGGAAACCCTTTCAGAACTTATTTGATATACAAAGGTACACGACTAGAAAGATTATTTAGTTGGTAATGTGATTTTTGGAGGGTGGTTATCGGTATCTGTTTATAATATTAATTGATCTTGTTTATAGTCGAGAAAGATAAACGATTTCTTTTATCACATTCTGTGCTAGGACAAATGGCTCTGTTTTCAATTCCAGATACTCTGTCACCTTGGTTGGTGACTCTGATTCTAATCTACGTCTCACTACCAATATTGATATACTATGCTATTCCATTTTTATTTTATGGGAATAGGTCTACAAAGAAAAGAATTATTATATTTGTATTAGGTGATATCGGTCATTCACCAAGGATGTGTTACCATGCTCAATCCTTTGCTGCCAAAGGTTTCCAAGTTGAATTTTGTGGTTATGTGGATAGTCAATTACCAAATTTTATAGCAGAAGATCCAAATATTACTGTTCATACCATTCCAAGAATTGCTGAATTTGGAATGGCTCGTAAAGTCATTTTTCAAATTCTGATAATTATTTCGAAATTATGGGACTTAAGAGGTAGTGATTATCTATTAGTCCAAAATCCACCAAGTATTCCATTATTTCCTATTATTGCAGGATATAGACTAACTGGTTGTAAAATAATTATTGATTGGCATAATTTGGCTTACTCTATTTTGAAATTGAAATTAAAATGTAGTTCATGGCATCCATTAGTTATTATCGCTATATGTATTGAATTCTTCTTTGGAAGATTTGCTAATTATCACCTGACAGTGACAGACGCTATGAAAGAATTTTTGATTGACAGTTTTAAATTCAGTGCCAAAAAAATTGTTGTATTACATGATAGGCCACCTGCCCAATTTGTTCCTTTCAAAGAAACTCCTGAATTCACCAGAGAAATGGCATTACGTACAGAACCATATATCAAAAATTTAATACCAGAAGGATTTGATATAACTAAAGGTGATAAGATTATTGTAACATCAACTTCTTTTACCCCCGATGAAGATATTGGAATTTTATTAGGTGCATTAAAAATATATGAAAGTTCTCATGAAAAATTTGATAAGAATTTACCGAAGATCCTTTGCTTCATAACAGGTAAAGGTCCATTAAAGGAACAATATATGAAACAAGTTGCCGAAACTAAATGGAATGTTTGTCATGTAGAATTTGTATGGTTATCCTCAGAAGATTACCCTAAATTATTACGCTTATGTGATTATGGTGTATCATTACATACTTCAAGTTCAGGTTTAGACTTACCAATGAAAATATTAGATATGTTTGGTTCAGGTTTACCAGTGATTGCAATGAATTACCCTGTGCTTAATGAATTAGTGACACATGGACAGAATGGTCTTAAATTCACAGATAGAAGAGAATTACACGAATCATTGATTTTCGCAATGAAGGATTCAGAAATTTACACTACTTTGAAAAAGGGTGCCGTAATAGAATCGAAGAATAGATGGGATTCTACTTGGGAAAAAGCTATGAAGGGCATCAATGTAATTCATTAGATAGTTTCTTTTCATTTTTGCTTTGTTTTTTCATTAAAAAACAAAGCAAAAGGTGTTATCGTGACAATATTCTTCACCGTTTTCTAATCGTTTATATATACATATATAAATTATGAAGAATCTACAGAAGTTTGAATTTCAAATCAGTTATGTACAGATTACAAATAAAAAAAACTAAATGATCTACTTCAATTCTTTAGCAACCCAGTTTGGCAGAACGAAAGAAGCTTCATGGACGTTCTTGTTGTAGTACTTGTACAATTCATCTTCTTTTTCATCAGAAATGGTTCTCAATGGCTTCTTAACATTAGCATTCTTATCCTTGGAACAAACCATGAAACCAATCATACCAGTTGGATAAGTTGGAATACTGGTCCAAGCATATTCTGCGACTGGGAAGACTTCAGAACAAGCTTTCTTCAATTCCTTGATGATTGGTAAGTGAATCCAGAAGGATTCAGCTTGGGTGGTGATAACACCCTTTTCAGTTAAAGCATCGTTCAACAATTCGAAGTATGGTTTTTGGAATAAAGTTTCGGCTGGACCTTCTGGATCAGAAGAATCAGTGATAATAACATCAAATGTGTTCTTGTAATCTCTTAGGAATTGGAAACCGTCACCAATATGAACCTTAACCTTTGGATCATTGTATACAGAGGACATATTTGGTAGGTATTCCTTAGATAATCTGATAACAGCTTCATCAATATCACAAAGAACAGCTTCCTCTACAGATTCATGTTTAACAACTTCTCTTAGAACACCACCGTCACCACCACCAATGACAAGAACCTTCTTTGGGTTTGGATGAGAATTGACGGCTAAATGAGCAATCATTTCTTGGTAAGAGTATTCATCACGTTCGGTGACTTGAATGGCATTGTCTAGGACAAGAACATTACCGAAATCAGTGGACTTGAAAACCAAGACATCTTGATATTTAGACTTTTCATGATGTAAAACTTTTTCGACTTTTAAAGTCATGGCTTCACCAGGCCACATGGTGTCAGAGATTTCTCTGAACCAGCCGTCGACAATGGTAGGATGAGTGATTTCTTCGTTAGACATTAATAATGTTTCAATTGTGTTGATCGATCTATTTACTGATATATACTGAATCAACAGTAAATTAAACTGTATCAGTTATCTATTTTAAGACTTATCTTTTCTTATCCTTTTTATATAGATGAGCCTCTCACAATCAAGCCCTTCATCGCTGAAAAAAAATTTTTTTTTGCAGAAATTTCACCCCGTTGAGAAGCTCATCGCAGATTCATTGCGGGATAGTCTACTTTCAATCAATTCGTAAGGATGGGTTTAAAGTATATATGTATGTTAAATAGTTAGATATTTCGTTTATAGATTATATTGCTTGGCAATCTCAATACCGTGTGCAACATTTTGAAGACGAGCATCAAGCCTATAACCCTGTTTGTACAATTTTTCTAATTCATTATTCAAATTTGCAAAAGGTACTTTAAAACATTCAATAAATTCATTATCTTCTAACTGGGTTTGTGGATTTTGATTTTCTGGTAATGACATATCAACCTCTACTGTCATTAATGACATATTAGTATTGGTAAACCCAGGATCATTGAAAATAATTGGACTCTTACTTGTAATCTTCCCAATATAACCTGTTTCTTCCCTTAATTCACGTAATGCAGCTGTCTCTAAAGATTCATTCGCATCAACAAGTCCCGCTGGAACCTCGATACATACACCATCTACAGGTGGTCTGAATTGTTTCTGCAATAGGACTTGATCAGGTGTACCATCCTTATATTTCAAAATTGTCAACATACCGATACCATCAACACCACCTGAATTTCTTGTCTTACGAACTGCACAATCCCATTCTCTCTGTACACCATTTGGATCAGTATATGTTAATTTTTCTAAACCAATCCATTTACAACTGTTAGGGTCAGTCACTGGGGCAGATGAGATAAGTTTAGCCCTTTCTGGGGCTCCTTTAACAGTTGTCATACTTATAAATTGTTTTGATATTATAGTTGTTCTCTTGCAAGCCGTAAATAAGCAGTTTCGAACTAGTGACATGGAATTAATTACATCAATGAATTATAAGTAGATACTCCCTCAATAAGTCCGATAAATATGATATATATGCTCCTTCATGAATCAATAAATAGATAGTATACTCCGTGTATCCCCTTGTCTATCTCAAGGATATAGAGTGTGATCAGATGGGATAATTGTTCAAAGGCTGCAATTGGCAAAGCCAAAATTTCAATTTTTTCGGTGAGCACGTACTGAAAAATTAACAGTTAGAAATCATTCGTCTCTCAGTGAAATGAGCGTACAAGTTCTCGTTTCTACGGACCCTAACTTCTAAACCCTGACCCGACACTGGTAAAAATCAAAAGCTGCAAATATTTGAAAACAAATCAAACAAAGAGAATGGCTAACTTTTGAGTTCACAATTAAGAGAGTAATGATATATTAAAGGATACAGAGTCCGTTGGGTAAGACTTGTGCATTTATTTTTTAGAATCCCTTTCTCCAAGATACTCTCCACATTCGTCAAATGGAGAGCACGTTAAAGGCACAGATACAGAAGTATCTGGTAGAGTCTGGCAATTATGAAAAGTAAGCTACATTTTATTTATTTATTTAAAAACCAAATAGAGTAGTTTCCTAATTGTTTACTAGGAAATACTATATCTCTCAACAACATATACATTTTACTAACATTTATACCAATATTTTTAGGATCTCCAATAATTTGAATGAAAAACTGCTACGAGATGGCTGGATGGATGAAGTACGTCGAATGACCATGGATGAAATTAGTTCAAATAAATCTACCAACTATGCGGATATTCTAGCTAAGATAGAACCTCAAGCTCTAAGTATGTATACCAGCGGAACTTGCTTTTATGTGCTATGTTATTACTCTCATTAAGCTCCTTAATTACTAACAAGTCAATATTTGTTTCATTTTCCCATATTATGAACTTCTATTATACATTTTTTTTCTGTAGACCTTGTGGATCAAACTACTAGAGATGACGTTTTGGTACAAATCAAGACATTTCTAGAGGACATTGTCGAGACAGAATGAACTTTAATGCTAAATCCAATATATAGATAATTTACATACTTTCACATTAATATTAATAACGATTCTCAAATTTTTGCAAAAAGCACAGAACTTTACGGAGTTCTGCGATACATTTTGAGTTTTTTCTTATAAACTCCTTTAAAAAGAAATGATTTTTCAGTGCCTTGCTTAAATAAGCTATATTAGCTTACATAAATTTTTCAGCTGTGCGATGAGGAATGACTAAGCTGAAAATTGACGAAATGATAAAAAAAGATTAGATTAACAAAAAAACATAAAACAAATTAAAGTATTTGTAACGGAGTTGGTAAATAACTGCAAGGTAAATCTTTACATAAATATACCTACTTCGATAATTAAAGCGAGATGAGTGCTCAGGAAGCGGGTGGATTTATTCGTAAGAGAAGGACTAGATCCAGTGCGAAAAGAGTCAATTACAACGAGGATAGTGATAATGAAACTCAACCAAAAGACGAATCAACTGAAGTAGATGAAACCTTTAATGACAAAAAGAATAGAAGTGACGATACCGACGACTATTACTCTGCAAGCGAATCAACTATGGGTGTCAAAGAAGAATCTATTGAAGTAAAAGGTGAAGACTCCGAAGATAACCTCGAATTCATCAATATTCCATCTCAAGATGATGAAGGACAAGATGATGATGATGATGATGATGAACCACTAAGTAAAAAAAGAAAGACAAAGACAAAGGCTAAACGGAAACCTGCTAAGAAAAGTAAAAAGAGAAAAGCACCAAAGACAACCCCTTATGAGAGAAATACTATGCGGCTATTCGAAAATCACCCGGAGTTGATAAACGTGTTTCCAGATTTAAAGAATGCACCACCTTATGTACCACAGAGGTCACCACAACCAGGTGGTTTATCGATTAAATTGTTACCGTTTCAACTGGAAGGTCTTCATTGGTTATTAGAACAAGAAAACGGGAAATATGGAGGTGGTGTTCTTGCTGATGAAATGGGTATGGGTAAGACTATACAAACCATAGCACTATTGATGAACGATTTAACCAAAAGACCATCTTTAGTAGTAGCGCCTACAGTAGCTCTAATGCAATGGAAGAATGAAATAGATCAACATACGAATGGGAAATTAAAAATTTATACTTATCATGGTGCTTCAAAAACGGTTAATATTGCAGATCTAGCACCATATGATGTTATTTTAACAACATATTCTGTTTTAGAATCAATTTATAGAAAACAGACTTATGGTTTCAAGAGGAAATCAGGATTAGTAAAGGAACCTTCAGCATTACACAATATGAATTTTTACAGAGTGATTCTTGATGAAGCTCATAACATTAAGGATAGACAAAGTAACACAGCAAAAGCTGTTAACAATTTGAAAACTCAAAAGAGATGGTGCCTGAGTGGTACTCCATTACAAAACAGAATTGGTGAAATGTATTCTCTTATTAGATTTTTGGACATAGAACCTTTTTCTAAATATTTCTGTACGAAATGTGATTGTGCTTCTAAGGAATGGCATTTCTCAGATTTTATGCATTGTGATTCTTGTAATCATGTTGTTATGCAGCATACAAATTTCTTTAACCATTTTATGTTAAAGAACATCCAAAAATTTGGTGTAGAGGGACCAGGTCTCGAATCCTTCAATAACATTCAAACATTATTGAAAAATATCATGCTAAGAAGAACTAAAGTCGAGAGAGCTGATGATTTAGGTTTACCTCCAAGAATTGTAACTATCAGGAGAGATTATTTTAATGAAGAAGAAAAAGATTTGTACAGAAGTTTGTACACAGACGTTACTAGAAAATATAATTCTTATGTCGAGGAAGGTGTGGTTTTAAACAATTATGCTAATATTTTTTCTCTGATTACTAGAATGAGGCAATTAGCAGATCATCCAGATTTAGTTCTGAAGCGTATGACAAATAAATCGGCGTCAATAGAAGGTGTTGTTGTGTGTCAGTTATGTGATGATGAAGCAGAAGAACCTATAGAATCCAAATGCCATCATAAATTCTGTAGGCTCTGTATCAAAGAATATGTGGAATCATATTTAGAAAGTGAAAAAAATTTAACTTGTCCCGTTTGTCATATTGGTCTAAGTATCGATTTATCACAACCTGCACTAGAAGTCGATATGGATCAATTTAAAAAACAAAGCATTGTTAGTAGATTGAACCTAAAGGGAACTTGGAGATCATCAACTAAGATTGAAGCTCTGGTGGAGGAATTGTACAAGTTAAGAAGTCCCGTTAGAACGATTAAGTCTATTGTTTTCTCTCAATTCACAAGTATGTTGGATTTAGTCGAATGGAGGTTAAAAAGAGCAGGATTCAAGACTGTTAAATTGCAAGGTAGTATGTCGCCTACGCAAAGAGATCAAACAATCAAATATTTTATGAACAATATCGAATGTGAGGTATTTTTGGTAAGTTTAAAAGCAGGTGGTGTCGCATTGAACTTATGTGAAGCATCTCATGTATTTTTATTAGATCCTTGGTGGAACCCTAGTGTTGAGTGGCAAAGTGGTGATAGAGTACACAGAATAGGACAATTTAGACCGGTTAAGATAACCAGATTCTGTATAGAGGATAGTATTGAGGCAAGAATCATTGAATTACAAGAAAAAAAAGCGAATATGATTAATGCAACTATAAACCAGGATCAAGCCGCCATTAGTAGACTTACACCAGCAGATTTACAATTTTTATTTAACAATTAAGTAGTATTGATCTTTTTTAGCAGTAACATAAATACTCTATATACAGGTTAAATTTTTGATATCACTATATTATTCTTATTATTTATGTTACATTATTATTTAAATATCTATTTGGCAGAACTTGAACGAGCACCAGCACCAGAAGATACTAATTCGATTTGTTCAGAGGAAAGAATTATATTTGGAAGAGCAATAGCACTTGCAGAGCTTGGAGAAGGTAAGAATCCTACCTTATTCAAGAAGGAAATGTAAATACCAATTTGTTCAGGAGTAGCACCCATACCAGCAGATCTGTCTACACCGGTCCATTTAGAATCGGTCTTTAACGATGTAACAGTATTAGCATCATCCAATTCAGGAGCTCTAGTATCACCTGGTAGATTGTCTAGTACCATATGTAACAATGGGTATAAAGCATTGTCCTCATTCTTGTCAATAACGGAAGTTTCCAGAGATTTCTTCCAATTTGAGTAACTTTCAATCTCGACATTGTAACCATATTTGTGAAGAGTGTATAGATAATCCTTGAAGAGGATACGTGGGTGACCAGTAACTTGTGCAACAGCAACTTCAGTATTCTTTGGAGGGTTCAGAGAAGTAGAAACGACAACTTGGGCAACGTGATCAACAGGAACCATATTAACAGTATTAGAAATATCAGGGATCTTACCTAATTGAACAGCACTCTTTAGACATCTCAATAAGAAATCGTCAGTATTTGAAGAACCATTTCCTGAATAACCGGTAACATAACCAGGTCTGACAATACAGCCACGTAGACCCCTTTTACCAGCCTCTCTGATAATGTATTCAGCAGCCCACTTAGATTGCCCATAACCACCGTATAAGCCTGTTGCGGAACCATGCAGGTCATCAGACTCTAAAATACCAGTCTTACCTTCGGCCACTAGTTTATCGGACAAATTGAAGAAGTAGTCCGTATCCAAAACAGATGTGGATGACACAAAGTCAAAAAATTTAGGTTTACCTGTTGCGGCCATGTTCATTACATTAATGGTACCAATAACGTTGGCGTCTCTTAATTTAGCATAAGGGTAGACCCAGTGAACCAAAGCACCGTTGTGAATGATTACATCAATAGTGTTTGTTAAAGTAGACCATTTATCATCGGATAAGCCAAAGTTGACCTTGGATAAATCACCTAAAACTGGTTCAATAGATGAAGCAAAGGAATTGTTCCAATTACCATATGTTAAACCAGCCTTTTTGATTCTTTCTAAACCTAAAACTTCATCTTTAGCACGTACATGTGCAAAAATCTTAAAGGTAGTAGTGTCATTTGAACGGTTCAATAGATTTGAGACAATATACGAACCTAAGAAACCTGTAGTACCTGTGACGAAAACATTAATAGTTTGCTTTTCATTAATGTTGAATGGTTCGCGAGATTGGTATAAGGCAGGTAAAGTGCTTACCAATTCCTTAGCATCCCTTGCATAATCAGCAGTGGTAACTGTTGAGGCTGGTGTAGCAGAACCTGATGATTTAATATTTGTGATTTGAGCGGCAAAAGCTTGCAATGTTGGGTATTTGAAAATGGTACCTAATGGAAGATCGATATTTAATTTGTTCTTTAATGTGAAAATCATCTTAGTTGCAAGGATAGAATGTCCACCAAGATCAAAGAAAGAATCGTCTATAGCGACTGATGCAGGTTTATTTGGAAGAACTTCCAACCAGACATTCAATACTTCACGTTCTTCTTCAGTAAAGTCGTTTTCATCGATATCAGTGGAACTGTAGGAAGCAACCAGGTTTAATTGTTTTGGAGTTGGGTATTGTAATTTTGGTTTATCAATCTTACCATTTGGATTCAAAGGCAATTTATTCCAGACGATAATCATGGATGGAATTGAATAACTGGCTAACCTCTTTTTTAGGAATTTCTTAATATCTTTAGCCAATAGATGGTAACCAATTAAACCACTAACAGTTTGATCTTCTTTGATATCTTCTGGGATGGGGGTTTGAAATGGAGATAGTTGTTCTGGCATATCAAATCTTGGAACCATCCATGTAACCAAGGTAGGTTCATTGTTTTGATTTTTACGTACCAATGTAATATTTTGTCTAACCAATGGATGTTGAGAAATATGAGTATCAATTTCACCAAGTTCAATTCTGAAACCTCTAATCTTAACTTGATCATCGGCACGACCACAACATTCACAGTTACCATTTGGTAAATAACGACCTAAATCACCAGTCCTGTACATTCTATCTCTTGGACCAAACCAATACTTTCTCCATGGTTCACCGTTATCGATATCGAGTTTCTTCCAATGACCTTCTTCAACATACCAGTTGTTAATAAATTTTTCTTTGTTTAAATCAGGTAAACCTCTGTAACCTTCAGCTAGACCACCAGCACGAACATAAATTTCACCGACTTCACCAACACCACAGATTTGAGTTCTATCGTTCCTGTTAACAACAAGTAATTGAACATTTTTCATACCTTTACCTGCTGGCATAACATCCTTAGTAGTTTGTAAGAAAGTTGGATCATCTGTTCTAGATGGTACTTCAAAATATGACACAGCACGTTGAGTTTCAGTCGTACCATACATATTAACAATTCTGACATTTTCTGCTAAAGTTTGCAATCTTAAACAATCACGCTTGGTTAGAATATCACCGACAAAGAAAGCATGATGTAGTTTGGGGATCTCAGTTGTAGCTTGAGCTGTTAATAATTGACCCATAGCTGGAGTTAAATGAGTAACAGTACAACCAGTTTCACCCATCCATTGAGCCAATTTACCTGGAATACCAATATCATTTTCAGTTGGAACATATAATTGAGCACCAAGGAATAATGGTGTAAACATATCTCTTTGGATTGGATCATGAGCAATACCACTTAGCATTGTAAATTTATCATTTTCAGATAGATTAAATCTTTGAGCCATCCAACTAAAATAATATGCAAGTGAGAAATGTCTACCAAGAACACCCTTTGGAATACCTTCGGATCCTGAGGTGAATGACAAAGTTGGATTAGAATCAGGACCAACCACGACACCAGAACGTGTATCTTGTAATTGTTGGTAAGGTTGTAAAATATCAGTGGAGTCACCTAAGGAACCTTGAATAGAACCATCATTTTGAATTGCTACAGATGGTAATCTAGTGATAACATCAAGTTCTTTGGTAATATAATCTTCAACTAATTGATCTAATTGACCAGCAGACCTTAGAACAACCAAACCTTTTGGTTTAGCTACACCTAAGTAAATAGTTTGTCTTGCAGGTGGGTATGCCGGATCAATAACAGAAAATGTAGCACCAGCCTTTAGAACACCCATCACAGAAACCATTAAATCAACCCCCCTAGATGAATAAATCATGACGACGTCACCAACTTTAATCCCTGTATTGATTAAATAATGGGCAATAACATTGGAGGCACGGTTGATATCTTGGTATGTAAATTCACGTTTCTTTTCAGGGTTAGGATCATCAATTTCTCCAGTTTCCACAACACATGTTCTTTGTGGAAATTTATCAGCATTATCTTGGAAGATATCATGAATACAACCTACAAATCCAGGCCAATCTAAATTACTTGTTGGATCTGGTAAGATATCCTTGGATTTAGTAGTTATTAAAGAAACTTTAGTGATGATTTCATCTTGATTGGATAAAGATGTAGATAGTAATTGTGTATATTGATCACCAATAATCTGTATTCTTGATTCGTTAAATAATAGGCCATTATATTTGAATGTAAGAATATCACTATTTGGATTTAAATTCAATAAAATATCAAACGGATGATTATTAAATTTAGTTAATGATATTTCATCTTGATTATTTAAGAAACCTAAACAGAAAAACCTTGGTGGTTTCTCTAAATCATTTTGTCTTTGTAAAGTTTCTGATATTTCGTCATAATTTGCATTACTTAATGATTCTAATTGTTGTAAATTATTTGAAATTTCATTGTAAACTTGTTTAAAAGTCCAAGTAGGTTGAATTGTAAATCTTAAGACTCTGTTGCCAGAAGCATATAAGACAATATCATCATCACCACTCAATCTATAAACCAATGAGGACCAAGCAGAAAGAGCCAAAATGTAAGTATCAATACCTTGAGAAACAGTAGCTAATTGTGGTAAACTTAAAGTAAATTCAGAATCCTCAGAAAAAGGTTCTTGTTGTGGACGTAAATGGTCATTTGGAAGCACCGTTAGAGTTGGATTATCCAATATCTGGTCAAGTAATGACATATCTATGGTTTCGATTTTGTTTTATTTGTATCGTTGTTCCTCTTTTTCTTTCAAAGATTGATGTACCAATATATATATCTATATATATATATATTTAGAAAAAGTTTAGTTTTAAGGGGAATGAAAATCTAATTTTCTTCTTTTTTATTCACTCTCGAAACCAATTAGAACAATGACCTTTCTTTATATATGTATGTATATATATATATATTAATTGATTAAAAGTTTGGTTCACTGAATGAAATCCAATATCAAAAATCAAGCTAGTTAATATTCTTTACAATTATGCAAAGTACTTAATGAAGGATCTTAAGTTAACTATGACCAATTGCTGGGTGACTCAAACAAAACACATAAATCACTTACACCGCGTAATAATAATAAAGGCATAAAAATAAAAATAAAAAACATAAGAGAGACCGCGGTAAAATAGATTTTCCAGTGCGATGTCTTTATTCCGGTGGGAAATTATTAGTAGAATGCGTGGCTTTCGAAAATATTGCCAGTCTTTCACTGTCCCAGGGAAAAATAACAAGCGTGCAGATAGATTAAAATTTCCCAGGTGAAAACAAAACTGAAAGTGTTGAAACAAAATAAAATGAGAGTAGCATATATGCGCATAATACATACAAATAATGGTGAATTATAGTCATTTATTAAGGTTGAATAAAAATATTAAAACCATTATATAACCGATTAGTGAAGAAAAGAGAATATGAGGTAACAATAATTGTGACGAATAAATTGACTATTCGAAATTAATAACACTTACTTGTTATAGAACTTTCTATGATTATTCCGATCAGGTCATTACAATATATATTTCTATTTTATGTCTTAAATAAAATATAATTCAATCAGTAAGAACAGTAAATACAATTAAATAAAAAAGAGAATAAGAACTCTAAATTTTAATTAAAGCCATACTTCTTTTTATATTTCTCGGTTCAAAGCTCCAGTTACCAGAAAGAAAGAAAAAGGGGAGTGAAAAACTACATAAGAAACTAAAGGAGCATTGAAATTAGCCGCCGAACTTCCCCACTTCGTCACCCCTTTTTAACAAAATTGAACGCCCCAAAAATGAACAATTCTTATTATTAAAATAGTATCGTATTAAAATATTTACTTGTATATAAAACAGATCAACTATTCTATATAAATATTAACTTATTATGTGTGTAGTACCTACTTAATGTTTACAGGTACATGTATCCTTACCACAGCAACTTTCAGAGGAACATTTACATGATTCACCGCAGGCTGCACAACCTTTATCAGTAGTTCCTTCAGTCTTATTGCCACATTTACATACAGAACCACATTGACATTTGTCACCGCACTTACAACCGTCGTGATAGTTAACTAATTCGCTTAACATTATTGCTTATTTATTTATTTATTTATTTATCCTTATTTTTAAAGTAATACAACTTATTTTTGTTAGTACATTATAAAATCAAGTAAACAGATACCGTTAAAAATAAATATATATATCTCCTTTTATATGCAATGAAAGAGATAACTCTTTAAAAGTGTATATAAGTTGTTTTGACCTCCCTTTTCTTTACAACTACGAAGTTGACAATGGGAAAGTGTCAGCATTAATAGCTCATTTACATAATAATAATAACGATGCCTCAATTTTGTATACTAAAAGCACCGCACAAAGCATAAAGAAGCAAAAAAAAATTGAATTGAATTTTTTTTGTTGCAACTCTAATATTTCGTATCAAATTACATAAAACGGTTCCATGAGACTTACGGATCACTCATCCTTACACCCATACTAGACCTCTTTTCCCCCCGTACACCCATTAAAGCCAAATACTCTATTTCACCAGCATATTTTTCTTAGTTTTTCTACACCTTCCTTCTCTATTTCGGGTCAACGTAAACAAATTTTTGCTAATTAATTCATATCTTTTTCAACGAAACATTTTTTTGGCACGTGCCATCACTATACACGAACCCAACTCTACCCGCTGTCACTACGATAAAAAACGAAAAAAAATAAATAAATGAGTACTGAATTTTCGATTGTCCTCTGCAGTTCTCCCGTACAAAATTTCAATACCAAAAAAAAATTTTTCTCCTTCTCTTTGTGTTTCTTGTTCGTCCTGCGTATTCAGAGAGAGAGAGTTCGGCATGTCCAACAATGAAAAAAAGTAATATGAACAAAATTATCAATATAATATACGTTTTCTCTTTCCTTTTTAACTGAAACTGCCCATCGCTTAAAATTCTTTGTACTTTCATTATTCTGTTGTCTCTCCCTCTCTCTCTCTTACATGTTTTTTTTTTCATTTCCATTTCTATCCTTAAGCTAAAGAATGAAAATTTTTTTTCATTCTTTGCTAATTCATTTTCATCTCATTTTAACATATATATATAAGCCCTCATTAGTTTTTTTTAAAAATTCCTCTTACATATCTATATTTTATATCTTGTTCTAATACTTATTCTTTTTCCTCTTACTTATTGTTCTTTCTCTTATTTCCTATCTCGTTAGATAACTATACATACTTCAACACTACATCAAAAATGGGTAAAGATAAGTCTCACGTTAACGTCGTCGTCATCGGTCACGTCGATTCTGGTAAGTCCACTACTACCGGTCACTTGATTTTCAAGTGTGGTGGTATTGACAAGAGAACCATCGAAAAGTTTGAAAAGGAAGCTGCCGAATTAGGTAAGGGTTCTTTCAAGTACGCTTGGGTTCTTGACAAGTTAAAGGCTGAAAGAGAAAGAGGTATCACTATCGATATCGCTCTATGGAAGTTCGAAACTCCAAAGTACCACGTTACCGTTATTGATGCTCCAGGTCACAGAGATTTCATCAAGAACATGATTACCGGTACTTCTCAAGCTGATTGTGCTATTTTAATCATTGCTGGTGGTGTCGGTGAATTCGAAGCTGGTATCTCCAAGGATGGTCAAACTAGAGAACACGCTCTATTGGCTTTCACTCTAGGTGTTAGACAATTGATTGTTGCTGTCAACAAGATGGATTCCGTCAACTGGGACCAAGCTAGATTCCAAGAAATTTGCAAGGAAACTGCTAACTTCATCAAGAAGGTCGGTTACAACCCAAAGACTGTTCCATTCGTCCCAATCTCTGGTTGGAACGGTGACAACATGATTGAAGCCACCACTAACGCTCCATGGTACAAGGGTTGGGAAAAGGAAACCAAGGCCGGTGTCGTCAAGGGTAAGACTCTATTAGAAGCCATTGATTCCATTGAAGAACCATCCAGACCAACTGACAAGCCATTGAGATTACCACTACAAGATGTTTACAAGATTGGTGGTATCGGTACTGTGCCAGTCGGTAGAGTCGAAACCGGTGTTATCAAGCCAGGTATGGTTGTTACTTTCGCCCCAGCCGGTGTTACCACTGAAGTTAAGTCCGTCGAAATGCATCACGAACAACTAGAAGAAGGTGTTCCAGGTGACAACGTCGGTTTCAACGTCAAGAATGTTTCCGTTAAGGAAATCAGAAGAGGTAACGTCTGTGGTGACTCCAAGAACGATCCACCAATGGCCGCCGCTTCTTTCAACGCTACCGTTATTGTTCTAAACCATCCAGGTCAAATCTCTGCTGGTTACTCTCCAGTTTTGGATTGTCACACCGCTCATATTGCTTGTAAGTTCGAAGAACTTCTAGAAAAGAACGACAGAAGATCTGGTAAGAAGCTAGAAGACCATCCAAAGTTCCTAAAGTCCGGTGATGCTGCTCTTGTCAAATTCGTTCCATCTAAGCCAATGTGTGTCGAAGCTTTCTCTGACTACCCACCTCTAGGTAGATTCGCTGTCAGAGATATGAGACAAACTGTCGCTGTCGGTGTCGTCAAGTCTGTTGAAAAGTCCGCCAACGCTGGTAAGGTTACCAAGTCTGCTGCTAAGGCTGCTAAGAAATAAGATTATTAATAACAATTAACTCTATCTATATTTTTATGTAAATTGTAATTAGCTTTTATTATTAATCCATGTTTTCAGTATTAAAAAAATCCTTTGATTTGTTCTAAGTAAGCTCTATTTCTAAATGTTTATATTAAAGTAGGACTTCATTTATTTATATGTAAATATTTCAATACTTTAAGTAAAAAGCTTATATATGTACATGGATTTTTTTTTTAAAAAAATTTCATAAAAAACATTGAAACTAAGAAAAGTTATAAAAACATATTCATCTCAAATACGCTAACTCAATAAATTAATGATGAATGGTAACATTAAAACGTAAGTTCTAAAGTCGAGTAACAATTTTTTGTTTTGTTTTTTAAATTGCATTCCAACCCATTTACTAACAATTTTTATATATATTAAGATTGCATCTATCAAATTTGCCAAGACGTCCAGAATCGATACCCAATTTCATACGACTGTTACTAAAGGCTATTAACCCAGTAAACGAATATGCACTAAGCCCATCATTGGATCTTCCTACAAATACGACTGCATCATATCCAACAGAATTGGAATTATTAGATTCGAAGAATAATATCATTGCTATTTCTAGGTCTCACTCAAAGAAACTATCGTCGACGTGTTTTATTACTTTTGTTACCGCTGACGATGCAAAGGTATTTTTAGAAACATATAAATCCAAACCTTTAATGGTAAATGGGAGAAGGGTACTCATAGAGTATGCCAAAAAGGAATCGTTATTAGCAATTGCTTTAGATGAAACTAAACCTGGTTTATTCGAGAAGATTCTTAACACAAGACATAAACAGAAACTGTTGAAACTTGATGAAGATGCCAGTGAATTACACACAATGAAAAGGAAAAGCAGGCGGTTGAGAAGTAAACTTAGAAAGCAAGGTCTCGATGAGACCAGAATTGCACAAAAGATCAAAGAATTTCAAGATATGGCAATCAAAACTAAACAAGATGAGATTAGTAAAAGATTGCCATCTAGTAAACCTTCTACACAGAAACAACCAACCCATAAAATTATTGATAATCCACCAAACAATAAATTACTTGTTCAAAATATACCGAATGGAACGACAGAGGCTGAGATTGAACAATTATTCAAAGGTGAAGGGTTTAAAGGAATCAGACTTGTTGCAGTCCGTAATGTGGCATTTATTGAATATGAGTCTATTGAACAAGCTACTATTGTTAAGGATAGTTTAGGTAAGGATCCTAGTTGGAAGGGTTCGATCATTTATATAACTTTCGCTAAATAGACTAACAAAATGAATATGCATTTTTTTAAAATTCGAATGTTTATATTTACATGCAGTTCAAGTATCTGAACTTGTATATACCTTAAATAATTGTGGCAAGCAATACTGTCTACCTACCCATAAATACCGTTCTTAATCCAGCAAGAATGTTTTCTTTCTTTTTACCTTGAATATCATCAATAATTCTTTGATAATACTCTGGGTTTCCTGCAGGATTGTAAAGCTTGTTACCAACTTCATAATAATTCTTATACTTATTACCGACTAAATTTGATAATGCATTAATTTGATCCTTCATAGAAGCCTCTGAAAATTGATCATGAGGGATAGCAGCTTGCATCTTCTTTAACATTTCTTTTTGAAGCCCTAATGGACCAGATGTTCTGTTTACTATATCTTTAATTTCATCTATTGAAGCTTTATTATTAGCTATTTCGGAACTGCTCTTCTGAGATATTGGAAGACCTGCAATACGGCTAAATCTTTCTAATTGTGTAGCCTTGAATGAGACCAGATATTTGAAACGTTCTTCTGGAAATTTTTCCAGTAATTTAATCACTTGTTTAGCGCCTTCTCTAACTACTTGGTACGAGGACATCTTATTAATGTATTTGAGTAGGTACTAATTTGAGGATTTATTTAATTACTACACAAGTGGTTATTGGTTTCAACAACTTTATATTTATGACAGGGATCTCTTTATAATCGATTAACCCCCTCTAAGTTTCATTGCATTGAAGTCCTGGATTTTTCGCTTCGCTCATTGAAACTCCCGTTTTGCGAGAATCATCAATTTCGAAGAATAGCGCCAACATTCATATGTACAGTGACCAATACATTAGATCATTAAAACTAATAATGCAAGATGTAAAGTAATACATTAGAATTATACATTACCTTTACTTATGATTAGTTAGGAATCGTAGGTAGATTTATTTACTTTATTGGGAAGAGGTGAAGACTTCCAAGTTCTTGGTACCTTCCTCCCAAGAGACACCAAAGTAAGTGATATCCTTGATGGCCTTGATAATGTCTTCAACAGAACCTCTAACTTGTTGTGTAGAGTCCCTTTCTCTTAAGGTGACAGAACCATCCTTGACAGAATCGAAATCAATGGTAACACCGAATGGGGTACCTAATTCATCATTACGAGAGTATCTCTTACCGATAGACACACCAGAGTCGTCGACCTTGAATGGGATTTGAGCTTTTCTTAGAATATCAGAAACCTTCTTTGTGACAGGTTGTAGCTCTTTGTTATTGGATAATGGAACCAATAGGACTTTACTTGGAGCAACTAATGGTGGGAATGATAGGACACCTCTAGCGGTATCTTCAGGTCTGTTCCAGAAAGAATGTTCAAATACAGCGTAGATGATACGACCAATACCGAAAGATGGTTCGATGACATTTGGTACATATTCTCTAACATGCTCGACCTTGGTTCTCTTTTCAATATTAATGAACTTGTCATCTAATTCGACATCACCTTCGATACCGTTGATTTGGAAAACAACTTTACCGTTAGATTTTAATTCAGAAGCCTTAGCTTCTAATTCGGTTTGAGATAAATCTAATAAGAATTTTTCAACCAATGGGGCATCCTTTCTGAATTTTGGACCGAACAATTTCTTTGTCAAATCGATTTCATATTTAGTGACTTCGATTGGAGTTTCTAATTTCTCTCTTACGACCATCTTTTCTTTAGTCTTGTTAGAGTGAACAGTCAAATCAAAAGCAGATCTGTCAGCACAGCCAACACATTCGATCCAACCGTAGGAGGTTAGCAATTCACCATCCCAACAATCAGTAGCATAATGAGCCATTTCATTACCCATATGTTGACGGAATCTCAATTTGGTCTTATCAACACCAATTTTAACTAAGAATTGGTAAATTCTACCAATGAAGTAACCAAGAGTTTCGTTATCAATCATTTTACTCTCAACAGCTTTACCGATAGTTTCGGTAATTGGTACGGTAGAACCAGCTTCTTGGACACCACGTGGTAAGAAGGATAAGGTAATGTCCTTGACATCTCCAAATTTAGGGTGAGATTTATCCATTGGGTCTACGAAATGTTCAATTTCCGCCATTAAGAATTCACGAACTCTCAATAGACCAGCTCTTGGGGAAATTTCGTTTCTGAAAGACTTACCGATGGAAGCAGAAGCAAATGGTGTCTTACTGTTGTTAAATTCTAGCAATTTGTTGAAGTTTAAGAATTGACCTTGAGCGGTTTCTGGTCTTAGGAAACCTCTTAGTTGACCGGAAGGACCGATAGCAGTCTCGAACATTAAGTTAAAGGCCATTGGTGGTTCCAATGGGCCATCAGTGGCTGGGTTGTTGATAGAGTATTTAACCATCAATTCACCTAGTTCTTCACCTGAGTAACCATCAATCTTGGCTAGGACCATTTCGTATTCTTTAGCAACATCATCTTCTAATTTAATAGCCTTGATTTGCTTGACCTTCTTCTTTCTCTTCTTTTTGTCTGCACTTTCTTCTTCTTCTGGATCAGCAGCAATACCTCTAGCTTCTTTATCACCCTTTAAACGTGCCTCAAGGACTTCTTCAACAAGATGATCAGCTCTGAATATTTCACCGGTTTTTAAATCCCTACACATCCAATCAGAGAATTTGTCAACATGACCAGAAGTCTTTAGAACTTCGTAAGGAGTTAACATAGTACAGTCAACTTCTAACATATCTTCTTCTAAAATGAAATGCTTTCTCCAGGTATCAACAACGTTGGCTTGGAAAGCACAACCCGGTGGACCGTAATCATATAGACCGGAAACACCACCATAGATGTCGAAAGCTGGAGCGTAGAAGAATCTACCTCTTAAAATACTTTCTAGAGATTCTCTGTTGAAAACAGATGCGGCTCTAGCTTTTTGAACTTCAGTAGCAGTCATCCTTGGTATGTTAACTGATTTTTTGATAATTTGAGAAAAGAGTCTCTTTTGTAATATGTTACCAAACAACAACTTGTAAATAGTAATAAAAAAAAGAGTGAAAACGAGAGTGAAATATTAAATAAGTGAATAAGTTTAAATCTCGCAAAAAGAAATGCAACGTAAAAAATACAAAAGAGTAAAGAATATGTATAAGGTGCTGTCTTGTTCTAAAATTTAACATAAAATAAAAACAGGCGTAGAAAATAAAAATATAGGAAATGGTGAAGCTCCACTAATGTCTATGAAGGTAATTGAAACACAATTAGCAAAAAGTAAAGAATATTACTAAAAGTTACACCAATGGCACTATTACAACTGTTGTTCTCCCTGCCACGAACGATAAGCACATCGAATGAACAAGCGATGAGATGAAATTTGTGAAAATTTTTTTGCATCGAAAAAAAAAGTTAAAACGGTCACGTGCAGAGGTGACTCACGTGACTTTCAAGGTTACTATGTTACATATGAGTACTATTAGTATTAGTGTTGTTATTATGATTACTAGGAATATCTACATCTATATAAGGTTCGTCCAGGTACAATATGTTAAGTATTTGCATGTGCTTGCAATGGAAGTGTATATTTACATGTTTTCATTAATGTTTGGTGCAAATTCAAACAGACCGGAAAAAAAAGATATGGCACTATTGTATGTTTCCAACGCATGGAGCTTAGACCACTAAATGTATCTACTTCTTCTTTGATGAATTCTTTTTGGATGCAATTTTACCAGATTTTATCTGTTTTGAACTGTCATCCAATAAAGATAAGTAGTCGTCCATACCAAAATCGTCATGTGAGTGGTCCTCGGCCGTCTCAGGTGTCACCATCTTTGACGTTTTCTTGGTTTCTTCCTTTTGTTTCTTTATATCTGTTACAGATTTGTCATTACCATTAGGCGTTGATTCTAAAGTCTCTTCTTCAACGGAAAATATGGATGAGTACTTTTGTTTGAACTTATCAATACTACCAGCTGCATTGGCATCAACAACGATTAAATCGCTCCTACTCGTATTCCATAATGGATTATTTCTTTGATCTTGAATTAATCTAACCTCAGCCTTCGGGAATTGGGACTTTCTCATTACCACACTACCATCACTCATCTCTACCGCAACTTCAAACTGATGATAAATGGCAGGTCTAGCTTTTCCTAATTTGATTTTCTTCATTGGTCTTCTTGGTAAGGACATCCTCTGTGATCCAGGATATGTACCTGTAGAGGCCAACCTACGGAACGCAGATAATATCTTGAAGTTATTGTTATTCATTTCGTAGTTGATAAGTTTGTATTTTGTTCAGATTATATCCTTAATTCGGAACTAGCGTTTACGTCAGTCTTCAGTATAGAGAGCCTATCCTTTTCCACTGAATATAATATCAAACTGATTAAATGTCTCAGATATGATCACGGTGTACATGTAAATATATGTGGTGATTACAAAGGTTAACATAATCATTATTTGTTCTCTTTCACTCTTAATCTCAATGTTAGGATTTTGGTTTTCTTGTTCTCGGGTCCCCTTCCTAACGTCAAAATCACAAATATTTATCACATCATACGAGCATAATTTTATATATTTCAAAAAATATTATATCTTATTAATATTTACAAACCCCTCCAACTCAGCTTGTAACCGTTTAGCAGTTTCAGGATCAGATTCCATTATACGAGCAACAACATCTTGAAAATTTGCGGATGAGAGGTCAAAATTTTCTTTTGATTGAGTTATCTCATCCTCCATGGCGTCCGCTATGCGTATATTATCATTGGAATCAGACTCTTCTGCATCGAGGGCATCTTCGTCAACTTCGCCTGCAATGATTCCGTTATCGTCGTCGTCTTCATCTTCTATATCGCCTGGCGTTATTTCTTTGGATTTGTTGTTGTCACCTTTATTTCCATTTGAATCATTATCCATATCAATATCACCATCAGCATCAACGGCTTGTGATTCTTTTATATCCTTTTCATTTATTAAAGATTCTTTCACATATTGCATTGTCTTGAAGTATTTTAATTTATACTTGTTGAAATCAAGATTACCTTGAGCCAGGCAACCTAATTCATACTTAACAATTCTTCTTATTTTAACCAAATCTAACTCGCTAAACCAACCTGTGATTTCATTAGGGGTCTCCAAATATTCGACTTTATCGTATACTTCGGCCACATTCGGTTCGCATATTAACATATCAATTTGTAACATTAAATACCATGGGATTTGCTTCCCATCAAATCTGAATCTTGTGTCAATATCGCCTGGGATGTTAGACTCGAATACAGGTTCATTTAATTTTGGAATATTCTTCCTGACTGTTTGTGAAGATAATAATTTTCTTTCAATCTTAAAATATTCAGTTTGATATTTAGCATATTCTTTGGATGACCTTGGATCACAACCAAATTTGATATAAGTATTTCTCCATGGCCCCATAGTAAATCTGTAAGTAATTAGTGCCAATGCAATTTTCAAAGTGTGGTGTATTCTCTTAGGTATGATACCATCCAAATGTCTCTTAATCCAAATCGGTCTTTTCTCGAAAAGTTGCTCTAATATGGACAAACATTCTTCCAATGATTCATAGAATTTAGAGGACTCCTTTGTGCCTGGATAAATGTTTGTCTCCTTCGCTATCTTGTAATCATTTTGTAAACTCTTGTGTGGTTGTAATGGAATCTTAACATCATCACCCAATGTATGTAAAAATAATTGATAATTTTTGATATAGGAGCCCTTCACTTCAGAAACACCGTCTGCTTTTTTGACCGCTAAAGGATTCTTTTTATACTTGTACAAATGAGGAAAGCCGATCATGGATAGTCGAGGTGGCGGTGGTAATTGGTAATCCGAACTTGGTGACTTTAAGCCTCTATTGAAAATTAAGTTACTGATATTTTCTTGTGGCATTGTATCATTATCAGGAACTGAATCTACTAATTGTTTAATATTCTGCCATTCCAATGAACCAAAGCTTTGCACATATTCATTTGCAGCTGGGACATTGTCTAAACGATATTGAAAATCAGACATTTCTCTGAACTTAATTGTGTTATCAACAACAGCAACAGGTGTGATTTTGTAATCCTTGGAATGTAACGAAGCTAATGATTTTTGAATGTTACCTTCATGCTTCTTCATGGTACCCTTAGGCATAACAACTTTCAACACAACTGAACTATCTCTATACGGAACTGGTTTACCAATTATTGGGTGCTCGTTAAAGAAGGAATTCTCAGTACCATCCTTAGTCTTCATGTCATTTAAGTATAACTCAAGGTAGTTCTCCACCTCTGGGTCAGTACTCTTCTTTAACATCTCTTTAATTTTGTCTATACCTCCACACATACTTACCGCTTTTGTGACACTTTCAGGCCTTCCTGAAACATGCAACGGTAATTCAACTGAAGGAATTCGAGGAATATCTAATGTATACTCCTTCGCCAAAGTATTAGAATCTTCTAGGTTTGAATCATCTGAAGATTGATCTAAAAAGTCTATGTGTATACTCTTTGGGACAGTTTTTTCGGTAGTGGCATCTTTTGTAGTCATTTTTTATACAGATATAATTCGGTTTTGCACAAGTATCGCTTCTCACCAGTGTCTAATTATATTAAGTGCGTCTATTCAGAAACTTTTATTTTAATATTCCCTTTTGAAGTCAATTGAATAATAGTTTGCAATTGTTTGTTTATATTAGTTCAGCAAGGAAGAAACGCGTAGTCCTGTAATTTCCCGAAGCTGCTAATACATAGTGGAAAATACGTATTAAAGTGGGAAATGAAATTACTGATATATATCAGAAGTCGTCCAGTTAATAGATGTCATAATGTCTCTATCGTTTTCATAATATATACTTTTGATATTTCATTAGATATTATCTACTATACAATGTTCTATGGAGTCATAGAAAGTTAATATGTTGTGAAACCTCTCTGTAAACAGGGACGACGGAAGGCAGACATACCAAAAAAACATCGAAATGTTTTATATATAACCTTCAGAAATTGTTCTTTTCGTAATAAACGGTATTTACACTAGACCTTTTTCTCTTTCCAATCTTATCTTCATTTTAGTGTACCAATCGCTAAGAGACTCACCATTCTTGTTTAGTACCACTATTATAGCAGTCATGTTATCAAACCCAACCCCTGTGCTACTATTTGCCTGTGCAATCCCGTGATCTAAAAGTTTCGGTATGATTCCATCAAGTTTTATACCTTGTGTCAAATGATATTTAATAAATCGTATCAGTTGTCTATTACTGTATACGTCCCATATACCGTCACAGGCTAAAACGAGAAATTCGTCCTTTTTATAATCGATTCTATGCATTAAGACATCTGGTTCTACTGTAACTTGTGCTTCCTGAGGAGCTATTGCCAGGTTGTTTATATAATTCCCTTTCACATTTCTCTTGTTTTGGCTATTGTATTGTACACCTCTCTTGAATTGGAAATCGCTGAATGCTCTACTAAGTGCTAATACACCCCCTACTCTTCCTAGGGATACTGTACCACCATTATCATTAATTCTTAATAATTCACCTATATGTTGAGGTTTGTGATCGTATGACATTGTCTTGATTCCATCACTCTTTGAGGATATAATACAACGAGAATCACCACAATTTACGACATAGACCATTTCTCCATTCACAATTGCAGCCATTACAGCGGTTGACCCGCAAGTACTGTTGGCAAAGTGTTTGTAAAGTTCGATATCCTGTAATATATATGAATCCTTAAATATTTGTGATATTAACCCTTCTAACGTCCGGAATACTCGTTTGATCTTCCCATCGTCATCATTATTTTTCGCTTTAGACCTTATTACGGAATTTATATCTCCTACTTTATGGGTACCCATTGCCCCGTAATGATGATTCTCGAAAGCGTAAGTGACCCATTTAGCTAGTCCACTCTTTGGGTTATAACCACGATCATCTTTACCCCCGCTGAGGAATGCTGAACAATCTGATCCACCGTGTCCATCAAAGACAGCAAATAGACTTAAAATATATATCTCCACACGATCTTTGAAAGGATCATAAAATTTTACATGTATACTATCGTCTTCATTAATTATCATATGTGCATCCTCTTGAGTTAGTCTATACCCTTGCATGGAACCGATACAATTAAAGAATCGCGGCGATAAACTAGACACCTGTGTGGACGGTTTATGGTCCTTATAGTCATTGTATTGAATAGTTTTTTCGGTCAATGGATGTGACAGTAACTGTCCCATTTTGAATATGGTTATTGATATTTTTTCTTTAGATGATTTCAGCTATACTCCTGTTTTTGTTTCAATGGATAGTTGTTAACTTCAAAAGAATTATGACGGGTTGTAAAGAAATTGATTGTAGGATTATACTCTATAAGTATAGAAGATGGTTTGAATATATTTATAATGAATATATAGTTTATCACTAGCGAATTACTTTGCCGTTGTCTTTATTTTATACCAGTCTCCTAATCATTGCAAAATTTCTTTATTTCAAATATTTCACTTCTTACGAGATTGAAAAAGGAACAGGAAACAAAGCGCAGTGGAAAAAACGAATTGATATGTAAGTAAAAGAAAGAGAGACACCTCGTTTCTTAAAGTAGTAAACGGGACTAATATCAACAACAAAAAGTTCTCATTATTAGAAAGGCTTAAACATTTAAATGTAAGAGTGAGGGGCAATATATACGAGTCATGGAAGCTAAAATTAGTACCATCTTGAAAGTTTGTATTGGATGTGTTTGTGTTTTTTATCAGGGAATACATAGATAAATATGCATATACATATGTGTATGTATGTAGTACTTAAAAAAATGGGAAAAATGAAATTAATGTAGAACTCAAGAACTGGTTCCATGTACAGCAGAAGTGCTAGAAGTGTTGTTCAGTTCATGAACGAAATTTTCACCCCAGAAGGAAGATGTGTATTTTGAAATATATCTGTATAGCTTCTCCCAGTTAGCCTCTTTCTTTTCTGAGGATAAAGTTAGAGCTTCATTGATTGATTCTGATAAATCATCAGTATTCCAAGGGTTGACAATCAAAGCACCATTCAATGATTGTGCGGCACCAGTGAACTCGGAAAGGATTAAAGAACCTTTCTTTTCTTGTTGACAGGCTATATATTCGTAAGAGACTAAGTTCATACCATCTCTTGTAGAAGAGACTAAACAAACATCACTTGCAGCATATAAAGATATCAATTCTTCAAATGGAATACTTCTATGCATGAAATGGATTGGAACAAATTCTACAGTACCAAATTGACCGTTAATTCTACCAACAAGTTCATTAACCACAGATCTTAAATACTGATATTCTTCGACATCTCCACGACTTGGAACAGCAAGTTGTACAAGAACAACTTTCCCAATCCATTCGGGATGTTCTGATAGAAAAACTTCCATTGCATGCAACTTTTGTGGGACACCCTTGATATAATCTAATCTGTCTACACCAACAATAATTTTGCAACCTTTGAATGTCTCCTTCAATTGCATTATTCTCTTTTGGACAGAATCCTTCTTTAAACCTTCTGAAAACTTGTCAACATCAATACCAATCGGGAATGCACCTACATTGACAAAATGACCCTCATACTCAACACCATTTGGTAATGTATTAATATTTAAGACCCTTTGAACTGACGATAAGAAATGTCTTGCATAATCGTATGTATGAAACCCTAAAAGGTCACAACTTAACACACCTTTCAAAATTTCTTGTCTAACTGGTAAGATTCTGTAAATTTCTGAAGATGGGAAAGGAGTATGTAAGAACCATCCAAGTTTAATATTCTTCAATCCCTTTCTATTAATATTATGTCTTAACATCTCTGGTAGTAGCATCAAATGGTAATCGTGAACCCATACAAGGTCATTATCACTAATATTTTGAATAATTTCGTTAGCAAATGTTAAGTTTGCTTCATTATACGCAAGCCATGCGTTTTCATCGAAATTAATCTCACCTGGGTGGTAATGGAATAAGGGCCATAGGATAGAATTACTAAAACCATTATAATGTAAATCGGCAATTTCATCTGTTAAAAATACAGGAATAGCATTAAATTTCTCCTTTAGATCCTTCTTAACTTTCGCCTTATCATGGTCTGGAATCTCTAAACCAGGCCACCCATACCATTGGAATGTAGCTGTCTTTTTCAACCCTTGTAATGCTGTAACTAAACCACCAGAGGACATAGTGTACTCATACTCACCGGTTTCATTATTCTTGGTGATGGTTACTGGTAATCTATTCGAGACCACCACAACGTTACCTTGTATATCTCCTTTTCTATCTGTAGCTTGAGTCATCATAAATTAGTTCGTTATTAATTGCGTTATTTTTTCACTTAACGTACTCTTTATGGTGGTTTCGTTATTCTCTTTCAATTAGTTCACCGATTCTATTCTCTTTATATCTATATATGTATCTGTTTCCAATTGCAACCTATCAAAGGGTTCACATCGTCATCCCTTGTCAAACCGGTTCTTCCTTCATCGACGAAAGGGGGGAGGGGAGGGGAGAGGAGAAGTTCCGTAGTTTACATATTATTACTGCGTCGTTCGCTGTCTGTGTTTCTGAGGCCGCGTTAATTTAAAGAAGCACGTGACTTGTACGGTTTAAATGAGTTGTAGATTCTCTTGAAATTTATCTTATATTGATTCATTTATAATATATTATACTAGTAGAAAGATATATATGTGTGTATGTATGTCATTGTGAGTGAAAGTATGTTTGTGTTTAATTTAGAGTTAGTGTGCAGAAATAGGTAGAAGAATGAGATGATGTTGTCTAGATCAAAGATTCAGTAGCAACTGGAGCTTTGTTGTCTGGAGTGACATCTTCGTCTTCGTATTCTTCTTCTTCTTCTTCAGCATCTCTGGATCTGTCGTAGAACTCGTCTAGGATCTTTGGAGAGATTCTGTTCAACATTTCCTTTGGATAGATTCTTAACAAACTCCAAGCTTGATCTAGGGATTCAAAAACAGTTCTATTTTCGTAAGCACCTTGAGAGATGAAAGTCTTTTCGAACTTTTCTAAGAATTCTAGAGATAATTTATCTTCGATAGATAAAGCTTCTTCACCAACAACGGCCTTCATGGCAGCAGCATCTCTACCAATAGCGTATTTGGCATACAATTGATTGGAGACATCACCGTGATCCTTTCTGGTCATACCTTCACCAATAGCAGACTTCATCAGTCTACTTAGAGATGGCAAGACATTAATAGGTGGGTAAACACCCTTGTTGTGTAGTTGACGATCAATGGAAATTTGACCTTCGGTAATATACCCAGTCAAATCGGGAATTGGATGTGTAATATCATCGTTTGGCATAGTTAAGATAGGAATTTGAGTGATAGAACCGTTACGACCTTCAACTCTACCAGCTCTTTCGTAAATTCTGGACAAATCGGTATACATGTAACCTGGGTAACCTCTTCTACCTGGAACTTCTTCTCTAGCGGCGGAGACTTCTCTTAAAGCATCGGCATAGGAAGACATATCTGTTAAGATGGTTAGAACATGACGTTCGGTTTGATAAGCAAGATATTCGGCAGTAGTTAAAGCCAATCTTGGAGTAATAATTCTTTCAATGGTTGGATCATTGGCCAAATTCATGAATAAAGAAGTTCTCTCTAAAGAACCATTTTCTTCGAAATCTTGTTTGAAAAATCTGGCAGTTTCCAAATTAACACCCATAGCACCGAAAACAATGGAGAAATTTTCTTCGTGACCATCATGAACATCCTTAGTAGGTCTCACTAGACCGGCTTGTCTACAGATTTGAGCTGCAATTTCATTATGTGGTAAACCAGAAGCAGAGAAGATAGGAATCTTTTGACCACGAGCAATAGAGTTCATGGTATCAATGGCAGAAACACCGGTGGAAATCATTTCTTCTGGGTAAATTCTGGCATATGGGTTAATAGGAGAACCATTAATATCTAGATAATCTTCAGCAAAGACGGTTGGACCGTTATCAATAGGTTTACCTGAACCGTTAAAGATTCTACCTAGAGTATCTTCAGAAACTGGGATTCGTAAGTTTTCACCGGTGAATTCGACGGTAGTCTTCTTAACATCGATACCGGATGTACCTTCAAAGACTTGCACAATTGCTCTATCACCTCTAACTTCTAAGACTTGACCTTGTCTAACGGTACCGTCTGGTAAAGTCAAATTAACAATTTCATTGAAACATGGGAACTTAACTTTTTCTAAGATAACTAATGGACCGTTAATACCACTAACAGTGTTGTAGTTCAATCTAGGCTTAATCTTGAACCCTTCTTGAACGGCCTTCTTGTTCAATTCAAATAATTCTTGGTCTGAAAGAGCCATGTTTTTAAATTGTAATATATGTGTACGTATTGATGTATACTACTGCTTACTTCGATCTTCTTAAGACAGTAAGAGATTAACAAATACCGTTCTTGAAATCCCTCTTTATTATATATATACAGCGATTATTAGTTGGTGTTGTTGTTGTTGCAAGCTTCAGACTTTGCATTATCGTTGTTGTTGCTGCTCTCACCTAATCTGTTGCTGCTGCTGCTCCTGCTGCTGCACTTGCTGTTGCTGCTTGAATTCCATAAGTTAAGTTGGCAGTGGCTGCTCAGTTTTCGTCTTTTTTCATTTTTTTTTTTCGTTTTTTTTCTTACAGCCAAATTAGGGTTGTATATTAGGGTACATATGCATGAATCTACACATCTATCTATATCTATATCTATATACACAGAGAGAGAGAAAGAGTTATTTATACCTGTAAGTTAAGAAGAAGATGGTTAGCTACAACGGATGGAGACGAACGGGGCCCAAAGGTGGTCAGGTATGGCTATCAGTGAGTTGATCAGTGATTGCATTGAGTGTGTCCTGGAAGTTGTGATTTGGTTGCAAGTAGTGATTTGGCGACGGTTGGTTTGCAGTCGAGAGCAACTGGTTCAGGTAGAGACTATAAAAGAGTCCATCGACATCGAGTTGTTCTAATATGGAGATTGGATCTATATATTCATCTGAAGGTAAGATATAATTTGTTTGGCATAGTTGTACTATATTAATGGTGAGTTTTGTCAGCCACCCAGCTATGTTTTCCGTGACAGTCTTATCTGTCATTTCAACAATATCTTTCAGTATGTAATCTTCGTCTTCTTGACCTTCTCTCGGCAGTGGTGATAGGTTCATTGTCGGATAAGGCAATTGTATACATTGTATTCTTGCTCTGAGTTTCAAATATTGGAACATAGTGAAGATAGAGTTTTTCACTAACTGTGGAGGTAGTTTATTGGCAGTTCTAGTAGAGATTACGGGTTGAAATTGTAAAGTATATGGAATATCTCTAGATGTAGTCTTACTTATAACAAACCATTGGTTTAATGATTGTATACTTTGTCTCTGTCTTCTTGTAAGGACTGCCTGTACTTGTTTTAAACGATCATTATCCTCTGAGTAACGTTCATTTGAGATATCCTTACATACGTTAAGGTGACAATTTTTTGAATCTTGAGAATCTGTTATCTGTCTCTTTAAGTTTTGAATAAATGTCTTTTTCTTTTCAATAGAATTGGAAATATTATTTATTCGGATTTTCAATTGGCCATCCTTCTTTCTCTTCTTTAAATCATTAACACGTCTCATTCGTGTTTTCAATAGGCGCTCCCCTGCACCAATATCTTCTCTCTTGATATTACTTTTATCCATCGACACTTTCAGTATATTATCTATTTTCTCATTTAATCGTTTGTTGTCATCTTGGATTGTTAACAGTTGAAACCGAAGGGTCACTGCTAACTGAGGTGACGTACGGACACAGTTTGCGCAGTAAAATTTATGCGATTCGTTATAACATATCTGACATTGCATAATTGTTGTGATGAACTATCAACTGACATAGTTTTCCTTTTACCGACTTTATTAATGAGGCACTGAACGTCTTGATTTTGTTGTGCTTTGTAATAAAGTGCATTACCTTTTTTTTGCTTTTAATTGCCTTAATTAAGGGATCTATTGCTCAAGAAAAGTAATATTACCATATATCACAATAATAATAAAATACAAGAAAATTATTTATGTGTAATTTCTGTAAATATATGTATCAATTTGTTTTATTTATCTATTTATGTGTATATGTATTGTATGACTTCGTTATGTTAGGTATTTGTATCTGATACTTCAGAACCTGTTACCATTCCGTGAAGGGTTGGGAGATGGTGATGCAGATGAAGATGGGCTAGTGAGGTTGTTTTTACGGACTGATGTAGACCTTTTCACACCCGGTAAGCCTATAACAGGGCTTATATTTCTGTGGCCCTCAACATTAGAGTCTGATACTGGTGTCATAGAACCATAGAAACTGGTTCTATTGGAGCTACCATTTGAAGAGACGTTTCTAACCTTCCTTAATTTAACGGTTTGTAAATCAGCTAAATCCTTCTCTATTGTAGATATTCCCATCTTATTACCCAATTCAATCATTTCTTCTTTGTATGTTGAGTAGTCTTGCAGGGTATCATTTCCGTTTATTACACTCTGTAAAGCTTCGCTGAAAGATTTATCTATCGATGCATTGTTATTTTTGTATAATTCATCATATTCTTTTGTTGAGATATTAAAATCCGATAATTGTTCTACTAATTGATTCTCATTTTCATGATATGATGTCAGAGCATTAGTATTTTGTAATTTTAATGTCTCTAGCTCATCTCTCAAACTTTGAATTCCATTGTCATAATGACGTTTCATCATATCATGGGACTCCACAAGACTAGAATATTGAGACTCTATCATTTGTAGCTCGTCATTCAATGATGCTTCACCAACATTATTGTGATTTTGTTTATGTTTCAACAATTTATTCTCTTTATTTAATGCATTACTAGAATCGTTTAATTGTGTTAAATTACTCTCTAACTCTTTTAAATGTTCAGTTTCTCTCGTCAATAAGTTTTTCAACGTCTCATTTTCATTCTTAAGCCCTGACAATGTTTCCACCAATTTTGATTCTTTATTCTGTGTGTTTTCTAATTTAGTCAACAACCCTTGAGATTGCATGGTTAATTGTAAGTTAGTGCTCGATAAAATTTCAATTTGTTCATGAAGGGACTCGATCACTTTTGAAGATGATGATGTACCATTCCCATCTCCAAACACCTCTTGATGTTTCCCGGTTGGAGATTTTTGGAGGTTTGCCATGAAGATATTGTGATGAGGTGCCAATTTTGTAGGTGACGACAACGGCGTTGCTATTCCACCTGTTGAACCATTGTTTGACCAATCCACTTTCTTACTTCCACTTATGTCGCCGTTCATTATAATAATAAATTAGATTCCACAAAGAAACTCTCAATTAATTCAGTTTTTCTTTCGTTAGTTCGTCAGACTAATGATTGAAGTTATACTAGATATTTATCCAACTAGATATTTCAATTCTTATATTCCGTTTCTATTGGTTTCATTGTTTTGTTTTGTTTTGTTTTTCTTCAATTTTCGATAGATTTATTTTTTTGGTGGTGAGAGAGAAATCCAAATTATGTCTTTACAATTACAAGTTGCCAAGAGCTTTCCATCGTATGCAAAGAATATATATGCTATTACACTCATTACACTATAATGGTAAATATAACACGATGGAGGAATGGTAGTTGTGAGTTGTATTTTTGACTCATATAAAGATATGTTCAACTGATGCTACCGATATCTCATGATATTTCCATTCACGATCGTAATACAAGACGTATGACCAGTCATATTTGCTAGAACATATACATATTGATATCGATATAGATACCCTTAACTTTAGGAACACTCTCGAATGTTCTGTGTATTTTGGTTGCTCTTCTACTCACAACCGTGCGGTGTACGGATGCTTACTAACAATCACAGTATTATAAATTTTCTCATCTTTTAATTTTTTGCTTTTCTCTCTCAAAAATTGAATATTTTTATTTATAAGGAACTGGGAGGTTAAAGAATACTTAGTAACTTGAATTTAGTAATAAAAGTTCTGGATTTTCTTTTTGGGGAGTTGGAAAGAGGGTATCATCCATCACAGTCGTTTTGAGTAACACTCTGTTATATATAAATAGATATATTTGAGAGTTATAGCTTTATTTTTTTTGTCTATTGAACACACAACTCTTTTTTTAGTATATAAGTAGTGCAAGGTTATCAAGGATAAATCTTTTTTGAACCAAAAGAATAAAAGAATTCAAACGATTAGAACTTTCTAACATCTTTAAAAAGGTTTCATACTTTACATTACTATTGTTATAAGGGATAACATACAGCTTATCACTCCTTTAAAAAAGAACATACACACAAACATATATATTTTAACACCACAAAATGTCTCAAATTGCTTCAGCTCCTATGAGAAATGGAAGAAGAGGTCCAAATTTGAATATTGTTTTAACATGTCCCGAATGTAAAGTATACCCTCCTAAGATTGTGGAAAGATTCAGTGAAGGTGATGTGGTCTGTGCGTTATGTGGTCTAGTGTTATCTGATAAATTAGTTGACACAAGATCAGAATGGCGTACGTTCTCTAATGATGATCAAAATGGTGATGATCCTTCACGTGTTGGTGAAGCATCAAATCCTTTATTGGATGGTAATAACTTATCTACAAGAATAGGGCAAGGTGAAAATACAGATATGAGATTTACTAAAGAATTAAATAGAGCCCAAGGTAAGAATGTTGTAGATAAGAAGGACAATGAAGTGCAAGCTGCATTTGCAAAAATTACTATGCTTTGTGATGCAGCAGAATTACCTAAGATTGTTAAGGATTGTGCTAAAGAAGCTTATAAATTATGTCATGATGAAAAACCGTTGAAGGGGAAATCATCAGAAAGTATTATGGCCGCATCAATCTTATTAGGTTGTAGACGTGCTGAAGTTGCAAGAACTTTCAAAGAGATTCAATCTATTATTCACGTTAAGACTAAAGAATTCGGTAAGACTCTAAATATTATGAAAGGTATTCTTAGAGAAAAGAGTTCTGATGGATTTATTAAGATTAATACTGACAATATGAGTGGTGCACAGAATTTAACATATATTCCAAGATTTTGTTCTCATTTGGGTTTACCTATGCAAGTTACTACTGCTTCAGAATATACTGCTAAAAAGTGTAAAGAAATTGAAGAAATTGCAGGTAAATCACCAATTACTATTGCTGTGGTTTCAATCTATATGAATATCTTATTATTTAAGATTCCTGTATCGGCAGCAAAAGTAGCACAGATTTTACAAGTAACAGAAGGTACTATCAAATCGGGTTACAAAATCTTATTCGAGCATAGAGATATCGCAGTTGATCCACAATTGATTGCTGATGGAACTGTGGCGATGGACAATTTACCAAGAGTAGAAAAGGACAGAGGTTCAAAGGCAGATAAGAAAAAATAGAATAGAATATAAAGAAAAAAAATAATTAAGAATAAGTTTATTCTATTACTATTTTTTCTTTTATTTAGAGGGTAGGATAAAGGAAAAAACACAAAAAAAACATTGATGTAAAAAGTAATGAGAGAATGTCGTTAGATATTCTCGATATATATGCTATCTCCTTTGGCGTAGAATCACAATGAAACGAACTGCTATTAGGAAAGGTCCTTCTGAGTATAGAATCTTTTCGATATTTTCGTGTTCGCTAAAATGTGTTCTTAACCTATGTTTTTTTCTTTTATTTATTTATAAATGTTGTAATGTATCTGTTTCTAGTCCATTATCAGCGAAATAGATACGATTGTATGTATATATGTTTATGTTTTATGCTAAGATATCATACATATGAAAAAATAAAAAATAAAAAAATGAAATATTTTATATTTTTTGCAATTTCTATTTTTTTCAATTAAAAACTAAAATACCAATGACTATATCTTTTTTTATTTATTTATATATATTTCTATATTACATGCCCATACCAAATTGTTTGGCCATTTGTTGCATTTGTGGATCATCCATCATTTTCATCATTTCACCCATATCTGGCATACCACCACCGTTACCACCAAACATGCTCATCATTTTGTTCATCATATTTGGATTCTGTCTCAGTTGTTGTTGAGCTTCTTGCATCATTTGAGGAGAAATATTTGGCATACCAGGCATACCTCCCATACCAGGCATACCTCCCATACCAGGCATACCTCCCATACCGGGCATACCGGGCATACCGGGCATACCCCGGCTACCACCTTGTTTGGCGGCTTTGGCACTTTGGGCCATATTTGCCATCATTTGTTGTTGCATCAAAATCATTTCAACATCAAATACAGAACAACCAGAACCTCTTGCAACTCTTACTAATCTGCTGGGTTGATCAATAAATATTCTACCATCAGAATTTAGTTCATCCTTTGTCATAGAATCTAAGACGTACACCATCTTTTTCATACTCTTGGAAGTTTCTTCTTCGCCAACTTGGTTCATCATATTACCCATACCAGGAATCATTTGTGCAATGTTTGATAATGGACCCATCTTCATAATAGTTTGCATTTGTTTCTTAAAATCCGCCAATGTGAATTTACCTTGTTGAATATTTTCTATCATTGCCTGTGTATCTTCCTTATTAGAGACCGTTTGTATTTGTTCAAAAAGACTCTCTATGTCACCGATACCTAGAAGTTTCGATACAAATGATTTAGGAGAGAAACTTTCGAAATCATGTATATGTTCACCAGTACCAATAAAGATAATTGGTGTATTTGTAGCTGCAACAGCAGATATAGCACCACCACCTTTAGCGTGACCATCCATCTTAGTTAAGATAATAGCACCAAAATCAGAAGATTCTTTGAAAGCCTTGGATTGTTGTTCGGCAGCTTGACCTATAGATGCATCTAGAACCATGATGGTTTGGTTTGGTTTTACAACTTTAGAAATTTCAACCATTTCACGGAATAATTCTTGTTCTTGACGATGTCTACCAGATGTATCCACAATAATGACTTCGAATTTTTCCTTCTTGAATTTTGTGATACCTTCATCAGCAACCTTCACAGGATCTGTTTCTGTATATGAACCAAAAAATGGAATTCTGGCTTTAATGGCATTTTGTTTCAATTGATCAAAAGCACCTGCACGGAAAGTATCAGCACATACCAAACCAACTTTAAAACCTCTCTTAGCATAATATACGGCCAATTTTGTACATGAAGTAGTCTTACCAGAACCTTGTAAACCTACAAACATGATCACATTAGTCTTTTTCTTCTTTGGTTTAAATTGTTCGCTATCATGACAGTCAACTAAGTTACATAGTTCGTCAAAAACTGTCTTTTGAATAAGCTTCTTCGTTTGAACATTGGTCATTGATTTACCTTTATTTTCCATTAATTTACTTTTAATATTATTTCTCAATTTCGAAACTAATGCAATATTTACATCTGCTTCCAATAATGCAGTTACGATGCCCTTAAGCATAGAATCAACAGCCGTAGCGAAATCATCCTGAGTGTTTGATAACGCACTGTTGACAGCACCGTTAATACGCTTCCCTAAGTCAGCTAAAACCATACTGCAATATTATCTTAATAAAGAAGTGTGCTGTTCAATATCTATGGATATATCGTATCTTAAGTAAAGCTCAATATGTATTAACTAAAACTTTTTTTATAACCATGCTTCTTCCTTTCTTTAAAAAGATGACTTGTCATTCAATTATTCACTTTTAAGCAAACTTCCTTCTCGCTACTTACTTTCTCCTCCAAAAGGAAAACTGGCAAAATGTTGAAATTTTCGTTTCTATTGATAAAAGGAAGAAGCAAAATCACTACACACGGGAAATTAGACTGCGCAGTGATTTATAAAGAATATAAGCTAAATAAATTTATTTAAAGGGATTAGCAACATAGTTCATGCGGTTCAAACAATCTGGCTAACTCAATTGATTCTATTATATGAACACTAACAAATAGTGTCAGTGCGTGTCTTTTTTCTTTTATTGTGAATAATTTGGATGTTAAAGGATTTGGTAGTTATTGATCCGACACGAAGTCATAACGATGAGGATGCACACAAGTCTTTAATTTTATTCCACGAATTTGGCGAGACCGCAGGTGGTTCTTCTCTTAATGATAAGTTGAATAGAGTTGGTATCATACAGGGTCTGTGGTCTCTTACTCAATCCTTCGAAGGAACCGGGGACGAAGAAGATGAAAATGTGATAGAATTAGATAATGAGGTGATACTAGTAATCAAAGTCGAGTCCAGGTATTTTATGGCCATATCTATAAACGAATATGAATATTTTGACAATAACTCTAGTGATGTAAATAGTATACCATATCAGTTTTATTTAGGTCATCTATGGTTATGTTATAAATTCTTCATCCTAAAGCATGGAGAATTCTCAAAATTTAAAGACAATGCTATTCTAACAAATAATCTTAATGAACATATAATAACATTCTGGAATGATATATATTTAAAACCTGAGACACTGATACGGCAAGGTATAAGTGTACTGTGGCCCAACACATTTAAAAGATCCGAATTGGCCGATCTTCTGATGTCTGAAACAATGACAACGACAGATGAGGAATCTTGGGACACCATGATAAATAGAAGAATATTGTTGCAAGAAGAAAGCTATTTAGGAGTTAAAGATATCTTAATATATAATCTTCCTTCAAATTGCGATAGTCAAGCACCATGTGTAGCGGCTGATAAAAAATCAAAAATAGGTACTAAATATTTTGGACTTGTTCAAAATTTCTCTCAGACTTTTGAGAGTTTACCTGATATATCTAACTGGATTTATCATTTGACGCAACAATATGATGTAATTTCTAGTCATGTTCTTGCTGGTAATACACATTATAAGGAGGTTCCGACTACGGACGATATAGATCATAATAACGCAGATGGGACAACTGCAGGGATAACCGGAAACGGGTTTTCTACATTTAGGAATAAATTGTACCACAATATGACATTACCGATATCGTTTGCATATGATGTTGTGCAGGAAGTTGGTGTTACTACTGGTGTCTCATCTAGCATGTCCTACTTGAAAAATTATATCCCAGCATGGTCTTCCCCAACCATAAATAACCTGGATATTAGTCATCCTGTAGAAGGGAAAAGATACGGCTACTTGATTTCACCATTGGCTCAATCTTCGTTACCTTCCAATTATAAGATTATAAAATTAAATCTTAAGTTTGGTTCACACCCAAAATTCTACAACGTTTTATTTTGGTACTATGAAAATATGTTGGCTGTTATAATTTGTGATGAAACGTTTGAAGCGATTTGGAATCATAGTTATTTGAACGATTTAAGTTTTATTCTTTCGTTAAGTATGGAGAAACTTCACCAAAATTTAGAATCTGTTAAGAAACCAATGCAAGAAAATTTTGGATATCTCATAGTTGATAAAAATAAAAGTATTCCTGAATTGAAATCTTCTGTCCCTTCATGTATGGGACTCTTTAATACAGGTCAAAATAATTCCCCCTTGAACTTGGTAATTGATGGTTTAGATAAACTATTTTCAATGCCTAACTTGAGTATAGATAAAAATGGTGAAAATGTTTTAGGTATTGATATTATGGGTAGTCTATTTCAAACCAGTAAAGCCACAGAAAATTCAAATATTATTAAACGGAACTCCCCTTATAATAATACATTTTTGGATTCAATGGAAGTAGACAAACTATGGATTCTTTACAAAGAATTATTGATATTTCTCAATTCATTAAATAGATCTGATACTAAACCTGATATTTCCGAAGAGAGACTATTAACTTTAAGCAATGGTGTATTGTGTTATATTAAAAACGATCCTCAAAGGACAGTAATCATTTTGAAAAATTGGTTTGATAGTAAATATGATGATTATCCCACAAAGGAGGTAACTCTGTTTAATAATTTGGGTATAGACGTCACTAGTTGGTGGGTTAAGAAAAAATATGACGTGGAAGGGTAATGATATGTTGATATATATATATGTGTGTGTGTGTGTAAATATGTATATGAATTCACAAATGGGTATATACTGGATTATAAGTGAATGATTAGAATAAATAAAAAAAGTGAAATGCCATGAAAAGTAATAATTTTTAGAAATGGCATTAATTGCAAAATAATATGTGCGGATGTGGTAGGACAGTGTGTGGAATTCATCGTATTAAATTCATGCATCTAAATAAAATTTAAATTTTTCAAAGGAATGATCAAGTTCATGTTCTTCGATTTCTCTTAAATCTGTCATAAAATCAATAGTATGTGGATCTTTAAACTTATCCTTACCACGACACCATAATAATTTATAGGCTAAATAAATTCCTAAATCAATGAAAATCATAAGATAATTGAACAAAAAATCTTGAACATTCCATAATTTATGGAAAAATACAGTATAACCTTGTAAAAAAATCATAATTAATGCGCATGACATACCAAATATTGCAGTCCATGGTTGCCACCATGATTTAAATGGTAATGGTGGTAAAGTATCTCTTTGGACCAAATAAGCTCTTCTAAAGAATAAATAAATGATACACAAACACACGAAATTTATCAATTGTGAAGTGGTAATGATATTAATAAGCCAATTTAATACGACTGCACTATTAGAGTTTAATTGTAATAGACTAATTAATGCCCAACATAATGATACACAAACGGCATATATTGGTACACCTTGTTTATTACATCGAGTAAAAATTTTAGGTGCATAACCATCTAAAGCCATACCATATAATGTTCTTGAAGAACAATATGTATAAGCATTACCCGCAGAAAATGCGGCTGTAATCAAAGCTATATTGACAACATCAGGCAAAATTCTAATACCTAAGTTTAACATTGATATAACGTAAGGAGAAGAACCTGCCCCAGGTCTTGATTCATTGATTGCAGCAGTCAATGATGCATCATTTGCAGAACACACAATCCCTACACATAGACAACTTCCAATAAACATTACAGTTAATCTAACAAAGACTTGTTTAAATGCTTTTGGTAATACTTTTCTTGGTAATTTAACTTCGCCTGCTAGCATTGATATATATTCACCTCCAGCAATAGTGAATGAAGCTTGAATTAAACAAGCTAAAAATCCTTGAAGATAACCGATATGAGAACCACGATCAATACCATCTGGGAAATATTTTTTAAAAGGAGCTTCACCAAAATTTCTAAAACCATAAACATCATGATTTGGATTACCTCCAACCATAGTAATGAATGTATAAATAAATAAACCTAATGCTAAAATAATTTTAAAAGATGACAACCAAAATTCTAATTCACCATAATAACCTACAGCACAAACAGATATCAATAAATAAAGGATCGATTGTACCACTAAGGGTATTGCAGGTGAATAATCATCTCTCCAATAATGTATTATTGTATTTACAGAAACAATTTCGAAGGGAATCTGTACACACTCTAAGAACCAAAAATTCCAACTAGCCATCATTGCTAAGGATTCATCGGTACATTTTTTAGCTAATCTTAAAAATGGTGAACTTACAGGTAAGAATGAAACCATTTCAGCTGTTGATACAGTTATAGCAAGAATTGGAACGCACCACATTGCAAATGCTATTAATAAAAATCCTGCACCACCATAATACATTGGTTTCCCAATAGCAACAAATAATGCAGTACCAATAACACCAGAAATTGCAATAAATTGAACATGTCTATTTAATAATTTTCTATGAGTTCTTGTATTATTTAATAAATTTGTTCTTGAATTATTTTCTTCTTGATCGTCGTCATCTTCATCATCACCAGAATGAGAACCATTACTAATAATATTATGACTATATCCATCATCAATATCATCATCATCATTAAGATTCCCATCAATTTTATTATTTTTACTTCTATTTATACTATCTAAATCATAAATTTCTATGCCACTATTTTCTTTTAAATTATTAGGTCTCGTATGAGTAAAAGTTTCACTCGGATATATGTTTTCAGTAATATAATTTTTATCCTTTTTTATCGACCAATCTTCTTCTTCTTCTTCATCTTCTAAATGTATCATTGAATTTTTATTATTATGTATTTTTTCATCAACCATTATAATTTTACTTTTATTTTATCACAAAAATTATATATATAAACATATAAATAATGTGTATGTGTATATTATTTTCTTTTGCTTTTTTATAATAACTTTCAATCTCTCGAAAAGTAAAAATGCCAAATTTGTATCAGAATATTACTAATGCAGGTCAATGGTATATATATATATATATGCTAGTAATGTAACCCTTTAAAAAAGAAGCAGAAGAAAAAATGAAAGTGCAGCGTATATCTTATATACAATATAGACTATTCGAGATTACAAGATATATCACGAAGAATTACAATTCGGAGTATTTACAACTTATCAACTGTCAAATCTATTCATATTCCTTAATATATATATATATGTATATTCTTAGAAAAAGTCCCTTGTTTAAAGACAGACTCAACTTGCAGTAAAAATTGCCATTTACTACTATGCAATTACCTAAATGTGGCCAGTGACTGCTGCAAGAAAAAAAAAAAATTCACGGCGAAAGAAGGAAAACTTAAACAAATAAAACGAGTGACTTTTCTAATTTCCACGCGATTTCTCTGTTTGTCTGTCTACGAGTCCCGCGCGATGTGGTACGGTCTGCCAAATTTCAGTGAGAGAAAGAAAACGGTGTTGTTTGAAGGTTCGGCCCATCGCGGCGGTACCGGTAATTCGTCTAGCAAATTTCGTAAGAGGATTTCCTAATATTCCCAGTAGTATGACGTTATTCGCAGTATGGCTAGCGATGATGAACAATGGTGGTTGGAATAGGAACTCCTTGACACAGCTGGGTAGTTAGTGATGCCGATGTGTGTGTGTAAGTGGGTTATTGCATTGATTTGTTTCTTGTTAGTCTGGGAAAGTGTTGCAGCTTTCCACATAGAGCTGGTTAAGACCATGTTTTTGATACTATTAGTAACAGCGTTGAGCTTCAAGAAGGGTAATGAGAAGTTTACATCATTATTTATAGTTCTGTATACACATGTTGATAGAAATCCTCGTTTCTATCTTGTTGAGCATTCATTGGATTTTTATTTTCATTCATTTTTATTTTACAGATATTATACAGATAATTCTTCCTACTTTCTTTCGGAAGGAATTATTTAATATACAGATTATGTATTTCAAACCTCTGTCTTTATATATTACGAATTTAGCGGCGTAGTTGTTAACCTTCACATTTATGAACTTCTTATTCTAGTATCGTCGTATAAGCCTATTCAATTATAATAATTGTGCACAATAGTCTTTGTGTTATTTACTTAATGTTAATTTTTTATGCTCATGTGAATATTTCATACTATATACCTTAGAACATTTAGCTCAGTACATAGATATATAAATATATCTGTTTATCGTTTATTAATATTCTTGGGTTATTATTTTTTATCACTCTTGCATCTTTGTTTACAAAAACGAATGGTTAAACATATGGTATTATATCTACCAAAATGATGAAAATATTAAAAAACGTAAAAAAATATATATGTATAAATTATTTATTCTTTTAAAAACTCGACGGAAAAATATTGTCCATTGACATTGTGCAATTGTGATACTCCTGTCTTAACACGTACATTGATATCTACTTCTTCTTCTTCTTCTTCTTCTGGTTGAAGGTTTATTCCTGGTTCATCAATTTTTGGAACTTGACCTAATTCCTCATACATATTTTGTACACTTTGCCAGCCATCTTCATATGTTGGCATGAATCCATTCTCATCGATTGCACTCTCAAATTCATAAGGCTGAGTGGTACTGTTATTATTATTATTAATATTATTATTGTTATGCTTATTATCACTACTGTTAGTAGTGCCATGCTTATTATTACTATTACTATTATTATTATGCGTGCTATCTGGATCATTATCGAGACGAGTATTTTGTAACATTGTTGTATCATCCTTTAATTTACCACCACTTCTAGTATCAATTTGTTTGGAGAGAACTAAATATACATAACTCTCTACAGACCACTCATACCAAACTTTTTTACCATCCATTTGTCTACTACACATAATAGAGACTTCTGTATCATCATTGATTAATAATGGCTCTTTCAATGGGAATACTAAAGGAGACCAAGAAAATAAATTTTTCGTTCTTTCATCATTCCCTTCAATATCAATTTTATTCATACTAATACCGTCAGGTACAATTGACATATATGTATCACCATATAAATGTGCGGAAAAAAATCCAGCAATCCCATGAATTTCACCACGATGTTTCACTTTAAACTCCGTTGTAACATTTCTATTAAATAGATCATGAATTGTCATAGTTTTACTTGACAAGTGTATCTTGTTTGGATGCTCAAATGTCCATATTTCATTAACTCGATTCGACAGAATTTGAAATGGTATACCATGCATTATCCATGGTTCTTGGAACAGCCGTTGCTGTTCATTACTTCCGAAATTTTTGGATTCCTGAGTCAATTTTTGATATACTAATGGTGCAGTGATTGGTGCAATGCTAGATGTGTATGATTGTGGAATAAAAATGGTATCAGGTTTTGAATGATTTTGTTCAATATTCCATAAACATTCAGGTGATAATTCATTACAACCAAGTGATCCTAATAGTTCACTGATACATAAATCGATTTTATCATTAGATTTCCAACGACTCATGTCATCATGAATCAATTGTACATTATTATTCCAATGTTCGAAATTTCTCTTTTGTAAATAAAGGAATGCTTGTGGATTCTTCTCTAATGCAATGATTTGTACACGTGATATAACATTTAAACTCTGGGAAACGTTGTATACTTGCGAAACAAGTGGTCCACGACCTGCACCAGCAACCAGAATATTTATTGGAGTTGAATTGTTTGAGTTTCTTGTTTGTCTTCGTTTTATAATCTCTAACATAGCTTGTTTAATAGCTTCACCATATTTTTCATATTTAACTAAATCTGTTTCGAATATTGAATAAATTGAATTTGTTAAATTTTCAGAATGTGGTTTTAAAGGTGACATTAATTGTGGTTGGTTTAATTGAAATTTATTAAGATAATGTTTTGAATTTTGTAATGTTAATTTATCATTTCTTTTCAATAGAAAATTAATATATTCCAAATATGCAGATTCTCCACCTTTAATAAAATCTTTATATTTTTCCATACCATGTAAAATAATTACTAAAGAATTTGATTTTAATTGAGAATTACCATTAATTTCTTGAAATTTCATTAAAAGATTTTGATTAAATTTATGCAATACAGGATAATTATATTGATTTGTTGCGAAGATAGATGAAGAAAGTAATAAACTTGATACAGGTTCAGTTAACCATCTATCAAGAATATAATGAGGTGTTTTGACTCTTGGTAACGCTAATGAGACCATTAGTGACGGATGATATCCACATAATTTTCTAATATTATTCCATAAATCCCAAGTAGCTAATGGATCACTATCTTCATACATTGGTAAAGAGACTGATAAAATCATATTTGTTCCATTTTTTTCAAAAATATCATGATTTAATACCCTTGAAATCATTTGTGAATATATTTTAAGATTATTGATATCATGAGGTGGTGCGAGGATTAATTTATTAATTCCAATGGATTGTGCTAATTTACATTCATTTAATAACACTTGATAACTCATTTCTCTTTGTAAAATGTCTTCATTCTCTAAATCTACCCATGATGATAATAAACCAATATGAGATGGTGAATTTTCATTTGAATCATTAGAGTTCCCACCAAATGGAGAAATCATTATATCTTGTAATTGAGGTTCAGAGATTAAAAATCTTTCAAATGGATCTGAACGATCAATATAAGCCTGTAATTGTTGTAATACTTGTTCTCGATATCTATCATTTGTTACAGCTAATAGAACATAATCACAACTTTCTAATAACGCAGTATTAGTAACATTAACGTTAGAATTCTCATTATTTTCAACCTCCCGATAGAATATATTTTGTTCTAAACTGCTAGGTTTAATACCAACATAGACGTTACTTTGAATCTGCATAGTTCCCCCTAATTATTTTATATTTATCACTATTTTTTTCGATTAAAGCCAAATATAGACACACGGTTAAAGTTCAAACTCTTATGATTTATAAACTCACTAGCAATTTTAAAACCTTCTTCAATTAAACCAAGTTAAATGGTAGTTGGACCGACAAGCAATAATAAGAAAACAGAGATCTCAATTACTATGTCCTTCCTCTTATAAATTGTTATTACAGTAATCAAGTGTATCGTTGAAAATATTGAAATTTTTCTGTTAATATTTACCACGTTAAGAGAGGCCCTAAACAATGGAGAACAACACCATAATAATAAATTAGCCCTCTTTCCATCCATCGGCCCTAAGGCCGCCTCCCATACAAAACCAACTCCTGAAATTTCCAGTTTTGTATGTAAAACACACCAAAAACACAGAATTTAGGGCTTCCCTTCCGATCGCCGTACATTAACACGTAAACGCGAAAACTAAGCAAAAAATTTGTTTTGCTTAGTTTTGTGTGTGAACTCGCGCGACAAAGTTTAACGTGAGAGAACACAGTTTCGAGGAGATGTTTTTCCCAATTAACTGGACTATTGACCAATTGGTCAAACTAAGTGCTGGATCTATATATAATGATTACTATCGTATTTTACAGGGAACCCTTTTCATTTAATTGTTTTACTTCAATTATTCCTTGTTAGTTAGAGTCTTATTATTTGAACGAATAATATCTGAAACCTGTCAAAGTATCTGGCTATACTTTGTTCAAATAAATATTTTTTTCTTTCTTACATTTTTATCTGACATAAGATGTACCAACACTTCCGTACGTTTCAAGGCAGGAAACTGACTGATCAAGAGAGGGCCCGTGTACTTGAATTCCAGGACTCTATACATTACTCACCACGTTATGCTGATGACACGAATGAATACAGACATGTCATGCTTCCTAAAGCAATGTTAAAAGTTATCCCTTCCGATTATTTTAACTCTGAAGTCGGTACTTTACGTATCCTGACCGAAGATGAATGGAGAGGTCTAGGGATTACTCAATCGCTAGGTTGGGAACATTATGAATGCCATGCACCAGAACCACATATTCTATTGTTTAAAAGACCATTGAATTTTGAAGCAGAGATGAGAGCAGCAGCAGCAGCAGCTCAACAACAACAACAATCTTAGAGAAAAAAAAAGATGTCCGATATGAGAAGGGACTAATACTAATAAGATTACATTAATGGTAAAAATGAATAAATAATTTTTTTATTTATTTCAATAACCGTTTCTTTTGCATACGAAAAATACCCATCCACATACATCCAAATACACATCATACATACAGAAAATCGTCACATTTACCAAATAATATATTATTTATATACATGTATAATTAGAAAATACAATTAATTAATTATCTTTAATCCCTGATATGTACTCCGTTATTGAGAACGAAGTATCCTTTTATTGACGGTTTCGCTATGAAAATTTGAGAGTATAATTCTTAACGTCCTTAAATCCTTATCTCATTCGAGAATATAATTATTGAAGATGAATTAGATAATAGCTATTTTCTGTTTTCTAACATTTCATTTGTAGTTGTCAACTTATGTTTATACTCTACGTGGAAGAATAAGCGCCTTTACTAATCGAAAATTTTCTTGATAATTAGTTATTATGTACATACATATATTATCAAACCTACACGCCCTAATAAAATAGTTAGAAACACACACAAACACTACAAGTACCTTTACATAAACACTGTTCTCTATATACTAAAGGAACATACAATAATCATTGTCGGTTCCAATCACTCACATTATCCAGAAAAGTATGGAGTCACGTATTAAATATCTGGATGAATTATCCATGGTATTATTACGATCCAAAGCATCAAAATTGAAGGACCAAAATATAAAACCTAAGATCCCAGAAGATGGAGATCCAAACAGTTGTGAACTAATTAAGTTCTTGATTAAGAATTTACTAGATTCCCAAAAAGGGGAAGTTTTCAAAAGTTCTACAATTTTTTCAAAATCCATGCAGGTGCTAGATTTGGTAATAACAACAACCCCTTACTTATTAATCCATACATCGTTAGACATTGTGTCATTAGATAATCAAAAACAAACAATTGGTATATTAGCATTAATAGAAATATTTATTGAAATCTCTGTATTAAACATCGATAGACCAGATAGATTATGGTTTATACGGAAAAAACTTGGAAATTGGTGTCAACTAGTAAATGAAATTTATGGTAACCATTTCAAACTAATACAATCAAAATTTTTCGAAACCATGATAGATAAATATGAAAAAAAACTAAGAGCTGTACGATATGGTAATTACCCTTATCAATATTATTTGAGAAACCTTCAAATCCTTTACGTATTATGTTACATGTTAAACTCTAACCATTCAATTACTAAATCAACTTTTTTATTTGAAGGTTCTAATAAAGGTACAAATTCATGGAATATGAAATTCCAAAAATTAATGAGGGTTGTACTATTCATATTGGAATCTGTTCAAGTAGAATCAAATACCGAGTACATAGAATTACAACTGAAGTTCATATCGTTGACTGTGGAACAATTATTATTCAATACTATACCAAGTATACGGGGAACTCCACGTATTATTTCCACCGATCAATTCAAATTCACATTAGGAATGATTAACCAGTTCATGAAAAGCAACATTGTTACGCTCAGTGATGATTCAGTAACTTTTGCAAAATGTCTATTAAGAGTATACTCCCTGTGTATTCCAAGAGGATCAAGCTATAACCTTGCAAAACAATTTTTCGAACTATTACAAAATGAGCTTCCATTAGAACAATGGATAAGAGACAATGAATTACATTTTACTTCAAACGAAGATAATTTGGAATACCCATCCACTAGCATAACATGGAAAAGTATTATCCTAGTATATCTTGATATACAAAGACGAAGTGTACCTTCTGAGTCAAGAATATTTGATGAGCATAATAACATATGGATTACCAATACATTCCCCCCAAAATTTGTCAAATATGTCGTACAACCGTTTACAGATAATTCGAAACAGTTAGAAAATCTGAGAACACTGATATTAACATCTTACTCAAAGCTGGAACCTACTAGTGTATTATCTACAGAAATTTACGAATTAGAGAGGTCTCTATTATCTTCTCAAAATAAGAAACTGAAACAACTGTTCAACAAAATTTCTGAAGCAATCACGGCTTGTTTTACAGTCAATAATAACAAAAAATTAGTAACATGGGTCAGAATATTAAGTAGACTAGCTTGCTACGAACATTGCCATACAGATATTAATGGGTTATATAAATGGGAGTTCTGTAAGGCATGCGAAGGTAATAGTAATGCAAACATTTTTAAAGATGTTAGTCCTGACAGGCCTGATTGTACCAAACATTCTTTAACTTATGCTGTGATACAGAAAAATTTTCTTTCTAACCCTAACTTAAATGACTTTAACGAAGCCTTACTAACAGGGTTGTTGTTTTGTCTTCAACGTATTTTTACACATTTTCAACCTCCTATATTAATAGATCAATCAACATCAAAATTTCAACCAGAATTCGAATTAGTTTCGAAATGTTTCAAGAGTCCCAATAGATACTTAAGAATTATTGCGACAAGGTTAATACCTCTTTGGAATATAACAAACATACATAATACAAACCTAGAGACTACAACTGAATTAATCAAGTTTTTGCAATCTCAAAAGAAGGAAGTTCAATCTGAAACATTAACTATGGCATGGGTTCAATTAACGCTCACAACATCGGGTCAAGAATTTGACAGTGTTTTATTTAAATTAGTACTTAACCTAGCAACGGAAGATTATGCCACCTACCTTATGGTAGGATTCCAGATAAAAAATATGGCTAGACTACTTCGCAAGACACCTTACCAATTGATATCTCCCATTTTACCAGATCTATTAAGACAGGTAGGTAAGGGAGTTATCCCAATGACTCCCTTTTTAACTAGATTAGTTAACCTTTCAGGAGTATCTCTGATTAGCATCTTCAATTCATTTCAAAGATACATTGTCCCATATGCAGTAATGCAACAAGGGAGTGATGTATTGGGTAAGATAGCCGTAATTATGTGTGGTAATGAAACAGAATCTATTAATGACAAAAAGGAAGAATTACTTAAAAACAATATTTCAGAGATATTTGCCGTGTGCTTAGTAAAACATAGACTTTTTTCGTCTGAAATTATCGAAAAGATTTTTACTACAAGGGTACACACTTTTGATAAATCATTGATATACAGGGGACTACCAAACTTCGTTACTTTAGCTGAAATCACCAAGTTGTATAGATTTAGCGAAATTAAAGATGAAAATGCGACTGAGAACAAAAATATGGTATTATGTTCTTTAAGGTTTTTAATGACTGATTTTAAAAAAGATTACTGCCATGGTTCAAAGTACAAAAATGTAAATGCGTGGACTGAGACACAAGAAAGTACCTTCCAGAAAAAGATGTCAGAAGACATACTGGGTATTTTTCAAGTTTTTTCAGTGGATATTCATAACGTCGAGAAAGCTAATAGCAATAAAGATGATATCGAACGGAAGTCAAATTATTACGAAAAGCTACGTGTTATTCACGGTGTTTCCTTTTTAATTGAAGAATGTCGCCAAGATGTTATTATAGCAGCTTTACCACAAATAAATATATGTCTTCAGATCGCTTTAGAAATTGAAGAAGTGAGGTACTCCGCATTAAGATGCTGGTTATTACTTGTTAAAAAACTGCCCGATGACCAATTGTCAACAGTAATTGATGGTTGGATTGTATTTATTCTTCAAAAATGGAATGTATTCAGTGTTCAACAACAAACCCTAGTCTATAAAATTTTGGATTATTTAATAACTGATAAAATAGATCTTATGTTTGAAAACAATCCGTATATCGTATTTGCCTTAAAGGAAAAGACTGAGTTGAAATTATTAGATAGGGGTACAAGTTTTGCGAGGAGGGTTGGAAAGTCAAGAGGTATACAAGATTTGATGCCGATATTTGTTAACAATCTATCAAGTAACAATCGATACATGATAAAACAAACTCTAGAAGATATTAAGTTATTTTTAAAAAGAAAACAAAATGGTAACAATATCCAGATATTTAGCATGGATAATAACAAATCGAATATCAGTTTATTATTAAATGCGCTATTAAAAACGGCTCATAGATTTAGAACACTCAATCCAACTGTTTCTCGAACATGCTCTGAATGTATCAGTATGATCGGTGTTCTGGATTCCACGAAGCACGATAATGCAATGACTATTTCCTCCGAACAAACCTACGATTTTGGTGATAGATCACAAACTATCAAATTTCTAATATGGGTTTTGAATGATTTTTTAGTACCTTCTTTTTGGGACAGCGAGAATCCAAATAAACAATTGTTCGTTGCACTTGTGATGCAGAAATCATTAGATTATTGTGGTCTGAGTTCCAGATTCTGGGATATTAACAAAAAAGATTCTTATCAAGAAGAGTTCCGGTTATGGAGTAAATTTAACAAAACTGCTCAAGCCACATTATCACCGTTATTATCTTCCCTTTATTTTTCCAGTTCAACGAAATCATATGTGGATCTTAATTATCCATATTTTGACATTAAAATGAGTTACCAAAAATGGGTTACATCGCTAACATTGGATTTAATTACCGTAAGTACTGATGAGCAGCATCCCTTACATATATTTGCATCCCTAATGAGATGGGATGACGGCTCTTTTTCTAATTTTATTCTACCATACATTGTCATGGATATTCTAATCAATGCCGGCGAAAACAAGAAGTGCGAAAATTTGGTAACTAATCTAAGTCTGGAATTCAGTCATATTTTTAAGTTGGATTCACACGACCTGAACCACTTGCAGATCGATTCACGTAAAATGTGCTACGCTGCTATATTCAGAGTCCTCGAGTACTGCAGAAAATGGGTGACGCAATACAAGTTCAGCTACAGTCAATTACATGGGACATATATTATTACCGATCAGAAAATAACTATTTTATTACAAAGAATCGACAAATTTTTAAGCTCCGTTCCACTATCATTACTTGCGAAAGGTTCCATAGAAGCAAATTCATACGAACGTTCGGTATTATACTTAGAACAATGTTACAGGCAACATGACACAAATGAAACCACCAGTGAAGTATTACTCAAAGATATGCAACAATCGTATGAGGAAATAGGAGATATAGATTCTATTGATGGTATGCTAAAGACATTCCCTTCTCACGATTTCCATTCCAAAATTGAAGAATTAAGGTATTCTGATAATTGGAGTATTGCACAAGACTGTTTCAGTGCTTTGAGTACTTTTGATAACCCTCAGGCCACGACGAGAATGTTAAAATCGATGCATGACCACCAACTGTATTCCAAGTTATTATCTAACGTCTCATCCATCAATCCTAGTAACAAGAGCTTTTTCGAGTTAATGACCAACGACTGTTACAACTATGGCCTTAAGGCGTCAAATCTACTGGGTAATATAAATTCTTTAAATTTTTGGATAAAGAAAGTGGAAAACTTGGGAAACATAAGTGATCCTTCAATTTTATTCCAATATAATATGGCCAAGGCACTGTCATACATTGGTTCGGGCAATGTGAACATGACATCCAATTATATTGGTCGTTGTTACCAAGTAATTGGAACACATTTCACAACTTCTGCTGCTACCTCTACCCTAGTCGAGAAACAAAAGTTGCTAACCAAACTACATGGATTATATGATGTGAACCTCTTAGCGTCCGACAACAATGAAATTCAATATAGACAAAATACAAAACTTTTAAACTCCAGAATGGAAAGAGTGGGTGCAGAATTTAGCACAAACCATTACTTACTCTCCATTAGAAAATCATTCAACCTCTTACGTAACCCAGAACACGATCGTGAGGATCTAGTAGAAACGTTTTACAAAATTACTACACTTGCCAGAAACAATTCCCGTCTAGATATTGCAATCGATGCATTGATGAATTGCTTACACTATGGCCACCCCCATGCAGAGTTAGAGTTCGCAGAAGTGTTGTGGAAACAAGGTGAAAATGATAGGGCATTAAAATTAGTGAAGGAAATCCATAAAAAAAATCAAAATAATCGTCAAATTAGTAAACATGACAGAGCCAAGGTATTGTTGAAATATACAGAATGGCTAGATCTTTCTAACAATAGTTCTAGTGACTTAATAATCAAACAGTATAAAACAGTACTGAAGTTAGATAGTACATGGTACAAACCTTATTATTCATTTGGTCTTTATTACAGTAAATTTCTGGAGAAGAAGAAAGCAGATGGGTTTATTCCAGATGGTAAATTAGAGTCCCAATCAATTGCTTTCTTCTTAAAAGCGTTTGAAAGAAATACTATCCAAGCACGTGAAAATTTACCTAAAGTGGTGACATTTTGGTTAGATACAGCGGAACGATCACAGACACCTCATTTAACAGAAGCTGAAAAAGTTATATTAGGATCCATGAATAAATCGAATTCTAAAGATCCTAGGGATTATATGGAGAAATTTTTGGCTAATAGAATGACTGTATTGAAGAGAACCACAGATGATATATGCACCCACATTAATGAAGCAATTGATAAATGTCCAACATATATTTGGTATTCAGTATTAACTCAATTGTTATCAAGATTATTGCATGCTCATTCTAAGACAGCAAATTTAATCAGGAAAATTTTGCTGAAGTTAACAATTGAATATCCGACACATATACTTTGGTATATCAGCGTCTTACAAAATTCGACAATAAATGAGAGAGTTCAATGTGGGACACAAATTCTAGAGGCATATTTAAGTCAATCACCTACTTCAAAGAAATTAATATCTAATGTTCAAAAATTGACAAGGTCATTGACAAGAGTAAGTATGAAGAAGGCTCCCGACAATGAAACAAGAGCTGGAAGATCATTACAAAACGATTTTAAATTTGATATGAAAATGGCACCTTCTGATATGACTGTGCCTGCTAGAGTCAATTTAGAGACAATATCACCCATATCTGCAGAATCAATGCCAACATATAAACCATTTAGAAACGATGTTACAATTGCACAATTTGGATCTGGTTATAAAGTGTTTACATCTTTAAAGAAGCCAAAAAAGATCAATATTATTGGTTCCGATGGTAAAATATATGGATTAATGTGTAAGATGGAAGATGTTAGACAGGATAATCAATATATGCAATTTGCTACCACAATGGATTTCTTATTAAAGAAAGAAGTAGAATCTACAAAACGTGATCTTGGAATCACTACATATTCAGTGTTGTCCTTAACAGAAGAATGTGGTATACTTGAATTCATCCCAAATGTTGTTACTTTAAGATCTATATTCACAACGCAATATCAAATTAGAGAGATCAAATATAGTATGAGAACATTCCACGACCAATGGACTCATTGTAGTGATTCACAAAAGGAAGCATTCTTCAAAGAACAAATAAGAAAATTTCCACCAGTATTACACGAATGGTTTCTACAAACATTTCCTGATCCAATAAATTGGTATAATGCAAGAAATATTTACTCTAGATCGTATGCAGTGATGTCAATGTTAGGTTATATTTTAGGTCTTGGTGATAGACATTGTGAAAATATCTTATTAGATACAGAGACTGGTAAAGTGTTACATGTTGATTTTGATTGTTTATTTGATAAAGGTAAGACATTACCATGTCCTGAAATTGTACCGTTCAGACTTACACAAAATGTTCATGATGCACTCGGGATCATCGGGACAGAAGGTACTTTCAAGAAATCCAGTGAAGTGACACTATCCTTAGTAAGACACAACGAAATTGCACTCATGAATGTGATTGAAACCATTGTTTACGATAGAGACGTTGCTCATCAAGCAGAATTACAAGAAGCTTTAAAGATCCTTCAAAACAAGATTAGAGGTATTGACCCTCGTGATGGGTTGATTCTAAGTGTAGCAGGCCAAGTTGATACCCTTATTTGTGAAGCACGCTCCACCGAAAGTCTAAGCAAAATGTACATTGGATGGTTACCATTCTGGTGAACCGTGATATCACTTCAGACGGCCCATCGCTGCTCTTTCCTTCCTTTCTTTCTTTTTTGGTCTTTTTTCTGGGGGGCGGTTTCCTATTTGGGGTATGCCGTAGCGTTTCTTTTTTGCAACACAGACCAAGTCGCAGCACGCAACGATAATGAGAATTTTAAAAAAAAAAAATTTTCAAAAAAAAAAAAAGAATTTTTGAGGGCGAGCAAAATAGGCCTTGTGGACACAGAAAGTGCAGTACAAAAAATGGCGATGGGCATAACACTGCACCGCAGGGCATCGGCTTATTGCATATCTCGTTGCTTACTACAGCGAAATCACTTAGTTTATTGTACATTATGAAAGACAATAAGAGAACTGAAAAATTAAGTAATTCAGTGAAGAGCAAAGCAGAACAAAGCAAAGAGAGAAGGGTTATTATAGTTGAAGATTACCAGTGTTTTTTTTTTTTTTTCTGGGAGAAGGAAGATGTTCATTTTTACGATCGATGGGTACATCTTATATAATATAATCGATACAATAAACATTACTGCCATTTTAGTTTTTACTCATTCTTCTTTTTCTTCTTTTTAATTTATATTAATTCTACTACTTTTATCACCCCTTCAATATATTTCATATTTCAAGGATTTACTCTTTCATCTCAAGTTTTCAATTTGTTTTAAACAGAGAATTAGAATAAGGATTAAAGTTGCTAGATTGATATTACCCCGGAGGTTTAAATTCAATTATTCCATTCTTATATAAACGAAATAATTCCTTATTTTCTTCACTCCCTGTTAGTATTCAAATATATTAACTCTTTTTTCTGAGACATCTAATCAATAGCATACATACTGTATAAAAAAAATAAAGACATGAGCGGAGTAACAAGTAAACCAAGAAACGGTCATAGTTCAAATTCTACTAGTTTTAAATTATCAAATAATATAATTACAAAAGATGATATTACTCCTTTATCTAAATCTAAATTAAAGAGTAAAACTAGAATTAAGACTCATAATGGTAATGATACTGCTGGTAGTAAAAATAATTCAAATAAAGAAGAAAGAGAAGCTGAAATTGTAGATAGTATTCCTACTGATATGAAACCTATGTATTCTTCAGATCATAGTGTTTCCGATGACAATAATAATGATGAAGAAGAAGACGTTTTATTTTCTCCTTTAGCTACTCAATTACAAGATGATAATGATTACTCGTATTATAGTGATGATATAGAGAACTTAAAGAAATTTCAATTACATGCACCAAAGTTTGTTAATTCTTCAAACCATTCTAAGAATGATAAATATAAATATAATTTTTCAAACACTTTATTACAAGAACGTTTGAATAGTTTTAATTTCGATGAACATTCTTTACCTGAATTATCAAATGAAAATACTAGTCATGATGATTTCTGGAAAGAAGTCACATCTACTAATGAAGAAGCTATATCTTTACCAGAGGAAGAGAACCAAAATCATTACACAACAACGTTAGATAATAATGATATTCAATCTCATCAGGATAAGATTGTATCTGTTGAAGATTTTATCTCCGATGATTTGGCTGCCACAAATAACAGTAGTAACAACATTAACAATAATACTAATGTACCTGAATGGAATGAAAATATGTTTCAAGATTCTAAACATAGAGTTAAACTTCTTTGCTACAGAGATGCAGACGGTAAACTAGCATTGAAAACGAGAAATGTCCCAATCTCAAAGAGAAATAATTTCACAACAGCAGTTGGTCTTGTACGTAAGAGAAAAAACAAGCATAGAAAATTATTGAAAAAAGCTATTAGAAGAAAAAGTGGTGTAGCTCAAATGATTTCTACAGATGTAGGTATTAGTGAACTAATGTTATGAAAATATCACAAATAAAAAACTAAAAAAAATAGAGTTAATGATTAGATAAAATCATTTGCTCACCCTTGCATTTTCTTCAATTCTCTTTACGTTTCATTTTATTTCACGTTCGGTCTGGTCTTACATGGTATTTTCTTTTTTTCTTCATTTATTTATTTAAACTATTTATTCCTTGGTTAATCATCATTTATTCATGGCTTTAAAGTTATGTCACATTTTCATATAAATACATAATCTAAACTTTCCTTTATTTTTCTAAGTCTAAAAATTTACTTCTAATATATAACTGCAATTGTATACTGTTTACGATAAAGGGTGTATGTTAAATATTGTCTCTCACTACCCTTCTCTCGAACTTTTATTATATATTTTCACTTCGCTGACATAAACATTAATAAAACCGCAGAAAGTCGAAAAATTAAACCTCCCAAAAAAAAAAAGGAGTTGACATAAATTAACTATAGATTCAGTGAATACGTATAAGAACTACTTTAAATTACCAAACAGAATACAATCAACCCTTAATCAATCACCACCAGCAAAAAACATCAATGTCTAATCAATCTGGTATTTCTGCAAATGAAGAGCTACTGAGCGTGATTCGTAATACCGAAACCGATGGATTACTTATAATTGTAGCTAAAATCTCACAGGATTCTACTGTGGTAGAATTCAAAGATAAGTTTGAAGCAACAAATGACTTATTACAACATCTAGATTCTGAACCATCATACGTCCTGATTAAGGATGCTAAGAAAAATCCAAATGGTTACGATTTTATCTCTTTTGTTCCCGATCTTGCACCTGTTAGAGCTAAAATGCTTTACGCCTCCACAAAGAATACTCTTCTAAGACAAATCGGTTCTAACGTAATTAATGGACAAATGATGTTTTCAGAACCTCAAGAAATTACTGATTTTGTGAATTCTTCCACTACAACTTCTTCTCAATCAGGTTTATTAAGCGAATCCGAAAAGATTGGTATGCAAATCAACGAGGAACAACGTAACATGAGAGCATTACAAGGTCACAAACTAGTGTCTCAAAATAATGGAACTCCAAACTCCCTAACTTTTGAAGTTAAGAGTGGAACAGGCTCTATTAAATCTCTTTTGGATTCCAATAACGTTGCTATGTTCAAGATTAATATGGATAATGAAAAAGTAGAGGTAGCCTCTCAAACAAACATTGCTAGTCCGAATGATATATCGTTAACTGGTGAGCATCCAAGTTACACTATCTTTAAGAACGGAGATTTGTACTATTTCATTTACAGTTGTCCTTCTGGAAGTAAAGTGAAAGAACGTATGTTATATGCATCAAACAAACAGGGTTTTATCAATCATTTGAAGGAGAATGAAGGTATCTCTTTTACTAAAATATTAGAGATTGGCGATGCAGAAGAATTAGAAACATCTTTGATTTCAAGTTCTACTGAAACTGAACTAAAACAGACAGAAGAAGCATCTAAAACTGACAATAGTTCACAAAAGTTCAATAGACCAAAGGGTCCAGCTAGAAGAAAGAGAGTGTAAGAGAACAATTTTACATATATACAAAAAAATAAAAGTAATGAAATATTTTAATAAATTTATGAAATTTTTGGAATTTCAATATAGTTTACATATATACCTTCCCCTTTATAAATACTTAATTATTCTATTTTTTTTGCATCTTAATAATATCCCTGAGGGCACTAAAGGAATTTTGCTTAAATACTTGATTTGAAATAACTTCATTAAATCTTTCTCTTTCTCTAGAGGCCAACAATTTTGCACCTTTTTTATTTCTAATATTTGGTTCATTTTTTTTTATCTTTACAGAACCTGGTTCAACACGTTCAACTATTTTAGTTACTTGAATTCTTGCTGGTGGGTTAACTGAAGAAGGACCAAACGGATTTTGGTCAGTACTAATATTATCATTTGTAATGTTCAAACCTGACTCTTCTCTAGTGAATTGATTCAGATCATCATCTTTTTGCAAAGATGTCAACAGATCATCAAGTCTTGGTTTTAAATTGTCCCTCATCTTTCTCTTCCTACGTCTAACTGATGATTTAGATATACCTTCGAATTCAGGGTTCAAACTTCCTGAACTTTTTTTAATTTTACTAAGGAAATCATTCTGTTTATTATTATGTTTTTCCTTTTTAGTTTCTTTAAATTGATGTAAAAATGCTTTTGGATCTTCTGCTAATTCTGCAATAGGCTCTACTTCATCAACTTTAGAAGTATTTCCTAATCTAGCAGCAGCTTTATTTCTCAATGTATTTCTCTTCTTGGCAGCCATTTTTTTCTAAATGAAAAAAAAATAAAAATTTTATTAATTTTAAAGCCTCACCAATGATGTCTACACTGTATTATCCAAATAGATTGCTTTATTTTTCCATTCTAGCTCCTTTATCCTTTTAGTATAAATTATCTTTGAGTTAGGCTCATCGCTTTTCTCATAACCTCTCTGTTCAAAATTTTTCAATTTGCGTTTAGTGGTCAAATAAAACCCTATTACAAAACCCTATTCAATTTTTCTATTTGCCGGTTTCGGTCCATGACTATTTTGTCCGCCAATTTCTTTATCAGGTAGAGTCAGGAAAAGAGATCGCATCAAACATTATTTCTCGATGCGGTGGAAAAAGCAATATATAAACTATGGAAACTTTAGTTTCTCGATTCATCTAACTAAACAGGCACATTATCAAACACTAGATTAGGAAATAAAGTTATTTTAATTGTTTTGCTTTCCTTGAAGTTTTATATTTGATTTTAATTTGAGATATCAATTGACATTCAGTCAGTAAAGAAGATTATTTAGAAAATAATGTCATTCTCTCGTATCTTTACAGTAACGACCGTACTTGCTGCTGTTTCTACAGTAGGATATGCTTTATATTTTGATTATCAAAGAAGAAATAACCCTGAATTTAGACATAATGTGAAAAGGAGAATTAGGAAACAACAAAAATCGATGAAATTGGAAGAACAAAATGTTCAAGTGGCTAGAGTTCAAGCTGCCGCTAAATTCTTAGAAGCAGAATTAGAAAAGGATCCTATTCCAACAGATGTAGAAGGGAAACAATTAGCATTCAATATTAATATTGAACAGGGTGACCAACTTGCTGCTAAACCAGGTAATGAATTGGAAGCCGCATCTAAATTTTATAAAGCTTTGACTGTTTACCCTAATCCTGCAGATCTTCTCGGTATTTACTCCAAGAGTCTTCCAGAATTGATTTATGAAAATTTAGTTTTAATGATTGCTGCTATCCCCCCTGCTAATATTTCTACATTTCTAGATGACACCGATTCAGCCAAAAAAGAAATAAATCAACATCTTGATTAAGAGTTTTAGAACCGGATATTCCATTTCTTCATTATCATTAAACATCCAAACGAAACTCAACAATACCAGTGTACAAAAACTAGACCCAAAGTAAAAATAAATATTTCACGTTTTGTCAACAATTTTCAAATAATTAACGACTTTTTTAAAAGGCTTTATAGACACAAACACCCATTCATGTATAAATAATGATATATATCTAATACCTTCAAAAAAAAAAAACACTCAATTGAATCAATATATTTATGAACGAACTATTACCTTATCTCGGTAGTTATTTATATACTTTCTTTTTCCAAAATTTTGAATTATTTATTGATGTACTTAACTATACATGAGTTTATCTATGCAGATCCTTTATATTCTCTCAAAATGACTGGAACAGAAGATGGTGGAAGTGCACCAAATTCAGTAATGACTTTCTTGATGTATTCTGGTGGTGTCAAATCGTATAAGATGTTAACGATGTTCAAAGACGACAATTTTTGCCAGTCATCTAAGACGTTTTCTGATTGTTCAGCATCGACTTCCTTACCATTGGCTTCATCGGATTTGTTGTGACGATCTTTGGCATTCTTATTCTTTTGTTGCTGTTGCTGTTGCTGTTTGTTACCCTTTGGCGCATTTTCCTTAGCTATCCTAACAGTATTTTCATGACGTTCCTTAACAAACTGCTTTAACAATATACCTTTATTGCTACGTCTTTCCATTGGACTCTCATAATCGATAGGTACCAAATCATTTGGATCTGCCAATTCATTATATGTAACACTATCCAATTGTACCCTTTGAGAAAATTTCAAACTTTCACAACAGACTAGGACAGGAATATTTCTTCTCTTAGCACTCATAGCAATCATAGCTGTACCTGCTCTAGAATACAAGAACCCATTAGATAGAATGGAATGTGCCCCCAAGAAAACATAATCGACACCCATATTGAATACAGTGTCCAAACTTGTAATCAATGTATAAATGACTTTAACACCATTTTCTCTTAGGATAGCAGCCATTTTTTTACCTTCAAATAGAGGTCTAGAGTCAACCACAATAATTTCTAAATCTTTCTTTAAAACTTTTGCGTTATGTAATATCAATTCAGTTAGAACCTTGGAGGAACCAAATGTAACAATGGTAGAACGGTCCTCTATTTGATTCGATGCATTTTCAATAATTAATTGATCAGCTAGCTCAATTTTTTCCTTAGCGAAAAGACCAATCTTTTCACACAGATCCAGTTTAGCTTCATTATCTGGAGTTGATGGGTCAATATGAGAGATTTCTTGTTTTAACCATCTAATTGCATTACCCATAGTAACACTCAATGGTCTAGCTCGCTTCAGTAAATCAATTTGATGTGATAGATAATTAGTTAAATTACGAGATAAAGTAGTACCCTTTGGAGTTTTATAATCCTGAATCACAATTTGGAATGCTTCTAACATAGCAATACAACGTGGAATAGAACCCACAATTTTGTAAATTGCTAGATTGAATGTTAATGAAGAGATCACAGGATGTATAAAATCTTTATTTATCAATAATTCTTTGATATTTGATATCAACTCTGGAGTATCCAATGATTTCTTTAATGCATGAGGAATAATAGATGAGACACCCGGAACAACGCTAACTTCATTATTTTCTAAAGATATACTTGCTAATGATTTTGCCAAATCTACGTTGTTACCAAGGGTAGTATCAGCTCCTTCATTAGCTTGATTACTTGATTCAGAAATTGCTTGAATGTTATTACCAAGGTTAGATGTTGTGTATACTTTAGCTCCTGATAATGCACTTGCAACAACTGGTACCATAAGACCTGCTGCGGTAATTCTTGCTGCTCTTGGAGAATTCAAAGCACTACCAATGGCTAAAAGTGTAGCTCTTCTTTCTTCAGTAGTTTCCAAATGACTAAAAAGAGATGTTTTCTTTACATTTTTATTATTTAACAATTTTTGTTGTTGTTGTTCCTTCTTCTGCAATTCTTGTTGTTGTTTCTCCCTTTGGTGTTGTTTCTTATCACGTTTAGCTTGGGCTTGGGCTTGTTGTTGTTCAACGGAGATACCACTTGCTTGTTTTTTAGCAGATCTCTTTGCAGCTTTTTCTTGCTTCTTCAATTCTTTCAATTCTTTATTAGTCAATTTTTTCTCATTTGAATCTGCTGGCACTTGTGGTGCATTTTCACCACTAGGTTTAATTTCAACAACAGGTTCACTCATTTCAAAAAAAAAAAATAGCCTAGTCTTTTCTTCTTTTTGTTATTATTGTTGACAATGGTCAGCTGTTTTGTTTATTCTTATTAGCTAAACCAAGAACTGAACCGTTAAAAATATCAAAATTATTAATGAGTTTCTATAAAAAAAACACTTGTTATGATCAAAAGATGTAAACGACTTGTGAACAATGTCATTACCTAATAGGTGATGGATGGATGAGTCTACTAACAATTTGCGAGATGAACAAAGATTTTTTTTCAGTTTTCGAAATTTTGCAAAGGAAAAAAAAAATCGCTGCAAAAAACTGATCAAATTGCCCGTGCGGGTAAAAGGACCATAGTTTTATACAGGAATGAATGTATGTGAATTTAGTGGTGCCAGGACTAGTGATGAGGTCTGGTCGTGGGTACTTAGATAGATAGATAGATATATATTTACAAGGGTATATATGTGAGTGGATGTATGACATTATTCTTTAGTGGTTGTACTGTCTTGTTCTTGTTCAACTGGCTTTTCACCATCTCTTGCCGTACGTTCTTCTTTCTTAGCAGTCCAGATTTTCTTCATTGAAACAACGTATTCATCATATATATCGGTAGTTTTACCAGCTTTGTTACCCAAAGCTTTGTACTCATTCACGAATCTTGTGATTTCAACGTTTTGTTCTGGGGAGTAGTCTAATATAGTTCTGCAAATCATGTATAGTGATTCATTGCCATTTAATAAATTTTCATGTGATTCATTTTCCATGTTAGTTGGCTCTAAAGAAGGTAAATTGACCTCAATTTGATTTAACCCTTGATTTAACCCTTGAGTTTCAAACCCTTGTTGTTTGGCGTAACAATTTACTAATAACGATGTTAAACCATTTGTTTGTTGTTTGTTCACAGTATTTGACCACATCTGTTGAACTTTCTTATAAGCGATCGATGGGTCATTAAATTCTAGTATTGAACCTCTTTGTAAAGAACACATCAGTAGAGTATTAAAAAAATGATCAACATCGTAAATATTTGAGTTTTTAGCTTGAATAAAACGTGGTCTTTGAACATATAGGTAACCAACCATTCTTGTATAATCTCCAATAATATAGCATGATTGAATTAACATTGTTTGTAAATGTCTTGCAGTGAAATATTGGTAGATTTCTTTCTTTCTAGTGGTTAATTTCATCCAAGGCTTTAGCCATTCAAAAAATTCATTTGAACCATTAGGGATAGATTTCACATAATCAATAAGATTTTGTTTTGGTACGGATGCAATGGCATTCTTTGGTTTCACTTGTTGTTTAGTTTCAGGATCTTGTAAATCCATTGCTAACAATGTGTTTGCATTACGTTGACGATATATTAATGGTCGTAAGGTGACTTGAGTCTTAAAATAAGTAAAATAGTTATCGATTGGTTGTCTAGCGGCCAAATTACTGTTTAGACGTCTAAATACATGAGATGTCGACATATTTGCATGTATAGTAAAAGTGGGTAGCTTCAGTGAACAGCAGACAAAAAAACACAAAGAATACTTTCTGCTCTCTTTTAAACAAAGTAATGAATAAGTTTATCTCTCTTCTAATACACGCACACACATATATATGCATATATGAACCAAGATATATTGTGAAATTAAAAGGGCGAAAACTTCAAAACAAAAAAATACCGTGAACATGAAGTTCGTGTAACACGATACAACGTTATCAAAATGATAAATAAAATTAATCATTCAATATAAAATTATGTTTAAAAATATAAAAAGATATTACTTAATGATACAAACGATTATAGAAATAAAATGGTAGGAAAGAAATTATGTGGAAAAGTTCATTTAATTTAAAAAAAATAAAGGCGATGTTAAAGAGAGTTTAAAGAAACTCCATGAAAATAATAGTAAAGAAAAAAAGAAGAGAGAAAGAAAGTGGCAGCTATGTAACTAGTAATAATAAAAAAGAAAAGAAGGCGTATAAGTTGCCGTTGAGAAAATTATTAATCGAATTAATTAAGCTACAGTAGCTGGTTCAGCTTGTTGTTCATCAACAGGTTCTTCTTCTTCCTCGACTTCTCCTTCGACTTCTTCTTCAACAGGTTCTTCTTCTTCTTCATCTGTCCATCTTTCTTCATCTTGTTCATGTTGAGCTACTTCTTGATCAGAATCGTCAGTTTCGTAATCTTCGTAATCCTGTTTGAAACTTAAAGTTGGTTTCACTTGAGCAGAATCCAAAGTCCATTCATTTAGAGCCGATTCACAATCGATAATAATTTGTTTTGAAGCTTCATAACCATCATAAGCGGGTCTTGTTTCACCTGGTGTCACAGGTGCATCATCCAATAATTCTAACAAAGCTTTACCGTAACCTGCAATCAAGGCAATTTTTTCGGAATGTTCAATAATTGAATCGAATTGATAGTTAAATGCAGCTCTTAATTTTGATCTTGTAATATTTGATAATTGAGCTTCTGCTACTAATGATTCTGCTTCTGCTCTAACCAATTCTTGTTCAAGAACTTCAATTTTTGGTGATGAAGGATCTTTATATTTCAAATAAGCAATCTTATCGGTAATCTTATCTTTACGATCTCTTGAAGGTTGGACAGACCCTTCAATATCTCTAACAGATTTTAAAGTAAGTCTGTATTGATCATACCTGTCAATGAATTGGTCGTCCAATTCACTAACTTCGTAAATCAAAACACCTAATTTATCTGTAATATCCGAAACATCATCGTCATTTTCTAAACCCCAAACAGATAATTGTTTTGCAGCTTCACGTCTTTCGTTTGCTGTAACTTCCATTGATCTCAAAACGTTTTTTTCAATTTTAACTAATTGTGATAATTTTCTTGCTAATTCTGGCCCAAACGCACCTGCTGCATTACGACGAAAAGTATAAGCCAAACCACCTTTCCCGAAAAACCTACCTTTTGTTGAAGAAGGTGGAGGTGGGGGATTTTGTAATTGCGACGCCGTGGGAGCTCTCGAATTTCTTAAAGAGTATGTTCTATGCATAATTAATTAAATATAATTGTACTTGCGGTATTAAAGCCAAATAATAAAAACTAATAGCAAAAGTAAATAATTAAATAAATAAGTAAAACAGTAACAAGAGAAAAACAATATATATATATATATATATATGTGTGTGTAAAAGTGATAATTAAATATTGCTAAAGAAAAAAAATACAACAACCCCTTTTATATATATATATATATATACATCCATGTAAGCCAACGAGTATAATGCTATCCCGTTGTGTTGTTGTAATCCAGCGACAAAAGAGGAACGTCCTCTGTCCCCTATATACAGACAACGAAACGTGAAACGGTACGCACTGTGCTTTCCCGCCCCTCAGAGCTGCTGACCTGAACAGAAAACAGAAAACAGGGGGCAGGGCAGGGCAGGGCATTGGCAAAACAAAAATGGCTGGGCTGTTCGTGTGCGTGCGCGTGTGCGTGCGCGGTGGGCAGGCAGAAAGCGAGACCGCGAGAGGGAGCGGGAGAGGTGGCAGTCCAGGGGATGTCGCGGTGCACGGCGCGAGGGTTGTTGGCGGTTAGCGGAGATTAGCCTGCTGGCCCGTGGAAACGGTCGGGGGGGAGAGGCGCGAGGGGTCCCGTCCGCAGTGATGTGGCCGGGGGCGGGCGAGGGCGTGCAGCCGCTATCACGGTGCACGGCGCTCAGGCGAGATTCTCTGAATTTTTTTTATTTTTTTTTTCACTGTTTTAACCGAGAGGGCTCTACCAACAACAGAGGTGGGAAACAAACAAGACACTTGAGACTATGCAAATATATATATATATATATAGAAAGGCATACATGCAAGCACTTTAGTACAACATACAGTCGAGCGAGCTGTGGACTGGACGTGATGGCGATTATGACACGTCAGGGGCTGGGCAAAGTGCATCAACTCAGAGACACTTTAGCATTATTTGCTGTATTTTTAAGTTTTAACCATACCGGGATATTGTGCCTGTTGATTTGGTTTGTATTAGCAACAACTTATAAACCATTAATGTCAGAATGTTTACTTAGGTTCAGTCGTGTTAATGGACAACTTTTGTTAAAAAATGGAACAAATCAACAAGGAAATATTGATGGTGATCTCATAGATGATTTACAGAAAAAACCAAAAAAATCGTTAATTTCAAACAGACATCTTTTATTAAAACCAAATTTTGATTGGCTAATTTTTTTATTAGAGTTTCTCACGGCAATCTTAATTAGATCAAATCAATTTATTTTATTATATTTTATGATCCCTCTAAAAAGTTTATCGTTAGCAATCATTGCAGCTACTGCAATTAATTCAACTTCAATGGTGCCATTATATGCAACCTTCTGTTCAATTATTCATGCGACTTTAACTCATATTACCCCACAACAATGGAAACTTATACTCCCGTTAACAAATAATAATAATAATAATAATAATAGCAACAATGGGATTATTTTTTGTTTAGCGTATCATATTGTATTTAGACAATTTTTAACCACTATTTGGTTAAATAATTCAACGGAGTTTGATACAGAAAGTAACAATATCACAAATCAAGTGAATGTAAGCTTTTCAAATGTGGTTGTAACTAATGTACAATCTTTTAGTCAACCTCCACAAAATACTCAAGAAAAACCCTCGTTGACAACAAGCGCAAAGACGGCGGCGGCTACGAATCAATTATATCAAATTCATACGAATTTACCAACTTCTTCAGCAATTACTGATGACGAGTACAGCTTGAATATTGATTCTGGAGAATATGATGCAGAGACTACAGCTGCTCACAATTTACAAACGTTTGTTACATTATTATTCAAGAGAAGAAAAGGTAAATCTGTTGTTGTGGCTCCTTTATGGGCTCTTTGCATTACTTTAAAAGCATTATTCATTCAACGATTCGGTGGAATATTTCAAAAAAACTCATTAAAATCAAAAATATTAAATTCTAATGATAACTCTATTAATAATAATAACAATGAAGAAGAAACTTCAATGTCAACAGATTTAATTGCTCAAAACAAAAATGGAGATCTAAATCAATTAAATTTAGTTCCAATTACAAGTGGATCACATGCAACACTCGATACGATTTTCTTTAATAACAATACTAATATCAACAGATCAATGATTAATGATTATAAAGTTTGTATTGTTGATATTGCTGCACATGCATTAACTTTTTTAATTGAAAATTTAATTGATGGTGAATTGATTGTACTTGTTAATGGATTGATTTGGACTGAAGTTTCATGTACTTTAGTTATGGAACGTGTTGGTGACGAATATGTTGTAATTAGTGGTCTTGTTCCTGCATGTTCTTATGATATTCAATTTGTTAATAGATTAAATCAAAAATTCGATTGTTTAATTGCTGATTTAATGATTAGAACAAGTCAATTAAATAATAGTACAACAACGACAACAACAACTGTCAATGCTAATGAGAATGATATTTCAAGTAATTTTGAAGCATTAGATTACAGCTTCCCATCTTACTATCATAGAAAATTTTTATCACCTTTATTGACTTTAAAACATTCTGTCTTGACGACAAATGCAAATTTATCAGATGAAAGAAATAAAATTAAAAAGACAAGAAGAGAAATTAATAAAAAAATTAGTTCATTAAGAACAGATATTGATCATCTAAAATTAAAATTAAAACAAACAACGATGACAGATAATAAACATTCAAATAAAATTGATACTTTAAAAGCACAATTACAGCAAAATGAAATTAGTTTAGTTAATTTAGAGGAAACTTTAACTAAATTGACCATCGAGGAAAATTCTTTACAAGATATTTATTTAGCTAAAAAAGATCATCATTTAAAGAAAGAATTAGAATTTGATAAATTAAAAGATAATTTAAATTCAAATTTAGAAAATGATAAAGAGAAATTAAATAAATTAACAAATGATAAAGTTCAATTCGAGACAAAATTAGAAAAATTAATTATCAGACATGAGAAATTACAAAAAGAATTAGATTCAAATAATGAATTTTATCAAAATTTTAAAGATCAATTTGTTTCAAAGAGAGAAAAATCAAGATTAAAACGCAAAGATTTTAAAATTAGAGAAATTAATGATTTAGAATTATCTCAAAAGGCATTAGAACAAGATTTATCAAGATTAGAATATGAAAATGATAATATGAAAAATTTAATTAATCAATATTAATTAAAAGTAAAACAAATAAATAAATAAATAGTGTTTATGTTTTCAGATTTATAGAGTACACATTTATACATTACCCCCAAAAAAGGTAACAAATAGTGAGAATGTTTTTTTTTTTATTTAACTTTAACACATTATCATAAGATACATATCAGTTTACAACAAAATTTAACAGTATTTTCTTGTTAAACATTAATTACGACGAACCAAAGTTTGCTATTTGTCTGTATATCTTAGCAATCTTTTATTCAAAAAGTGTCTTAGACTCTATCAGTAATTATTCAAACATCCCATTTATCGCAAACCAACTTAATTTTTAGATCTCCTCATTTTCCTTGAAGTTAACTAACGAAATATTAAACGAGAAAAATAAATCTGAGAATGTTCAGATGGCCAATATTTTGCTTAAATAACAATACTTTTCAAAATATATTTGGCAAATAGTGAATAAAATATGAATTTGTGAGCTAGCACTGGTGCTAATCCACAACAAATAAACACACAAAGTAGCGCTATTCTGTCAGTTTAAATGAAGAGGGTACATGCCATGAATAATTCATCGTGTTATTCAACTAGTTGTCAGTTTTACAATGTTATTGTCCCTAGAATTTTAATATGTATCGTCTACAGCTTATCGAACCCTTCAAAAACTAATAAAAGATATAAAGAACACACAGAGTTAAGTTATGAAGAATCATCATAGTAACTTCAACCAGAAATTCTAATTAACGAACAATTTAAACAACCATGCCTGTGAAAAAACGAGTAACTCTGATGCTTACTAAATACTAAAGTGTAGAGAATCTGAGGTAGAGTTTTTACTCTCAGTTGATTCTTTAATTTCTTGTTTGTTAGTTAAATGTAATTCGGACATTTTTTGATATGATAATTGATCGGTTATTTTAAATTATATAATCTTCAAATTACTTAATCATAAATATTTCTTATTTTACAATAATGGCTTTATATATACCATTAGTTTTTCTTAAACAACTCACCTGCATATATTGCTGGTTTGTTTTTATTTTTTATGTTTTGTGCTGGTTTAAATATTTTTGCTGGTCTCTTTACAATATTGCTAATTATTTCTTTACAATATTTTTGGACTAAGTGTCACAGTAAGTTACCCTTAGTTTCTGACATAAAGTTATTAGAGATAAATTATTTATGGAAATAGTACAAATCAATAATATATATGTCGGAATTTACATGATAGAAGAATGACGTCAAGAATATAAAATATAAGAATAAAAGAATAATAAAGATTGTCAGATTTGATAATGTTCAATATTTAACAATCCAAAATGAGAAAAGATAATAATAAGACGCATTTGGAAACCATGCATAATTTCTACAATGCTAGTATTGGAGATTTATAATCACGAAATGTAACCAAATCCAAAGGTATATAAAGGGAACAATATTTCATGCATTGGAATATTTTATTTCCCTGACTATTTTGTATATTATTTATAATTTGTATACTAAAGAAATCAGACGACTATACGTTGATTTCTAATAAATTAAATTTTGTACCATATTAAAGAAATGGATTCCTCTAATAATTCCAAAATCCAACAATATAAGGGTCAAAAATATACCAAAATATATATATAACCACCAAAATTCATAAATGTTCTAAGATTAAATTAAGATCAAAAATTGAATTTTAATACAAATTGCCGCTTTAGCTTAGTGGTAGAGCGTTGCACTTGTAATGCAAAGGTCGCTAGTTCAATTCTGGCAAGTGGCAATTTTTTCCCTGCATTAATCTTCATATGGTAGGTTAAGGCTTAATTTTTTTGGTGATTTTGTTCTCTGAGACATATATCTATTCGTATATTTCTAGGTATGAGTAAAAATGGAAAACTACATCATAAACGGTTAAATTTATAAGTAAGACAAATAGTATTTTTTTTGCCTACTTTTTGCGTAGCACTCGTCCTTGTTCCTACCATTTTTTTCTTTCTGCGTTGAATGAGCCCAAGTAAACTCTTTTTTCTCTCTCTATGTATTCTCTAAAATTTGCCTCTGATAAGATGCAGGTATAGATTTTTTTGAAATTTCTCTTTACAATAGGCAGGCTGTTCTTCCTCCTAGCCTCTAATTGTTCCAGAAGGACACCAATGGAATATTGCCGGCCTGGAATTTCACATCTAGGCGGACCACTTGAGCCCGCGTTGTCATTTTTTTCCGTTAAAGCAATTTTTGCGTGCTAAACTGAGACGAAAAAAAAAAGAATTGAGAGAGAAGCCCTCATCATCAATCACGTTTTTTCCAAAATTTACCACACAACGTTATCTCGTCGTGAACTTGAAATTTTTCACTGAGCAAGTAATAAGCGATGCCAGTCATATTAAACAACCTCATATTAAAAAATTGGTTAAAATAAAAAAAACAAGTATCTACAACAGAAAACTTTTCTCGTAAAGCAATATCAACTTCAATCACATATATTTTTGGGTTATTACTTCTACTGCTAAAGTTCCCAAACCGTTCATTCTACAGAATATACATAATAGTTATATTAATATTAGCTATTAATTTGTCATAACTTATATTTTGAAATATATTATTTGTTTATTTATTAAAAGAAAAGTCTGTGGTATTACAGAAGAATAAAAGCACCCACACATTTAACTGATACATAAAGGATATCTTCTTATAGCTGTTTCATCATATTATAGATACACTAGACGTTCCTTCCTTTCTTTTTTAGTATAATAATAATACGAACCATGGCTCCAACTAAAAGAAACATTTCTCAAATTATAGAAGATGATACAAATGACCAGATTGTTTCTGGTCAAAAGAAAACATTCAAAAAGAACGATTATAGCCAAGGAAAAGATTCAGGCTCAGATACAGACAACTCTGAAAACGAAGAAGAGGAAGAGGACGAAGAAACCACACACAAGTCTAAAAATGTTTCAGGATCCACTGCAGCATATGACATCCATGTAGCTAGAGAAACTGCTGAATTGTTTCAATCCAATATCTTCAAATTGCAAATAGATGAATTGGTAGAACAAGTGAAACTAAATGATAAACATGTATTGAAAGTTGAAAAATTCTTACATAGATTTTATGATTTAATCCAACAAATTCCAGATTGGGAAGAAAAAAATATTACAGAAACACTTTCTTATTTTAAAGGAAAATCCGTTTCTATACCATTTGTTGATCCAAAACCAGCCGTAGCTTCTACTAATTATAAATTCAATTACAAAGCACCAGAAGTATCTTTGATTGGGTCATTTGCCTTAAAGACAGGTATATATCAACCGCAAGGTTCTTCTATTGATGTATTATTGACGATGCCAAAGGAACTGTTCGAAAAGAAAGATTTCTTGAACCTTAGATGTTTACACAAGAGAAGCGTTTATCTTGCATATTTCACATACCATTTAAAAGATTTATTAGCAAAGGATAAACTAGACGAATTTTTAACTATTGAATATTCATATCTTCATGATGATCCTTTACTTCCTATATTAACCTTAAAATGTAAAGCTAGTGATGAATATAAACATGAATTAAATTTCTACAAAACCAAATTCTCCATTAATTTAATCATTGGTTTCCCATACAAAATCTTCGAATCTAAGAAATTATTACCAAATAAAAACTGTATTAGAATTGCCAAGGAAGATAATGATACTCCACTGCCAGCAACATCACTTTATAACTATTCTGTGCTTTCTGCATCTGCATATGAATCATATTTGAAATATCTCTATAAATGTAAGAAACAAACCGAAGCATTCAGAGAGGCATCAATTCTTGGAAGGCTATGGTTGCAACAAAGAGGTTTCTCGTCCAAAATTTCACAATCTGGTGGTCTTGGTGGGTTCGGTACTTTTGAATTTTCTATTTTAATGACTGTATTACTGAATGGTGGTGGTGAAAACGGAAATAAAATTCTTTTACACGGTTTCTCCTCTTATCAGTTATTTAAAGGTGTGATAAAATACTTAGCCACTATGGACATTTGTACAGAAGGTCATTTACAATTCCATTCTGACATCACATATACTGCAGCTGTATCAAAATATGTCAGAGAAGGGTTCCAAACACCAACCATTTTTGATAAATCTACAAAGATTAACATCCTTTCCAAATTATCTGTCAGTAACTATAATATTCTGAAATTTTATGCGAAGGAAACATTGTCCATGCTGAACGATGTAGTCCAGGATCGTTTCTCCAACATATTTTTAACTAATATCGGTAGATCTGATCAACTAAAATACGATTTATGTTACGATTTGAAGTTCCCAACAAATGGTAGCGCCGAATCTGATATAATATCTAAATTTACTGCTACTGAAAGAATTAAATACATTACAATTGAAAACTTTTTAGTACACAAGATTATAAGTGTGATTAAATATGCATTGAGTGACAGAATAACAAATTTAGAAGTACAATTAGTAGGTCATAGATCCACATTTGCTACAAACAAAAGGAAACCTCTTATTACTATGTCTCCTGGTTCTCAATTCAATTTTGATCACATCAGAATTAAACTACTAATAAATCAAGAGGAATCTGAAAAGTTAATCACAAAAGGTCCATTACATTCAGAACAAGCATCACATGCTTCTGTTCTATTTAAAAGTTTCTGGGGACCAAAATCATCCCTTCGTAGATTTAAAGATGGTTCCATTAATCACTGTTGTCTATGGACGACTTCCAGTTCTGAGCCTGTCATTTCATCAATTGTTCCATTTATCATAAGCAGACATATTTCTGAAGCTATCCATGTTGATAACATTATAACTAAAAAATTCCAAAATTTGCTACCATTACCAAACTTGGCGGCCAGTTCAAAGACTTCTGTTCTGAATATGACAAGTTTCTTCAATATAAAGAAATCATTCGATGATTTATATAAGATTATTTTCAGAATGAAACTTCCATTATCAGTTAAATCTATTTTACCTGTTGACACTTCATTCAGATACACTTCATTGTGTCAACCTGTCCCATTTGCATATTCTGATCCAAAATTCTTCCAAAATATAATTCTTGAATTCGAAACCTCACAAAAATGGCCGGATGAAATAACTTCCCTGGAAAAGGCCAAAACTGCATTTTTATTGAAGATAGAAGAGCAATTGACTTCAGAACATGGTACTAAGTATAAATCATTCTTTGCACGTGATGAATCCATCCCATTTAATTTAGACGTCACTACACTAAATATTTTGACCCCAGAAGGTTATGGTTTCAAATTTAGAATCCTAACCGAACGTGATGAAGTTCTATATTTGAGAGCTATTTCTAATGCTAGAAAAGAAGCAACACCAGCTTTAGAGAACACCTTCCTAGAATTTACATCAACTTACCTGGCTTCTATCAGACACACCAGAACAATCGAGAATATTTCCCATTCATACCAATTCTACTCTCCAGTTGTTCGTCTATTTAAAAAATGGTTAGACTGTCATTTATTAATGGGCCATCTTAAGGATGAATTAATTGAATTAATTGCAATGAAACCATTCACTGACCACTACCCATATTGTATCCCAGGCTCTGTTGAAAATGGTTTCTTAAAGATTTTAAAATTCATCGCCCAATGGAATTGGAAAGATGAGCCTTTAATCTTAGATTTAGTTAAACCAGATGCTGCCTATGAGGATCAAATGGAAGTTAGTATCGGTGGATCTGAGATCAACTCTGAAACTATGAAAAAATTATCCGAAAAGCTAACACTTGCTCAATACAAGGCAATCCAGTCTAACTTCCGTAACTTAAGAAAAGATGACCCAAATGGTATTCATCTACAATTCTTCGTTGCATCAAAGAATGATCCAAGTGGTATATTGTATTCTTCAAATATTCCGCTTGCCATTGCAACCAGATTGACGGCTTTAGCTAAGGTTGCGGTTAATTTAATTCAAACACACGGTTTAAATAGCCAAACTATCGATTTACTTTTCGCCCCAGGGTTAAAGGATTATGATTTCGTAGTACATTTGAAAGTCCCAAATAAATTGAAGATATCTTCTGGTATTATTACACAGTCAGAATTTAAGAATTTAACAAATATCGATGCACCATCATCATTCCCAACTGACTTAAATGAACTAAGCCAAAAGATGGATCCAACATACCAATTAGTGAAATATTTGAATATGAAATATAAGAATACTATGATTTTTTCAAGCCACAAATACATTGGTGTTAATGGTGGAACATATGGTAATGAAAATGTAATTACTGGCTTAATCAAGCCATTATACAAGAAACAAATGAAATTTAAGGTTAATATGGATTGTAACACTAAACCAGTTGATGCAGAAAGTGTTATTTTGAATAAAGAATCAATTTACCATGAGATTGCAGCCTTTTCCAGCGATTTAATTGTAAAATTTGATCTAGATTAAGTCAATCATTTACATAATGTTTTCAATCAGATTTGTAAACGATAAAACTAAGTAGTAATAGATTATATATATAAATATTATTACCCATTTCATTTTTTTTAAAAAACTATATGTCATTATTTATTATGTGATACTGACAGATCTATTTTGGTATGCTCATTCTACGGGTCTTAAACTAAGATCGCTTTAAATATTATTATATAGTGTATTGAAAAAAAAAAATCTTACTGAAATAACAAAAATCTGACCTCATCGCATGAAATCACCATTAAAAATAACAACGGTTGCATATTTGTATATCTTACACATTTATAAGGGTGATTAGACAATACGTTAGGTGTGTATCAATAAATTTCTAACAAATGTCTGATTTTGAAGAAGATGATTTTGTGAATGACCTGGATAATGACTTTGGGGAGATCTCTGATGTAGAGGAGGATGATGTCAAAGAAATCGAAGATGAAATAATGAACCCACCAGATAGCACAGAACAGGATGAGAATAAAGAAGATAAATCTACCATCTTGGAAGTAATAGAGAGTTTAAAGATGCGTATCCACAACTACACACCATTCAATATATCTGATAAGGATATCGAGAGTATAGAACCACATGAGCTTTCGTCGATTCTACCTATGAGTTCCAGACTCAAGAGGCTAATAACGGAGAAAGATACTAAGTTAGACGACATTCACGTATTGTTGAATGAAATTTCTCCATTAATAACGAATGATATTAGATTATTAAGAAAGTACATAAACGTGATATATTTCAAGAGATTTGATGAACTTGAGACAATACTATCTTCAGATAAACAATATGCGAAAGTAGTAAAATTATTGGAACAATTAGATACTCGAAGTATCAGCGATACCGAGTTATCTCATCGATTGCTAACTTCATGCGAATTGAGTAAAGAACAAAATTTGGTAGTTTTAATGTCGATGAAGACATCTTTCAATTACAGTATCGAGCTTACCGAAAAGTTACAGAGCAATCTACTTCAAGCTAGCGATAATATTTTATCCCTAATTGATTTACAACAAAATATATCGAACTTCATATCATCAAAGATCGAATTGTTGGCACCTAATGTATCAGCATTAGTAGGTCCCAAAGTAACCTCTTTACTAGTGGCTTATGCAGGTGGTATTCTTGGATTAAGTAAGATTCCAAGTTGTAATTTAGCATCAATAGGAAAAAACAAACATATAAGTTACGAACAACATACAACTACTAGTGGTATAAGACAAAATGGCTATATCAGTTCAACAGAAATTATTCAAAATTTACCAATAGTATACCATAAACAAATGTTAAGAATGGTATGTGCCAAGATATCACTTGCATCTAGGATAGATTGCAGCCAAAGAGGTGATGATAAGAACAATACAATGGGGTTAAAATGGAAGGAAGAAATAGAAAATAAGATCAAAAAACTGCATGAATCTCCGAATGTAACAGATGATAAAGCATTACCAATACCAGAAGACAAACCTAAAAAGAAACGTGCCGGTAGGAAATTTAGAAAATACAAGGAACAATTCAAATTATCTCGTGCAAGACAACTTCAAAACCGTATGGAATTTGGCAAACAAGAAACTACAGTGATGGATTCATTTGGTGAAGAAGTAGGTCTGGGTATGATGAATACACCTATGCAACAGACTACAGGAGCCTCTCGAGATGCGGACAGAGGAAGGGTAACAAAGTTAAGCAAAAACATGAAGAAAAGGGTAAACGAAGCTGACGAACAAACCAGAGAATTTATGTTAACACTAACTGGAGATACAAATTAATAAATAAGATCTCTCATGATCACATCTAGCATCGCAATTATATCGGTTTTTTGTACATTATTTGTATACGTTTATATAAATAGCAATTAGATTTCCTATTTCGGCTCAAACATAAACACGAATCAGAAAGGGCAAAATGTGTTCTTTGCTTTCAATTCAAGGAAAAACAAAACATTAGAGAGGGATAGAGAGAGAGAGCAGATCGATGAAACAAGCAGAGATACAGAGAGGAAGTTAGAGAACATACACCGACATCGTTTTATTTCACCTAGTGGATCTTGATTCTGGGGTGATCCGATATTTTTATTGTTTTATACAAGTTATCAGTCTAACTTTCAAAAGTTTTGAACATAATTGCAATTTAATTCTCGAGGTCAGAAATAGATTATACAATCACAAGCTCATTAAGTATTAAGAATAAACACAATCCTATATATAACACCATATTCGGTAACGTGTTAACATCAATCAAAACAAAAAAAGCCACAACCACGCTACACCACGGTATATTATTAATATCAAGGCCTAATCCTCAATTAATCTATACAAGAAACTCACTATGTTCCCAAGATCAGATAGAAACGTGGACGCTCTCACCGGTGATATGAGTCAATTAAGCTTCGACAGTTCCACTAACAACATAATATCGTCAGCAAACAAACTTAACTACAACGTACATTCTTCTCCTACAAGATACAAAGAAAACAGATACGGAGCCAATACGCCCACGCCATCTCCAACCAAGTCTACTGTATTTGGAGGTGACGATACATCAAGAATGGATGTAGACGATTCAATTTCTCATGATATTGACATTGTCCATTCTCCTAAAAAGCTTCCACCTGGATTTGATAAGAAAGCTTCTTCTAATAAGACTCAAAGACTAGTTAGTGTCTGTAAAATGTATTTTTTGGATTATTATTGTGATATGTTTGATTATGTAATCAGTAGGAGACAACGTACCAAAAAAGTTTTGGAATACTTAGAACAACAGAAGCAAACTCAAAATATGCCAACAGAAACTCTGAACAATGAATGGTATGGATATCTTCAAAAAGAACATGAAGTTTTAAGAAAAAGAAGATTAAAACCAAAACACAAAGATTTTGAGATGATCACACAAGTTGGTCAAGGTGGTTACGGTCAAGTTTATTTAGCTAGAAAGAGAGACACTAAAGAAGTCTGTGCTTTAAAGATTCTGAACAAAAAATTATTGTTCAAATTAAATGAAACCAATCATGTTTTAACAGAGAGAGATATCTTGACTACAACTAGATCCGAATGGTTAGTTAAACTATTATATGCATTCCAAGATCCAGAAAGCTTATTTTTAGCAATGGAATTTGTACCAGGTGGTGATTTCCGTACATTGTTAATTAATACAAGGTTCTTAAAGAGTGCGCATGCTAGATTCTATATCAGTGAAATGTTTTGTGCTGTAAATGCTCTTCATGAATTAGGTTATACACATAGAGATTTGAAACCAGAAAATTTCCTAATTGACGCCAAGGGTCATATCAAGCTAACTGATTTTGGCTTGGCTGCTGGTACTGTTTCAAATGAAAGAATCGAAAGTATGAAGTTGAGACTGGAAGAAGTGAAGAATTTGGAATTCCCTGAATTCAAAGAAAAATCTATTGAAGATAGAAGAAAAATCTACCACAACTTGAGGGATACAGATATAAGTTATGCCAACTCTATGGTCGGTTCCCCGGATTATATGGCGTTAGAAGTTTTAGAAGGTAAGAAATATGATTTTACTGTCGATTACTGGTCCCTAGGTTGTATACTATTTGAAAGTTTAGTTAGTTATACACCATTCAGTGGTTCTTCAACGAATGAAACATACGAAAATCTAAGACATTGGAAACAGACACTAAGGAGACCAAGATTGGAAAACGGCAGAGCCGCATTTTCTGATCGTACTTGGGATTTAATAACAAGGCTGATTGCAGATCCAATAAGTAGATTAAGATCATTTGAACATGTAAAGAGAATGGCATACTTCTCCGATATAAATTTTGACTCATTAAGATCAATGTCACCACCATTTATCCCTCAGTTAGATAGTGAAACTGACGCAGGCTACTTTGACGATTTCACCAATGAAGCAGATATGGCTAAATATGCAGATGTGTTTAAGAGACAAAACAAACTATCAGCCATGGTTGATGACAGTGCTGTTGACTCAAAATTGGTTGGTTTTACATTTAGACACAGAAATGGTAAGCAAGGTTCAAGTGGTATACTATATAATGGGTCAGAAAATTCCGATCCATTTGCCACATTTTACTGATCAAAAAAAAGAAGATTAGATAATATATGAACCACCTTCAGCATAACTCAAATAACCCAACTTAGCCCAAATACAAACCAATATCCCTTACACCCATTATAGCAATAATAATAATTGTAGAATTTCGTATAGTAAATAATCATAATATAAATAAGTTATTTTAATTTTTGTTTTCAAAGACTCTTGATATTTTTGAATTCCAATGCCATTGAAGACTTGACTCGCGTTACAGAGAGTTCACGCTAAATAAGCATACGAAAATTTTCACATGTTAAATAAAGAGATCAGCTTGCCAGAAAGAGGTAAAACATAGTAACACTACGACTAGCAGTTTAGAACACATCGGAATTTCGATATCTAATAAGTTCAAGAATGAAATTACTGGTTGCTCATGGGAATGATGCGAACTTCTTATCTCTAATTGAAAAAGTTAAAAAATTAAATACCAAGGCTGGACCCTTCGCACACATTTTAATAGTTGGTGATATCAAGGATGAAACAATTAACAATATAGGTGACATTGATGGGCTATCAACATTATACTTATTTGGGGCAGAAGGAGAGAATTCGACTAATATTATTCGATTGAATGGTTTTGGCGTATATGAAAGCCAAGACAAACTTAGAATAGGATATTCCACACAAACCACAAAACAACTTCACGAATCGAAGAAGGCACTTTGGAATAAATTTAAACAACTGGAAGACCCTGTTGATATATTAATATCTCGTGAGTGGAGTTCACAGGTTGCTAGATTGAACGAAGTATTTAGTGGTACTGAATTACTGGATAATATTGTAAAAACCGCCCAACCTAAATATCATATAGCATATGGAGACAACAATCATTATTTCGAAAGTAAACCTTTCATTTGGGATGATTCTAACCAAGTATCCCGTTTTATTAACATAGCTGATTTTGATTCTTCAAAGAAATGGGCATATGCCTTTAATATTGAGCTTGCTAGGGATGTGATCTCGGATAATATTAAGAAACTGGAATTGATCGATAATCCGTATAACACTCACCCCCAGAAAAGAGCTTTAGTTACTGATCAACACCCTGATGACGGTCATAAAACGGCTGTGGAACCAAAACAGAAAAAGGTCAAAAAAATTCTACCAAGTACATGCCATTTTTGTTTTACAAATGCCAGCCTTGCCGATCATATGATTATTTCTATTGGTAACTCATCATATCTAACAATCGTTAGAGGTCCATTAACAACTCCTAAAGGTGATATGAATTTTTCTGGTCATTGTCTGTTAATACCTATAGAGCATATTCCTAAATATAATTCAGGCCAAGATAATTTCAAGGAGTCTACTCTAGTCAAAGAAATGACCCTTTATGAAAATAGTGTTGTTAAGATGAATTATCGTAAATTCGATATGTCGACCATTGTTTTTGAAATTAATTCCGAAAGATCTATTCATTTTCATAAACAGATCATACCAATACCCAAGTATTTAATTTTGAAGTTTGAAACAGCACTAGATAGACAATTACATTTTAATAACGAAAATTTTTCAAATAATGCTAAACTAAATTTCCAAAAGTATTCATCCACAGACGAAGAATATTTGAAAATAAGAGACGATCCAAAGGCAAATTATTTACAATTTACTGTGTACGAGACGTCAGAAACAGACCCTCAAGTATACATTGCAATGTTTCAGCCTGATATGCGCTTAGACCTACAATTTGGTAGAAGAGTTACTGCATTTTTATTGAGAGCACCAAAAAGAATTAAATGGGATTCCCCCGCGTGTCTTCAATCGAAGGAACAAGAGATCAAGGAAACAGAGAACTTCCAAAAAGGTTACAAAGATTTTGATATCATGACTCAGAGTTGATGCAATATATTTTTTATACATGCTTATAGATGATTAGAACTCTCTATTCTTTATACATATTCTATAGCAATACACCCAGAACAGATGAGTTCGAATCTCGATATGTACCGCCCGCAAACAAATAATAAATAAAAAAGTAAACTTAGGGTATCTTATATATTAAACAAAAACATAAATATGTATAATGTTCGAGGAACCCCAGTAAAACTTTGAAGAATTTGAATATATTAAAATTTGGATCTTCCTGAATTGTGATTAAATACCTTAATATCGATATTTTTTTTTCTTCCTCTAATATATTTATGGTTGCCCACACATGTTGAAGGTTAATATCTGTTTCCGAAAAAGAACCAGATTCCCAGGCTCATATAAAGGATGCAGGTCATTGCATGTAACTAAATTATTAAGCTCAGTCGAAAAGTTTTCGTCATATGACCCAGTTGCAGTCGAGAAAGATTGGTACAAAGTTTGGGAGAAAGATGGAATTTTCACACCAGATCTATCAAAGGATATAGATCCGTCAAACGTGTTTTGCATCCCTGCACCTCCTCCAAATGTTACAGGTGCATTACATATAGGTCATGCTCTTACTATATCTCTTCAGGATTCATTGATTAGATACAATAGAATGCTTGGTAAAACTGTACTATTTTTACCTGGGTTTGACCATGCAGGTATTGCAACCCAATCAATAGTGGAGAAACAACTTTATAAGAAAGAGCATAAAACTAGATATGACTATGGTAGAGAACAATTTATTGACCAAGTTTGGGATTGGAAAAATGTTTATCACGCAAGGATTAAAGATCAGATTAAGAAAATGGGTGGATCCTATGATTGGTCCCGTGAAGCTTTCACTCTAGACCCTAAACTTTCAGATGCAGTTACTGAGGCTTTCGTCAGGTTACATGATGAAGGTATTATTTACAGAGACTCAAAACTTATCAACTGGTGTGTGAAATTAAACACAGCTATTTCAAATTTGGAAGTTGAAAACAAAGAGATACAGGGTAAAACATTAATAAAGGTACCAAATTATGATAAACCAGTAACTTTTGGAGTGATAACTTCTATAGCATACGAAGTAGTCAATGCAGATGGTACAACAACAGGTGAAAAGTTAATCATCTCTACAACTCGTCCAGAGACGATATTTGGAGATACAGCTATAGCTGTACACCCTGATGATATTCGCTACAAGCATTTGCATGAGAAATACGTTAAACATCCTTTACTTGATAAGACTATACCAATTATTCAAGATAAGGATGCTGTTGACATGGAATTTGGAACTGGGGCTGTCAAGATAACACCGGCACATGATCTCAATGATTATAACTGTGGGAAAAGGCATAATTTACCCTTTGTCAACATTTTCACAGATGATGGTTTCTTAAATGAAAATTGCGGAGATAATTGGAAGGGTATAAGACGGTTTGATGCCCGTAACAAAGTGATACAGGTTTTAAAAGAGAAATGTTTACTTGTTGGTGAAAAAGAACATTCTATGACTATCCCTATCTGTTCCAGATCTGGTGATATAATTGAACCTTTACTAAAACCACAGTGGTGGGTTTCACAAGAGACAATGGCTAAAGAAGCTATTAAAGTTGTTCGAGACAATAAAATAAAAATACAGCCGACACATTCGAGAGAAGAATATTTCAGATGGTTGCAAAAGATTGACGATTGGTGTATTTCTCGACAACTTTGGTGGGGCCACAGGTGTCCTGTCTATTTCATTAATGTTGAAGGTATTTCAAACCCTAAAATGAGATCTGATAATAAATATTGGGTAGCTGGAAGAAACATAGAGGAGGCTAAAGAAAAAGCTCTTAGGAGGTTCCCAAATTCCATATTTGAATTAGAACAAGATACAGATGTATTAGATACATGGTTTTCTTCAGCATTGTGGCCATTTTCAACATTGGGGTGGCCAAAAAAAACTAAGGACATAGATACTTTTTACCCAGTTTCTCTGCTAGAAACAGGTTGGGATATTTTATTTTTTTGGGTAGCACGTATGATTATCATGGGTGTTAAACTGACTGGCTCAGTACCATTTCAAGAAGTGTTTTGCCATCCTTTAGTACGGGATGCACAAGGTAGAAAAATGTCTAAATCGTTAGGGAATGTTGTCGATCCTGTAGATGTAATTAATGGGGCTTCATTGCAATCCCTACAAGAGAAATTGGTCAACGGTAACCTCGACCAGCGTGAGATTAGAATAGCAACAAAAGGTTTAAAGGTATCATATCCAAACGGTATTCCACAATGTGGTACTGATGCTTTGAGATTTGCTTTATGTTCTTATACAAGCAATGACAGCTCTAATGACATCAACTTAGATATCAAAAAGGTTGAAACATATAGAAAATTTTGCAACAAAATGTACCAAGCAACAAACTTTGCTTTGTTGAAGGTCACTTCCGAGTCCTTAATTACTACAAGAAAAATAGTAAATGAACATCAGTCAATTAATGAGAAATATATCCTCTCTAAAATGAATGAAACTTCCAAAAAGGTTGCTATTGCGTTTGAGTCTCGACATTTTATGAATGTAACAGACAGTATATATCAATTTTGGTACCAAATATGTGATCACTATATTGAATTTTTTAAATTCATCTCAAAAACTGGCAGTGTAGAAGAGATTAGGTCTGCTGAAATGACCTTAATAACTGTGTTAGACAATGCACTAAGAATGATTCATCCAATGATGCCGTTTATTTCAGAGCAGTTATGGCAAAAATTACCAATAGTTAAAGATACTAAATCTATATGCTTGGCTCCCTACCCTGTATACGACCAGAAAATCTCCAACGCGTTAGATGAACCTGCCAAAATGTTTGGTCAAGTGCTGGATGTGATTAGTGAATCTCGTGGTATATTGAACCAATATAATATTTTGAAAAATGGGAAAATATTCATAGAAATTAATGACTTAAAATTAAAGACAATTGTTGAAAAGGAATCTAATTATATTAAAAGTTCAGTAAAAATGAGTATAGATCCATTAGTAATTACAGATAAAAAAGAGGACATACCCGAGGGGTGTGTATCAAAGTCTGTAAACTCTTTGATTTCTATTCATTTACTAGTAAAAGGTCAAATTAAAGATATAAAAGGAGATATAGAAAAGTTACAGAAGAAAATTGTTAAGTTAAACAAGAAATACCAGGCATTTCTATCTATAGTGAACAATGAAAATTATGCAAAGGCAAGCACTACTGTTCGTGATTCCAATAACAAGGCAATAAAAGATTTATTGACTCAAATAGAAACATTTCAAATGACTGTAAATAACCTCCATAAAGAATTGTAAATACATTGTAAATAAATATTCATGTAGGAAATGATAATTAAAATGACGGATTACACATGTATATACTTATTTATAAATTGTTCAGTTTTGTCTTCATATACTCTCTGAAATTTTTGTTTAATTCATTAATTTTTATTTCTGATTGTTCTAAAACCTTAAAGACATCATTCTGATCAAAGTCACCATAACTATCCATTAGTAACAAATTTGTAGGTTTACTATTCTCAATCATGTATACAACAACATGTGTTGATTTTGCGTTCTTTAAGTTTTCATCTGTAGGCTCTGTTATCAACTTATTACCTTCGGTAATTACAATAGTTGTCCCAAGGGCGATGCCCTTCAATGCAATACCAGAATCGACCAATGCATATGTAGTAGAATTAACACATGCTACTAATTCCAATTCATGGAAGTATGACTCAGTTTCACCTGCTTGTAACAGTTGTAAAGTGATCTGACACAATTGTCTTGGATATTTATATAAAGCTAATGTAGGTGTAATAACCGCACGCACTTTATCCTGTATATTTACTTCTCTTGTTGTAGGGACCCCACAGGCAGGTCTTATATTTATCTCCAATGCCAATTGTGTTGGTAGTTCCTGACGAGCTTTGGGTTCTACTGGACCTGTTACTGCAGCTATTACCTTTGTAGAGTTTAATGAGTATAAACAAGAACCATCAACGTTCTCCAAGTAACCGGTTCGAGTATTCATTATTGTTTTTTGTGAAATGTAAAGTATGAAATTCAGTAGGATTATATTCTTAGAAAGAGAATAAACACTATAGTATAGTATGAAATAGTCTATGGAGTTTCCGAATAACTTTAATGAACAACTTTTTACACTTTTCACAATATCTAAAGTAGAGATGTCTTTGATGTAGAGTATTTAACAATCTGACTGGAAAAAAAATGCATATATTGAAAAAAAAAATTCGCATCAAGTTTTCAAAAAAAGCTTTAAAGGTTTCGGGCTCGCGATGACCATGTAGAGGGAGAGAGCCGTGTATTGATAGATGGAAACTACGGATCTCAAAGGGTAGAATAACATAGAATGTGCAAGAAACACTGTTATGAAAGGAAAAGTTCAGACTATCACTTATGTATAGTTTGAGTCTTAATATCTGTGAGAAAAAAATTAATCCACATTATTACTTTTATGAAAAGGGTCAACAGGGAAACTGGCAATAAATATAAATGAGAAACAGTAAATATGAAAGTGACGTAGAGTTACAAAAGCCAGATTACTTAAGAAAAGGTCAAGATGCTAAATTATTGAAGAGTTCAATTGCAGGTGCATTGTCTGGTTTAGCTGCTAGAAATGTAATAGCTCCTTTAGACACACTAAAAATTCGACTTCAAATCACACCTGTACTGAGAAATACTTCCAGCCATTACACTAACCCATTGAGAATGACTCCTGGATTAGTAAGACGGATAAATGAAATGATAAGAAATGAAGGAATAAGATCATTCTGGAAGGGAAATATATCAGGATCTGCGATGTATGTAATATACAACGGGTTCCAATTCTGTACATATTCTTATTTCAATAAACATTTGGCACCATACACGGGTGACTCAAAAAATTTACATTCTGCTTTAGTGGGTGCACTCTCAGGTGTTTCAAGTTCTATATCATCTTATCCATTTGACATATTACGCACGAGATCAATTGCTAATAATCAAATGAAATTATACCGTATACGAGATGGTATTGCAGATATATGGAATCATGAAGGTTTTCGCGGATTTTATCAGGGATCACTCTCTGCTGTATTATCAATTAGTATTAGCACATCAATCATATTTGGTACATATGAAGGGATAAAGATATATTCTGAAGGAGAATTACAAAAAATTTCTGAAAGAGGACAGGAACAAAAAACGTTATCATCATCATTGCAAATATTTATGTATAAGACATTGAATCATAGTGCAAGTTCTATAAGTGGGTTTTTATCCAAATTGGTAACGTTTCCAATAGACACTGTACGACGTAGAATCGTATTGAAGGATTCTAATCATCTCGAACAATTTTTTGGATCAGAACAATCTAATAAAAGGCAATTATATGAATATTCAATACAATATAAAAAGACAAAGCACCAAGATAAATTAATATTACCATTTCTAAAGATTAGTAAACAAATGTTAGCTCATGAAGGCCCCAAAGCTTTTTATAAAGGTTTATTGATGGCTTTAATTAAGACTGTGCCATCTACAGCAGTTACACTTTGGTCGTACGAGACGATCATGCGGGCAATCAGCTAACCGCACACATACATATACATTCGCAAATAATAAGAACTGATGCTCTCTTCTTAAAGGAAGCCAAGACAAAAAAGAGATGTGTCACTTAAAACCAAATGAAAGCGTTGCATATCTGCCCACCTCCAGGAAGCTGGGCTTGGTATTGGATAATTGAAAAATAGCAACAACAAATCTACTCTGAAAAAAAAAAAATAATGAAAATAGATGAGTCTAGAATTCCAGTTATTTTTTTTCTTTCATGTTTTGGGTAATCAAGTTCCCAAATCTAATGTAGAAAGAACAGGAAGACGATAAAACTTCTGTGTGTGTGTGTCTAGCTACCTGTTTGCTCCGTCTCTGCTCACACACAGAAGAAGAAACCTCTCCGCATATGAGCATTCGTTACATATGGTGGGGGAACAAACTATTCAGTCGCAGAATGAGAGAATTAGAATACCAAACTTTTGTCGAGTTGGACATTATTTATCTGGTCAGGATTAGGATTGTGTTGCGACAAAGTTTGCAGCAAAATCCGGAATAGAATAAAAAATTTTTCAGTTTTTGTTCGCTTTGCTCTGCACTCATTTCTGCGTAAGAAAGTTATCATTTTCAGTGATTCAGGCAGACTGAGATCAACAGGGAGAGAGACAGACAGACTGTGAGTCTGCGAGTGTCCAATTTCATTATTTTTTGTCTCATTGCCCAAATCTCTGTGATCACTGGGTGCATTGCTCTGTTGTTTTTGGCAGCTATGTTTAATCCTAATTGTTGGGATTGAGAAGAGGGTTCTTGCCAACTGTTCACACTTCTTCCTATATTTTTTTTTCTTTTCAAATACAGAATACACCATATCTGTGAGGGATAAGAAATATTAAATAATTAAAATAGAGGGTGGTAGGTTGAGTTAGGCAAGAATACTTTTCTATTTCGTAGATCGGTAGTGGTAAAACAGTAATAGTAAAATCTGGAAAAGTACAAGAATATAGTGGGTTTACTCGAGTTAAGTTCAAGTTTTTCTAGGGTTTTTTTTTGCCGTTCTTCTCTCTGTGACATATCTATTTGCTAACTTGATGAAAGGCAATAACAGATTTTTTTTATGGTGAGATCAAAAACGCACACAAAATAGCTTGTAATGTTTTTCTGGGTTTATCTCAAATTGTTTATTTACTTCCATAGTTTAAGATCTTGACAGTAAACCCCATTTTCAGACCCGTTGCAAGAAAACTACATACTCTATTTTATCTTCGACCTGGTAGTAGTCACAGCTTCGTAGTAGAAATATTTATATACATAATATATTATACTTGCAAAACTGTCTAAGTTCACTTGAACCATCTCTCTCTTTATTCATCAACAGTTAAGACTAGCTCTGAAATTTTCGGCCGAAATTTTCAATTTCTTTTTTTTTTCCAATTTAATAACAATAATAATAATTAATAAAAAGGAAATTAGTTTAAAACACTCAAACTATTAATAAAACTGCCCTTTATTAATCCTTGAAAATTTTTATTTAATAGTAATTTTTTCTGATTCAGCCACTATACCAGATATAAACTTTACTAGTTTTAATATATAGATTCAAAAAAAGTTTTTAAAAGAAGGAAAAAACGTGGTTATACTTAGAATATTTTTACCTCATCCCTGCTAATCGATACACATTCCTGCCATTATAGAAAAAGGAAGAATAACGTACAGGGTGAAAAGAAGACAGCTATTATTCTCTCTCTTTTTTTTGTTTCATTAAACAAAACACTCGAAAAATACAAACACGCACACACACATACATTCATCTCCCAATAGATTATTCATTTTACTACATCTTTAACACATTTTAATATATCATGTCTGATTACTTCAGCGTAAAACCTATTCCATCAGATGGAGACATTGGAGGAGGAGGAGGTTCCAGTGGAACTAATACTCCTGGAAGTTCTCAACTTCCAACACCATCATACTCATTAGCTGGTAGTACAATGAATACCGATAACGCTTCTATTCATTCTAGTGGCTCTCAATATCTAATGGATATGATTCCAGATTCTTTAACATTAAAGGATAATGCTACTTATTCGCATATTAATACTAAAGATTTTATATTACCAAAATCTGATGTTAGATCCCCTTATTATATAGCTGTACCAATTCCAAACCCCTTAGCTACTGCAGCATTAAACAATACAAGTCTTTCCGAAAATGTTCCAAAGGATAATACAGATGAAGAAGGCTATTTTGTAAGGGAATTTCCAACTGATATTTTAATTGATAGATTTTATAAATGGAAAAAAATTCTAAAGAGCATTATTGCTTATTTAAGAGAAGTTGCTTACGCTCAAGAACAATTTGCCAGAGTAAATCATCAAATCAAAGGATCCATTAAATTTCCCTTCTTGACGGATTTACAAGATGGTTCAAATAAAGTAGTTGATCCATTATTTGCTACAAAATTGACTAAAAAACAACAACCATTGACTTTAGCTCAACAGAAAGAACAGAAAGAATTAGAATTACAGAAATATATTGATTCTGAGTTAGAAAATCAAGGCAATCCATTACCAAAAATTCCTCTCACCACGGTGAATCAAGCTACAAATACTGCAGCATCAGGGTTTATGCAATTCGGTTCAGGTTCTATTCAAGATATCCAAGTTATCTTAAAGAAACACCATTTAGCATTAGCAACACAACAATTTAAGGTCTCTAAAGAGATCACAAGTGTATTAATCCCAAAATTAGAAAGTTTAAGAAAGGATTTAAGTTTTAAAATTAAAGAAATTAAAGAATTACATAGTGATTTTAAGACAAATATCAAATCTCATATTAAATTAACAAGCCACTTATTAAATAAATATATTGCAGCAATCAAATTTGTTAATAAAGGTAACTTAGATGGTACTTCCCAGAATTCTATCCATTTACATCCCAAACATGATCCATTTTTATTAAAACTTCAACTAGATTTACAATTGAAAAGACAACTATCCGAAGAAAATTATCTTCAAGAAGCATACATTAATTTACAAACTACAGGTTTAAAATTGGAAAAAATCATATATGCAAAAATTCAACATTCTTTACAAAGATACTCTTCATTAATTGATGCTGAAGCTAGATTAATGATTAAAAATTTATGTCAAGAATTACAACATGGTATGTTATCCAAACCACCTGCATTGGAATGGGATCATTTCGTCTCTCATCATCCATTATGTCTTATGGATTTAAAATCGAATGATCCTTTACCAAGACCGAGAAAATTATCAGATATTGTATATCCTAACATGAAGGCTTCAATGTCAAAATGTATTAGAGCCGGATATTTTGAAAAAAAATCTAATTTTACAAAAGGATTTAAGAAAGGATATTTTGTTTTGACTCCAAATTATCTACATGAATTTAAGAGTAGTGATTTTTTCAATAATCCAGAAATGTCATCAACAAATACATCTGGTTACTCAACACCTTCCATGTCAGTTTCTTCTTCTTCTGCACATCTATCAAATCTTGGAGACTCTGTGACAATGACATCTTTACCACCAAATAGTAATTTACAAGCTGTTGCGAATGGTAAAGCCATCAATTCTAAGAAAGTTAACTCGTTAACTCCAATATTAAGCATTCCTTTAAATGAATGTACCTTAACAGAATATACAGAATCTTCATTCACCCTAATGGGAAAGGCTACTTTTATAGAATTAGAGAAAAGGAAACCAGCTGGAAATTTAGGATATGGTGCGAATACACTCAATCAATTTCCTTCAAATGGATCTTTATCTCCAAGCAATATGCATACTAGTTCATCAGCTGCAAGTCTAAATCCGCTTGAAAATGAGTCAGCTAAATATATCACTAAAAAATCTGCTTCAGCCTTATCAAAATTATTGTTAAAACCTGTTAGAGGGAAACAGGCAAAGCAAAAGAGTGCAAATAAGAAAGAAGTTAAAAGGCAACAAGAGGAATACAATAGGGTAATTGAAAAGGAATCAAATCATATTGTTACATGGGTCTTCAAATCGGCTCAAGAATATCCAACAGAGGAAGAAAAGAAACATTTCAAAAAATGGATCCTAGATTTAAAGAACCTATGTACGTTTAACACTACAAGAGATAGATTAAAATTTATTGATGAAAAGATAGGAAAAATCCAAAATCAACGCGTAAGAGGAAAACATCACCATACATCATCTGTAGTTGATCCTAATACTGCAGATACAATGGTTGTCTCTGAGGCTCCATCGATGTTTGGATCTTCTGTCATGTTAGACCCATCCTTGAATTCAACTTCTAATTCGTTACCTGCTCCAATGACAGATAATTTACACCCAAAATCACCGAGGGGAACTAACAAACCTAATTATATTCCAATAGAGAATACAGCTGCAATGGATTTGAATGCCGATTTTAGATCTCGGATTAATACACCAATGATTGATGATAATGGTAATCTAATTACTCTTGCCGAGAAAAAGCCAGCCTTTGTGAAAAATGGATCTGTATCCTCATTCGGATTACAAACATTATCTAAACCTGTTCAATCACCAACACCTTCCAATGGATCTGATCAATATTATATGAATTCAATCGGTTCAGGTTCAGATACGGTTCCTAATGTTTCAATAACTAGTAATGGTGTAAATATTCGTAATTCTTCACAACCACTTCAAGCTCCAAGTAACCGCCACCAAAGAAATATATCCTTACCATCCACATTAGGTGTCTTAAGTCCAGGTCAATCACCCAGTGACCTAAGCATGGTATCTGATAACAGTCAAGGTGGATATTTTGCCATTCCTGTCCGGAAAGATGCTCAACCAGATTTTTCAAACCAAACAGCAAACCAGGCACCTGTATCACTTTATAATGAAGACCAAATTAAACAAACTACGGGTCTATCCTTATCGAGGACATCAAGTCGTGGTTTAAGAAATTCAAGGAAACCATCTGCATCAAGTATACAAACAGCAAACTTAATATCTGTTCCAAAAGTACATGTGAATAATCAAGAAGTGAAAGCACATCCTACTTTACCTCGTGGTCCTCCAATCCTACAGAAACAATTAAGTACAGGTAGTTTGCCCTCAATGGTTAATCAAGTGCCTAACAATGAGTTGCAACCAAGTGGAACTGCAACACCACCAGCAACAACTAATGGTGCTCCATTATATCAAAAGGGCAATGGAAGTGCTACAAACTTGGGAACAGCTACTCCAACAGGTACTAGAGTCCATTCTTACAGAAAACATAAGAAGAATGTATCATTTGGGTCACTGAATAGTTTAATGTTTTCCAAGAAAAGTGGGGCCTATGCCTACAGTAGTGGAAACCTAATGAATGGTGGTATTCTAGAAGATGAAGATTCCGAGGATGGAAAGAGTACCCATGGCAGTATCAAATTGAACCAATCAATATATCAATAATAATTGCATATATATAACCTAATGACATTTTTTTTACATACTTTATACACTAATAATGAAACAATTAATTAAAAAAACAAAACAAAAAAAAACGAGATATATATTTTAACTATTAAACATGTTACTATTACCATATTTATTAATTATTATTTTTCCCTGTTATGTACATGACTATGACTTAAACCCGAAAGTTCTAAATATAATTACAAAGGTTTCTAATGCTAAAGTTTTTCACCCATCTTATAAAATTCGCCATTAGAGTGTAATAAACCCCCAGTTATTTTATCATCTTCGATAATACAATCTATAACTTCCCCGACCCAGACTTCATGGTCTGCTATATGGAAACTCTCTATTTTCTTGCATATTAGCACACGTTCAACATTTTTTAAAATCGGAAGTACACTTTTATCTGAATCATAAATTGCATTTCTATAAATTGAAAAATCCTTGTTTTCATCTAATTCTACAAAAGGTTTAGTACCTCCGTGTTTAATACCTCTGCTAAATCGTCTTACAAGTTCAATAGATGCCAATTCAGGTTTAAGTTGGTGTACTGCAAATATATCATGTGAGTGCAAATTCTTAGAGGATAATGACGGTGTTTGAACGTTAAACTGTAATAAAGGCGCCGGGCTTACTGATAATGAGGTCATCGAAGAAACTGTTAGACCATGAAAGTCTTTGGGTATCGTATCTGCGTAAGAGGATGTAGTAATGATCGTCGTTGGGAAACACAACCTTTGCATCGATTGCTTAAAAAAAGTCTTCATCATATTGGACCCCATTGCGATTACTTGGTTCTATAAGAGCGATTTTCTCTCAAACAACAGTAGATTCCTCTAAGTTCGAAAATTCCCTTAATTAAGGACTGATTACCAACAGAACTTATACCATTGAAGATCCTTAGAAATATATGTTCCCCTCCCCTTCTATATTAATTTTCTGTTGATAGTCTTACCACGGCGCTCAAGAACATCTCGAGAAACAGGCGGAGTTAGCTTGAATAGTCAATCAGTCAATATAAATGAACAAATCAGAGATGTGCTCTAAGGTGCCAACGAGTGAAATGAACAGTATTCTGATTTTTGGAAGGTTGTTACAACGTATTGATTTATGAAGTGAAAAAGGTCACCAACTAAACTACACATCTTTTCAAATTGGTTCTATGACATTTTCTGACTCAAAGTTCACAATACGAAATTTAAAAAAAATCTGTACAAATCTATATGTCACATGTAATTATAAAAAATTCATATATAATCTTCTATTATATTTTAACTGAGACGTTAATTTTTGTCATTGAACATTTCTGAATAAATATTGCTATACTACCCTCTGAAATAGAATAACACTATAGTTAGATACTAGTATGAAAATTTTGCTGGTAAACCATACACAACTGGTGCGATACCGTTAAGATATTTCAAATTGCAGATGTCTCTTGATTCTTCCACTGCATCATTAATACTCGCTCCACTCTCTAATGAATTTGCAACGTTTTTTATTAACCCAATCTTTTCAAATACTGACATTGTGAACTTATCTATATCCTTGTCTGTCACATCCCATAAATTACCGACAACTAAAGGACAACCCCCTAAGAGATACGAATATATCACACCTGTCGGCTCTAAATGTCCATAATATTTCATAGCAGCAGAGGAACATCCTAGTAAAAAACTTGGGGCCACATTATGTTGTCTTTTTATCTCTTTATTTCTAGCGTATTGTTCTCCGCCACCGTGGCCAATATAAATGAACAAATTTGATGAACTTAGAATGCGTAAAAGATCAGGTTCGCTTGGTTTCTCATTTATTAATAGTTTGGAATCTGGACAATTTCTTGCAATATTAGCAAATAATTCTGAAAATCGTTCTTCAGAACGAACCAAATCACCACCAGGATTTAAAACCATAGATAATTTTTCACTAATTGACACATCCAACTGCACCTTGTAATTATTATTTTCTATCATTTCTCTTAAGATGTGTAATGAAGGAACCCTAGACACTGATAAAGGTTTCATAAATGTCATACTTTCCCACGGGAACATGTGGCATTTATTACTGACAACTAGGAAAGTATGTTGTACCCTTTTTGGACTACTTATCCCACAATGTAAATGATATTTATTTATCGCTTCTTCGGTTTGGAAATGAAGAATGCTCATATCAATTTCATCATATGCATTTTCTTCGCCATGATATAACAAAATATCTAGCACGAAATACAATAAATCTTCAATCATTGAAAGGAAATCCTTATTTGAATGGTCAATTAGTAGAAATAATTCAAGAATCCAGTTCTCAATCTGTAAAAATGTATCAGGTGTCCCGGTGTGCTTTCGAGATGGTAAATTATTATGTAGAATCTCATTGAATTTTTGAGAAAATTCACCAAAGTAGACTTCATTGATTTTTTTATCCGAGAAGAACCCTTGAAAACCACCAAACCATGATCTCTCGATCTTTTGCAATAATTCTTCCAAATGTTTATCTAACATATATCTTGTCCTCCACCATTCTTTTCTACCTTCACTTGTTGTTATATTAGAGGTGACCTTTCTTGAAACTGATTCATTACTCTTATTAATGATATCATTCAGTTCGTCAACAGCCTCCTCGTAAGAGATGCGAGTTCCATCTAAATCTCTAAAAAAGGATCCATTTAAAGGTATTGTAATATATACACTTGATTCATCATATGAATGGGATTTAGATAACAATAAGTTACCTGTTACAGGACATATATCGATAGTAATTATGTCGAACATAAAATTCGATTCTTTTGTACTCTTAAGATTTTCGTTCAAAGATCTCATATTTGGAATAGATAAACTTTGCAACGGAGCATCCAACGGGAGCAGACAGAATTCTTGATATAGTTTATTATTTAAACTGCTTAGAATTCTATCATAATAATGAGGTAGGAACCTCGAGATCTCTGTCAGAAATAATGTACGGGGTAGATAATCTCTAAAATCGTCAGAGATATTTGATAACATGATGGAGCATTTAGAATATATAGATGTAATTCTCAGTAGTGATATGTGATCGATTTCATAAGGATTGATACTTTCTATAGTGTCTAGAATTTTTTCTAAATTGTCTACAACTAGGGCCCTATCAAACTTTTGGACACGACTTTTGGTTCTTGGTGTCATGTTTGAAGACCTTGGTGAGTTCATGATGTTACTATTCATTATTTGGTATTTGTTTCTACCAAATGTCATTTCTTTATCATCCTTTATGGATGGAATCGCCAGCGATGATTCATAAATACTTTTAAAGAAAGGATCTGTTTCTAATTGGCTTATAATTCGATTATGTATCTGATCAACTCTGTTAATCGAATTTTCAACTATTAATTTTTTAGAAAAAGCAGGTTCTGGTACAATAGTCTTCCCCATCTTTAATCTCCAAATTGGTAGCAATGTAGTATTAAGAAGCTCTGCTCCGAAAATTAAACGTAGTGATTTTTCAAGTTTCTCATATTCATTATTATCAAAAAGAAATTTCGTTAAACTTGTGATATCTTCCTCACTTGTGATGTGATTGAACACTTTATTAGCTTCTTGTAATGTTCTGAGTCTTAAATTGTCTTGTTTAGTAATTTGATAATACTGTAGTAGAGAATGGAGACAATTGAAGATGATCGGTGGATCCTTCAATGTGTCTATTATTTTCGTCATCTCTTTAACGTAAAATTCAGTGTCTCTTGATATCCCAATTCGAATATGTGCCTCGATTAGATTTATATAACAGTCGACAAGTGTCTGTATCAAAACATTTCTTGTTTTTTGATCAAGTTTGTTTAACAACTTCAGTAATGACATTGATAATTTGACTGCACGTTTACTTTCGACAATTGATGGCACCACAGAGTTAATATCAGCTTGTAGTTTCGAAGCTGTGTTATACAACTTAAGATTGAATATCAGAATAGAAATATATGAGCTGAATGGTAACTTTGATGTGTTATTTATATCAAGTATTTCTGCCCTAGTGATACTCAAATTATCCTGAAACATCTCCTTGAATTTTCTAACATCATTGTACCACAAACAGATATTGAGAGAAATATTAAGACTTAACAAGAGATTTTCCAGTTTTATTTTAGTAAAATCATGTGGTAATGATTGAGCCGTTTGATTTATGGATTCTATTTTTGATCCAAGTCCTAAACGACGGGCTGCGAGCAAGGAATTTTGGATAATCTCTAAAGATAACGCTTCATAGTAGACATTATTAGTAGAAATAAGTTCCGTTAAGTCTAAGAGCATCTTATCAAATTGTATAAACAGTAAATGTGAAAATACAGTCTTCAAAAAATACTTTTCGAGTTCAGCTAAGGTATGTATGCTTTTCTGGTTTAAAAACCATTGCTTTTTATAAGTTTCAAGAATATCATGGATATTCTTGGTACAGGAATTTTTGATACTGAGACTGAAATAATAAACTGATTTTATCAACGCCTCGTATTTATAAAGAAAGTGAAACTTGTTTCTGTCAGAAGTTTGAGTAACACATTCGTTAAATTTGCCACTTATACTGGAAAGTAACATATTGGTTAGAACATTGTTCTTTTCACAATTGTTGTTTTCTTTATCTATTTGTAACTGAAGGAATGCCGACATGATTTCGGAAATGTCAAAAATATTTGAGATGTTCTCTCCTGAGAGCCTTTTTACCATCACCGATTGACAGCACTGGCAGTATAACTGTAATTCTTGTAAAGAATCTACATTAAATATAGCGAAAATATTGTAATATTTGGAAAATATTTCATATTTGCATTTTTGATTTTGTGTAGCCTGAAGGAATTTATCCATTTTCTTGGTAATGTTACGGTATGTTGTTGTGGGTATATCTAATGATGTGTTCAATATGGCTAGTTCAGTTTTCACGGTTAGTAACAATAAAGTAGTGTCATTTCGAGTGATTGCAATGTTGAACATAACATTGACTAAATTAGATAATCTCTGAAACTGTTTAAAGTTGTTACCTATATTGTATAGGAGCTCGAGAATATCATTAGAATTAGATTTTAATTTATTTAGATTATGATTCAAAAAATTAAGGGTTTTATCGTATAATTTCTTTTGTAGAACATCAAACACAACACTTTGGTTTATTAAATTTTTCCAGATGTAGGTTATTGTCAATAATTTATCACACTGTGGTATATTATCGTTTTCCAGAGTAACTAGCCCTTGTTTTGCGATATCGTTCAAAGCCTCAATCCCCATAAAGTTATATTTTCTATTTTGTTTCGCAGATTTCAAAATTTCTTCGTAGTTGTTAAAACGAACATTAGAGTTTCCTTCTTCTATTATTATGTCAGATAACATTAATTTATCCAAATGTTGTGCATATTTTGAATAATCCATATAAAATAAATTCAAATGATTTTTTCCTTCTTGGTTGTTATGGTAATGTGCAATGAGTTGATTTTTAAACGTATTTTCATCTATATTAGTAATATAATTCTGGAATTTCAAATTATATTGATCAATATATTTCAAAAATTTCAATCCGTAAAGGATCTTGTAATTGGTATCTGTACTATACAAATTAAGTAATAGCTTATTCAGTATATGTATTTTAATTTTTGGATCTCTTAAAAGATATCTTTCATCATGTGCAAATAATTCTATTAGTGATGTTTCATAAGTTGATATGGTTTTCGTTTTAATGATAATTTGTATTATCAGTATCTTAACACTTGAGATATAGTATTGATTGGATTTAAAAATATCAGACAATAAAATATCCCCCAAATTATGTACTTTGTAAATGTTCGTTGCATTGTAGAGATTCATTATTTCTACAGACGCTCGGGAGTAATGGCCATCAGATATATATTTGCCTATTACCATTAAGTGTGACTTCACTAATAATTTTATATGGCACGTTGAATGAATTTTTATTAATATTTTGTATAGTTCCAATATAGTGCAATGAATATCGTTTATTTTGACGTTTCCATAAGTCGTAGAGTCTGCACAAAATTGAGTGATCGTCTGAAATCCTGTTTCAATATTGCTAGCGGTGCATTGATTTTTAATGAAGTGTGAATTTTGGGACTTCCCAAACGATTGTATAACCTTGGAAGAACTCCTCAAAACCGTATTTGAGCTCATCTCATTTAATGGATCATCAGAACCGGACATATTTTAACTGTTATATTGTTTTAAGGCAAAATGTACAGCTCTCCAATGCCAGGAAACCAATCGGTAGTACTGGGGTAAATCAGTGATTGGATTGTGTGGGTGTTATTGGTAGTAAATCAAGCCCACCAAGTTACGTCTTAAATGGATGTATGAAGGAGTTTTGAAACTGATCACTTAAGCCAAGCTTTGATCATTCAATATTTCGTGCTTATTGTCTAATGGAGAGTGGTTGATGTTCCTTATACTGAACTAGCGCTTCTGTTTGTTTACATTTTTTTTTACAAAGCGTAGTTAGTTGCTGTATAAGAGACTGATGACCTTTAACAAACAAACACTTCTACTTTAACAATTGAACTATTGTTAGAATTACATCGTTGAGAAAGGTGTGAGCATTATTTTTATTAAAATTTGAAATGCAATGATGAGTAATATGCCAAATATAGAACAAGGAAGCAAAGAAAGTGATATTGTGGAGTCTTTGACTGTTCTCAAGGCCCGCAATGGTCCTATTACTGATCTCGATGAAATAATGAATGTCATACAAAATATTATTCCTCTCTATTTATCTTTGAAGTTAGACACATTAAGACTTTTGTTCTGTATTATATCTAAATCACCTCTTATACTCGCGCAGCTAGTTACATATACGAATAGCATCGATCAGGGGCAACAAACTAGCCATGACAAGAAATCGTCTAAGTTGTACAAGGATTTTACCTTCCGAATGTTGTTTAGTCAATCAGACTGTCTGTATAATAATCTTATGGTGGCTAAGAAGAATCGAGTGGAGGGTCAATTTATTAAGTCATTGTTTTTCGGAAGTAGATTGTTTAATATGTTATCCACTCATTATAATATATTGCAATATTTAGAGGTTATGAATATTCAGTGGAAGTATTTATGTGGAAATAATATTAATGAAACGATAAACGAATCTTTATTCCCTTATATTTCGGACCTAATGTTGGCAGAGTTATCGTTACATCCGGTATTTGCAACAGATTCATTATTTGATAAACTATTTCTAGCTTATGATGAGTGTTATAAATATTTTCTAAAAATCTTTTTGGTTAGGTCAAATCGATTTAACAGTAAACGGATGATTATAAAATATTTAATCCCATATTTGGAATCCTTATCAAATAAACAAAACTATCAAACGATATATCTTATATTATCTAATTTATCAGCATTCAAATATTTTGATACAATATCTTTGATTAACATAAAATCTGCCAGTTTACAAGAAATAATTGTTAGGAATTTGCCATCGGTGACGGGATATAGCATATTTATGAACTTGGCGTCTAAATTTGGTAAAATAGACGAGCAAATAGACAACCAAATAGCTGTATTGTTGGTTATGTTATTAACATTTTCCATAAATAATGACCAAAAAGCTACCATATCTCACAATTCTGAATTTCTAAGTATTGTTACCACACGATTAGGTCATATGAATTATGAAGTCAGAGAAAGAACAATGTATATTGCCAAATTAGTCTCTAATAATGAATTGAAATATGACAGTAATTATCAGATCACCATTCCGAATCTCCAATTTAACATGGATCCATCTCTTCCTGTAAATCTAAAACTATTGCGCTCTGAAGCGAAGCCAACTGAATTAATAACCAGAGACCTTATTTTAGGGATGGATAAACTTACAGTAAATTATGATTCTCTGATTGAAAATAGTACAGATAGTGACGATGATGACGAATTGGAAACAGAGATTAAAGATATCGTATTTTTGAAAGATTTGATGGAAGCATATATTAATATTGGGAGAGGTCAATCAGCTAACCAGATCCCTCTTTTAAAAAGAACCACCCAATTAGTACGTCAAAAAAGATTTTTACCATTAGAAGTAAATTATTACTCCACTCAATTACTGTCGAGCATTACTTCGATTAACAATACCCGTGAAGAAGATAATTTTGAACCGTGGAGGATCAATGCATTAGTCTCAATACTGGTAGTGGTTCCAGAACAAATACAAAACTTATTTAAGATTTTGTTTAATAGCGAATTGTCTATTCAGCAACGTATTTCATTACTCACTAGTATAGCTCTGAGTGCAAGAGAATTAAGAGGCATAGATGATGACCAAGTGCATAAACCTGAATATGATTTTCCAACTGCAAGATTACCATGGGATGAACTACAAACAAAAGAAAATTTAATCGAAGATATACCAAGACCGGGAATTATTAACCCATCTGGACTTTCAGAAGGTGCAACAGTTTGGAAATCTCAAAAATTGAACCTTAAGAGTAATAAAAATTCAGAAACTGAGAACAGATTCAGAAAAATGGCTCCTCTATTCTTCTATCCATTAGTTCATGGATGGAAAAATGGGATTGATCTAGGTTCATTCGACCAATTATTTAAATCACACTACATATCAACAATGAGAATAGTTCACAATTGTGCCTACCCAGTACACGATTATGAGATGATGACCGAAGAACTGGAGCAAATTCTCACAGAGGCCCAAAGTCAAGGAATTCCTATACTTGAGGAATGAAGCTCCAGATTCATTTGCATACAGATATCTCGACGCATTGCGAATATACCCTTCCTCTTTCTTTCTTCATCTCCTTCATCTTTGTTAATCATCATCCCTGCATGCAGCTTATTGCTGTATATCTTTCGGTGTCAGAGGCGGCGCGCTCAGAGGGAGCGAATTGGCGATGCTAACAGGGACTCGCTCACTCTTCATCTTAAGTAATTATTCGATATATAAGAAATATAAACTGCATTCGATACATACACAGACATATATAGATATATATAAAGTTCAAGAGATATTGGAAATATTAATAGATTGCACGTTTTGAGTGGATAGACAGGCTTATTCATAAACTTAAGGATAATTCGAGAAATTACTAAAGTACTCCATCGAGCCAGACTATAATATTTTCGTGCATCAGATATTAATAACCCGATATAGTTCATTGCATTACCTTTTAAAAACTTACACTGCTGAAAAGTTTCAAGAGGAATAATTCACAGATAAATATGTCATTTTTCAGTTCCATTCGTCAGAAAGCTCCCTTTTTGGAACGTATTGCTGAGAGTTTTACACCTACAATGAGCAGGGATGAAAAGTTTCGTCTACAATATAAATTACCAAATGAAGAGCATATTGTGGATGATACTAACACCGATATTACTTTCACCACCCCATATGGACCTCATCGAAAAGATGAAAAGAGAATCAACGATAATGGAGCTCAGGTTACATATGTATTTTCTGGTAAACTATTTTTGACTCCCCATTTTTTGGTGTTTAGGGATGCATTTGATCAGAATTCATGTGTACTTATATTAAATATTTCTACAATTAAAAGAGTGGAACGATCCCCATCACAATCTTATGCATTTGCCTTGTTGGTGACGTTGTACTCAGGTACACAACTCCTTATTCAATTCATTGGATTACGTAACAGATCAGAACAATTTTGTGAAAAATTAAAAGAAATGTTGAAACATAATATTCCTAATGCTAAGAGACTACCTGAATTCGTAGAGAGTTGTTATTCTGATTTTTTAATTCAAAAGAATATTTTAAGGAAAAAAGATATAATTGCCCCTAAAGCTGGATTGGGACAACATTTCAAGTATCCAGGGCAACCTGATATCTCAAAAGAAAAAGCTAAATTGAGATTATGGTTTGAATATTATAAAGAAAATGGTGAAAATTTAGCCATAATACAAAATCATACATTCCAAAAACTAGTTAGGATTGGTGTCCCTAGTCGAATGAGAGGAGAAATTTGGGAATTATGTTCAGGTTCCATGTATTTAAGATTTGCCAACCCTGGAGAATATGGTAGATTATTGGAGGATAATAAGGGTAAGACGTCTCAGGCAATTGATGAAATTGAGAAAGATTTAAAGAGATCTTTACCAGAATATTCGGCATATCAGGCTCCACAAGGAATTCAACGATTAAGAAATGTCTTGACTGCTTATTCTTGGAAAAATCCTGATGTTGGCTATTGTCAAGCAATGAATATCGTTTGTGCAGGACTTTTGATTTATATGAGTGAAGAACAAGCTTTTTGGTGTTTATCAAATCTTTGTGATATTTATGCACCAGGGTATTATTCTAAGACCATGTATGGTACTTTATTGGATCAGAGAGTATTCGAAGCATTTGTTGAGGATAGGATGCCAGTACTTAATGACTATATTGTAGAGCATGATATTCAACTTTCTGTTGTATCTTTACCATGGTTTTTGTCATTATTCTATACGTCAATGCCATTAGAGTATGCTGTAAGAATCATGGACATATTTTTCATGAATGGCCCAAAGACCCTATTTCAGGTAGCATTAGCAGTATTGAAAGTTAATGGAGATGATATTTTGCAAGCTGATGACGATGGTATGTTTATTGCTATCGTCAAACATTACTTTCAGACTTTACATGAGAGTGCTCACCCAGATTCACCAGATAGTAAATATAGACAAATAACCAAATTTCAAGAACTACTAGTAACGGCATTTAAAGAATTCAGTGTCATCACCGAGGATATGGTAATACATGAAAGAAATAAATACAAGAAAACAATTTTCGAAAATATTGAAACGTTTGTAAAGAAAACCCAACTTCGTCGTATGCCTAAAACTTTTATTTTATCTGATAAAGAATTGTCAAACATTTATGATGTGTTTTATCAAAGCGTTGAAACACATAAGATCAGTTTGGGGACAGGTTCATCGAATATGACTTTTGACGTCTTCGTTCAATTCATGGGTAAATTTTGTGACTGGGCAAAGCCTTCAAGAGATGACAATGATCAGGTTTATAAAACTCAAAAGCAAACATTTTTAAGAAAATTGTTCAATAACTGGGATTCTTCTAAACTGGGAGAATTAACAGTTAATGATGTAGTCCTTGGGTTAGATAGGATGACTTCTCCGGATCTTTTGGAAGCCATGAATTATTTTTTCTCCTTATATGATGAAGATAATGATGGCCAACTTCAAAAGGATGATGTCTTACAGATGTCAGAAGGTTTATTATTTTTGACTACTCCCTGGAAAACTGGTAAATTTGTCGATTTACTAACCAAAAAGGCTATTGAGGATGATATTGCTGATGAAATAGTAAAGGAAACTAGTATTGGTCAACAAGCAAGTGGAGAGATAGAATTACCATCAGGTGTTACTATCGATGAAGAGAAATATAAAGCACGTCAATCAGAGCGTTATTTAACGGCTGCAAGTAGTTTCTTACAGAGGTGCTTTGAATATGCAGAACCATTACAACTTGATAAAGAAGTGGATCTATTGGACTTATCAGATGATGAAGGTAAGAGTGATGAGGCCAAGCAAGCTAAGAAAAAGAAATTTGCTAGCATAGTGGCAAATGCTGCATTAGATCCAACAAGACCTACCGTCATTGATCTTGCCACTTTTAGAATGGTAATATTAGCCGATGAAACATACGAATTATTCTTTTCAACCACATTAAGAAAATCAATACACTTGGAGGAAGGTGCTGATGATTCTGGTAATAATCAAGTTCTAAAGAGTATGTTTGATGGTATTATCGCTGATGGAAGAAGAGTGGCCGAACGTGTCCGTCGTCGTGTTGATTCAGTGGCTACCAATAAATCTAGAGCAGGTTCAATTGAAACAAGTACTACAACAGAATCTATTCATACCAGTGAAACTAATAACAAAATGGTAGATTTAGATGATTTCACAACCGATCATCTCGAGGAGCATGAAGAATTGCTACAGAATTCTTGGCTAGATGTGGATGAAACTACTGATCAAAGTGCAAGACAAGAGAGAAAAATAGAACCAATGTCCTCTTCGCTATCTGAGAAAGAACAAGACCTCATAGAATTTGAAGCATAAAAGGGCTCTTTATCAAAAAAAATAAAAAATTAACTCCGATCTACCCACCATGAACAAATATCTTACTGCAAACCTCATTGTTTATATCAATATATATCAACATTTGCATAACTCCTGTAAAGCATTTTGTATTTGACTCAAATAATATATTTATGTGTAATGGACTGTTCTTGACGTTCCCGACATACAGTATCACGAAACAATTAGAAGGGCAGATCGCGCCCTATGGAGTCGCTCAGGATTGGTAAATTTCGGAGAACAAGAATAACCACGTCGAACAGTATCCAAAGAACAGACAGAAAGACATACAAAAGGAAACTAAAGTTCGTTATAACATAAGTAATATATCCATCTACATTAGTCACCTGAAAACTTTAAGAATAGTAAAAGTGAAGAGAAACTTTTGTTTATCTTTAATCTTACTATTTCTTTGATAAAACCCAATCCACCATGCTAGGGATAAGATCGTCCTTGACATTAATACCGAAATTACCAGCAAGGCAAATTGGTCTGGTAAATGTCCCTTTGAAATCGTTGACTTTAAAAAACTGCATTCATACAAAAAATATAGATGTCAGAATACGACCTATCATAAATAATTTGCTCTTAAAGAGAACTTTTATGAGCACAAATGTGAAACACCCCAGATGGGATAATCGAATCTTTTATGCAGATAGCTCGGATAGGTATACTCGTTTGAATAGATTCCAACAATTTAACAATAATGGCAATAAAGAAGAAGATAATTCGGTGAGAAATGTCACCGTAGTTGGACTTGCCTCAATGGTCGGTATCTATTTTGGTTCACAATATTTATTTGACTACGTTCCTATCTTTTCGTATTTTAAAACTCATCCAAAAAGTTTTGTATACGCTTTATTAGGTACCAACTTGGCTATCTATGGTTTATGGCAATTACCTAGATGTTGGAGTTTTATGCAACGTTATATGTTACTTCAAAAATCCAGAATTCCGAGTTATTGGTCCATCGTTGGAAGTGCTTTCTCTCACCAAGAATTTTGGCATTTGGGTATGAATATGTTAGCTTTGTGGTCATTTGGTACATCTATCGCCACTATGCTTGGAACATCTAACTTTTTTTCGTTATACATGAATAGTGCCATTGCTGGGTCCCTATTTTCTCTATGGTATCCACGAATTGCAAGAATGGCAATGATGGGGCCTAGTCTTGGGGCCAGTGGTGCCTTGTTTGGTGTATTAGGTTGTTTCTCTTATTTGGTTCCTCATGCGCAGATTCTTTTGTTTGTATTCCCGATCCCTGGTGGTGCATGGATTGCATTCCTGGGCTCTGTCGCATGGAATGCAGCTGGCTGTGTTTTGAGATGGGGTTCCTTTGATTATGCAGCTCATCTTGGAGGCTCTGCAATTGGTGTATTGTATGGATGGTATATTAGTAAGCAGGTAGAAAAGAGAAGACAAGAAAGGTTTGAAAGAGAAACAAGATGGTTAAGGTAGTTTTATGTGTATGTTTGAGGAGTTAAAACTATCTCTGTTAGATGTATTTTATTTGTAAATAGTCTTTAAATTATTAAATATCATTATGAAGAATATATATATTGCTATGTTTTTCTGAGGTGTCTATAATGAACATTGATCGTTCATAGAGAGCGTTGGATATCCATGTTGGTGCTTATGTTTGAGTAGGTGTCGTCTTTTTAGTTACAACAAAATAGCCATTTTTCGACTTCTCTGTATTTCCTGTGGAATTCCAAGATCCACTAAGTTCATCTTCATATTTATTATCTTTTTGTTCTTTTATTTTACTCAACAATGCCTTATAATCTAGAGGTTTGGGAACTCTAGGCATTATTCTAGCAAACATAGTATCTACAGTTTCATCATCTAATGGAGCCTCCTGTAGACTCTGTAAAAGTAATAACTGTTTACCTAGTATTTGTTGGATTTTTTTGATGTTGGCATTTTCCACACTAAATCCAGAGAGTCTCAGTAGTTTTTTGACTGTTGCTGGACTAGGAAGGTTATCACTAGAGTCTGGTTCAGTTAGAAATTCCTTCAAGGACCACGAGGGACTCTCCATAAACTGCTTGATCTCTTCCAAAGACTTAAATTTCTGACCAACTGTTACCTGTGAAGAATAAAAATAACGTGAAGGTAGTTGTATCTTACAGCGAATAATGGATCCCTTTAGAAAAGGTTTAATTTGATTGAGCAATGGCATGGTTCTGGATAAAAATATGAACGGTCCAACCGAGAGTATGTATATATGTATGTATATATATATATTTATGACGTGCCAATGTTTGATCACTAATTATGTGAGTTCCTCTATGCTACTTTACATCACGACCTCTTTATCCTCGAGGTTCGAAGGGTTTCCCTATTTAGAACGTCCCATTTGAGGGAGTCTTTGTAATCGTTATACACGACTGGTAAAATAATTTTCATCATAGTTAAAGAAAAATTTTCAAGTTGAAAATACGGATTTGGCGATGCCCGATGAGCTCTTCATTCTCATCGCTTCTTTTGGTCTTTCTGCAATAACAGAAAATTTTTCAGTGGGAACCTATAGATGAATAGGTTAGTTATTTAAACATATATTTGCATATTTCAATATTCTTAATCCCAGCGCTAAAAACATTAAGTTAGAATAGTAAACAGAAACTAGATAAATAACAAAAATGAGAATTAAGAAGAAGAACTCTACTGGTAACGCTAAGAACTTTATCACCAGATCTCAAGCTGTCAGAAAATTACAGATTTCTCTGGCTGATTTCAGAAGACTATGTATCTTCAAAGGTATTTATCCAAGGGAACCTCGTAATAAGAAGAAAGCAAACAAGGGATCTACTGCTCCAACTACTTTTTATTTCTCCAAGGATATTCAATATTTGATGCATGAGCCTGTCCTAGCAAAATTCAGAGAACATAAGACATTTGCTAAGAAATTAACTAGAGCTTTAGGAAGAGGTGAAGTTTCTGCTGCAAATAAATTAGAAGAAAACAGGAGTACTTATAAGCTAGATCATATCATTAAGGAACGTTATCCAAGTTTCCCAGATGCTTTAAGAGATATCGATGATGCATTAAACATGTTATTCCTATTTGCTAATTTACCTGCAACTAGTCAGATATCGGCACGTGTAACCAAGGATGCACAAATGATTTGTAACCAATGGTTGGCATTTGTTGCCAAGGAACGTTTAGTGAGAAAAGTATTCGTCTCCATTAAGGGTGTCTATTACCAAGCTACAGTTAAAGGTGAAGATATCAGATGGTTAGTTCCATATAAATTCCCTGAAAATATTCCATCAGATATTGATTTCAGAATCATGCTAACTTTCTTAGAATTTTACTCCACATTGATGCATTTTGTTCTATATAAATTGTACACTGATAGCGGTCTTGTATACCCACCAAGATTAAACATTGAACAAGACAAGATCGTTAACGGACTTTCATCATATATTCTAGAATCCAATGAAGAGACAAGTGCATTGACTAAACCATTAACCCAATCAATTTCCAGTGATGTTACTACCTTGGATTCTTCCGCCATTGCATCAGCTTTGAATGCTGATAAGAATGATGTTGAGATTGAAGAAAATGTCGATAATGAAACAGAGAATGTAGAAACTGTTAAACTTGACACCTTTGAAGATAAAAACAAGAATCAAGGTGATATTTTGGCTCAACCAAGTCAATTTAACTCTCCTGTTGCCACTTTATTTTCCAAGTTTGTGTTCTATATAGGTAGAGAAGTTCCATTAGATATTGTTGAATTCTTAATTCTTTCTGGTGGTGGTTCCGTCATTAGTGAAATCTCTTTAGATCAACTAGAAGATAAATCTAGTCTCGATTTATCGAAGGTTACACATCAAATTGTCGACAGACCCGTATTAAAGAATAAGGTTGCTGGTAGAACATACGTCCAACCACAATGGATCTTTGACTGTATTAACAAATGTGAATTAGTTCCAGCTAGTGCATATCTACCAGGTGAAAAGCTTCCACCTCATTTAAGTCCATGGGGTGATTCTGCTGGTTACGATCCAGAGGCTATTGAAGAAAAGAAGGAAGGTGAGGAATCTGAAGAAGCAGAAGAAGAGGAAGAGGAAGAAGAAGAAGGTGAAAATAATTCCGACGAACAAGAAGAGGAAGAAGAATCAGAAGATGAAGAATTGGCTGCTCAAAAGGAATTAGAACTTGAGGCACAAGGTATTAAATACAGTGATAACAAGAAAGAAACTCCAGAGAAGAAGAGTAAGAAGAGAAAGGCTACGGATGAAGAAGATGAGGAAAAGAAACTGAAGATGATTATGATGAGTAACAAACAACGTAAATTATACAAAAAGATGAAGTACTCGAATGAAAAGAAGGATGAAAGAATTGAAAATCTAAAGAAGAAGAAGAAGCAAATTACAAAAACTAAGAGCAAATTGCAAGAATTAAACAAGAAATAGTCATTTCCATTTTACAAACATTCTAATTTATCGGAGAGTGATTATACAATATTTTGATTGAATTGTGAAGATTTTATATCGATCAGGCTGTTTTAGGTAAATAACAAAAATATTAAATATTTTAAATGTATATTATTGTCAGAAGTATTTGATTACCAAATATTGGGGTACTCATTATTGTATAGCCTTTGCTTTACATTTATACGTGTGTGTATGTGTGTATATATGCTGGAGACACAGTACTCTGTGAGTCGATTTGATTGTGTCTTTAAATTAAAAATCAATCCACATCCATCCTAGAGTCCATCGACTTCCTGTCCGGTACTGTTAATTCAACATAGCCTTGTAATTCTTTCTGTAGATTTAATAGTACGGTCTCAGTTAAGTTCATTCTATCGATATCGGTTGCCTTATCAACATTAATAAATGCCTTAATTAAGAAACCATTTTTAGTTATTTGTTGTTTAGACGAACTTCCTATATTCCATATTTTTTGTGATTCCACAATAAGGTTATGTTTCAGATTAAACCTGGCTCCAACGGTTACATATTGGTATTGAAAAACGTAACCGAGTTCGTTCAACATCTTTTGTAAACTTGAATTTGCTCCTACGTGGGAAAGTAAGATAGATTCATTAATAGTTTGCATCGATACCTTTCTGTTATTTCCTGCAGCAGGGATATCAGATATACTAATATTCCAAGCATATTTATTCTTTGTATCAGGTTTTGTTGTTTCTTCGTCATCAACTTCCATCGCATCAACTGATCTTTTTGTTTTATTTTCGTTGATCATATTTTGTAGTTCCACATATTCTATTGGTAGGCTATCATCTCGTAATTTCTTTAGTATTTCGTGGTTATACTTCATGGCATTTCCTGAAGCAGTAGAAAATTCTTTTAACATTTCTAAGGGCAATTCTTTCGAAACTTTAATTCTATTCTTTTCTACCAGTTGATTCTTAGAGTTTACACCTTCTATTTGATATGATGGGTTGGGGATCCATACTGTTGATAATTTAGAATAAAGAATTGGTGGATTACCCGATAATGTTGTCAATGTCGCTATGAATAAATCGTAGGATTTGTCATCTATTGAACTAAATAAACTAAGTTGTTGCACCATTTTAAATGCGTTGCGAATGTAATAGAGTCTATTAAAGTAAGTTTAAGGGAATTATAAACCTTCGGGTATTCAACTATCCCTTTATATTGTGGCGTTTTAGTAAGAAGTCCTGTTTGTTATAATTAAGTGATGATTTTTTTTTGCTTTTGTTTTTCCTTGACCTTTCAATTTTCTGCAATCCAGATATTTTTCAATATAAGGCAGCACCATTTTAAAGATGAGATGACCAAAATTGTACAGTACAATAGTTCAGTTTATGAAAAAAGAAGGGTATTAAGTGTGAGTTTCAATATATCTGTATATCAGTATTATTATAAAACTCAACTGAATTATAAATAAAGGGATAACGAAGACAATGGCTGTGGATATTCCTCGTTCGGTGGTACAAAAGCTAATGGGTTATACCATTGCTATGGTATCTCTACCATTAATAACTTTCTTCCTAATCCAACAATATACACCAAACACTTTGATAAGTGGTGGTCTGGCTGCTGCTATGGCTAATGTCGTACTAATTGCGTACGTTATTTCTGCTTTCTCTGAGGATACTACTGATTACGAGAAAGAATCTAAGAAAGATTAATTTATCCCAGGCGGAATCTTTCTTCAGATATATTGGGCGACTATATACATATATGTATATATATGTATATATATGTAGATGACTTCATAATATTTTAACAATAAAAACATGAGTTTCTGGTATTATAACAGATAATATTAATTGATTGAAGTATAGTTAATAAAAAATTACTTTTATAGATGTATATAATATACTATAGTATAAAGCCCTCAGGATATATGCAATATTTACATATATAAAACTCAGAGATGGAGAGTATATATGTAACAAAATGAAGAAGGGTAATGTATTTCATTGTGTGATTTGAGTTTTCTTTCGATAGAAAAATAAATATTCGATAAAATGTTCTATTCGTTCTTCTTTAATGGATTTGTGGACTTCTCTAGAGCACCATAACTGATATTCAAGCTGGAAATCCAGGAAAGAGCAACTAAAAGAATGACAAGTAAGATGAAAGAAACTAGTAAACACATTAATAAACCTTCTGTCCATATTTCACTTAATATATCATCATCACCTTCAGAACCATTTTTTGGTGTTTTTGTAGAGGTTGGTTTAGAATGGGTTTGAGTATGAGAAGCAGTTTGCATTTCAACGTCATTATCGAATTCTTCTAATGTCATGACGTCTGCAGAATTCAACACAATGTCTACGTTCACATTCAAATATTCTTCAACAAAGATCACAATTGTCTCTAAGTATTGGTCAACGTCGCGGATATCATATTCCTTACCATAAAACTTGAACCAGATAGCACGTTTCTTCTCAACATTAGCATCCTTTAGGACATCTAGTGGGTCGAATTCTAAATCCTTCATCTTGAAGATAAACACCTCATCATCAGTTGGTTCGACTAAGCTAGTTTCATCTGTTAAAACATTGGTGACACCGTGCTTAAAGTATTGGTTTAAGAAAGGAACATTGGAATCATCGGCTGCCAATGATTCTAGGATCTTGGCTTTAACGAATTGTAGAACAACTATTGGTTGATCTACAGTTGCTGTTTCTATTATATCTTCTGTGCTCGATACTCTACCATCTACGATATCTTGATTTCTTAAGGAAATGTAAGAAGTAGATGCGGCTGCAAGTACTAATTGGCAAAATAATGCAATCACACTCAAAAACTTCATTGTTAATAGACTGCTTCTGTCTTCTTTTTATTTTTTTGTTTATATGTTGACTTAACAATATGAATCTGGCGTTATATTTGATGTAGTTGTAATACAAATTTTATTGCATTAAACCACTGTTGGTTTAAATTAAATTTCTTTAATTGACTGCATCGCTTATTATTTGGCAGTCAATGTTGCTGGATACTTTTTTTTCTTCGCTGCTGGAATTTTGCAGCCAGAGAGGGTAACACCGCTGACATTAAATTAATAAAATGACAATGATTAGGAGCACGAAAGTGTCATCTATCATAATTATATGGCAAATATGATAAAGTGATTTAGGAACAAAGTTTTGAGTCTGGTATATTTTTTTTTTAAGACTACGAAAATACACTTAGGGGGCTATTAAGAAAATCAAAATATATAGGCTAACAGGAAAAAAAGTATATTACCAAGCAAGCCATCAAAGAAATACCAATTTCATCAGACTTAATATCAGTACTTGTTAAAATAGATGGTATTACTGATGAAATTTAGGGTAGCTAGAAAGATAATCATCTTATATCTGTCCTCAAACACTAAGGTAAAAAAAATTAAAGTAATGATACCCGCGGGGTTTGAACCCGCGCCTCCGTAGAGACCAGGACCTCGACCTGACGCCTTAGACCACTCGGCCAGAGTATCAAAACTAGATTTCAAAAAAAATGATACAAAAAATTGTAGCAATAGTTTCGTCCGGGTAAGCCAATTTTAAAAACATGAAATCTGTAACCAATATGCCATTTAAATGTTCTATAAGATATTCATATATCCTTACACCTGTTGTTGATTCACTTTGTATTTCGAAAATTCAAATATTTCCTTTTTTTCCCAAAACTTTGACCCAAAATTAGATATCTTGACCCTGTAATCATTACCTTCTCCCAACGTCAGTTTTGCTAGAACATTCACATAATGATGGATTTTAGAAACAATTAAGGGTATATTTCTTCAAGTTGTTGATTCTAATAACGTGATATTAGAAGTTGTTAGCATCTCCTCTAAATTTTTATTGCACAAGCTAGATCAACTGCATTTTAACGTCATCTGACTCTTATCTCTATTTTATATCTTCAGAGGAGGAAGAATTTAGCGCTAGACATTATAGAAAGAATGCTCTACCTGTGTTTTGCAAAATGGTATTTAAATAATAAAGAATGACATGAAATATGTACGCTTACTATATGGTGTGGCACAACAACAAAGAAATACACTCTGTAAAAATAGATCCATCTTTTTTTCGGTTTGTTATGGTCAAGAAGGTGGTTAAAATTTGAAATATAATACCTAATGCATATATAAGACTAGGATAAACTCGTTCCTGGTTTTACGTGGTTCCAAATTGATTCTTTTACAATGGATTGAACAAGATTTACCGATCAAAGTTTCACATTTTGGATAGACATTAAACTGTTTATATCCATAAAGAGATTAGTGATTTCCCTTTCCGAGTAATAGTGGGTTTCCAGGTATGAAACAAACTACATATCTTCTTTGCGCTCTTTTTATTCGATTAACAATCTAAGAAATATCTTCTACATATACATTATTTTACAGATATATTTTGATTATTTTTCAACGATGCTTATAGTCGTGCTTACCGTAAAGCAGAACCAAGATTTTTTGAATACTTATGTCGTATATTACTCTTTCGATCTTAATATTAAAAGGAAAAACTCCGGATCGATATTTAAAATAATAAATTCTCACTAATTTTGTATATTGGCGTCAGCCCTAACATATCTAGTTAATAAATTGCTGGGTTTCTCTCCTTATTTTTGCGTGTTGTTTCACTGAGTCGTGTGAACTAAAATAAAACGCGACACAATCTCTTCCTCTTTCTGTTTGTTCGTGGTTTTTTCTCTGTTTCTTACAGCGCGTGGATGCTTTCGGTCCTCTTTTGGCGTGTTTCAGTGGTGCGTGCGCGTTATATTCTTCTTTCTCGTTATATATGTGAAAACACGAAATGCCAAATGACAACAACTGGAAGGCAGAAGACTCAGTGTAAGGGCAAGAGGAAAGTTGTTGTTTACTTGGTAAGACAGTTGTCCCTGAGTAGTAGAATATTCTTACAGCTAACGTATGGAATATCTTTATGAGATATACCAGCAATGGAAATAGAACATGACGAAAAAGCGTGTAGTTTAGTGTGAAAGGAATATAGGTAAACTTCTTTTGCAATATTCTGCATTGTTAACGATGATAGACTAAACTACGGATCAGCTTGGCAATTTTCCTTTTGAATAGAATATCGTAATATACAATTGTATGTAGGTATGGTTTGGCGTTTTCGTGTATAGTGAACATTAACAAAAAGTAATGGATGTATGAATTATGGTTTTTCTATGAAGTTATTTATATTATATTGTGACATATTTCAAATTCAATTAGTATATAACAATTAAGAAAAATAAATATTAAATGTATATATAGGAATTAACTATTAAATATCTTTGGTAATCATTCTAGATTTGTGATTTGAAAACAACTATAATAATATAAAAAATAGAATACTACCAACTTATAAAAAAAATACAACATGAAGATTCCCACAATAGAAGTAAAACATATATGTCATGAAAATGATAAAATCACATCATTGATAGACCCTGTCAGTATAAAGAGAAATTCTCCAATAATAAGTAGTTCAAAAGTCTTTAAAAGAACAAGAGACAATGACAATAACGTTATAACTCAAAAACACGATGATAATAAAAGAAGAAAAATTCTACAAAAGAATGATTTAGATAAGAAACATAGAACATTAATTATGGTTAGTGAATACAATGAAGATATCTTTAAGTATCTTTACAATAGAGAAAAACAAATTGGTTCTACATTTAATTATATGAAGGATGAAGAATCTCCTTATAATTTTGGACCTTCAATGAGAGCTATCCTAATAGAATGGCTTATTGAAGTACATGAAAAATTTCATTATGTTCAAGAGACTTTAATATTAGCAATCGCTATAATGGATAAATTTTTATCTCAAAATATTGTAACAATGTCAAAATTACAATTATTAGCTGTTACATCATTGTTTATTGCATCAAAATTTGAAGAAATTAATTTACCAAAATTATCAAATTTTGCATACATTACAGATGGTGCAGCATCAATTAATGATATTAAAATTGCAGAAGCATACATTCTCAAATCATTAAAATTTGATATTTCAATTCCAAATCCATTGAATTTTTTTGCTAAACCAACTGAAAACTTAAACAAAAAATTAGATAAAAAAACGATCATCATTGCAAGATACTTATTAGAACATATATATTGTTGTCCACACTTCATAGATTTAAAGCCTTCACAAACAAGTCAATTGGCCCTGTTTCTAGCAAGAGAAATTAATGCTAACTCTTCCAACAAAGACGTGGTTCCACCATCTAAGGATAATAAACAATTTTGGAACTCTTATGAAATATTAGTGCAAGAAATTTCAAAACCTTCTACTAATTTAAATGTATTATTTGATAAGTACAGAAGTGAAAAATACCACAACGTATATGAAGAAGTTACAGAATGGTGTAGCAAGAAACCATTATAGATTTGACTTTTGCGTGTTTTTTCACTCTTGGTCATTTTTTCAACGTACTGTAACAACACTATATAAACAATTCTACATACCCTAGCATAGTTCATGGTTCCCTTCTCCCCGGCACATGACATTATTAAGAACAATTCAACTGCATTTCATTAAATATTTATAACACAAACATATATTTATTTTCACACATTTTTCTTCTTTTAAAAGTATCCTGTTTCAGTTTACTCATCAATTTGTTGATCTCTCTCTCTCTCTCTCTATTAGTATTATGAACACGGGTTCACGACAACGCCGCACCAAACTAGTCTCTCTAGAAGCGTTGTTAGGGTTCCCCCGCGATGACGAAGCAGCCAATAAAGAGAAGAACTCCCACAGGTGAGATTTTCAGTAAACAGATTGTTTTGTTTTGGTTTATATAAGTGGATGGCGATGACATTTTCAGCAGGAGAACAGAAGCTATTTTTTACTGTTTAGTAAAATTTAAGTACAAAAGAAGGTAGTCCCTGTAAACTTTTTACATTTGTTTAACTTTTCCACTTATTGTTCGTCTGTCAAATAGATGAATGCTATACTAGTACTTCATTCATTTTTATGAATATTTTGTTTTCTACAAATAACTCGAACATACAAATATAATTATTAATAAAGCATTTTTTCCCTCTGGAAGTTTTCTGAAAACGATTCCCAGCATGCCTGCAAATGTTTCTAAAGTTGGAGTTAAATATCTGTTAGAATCTGTAATGTTAAGACTGGGTTTACGGTCTCAGAACCAACCACGCGTGCAGATTAGTAACATTAGTTCTAATGAAAGTGATGCATTACAAGCTCCAACTCCACCGACTGCTATACCATTATTAACCATACTAAGAAGACTCCCTAGTTTATTTCCACGTTCCTTTTCAGAATCATACCAAGATTTTAAACAATTTCATTCAAATCAAGAAAGGATTCAACAAGATTTATTATCGACATTTCCAATATTTGATACTACTTCACAAAATAATAATGTGATTGCTAAATTTTTGAAAGTTCCTATTGATAATCAAGGTAATTATATTAATGAATTATGTATAAAACCAGCCTCGCCTAGTAAACCCTTGAAACATTTAATTTTTATTCATGGATATGGTGCAGGACTTGGTTTCTTCATTAAGAATTTAGAACATTTATCGTCTGTGAACAATGAATGGTGTATTCATGCAATAGATTTACCAGGATTTGGATTTTCTTCAAGACCGAAATTTCCTTTCCAATATGGTAAAATAAATTCATCAGAGGTTAATACTTGGTTTCATGCAAGAATATATAAATGGTTTGAAAAAAGATCCTTATTGGAGAGACCACAAAGTAATCTCATTGTAGCACATTCCTTAGGTGCATATCTTATGGCACATTACGCGAATAAATACCCGACACACTTTAAAAAACTTGTTATGTGTTCACCAGCTGGCGTATGTCATTCAAAAAATATTATTCAGGACAAGTTGAATAAAAATATTCAAAAGCATGCAAATTTGAATCCACCTTGGTGGTATTCAGCTTTATGGGATATGAATTTTTCACCGTTTTCTCTTATACGTCATTCAGGTCCATTGGGTTCAAAGATAACGAGTGGTTGGTCATATAAGAGATTTAAAAAATACCCATTACAAGATTTAAATCAATCTTCATTGTCTGAAAAACAATTTGAGTTGCTACACAGATACACATATAATATTTTCAATAGACCTGGAAGTGGTGAATATTTATTACCATTTGTATTAGGTTGTGGAGGTGTCCCTAGGGACGCTTTAGAAGATACTATTTTCAAAAATGTTAACGACACTAGATTATTTAAAGCTAAATGTGACTGGGTTTGGATGTATGGTGAAAATGATTGGATGAATAAAGATGGTGCACAAACTATTTCTTATAATATGAATAACACATATGGTTCTAATAAAAGTAAAGTAATTATTGTTCCAGGTGCAGGGCATCATCTTTACTTTGATAATTATCCTTTTTTCAATAGAGAAATTATAAATGAAATGAATGATATATGAAATATAATGCTAATATTCCTACATACTTTTTAAAATGTATTTAAAATTAATATTCTTTAGTAAAAATAACAGTTGTAATAGCTTTTTTTAACTTTTGTTTACATTTGAAAATATTCGTTACATCCATAAAATTGTTAGTTTTTAAACAAGTTATAAAACCAAGTTTTCTTAAATAAGGAAAAAAAATTTCAATGGTTTTTGAGAATTAAAGTTGAATGAATTAAGAGATTAAACATAATTGCAACAAAAATAGGTTACATGTGGCTTAGTACAGTCACCATCGAAATTTCCAAAAAAAATATCTCCAGGGGGCGAGTCGAACGCCCGATCTCAAGATTACTTGTAAAATTACAGTCTTGCGCCTTAAACCAACTTGGCTACCTAGAGGTCAATTTTCAAAAGTTTTCAGAAATAGCTCTATAGAAACGACCCTTAAAATTTCAAATTTGAGTGGTTTTGTAACTATTAACCTTTATTTTGTTTTCCTGAAGCAGAATATCAGACATCTAAAGTATTAATACCAAATAGAACTATCACCGAAAATCATTAATTTTGCTACTTTGTTTATTGTGGCCTTATTTGTTATAATATATTAAGTGGCAATACTTAGTTATTTAACATTTTTCATCTAGTAAGATTATTACTAATTGTTCCATAAGGTTCTAGAACATATTAGTAATAATGTTCCATAACATTCTAGAACTTTCAGAGGTTTTTCCATGATGTTCTAGAACATTCTTTAAGAATATCAGTAAGCACACTATCAGTAATTGATAGCTTTGCCACCCTTTTCTATAAGTATAAAAGGGCCACATATTCTAATACATATGTATATTATTTCCTTTTCTTATATCTACTTTATATAGCATATAATAAAGTACTAGAATACATTTGATAATCTATCTCGATGTCCGATATTATAAACCCAAACAATAATCGTACCTTCTCGATATCCAACTTACGTTTACATAAAAACACTGTTGCAAATTAACAATTAATAAAATGAGATTGAACCCGCCAAAAATATATAAGAATGGAAAATAACCCAGCGATATATTCAGGCGATTCGTATAAGAAGGAATATGGCTTATATAAAATAAATACTACGAAATGTTAAACAATCAAGTTTAAATACTTAGTAGAAAATATGAGGTAAAATAAACACTCAATTGCAATTACAATTACAATATTAAAAAGCGCCTGAATTAGAAATCACCACTAAACAAAATACTGATGAATTAAAAAAGATAAAAAAACAATCTAATTCGGACTATCTACTTAAAGAATCACTAATTGTATGGCTAGAAGCGTAGAAATCTAGAATGTTTCAAATGTTCCTTAAAACCAATAATATCAATGTGACAAAGAACGGCAGAGCAATGCTAAGAACAGAGCAGAACAAAAATTCAGCAAGCAACACTTACACATTCTTCACATAATCCTAACTTTATCCTCACAACCAATCCCGGCATGCAAAAATGTTGATGTGTCATCCTCACTTCCAATCTCTCTCTTTATATTCCCCGTCATAATTTGCCTGTGGCAACAATTCCAATGGCATTAGTTGAAATTTCATTTTCCAGCGAGGGTCTCTGAGTAACTCCGCACGCCTAATTTTTCACCGTTCATAGTTTTTTCCATCTCATCACTCTCAGATCCATTCGGCAGACAACCGATTACACTTTTAAACGAGAGTAACACTTAGATAGAATACCTGGGAATATGCAGGGATGTAATCGTTGAGTAAAGCTATTGCATCGTTGTTTTTACATCTATATAAATATATTCAAATAAATTTCATTTTTTTATAATCGAATAATTATATTTATTTTTTTCCATTTTGTTTTTAAGCAAAAATAAAAAATAGATATTCCATTCTGTTATTACTTCGACATATAAGCTTACTAATCAAATTCAATTGATATATTGTAGCAACTATGACTAACAATTCCAATAATCTTAAATTTGAGAAATATGATGACCCAGAGATCAAGAGGTTTACTCACATGAACAATGGGGAGGCTTGGCAAGGTTTATTGACAAGAGAACAATATGCCGACAGAGAGCAATACTTGAGTGAATCTGGAATTGCCCAAAAAAATCATGATCCACTCGCTAAGAAATTATATCCAGAAGGTTATGAATGGTTTGGTATTAAATTCTTCGCTTTGAAGGATACAAGTTTACCAACTACAAGTAAGACTAGTCAAATTGTATCTAGTTGTGAGACATTAAATAGATTGGGATATTGCACCACTAGTGGATCTAAAGGGAAAATTGAATTATGCTTGAATGTTTGCATTGGTGGTGTGTTCACTGAAAAGAAGTTTAGGGGTCAAGGTTATGCTAAAGTTATGATTGAATCACTCAATAAATATTATGATGATTTACGTTCGACACCAGGTGCACCAGATTTCATTAAGAATCTAGTAATTACACTTTATAGTGAAGTAGGTGATTATTATACACAATTTGGTTACCATACATTACACGTTCCTTTACATAATATCACGCATGTTGATGAATTATATCAAGAATACTGCGAGGGAATTGACTCTGCAACTGGAAGATTTTTAGGATTTGAAGATTATGAGGATTTAGTTAATTTACAAGACGAGGAATTTAAGAAAGATCTATTAAGGACAAATGGTGCCAATAAGGATTCATTTATCTTCATGGTAAAACCAGATATTGAAATCTTCAAATGGTTCCAATACCGTGATATTTTCATCCAAGAGAGGACAGACAATGGAACCACCCAACCACCATTTGGCTTTGAACTAGATGATCGCAGTCATATCATATGGCATCACAATTGGAATGATAATAAGTTGGTAATTACAAAAATATACATATCTGAGAATCAAAAGATGAGGTCAGAAGTAATCTTGAAACAGTTGTTTGCTAAAGCAATCAACGAGGCCAGAAGAACTCACCTAGATATTTTACAATTCTGGGATTTTGAAATCCCATTGAATGAATTTCCTCAATTACAAGCCACATTAAAAAAAGTTTGTGATGATGATGAATTGTACGCGCAAAATGGATCCATCAGCGCTGTAAGACCTCCTCCTGGATATAACAAGGATACCATTATCTGGGAGAAGAATACAAAGTTTTGTTGGTTTTGATCATATGTAATAAAGCAATAGAATAATTATATATATATATATTCATATCTATATCTCGAGCAATTATTAGATACCTGCACTACCAGTCAAAAGCTAAAAAAAATAGGTAAAAATGCGATAACTTCGCTAACAAAATGAAAAATTAAAAAAAAAAAGGTGAAAAGAATTAAGGATGCTATCAATATAAGGAACTACCAAAAGCAATGAAAGAGAGGTTAGCTTGCCAAGGATAACAAAGATTACGTTTCGTTACGCATAGTAAATATTCCGAATAAATATATTGTCTGTTTAAGAGACTAAGCATTCTTATATTTCCTCAATGTTTTTGACTAAAGTTGGTCTTATGATAAGTCCGAGACAAGGGGTACTACTTCATGTACTCCCCAAATGTAGGATTCAACAGACGTCACTTCTAACCTTAGGGAGAAGATCGGTTGTTACATCAACTATCGATTGGAAACCTATAAAAACACACCATAATCCTAATGATAAGGAAGAAAAGAGAGGCTCATTCGGTAAGAAAATTGTGCTTGGATTAATGTTTGCTATGCCAATGATTTCATTTTACCTAGGAACATGGCAATTAAGAAGATTGGAATGGAAGACAAAATTAGTGGCTCAATGTGAGACTAAATTGATGTATGACCCAATTCCCTTACCAAAGAATTTTACAGTCGATATGTGTGAGGATTGGGAATATCGTAAAGTTCGTATTAGAGGTCATTTCTTACATGATGAAGAAAGATTTGTGGGTCCAAGATCCAAATATGGTGAAAAGGGGTATGTTTTGTATACACCTTTTGTTAGAGAAGATACAGGTGAAAAATTATTGGTAGAACGTGGATGGATTAGTGAGCATAAAGTTTCGCCAGACACTAGAACATTACATCATTTGTCATTACCAACGTCAACTATCGATTTGATTTGTTTAGTACGTCCACCAAAAGTAAGAGGTAGTCTTCAATGGGATCAAAATGACAAGAATTCAAGATTATGGCAAGTGGCAGATATATATGCTATCGCTGATACAGTAGGGTGTAAACCAATTAATTTCCAAGCACTTTATGACTTGAAGGATCATCCTTCCTGGAAGAATTCAGAAATCGATAATTCTATGAATGGTAGTAATTTTCAAGGTTCCTCATGGTGGAAGTTTTGGCAACGTTCTAAAAAGAAAACTATAACTAAAATTGACACCTTCTCAGGAGATAAAGATGAGAATTTAGAATTCAACGAATTACAATTGATTAAAGCAGGTGTCCCTATTGGTAAACATCCAACAATTGACCTGAGAAATAATCATCTTCAATATCTGGTTACGTGGTATGGTTTATCTTTATTGAGTACAATATTCTTGGTTGTGGCCCTAAAGAAGTACTGGTTAGGTGGTGTTGTATCACAGTCCAAATTAAGATCAGAGAAATTGAAGAATGCCAAGAAGTATATGTAATGGTACTGAATGAACTTATGTCTACTGTGTACCTTGTAAATATCATATATATATACCCTTATTTTTAATGATAAAACAACTTTTTATCGAACTATTTTTGCACTATTACGACATTATATTGCAGGTAAATAAACACAGCAGCACCAATCATTTATCAACTTATTTTAATTTGAAATAGGAAAGATATATAACTAATTAGATATACTAACTATTCGATTTAACGTTTCCCATCTGTAAGTAATTCTGCTTACAATTTCTGAAATGGCACTGTCAGGTTTTCGCGTCTTTCACATCTAAAAAGAAAAACGAATAAAATGAAAATATTTAAATAATAATATAAACAAAGACTGTTCATTCAACTTGAAAGATATGGACCGCTAAATTAAATATCAAGGATAGTTGTATAAAGTTGTCACATTGAATTATATACTGCAAATACACCAATCTGAGCTTATTAACTTTAAATATATACATATATTTGACATCCTTTTTTTGTTGTTATTAATTTTTTTTGACTTGATTACTGATGTCCGAAATCAAGAATAATGAATCTAGTTCAAGAACTGGAACTGAATATAAACTATCTGTGAGTAGTAACCCCGGGTCTAGAAGATCATCGATTGCCAGCATAAACGTAAACGATAATATCAATGGTAGAACTGGAAATGTGAATGGAGGTGGATTTGAAAAGGAGGGAGACCAGAATGTACTTCAGGAGTATTTGGTTCCCCAAATTAGAGAATTGACAGATTCAATAGTGACATTAGATAGTAACTTAGCACGTTTGAATACGATTCATGATAACCTTATCGATTTAAATGAATCGTTTGGTTCATTAATATATGGGATATTGTGTACATCTGCTTGTACAGATTTTCCGGGTGTTTCTTTGGACATTGAAAGAGAATTAAGGGCCATTAAACGTGTACAAACATTACAACAAGAAAGATTACAATTGGAGGAACAACTTCATTCATTGAAAACAAGATCATCCCTGAGTACCAATAATAGTAAACCTTCATCAGGGAAATTTTCTGAACCATTATTTCCAGCAAGAGGCACCACAACGAATTATAGGACTTACAACGTTCCTAGAAGGAGATCTACCAAGAATAATAACAATCCTGAAAATGAAAACATATATGATGATAACAATAGTGAGGAATCATTTGTGTTGAATCCTCCAGTTCAGAAACAAGTATCATCAATTGGAAACCCAGGGTATGCAACGAAGCAGAGATCCATGGCTAATTCTAACTCCAAACAATCAGGCAAATTAAGAAGGAGGTCAATCCTGCATACCATTAGAAATAGTTTATTAGTAGATGATAATGTTGGAAACCAACGTTCAAATAATAACCCGAGGGGCTCCAATAACTTAGAAAGACCTTCATTAGGTGGATTACCCACAAGAAACATAGATAGAACAGCCCAAGAGGGACCACGGAGAAATACCTTTTCTGCTGCGTTTAAGAATAATGAATCTTCAAGAAGAGTTACAAAAATACGGCCACAATCGAAACCCAAATCAATTAATGAAAGGCCACCATTTAGGTAGTATAGAATTTCATTGATTTACTCTTTGAATGAAAGTGATAAAGACGGAATTTCAAATCATTTACCCAACCAACACCTGAATTAGGGAATAAAAACGACATACAATACATAACCGAATTCCTGTAGCGGATAGGAAATGATCATTAAATTCATGATTTTCTATTAGTGGTATAGGTTGGTCTGGATTTTGGGATACATTAATCGACCATCATTACAATGAAAACCCCTACATAAAATATTCACCTTTATATTTATTTTATATTTTGAATTGGGAAAAATGTGTAAAGACGTCCTTCCAATATTAATATTGAGTTCTTGTTTGATAAAGAAGTGCATACGGACAGTGATTGAGGTATTACACACGTCCTGTAAATGAACAGTCTTGAGGGATAATCTGGGCACTGACTAGAATCCCTACTAATTGTTATCACTTTCAACGAACATCACGAATTTAACTAATTTTCAAGTTCCAACACACGTAACAAGGCAGAACTTAACAACGCTTTACATTTTCGGCTATGCTTATTCAGTAAAAAAATTGGTAGATTCACGGATTCTTGAGTTAGGTAAGCCAATTAAGGTGATTTATTCAACTATATTCTCACCTTAAAGTAATTAAGGAAAGAAACAATACAAAAAAAACATTAAGAGAATGTCTCAATATTTTGGTAAAACCATCTCTCTAATTTCCGTCACTGATAACAGATATGTGGGTTTGCTAGAGAATATCGACTCTGACAAAGGTACCGTTACTTTAACAAACGTACGTTGTTTTGGTACGGAAGGTCGTAAGAATTGGGGTCCTGAAGAAATTTACCCAAGTGCTACAGTATACAAGACAGTCCAATTTAACGGTAATGATGTCAAAGATTTAAGTATCCTTGAAGTTGGATTAGATGAAGTCCAACCTGTAGTACGCCCAAATAACGCTCCTGTACCACCTCAACAAGGAAATATTGAGCAACCATCTCAACCTCAAACTCAAGAACAACCTAAACAGGCATCAGTTAGTACTCCCAAGGAAAATTTGCCTGCTGCTGTCGCAGACTATGGTGTATATGCTCCAACTGAAGGGGTAAATACTGTTGGAGTTTCCTCTGAAGCTGCAGATATAACAACTGATTCCGATAGACAAAGAGGATCACACCAAAACAAATCTACCTACAATAACCATCGCAGACAACAACAGCACCATCCAGATCCATCTAGAAAGATCGAAATTCCTACGGATGATTTTGATTTTACATCAAACAATGCCAAGTTTGCAAAGGAGGCCCCAGAAGGCCATGTAATCGATGAACTTGAAGAAGTCGAAAAGGCTAGTGGTGAAGAGCCTCATCCGGATGGTTTCTACAACAAAAAATCCTCATTTTTTGACTCCATTTCTACATCTGCTGAGACCAACACAAATATGAGATGGCAAGAAGAGAAAGTCCTGAATATGGATACATTTGGTGAATCTTCTGCAAGACCAAGATTTAATAACAGAAGAGGGAACTTTAGAGGTAGAGGCAGAGGTAGAGGAAGAGGCGGTAACCGAGGCGGTAATAGAGGCGGTAATAGAAATTACAATAATAACAATAATTACAGAAACAATGATTCTGGAAATTTCCAAACTGGGTTCACCAGTAACAACCAAGTTGAATTTTAATGATCCAATCCATTTTAACTATTTTGTTTTATTACGTTTGTGTTTTTTATTCATTTATTCATTGTGGGTTATTCAGATTGCAGATAAAGTTAAATAAAGGGCTCAATCCAATCTAGTATAATTTCACGTATATATATATATATATATATATGTATCACATAAAAGTATGAAAAATTAACAATATTTGCACATATTAATACTTGTATCTTCATAAACCTTCCAGGTGTTGTAAATAATGTCTCAAAGAATGGGGTTTTTAAATGTTAAATATGTATATTATATCGTCGTATATATATAATGCGTCTTCATGAGGGTTAATTATGTCAATTTATACAAATGAAATGATTTTGATGCTGTACCAATTAATAATGTTGAGTTTGAAGAATCAACATTCATAGATGTAATTCTTTGTTTATTTATATCACAATGCATATCGAGGGGCCATGACTCTCCGTTAAATAAATCAATGGCATACACACCACTGTCACTTCCAATGATCATACCGTTAGAATTTGACATATATCTCATTATAGGTTGCGAATAAGAATCCTGTGGGATCTGGGTGGCTATGTTTCTTAATACTTTATCATAGTGAGTGGTAATGCCAGAGTTCTCTTTTTCGATATCGTTTATTTCCCTGAAATATTTCTCCATTTTAGGGAACTCCAGTAAGATGAGTCTGAGGAATGGGATATGTGACGTTGCTACACCTATTAGTGTTCCAGAGTTAATTATAGTTGAGCCATCAATAGCTGCGTCAGAATTTCCGTTAATTAATACCATATCTCTTATAGTAAACGAGTGTGTACTAAATTGTGCATTATTTAACGCAATATTGAAGCAATTTTGTAAAATATTTGAATTATCTAAAGTATAACATACAATATGAGTAAAATCCATTCTAGTTAGAAAGATAACAGGCTTTGTAACTGCTTTATTATCAATATTAAGTGTTGTCTTAGCCATATTTAGGGTAGTACATGCAGATAATAATTTTACTGTTGATGTAATTGTTAAAGTAGGCATTTCATCTTTTATACGCAATATACTTAAATGCATAGTATTATCCATAGAAGCTGTTAAGACGTACCACGATTCGTTGTCATTCATTTTTAAAAATTGAATATGAGTGATCATTCTACCATGAGGTTTAAATGAAGAACCAGGGATAAGTCTGTAATCCTTATCAAATAAGTATATGTTACCAGACATTGAACATGCATATAACATATTACTACCCGGAATAGATCCAGTCAATTTAACTACCCCTATGGATTTCATATTTTGATCCGTAAGTTCTGACAAAATTTGCAAGTTATTATCAAATATTTTCAATTGTCTTGATGATGTAGATATGATTATATCATTTGAATTATTATCACAAAAATTGACCTTAATGGGAATTCCATCTAATGTATGAGATTTAAAATTATCGAACGTACTATCAAAATTCCATCTCTTAATGTGAAATCTATCATAATCTATTGGTGGAAGCTGTTCATTCAAAGTAAGATCCTTCAATTTAGAATCAAGAATGTAATCATTATAACTTATTCTATCAGATATTATAGACTTCAGATCATCAATATGAGTATTAGAGTTAGAATTGTCATCATTTGCCGTGACAGATACAGGAATAGATGTTTCCCTTAAAAAGGATTTCAATGTCTCATTATAACCTTGTTTTTTCAAGTATTGGGCAACTAATACCGCTGTGTATTTGTCGATATTTTTCTCCGTAGAATCCATTATCAAGATAATTTTTATGCTCCACTTTAAAGGTGTTTATAATCGTTGCAACCTCTTAGAACAGCTCATCGCATCATTTTTCTTTTTATTGTTATTATTAGTAATGGCTGCTTATTCAAAAATGAAAAATTTTGGGAAATTGTGAAATGAAGTTTGTTTGACTGCTTTTCTTTAACATCCGTACATCTTCAATGTTTTACAAAAAAAATATTTGAAAACATTTTTGAAAAATTAAAAAAAAATAAAAATAAATTGTTGCCATCGCGATGGAAATTCTCAAATTTTGTTAGCAGAACTGATACCTCTTTCTTTGTTAGCAAAATTTGTTCAGTGTTAATCTCTGAAGTGCAAGGCGAGATGGGCATACATTCATAGGTGCTAAGTTATGCGAGCAGTAAACTAACTGGGTCCTGCAATACATCGGTAAAAGTAAATTAATAAGTGGTTTAAGATAATAGATATATAAGAAACTTTATAAATTCTTTGGCTTGTATAATTTCATTCACTATTCAGAAATAAACCGTCAATAAACTATACAACAAAAATGGGTTCCGGTAAGCCAAGAGGTTTGAATTCCGCTAGAAAGTTGCGTGTCCACAGAAGAAACAAGTATGTTAAAATAATAAAATAACTATGAGATGAAGATTTGGATAAAAATTGAGAGAGATGAAGAAAATGACAAGTGAATTATGCCATTTAATGTTAATCCGATGAATATGAAATAGAGCTAAAAAGAATACGATCAATATAGTGATTAGTTAAGGAAGGAAGTTTACAATAAGTTTTAAAAAGAGTGTGTATGCTATCAATTTACACGATGTCGAAATAATATCAATTATGTTTAACCGAGGGGATAGTAGTATTTCACAACTATATTATTTCCAATACAGAAATAAATAAATATTTGTTATGTTTGCAATTTTGCTATTCATTGTTATTGAAAACTGATCCTTCGCTCGAAATATCTACTCTTAATATTTTACTTTCCTCAATGTCATGATAAATACCAATGATGATAATAATATGAAAAATTTACTAACATTTAACAATATTTTCATTTATTTGATAATATTATTACTTTTATTACAGCCGTTGGGCCGAAAATAACTATAAGAAGAGACTTTTGGGTACTGCCTTCAAGTCCTCTCCATTCGGTGGTTCTTCTCACGCTAAAGGTATTGTTTTGGAAAAGATTGGTATTGAATCCAAGCAACCTAACTCTGCTATCAGAAAGTGTGTCAGAGTTCAACTAATCAAGAACGGTAAGAAGGTTACTGCTTTCGTTCCAAATGATGGTTGTCTAAACTACGTCGATGAAAATGACGAAGTTTTACTAGCCGGTTTCGGTAGAAAGGGTAAGGCTAAGGGTGATATTCCAGGTGTTAGATTCAAGGTCGTCAAAGTCTCTGGTGTTTCCTTGCTAGCTCTATGGAAGGAAAAGAAGGAGAAGCCAAGATCCTAAGCAGATCTTAAAAGACAAGCACTTATATCGCTTACTTTTTTCTCTAAGAGTTCCTCTCTGCTTTTAAAAAACTTTTCCATTTAATATCATAATACAACAATTGATTTAAAGAATTTAATAAAGAATATATCAGAGAAATAGTATTAACATTAAACCTCATTTTTCTCTACCAAGAATATTGGCTGTTATTTTCTTTTCATCATTTCATGTAATGTATCTGTAATCCATATTTCGGAGATATATAAAATTCAATAAAATTTGCACTTTAATTATAATCTTTCTATAGTATCATTAATGATTTAAAGGATGATATTTTATATAGATTATTTATTTAGTTACCATTTATGTCCGTCTTTGATTTGGTGGAGTTGATCAGTGAAGTTAACGCCTTTCCTAAGTATGGGTACGTTAAAGGTTCTGCTAGGCACTTGTCGGTTAGAATTTTTAATGACACTTGAAATTCCTGTATTATACCTTGATATTCGTTATACAGATGATGAATGTAAGGAGAATTTAATTGTTCCAGCGACAATAGCATAGTTTCACATTTAGATATTAAAGTGTATAATTGATTCACAAGGTCGCTGCACAGAAGGTCGTCCGTTTCCTCCACACCACATAAAGCATGTAAAGATTTACTTAGCTCTTTACTTAAAGTAATACTTTGTGCAAGTTCCTTGTGATTCCCTAATTGTATTATTATCTCATCTAACTTTCGTAGATATTCAACTGTATCGGCAACAACCTCTTTAGAATGAGTAACATCCTTCGTAGTTAACGTTTCAAATCCTGTCATGAAAGTATCAAGTTTGTTCTTTATTTCTTGTATTTGTAACTGAGTGTCGTTATCCTCTGATGTGTATGTATTGAAGAACTTAAGGTAATTTTCATAATTCGATGATACTTGCTCTAGTAAATCAGACATTATTACGGATGACAGTCCCGATAAATCCCTGATCAATGGGTCTAGTTCAACAAAGTGGTAGTTATTCTCCATGAGAAACTTATCGACATTGAAGTCTTCATTAGAAGGAGCATCTGTGTTACTTATTTCTTTTGCAAAAAGATCACGGTTAATTTTGGTCGTTTCTGGTAAATCAAGATTTATATCATCTTCTTCATTTAGAAAATCCATAGTAACTATTCAGCTGGGACGTATTACGTATGGTTCAAATGAACATGAAACGCTGAGGGTGTTTGTTTTCTTCTCAACTTAATCCTTTTGTAGTTTTGCATATGTTTCATACATTTTTTGTTAACGTTTCCAGCGCTTTCGCCTTTAATGGGCATCTGTATTGTCAGTAAATCAGCCACCTAAAGGAAAGAACTCAAAAACAGAATTAATATTCTTAATACTTTTTCTCAAATTTTCTGGCTGAGCTTTCAATTTTCTCTGCACCTCTTTCAAAGTATCATTGAGCCTTAAACCATGTTTGATTTTGGAATACAGACCACATAAACCCTCGAAATAATGATCTCAAAGATAAAAAAACAGTAAATTGAAACACAAACTTCGAGGAAGCTTAAGAATTGGAGTACGTTGCTTTTCTATTCACCTATTTATCAAATAAATCATTGATTGAAAGGCCAGATCCAATCAGTTTCTAATTGGTTTTCTCATAATATTCAGCATTATATAAGCAAATAAAATGTCAAAATTTATCTGCTGAAGGGTTGGGAACATCTCGACCTATGTAAGTTATATTTCCACAGATTCAAATATTTAATTTTCGAAGTTCAATAGTTTAATTATTTCCTTTCGTTATCAAGGGAAAGTTAAACTAAGTAACGAGATAAAAGCAAATATGATTGTTCCCAACGTATTTAGTACCCACTTCAAATGCAATAATTCACCTTTCAAGCCATTAAACTTACCGCCTTAATTTTTTGATTACTTTTTTTTTATCCAGCAAAAAATTATGAACAGAGTTAACTATTTGAAGAGTAAACTTACAAGTTAATAATCTAACAAAATTAACCTATAATAATCTAATTATTGATCTCTCTAATGTGATATTGATATAGTAGTACTGAGGTTGGATATACTATCATGAACTGTGTGACGGTAAGTTGTGTTAACATATTCTAGAATATCTTAAAATATCTCTCTGCTAGAAGAGAAATAGTACCAAGGAAATTTAGTTACTCAATTGTCTTTACGAAGTCCCTTCGGATAGCTTAACATTTATTAGCGTCGCAATTCATTCACCTATATTGCAAGCTGTGCTTTCATTTATATTGGCTTAACGTGTATGTGTGAAACAAGCAAATATATTAAACCTTTTGGATAAACGCATGTGCACATCAATCAAACAACCCCTTCTAGTATGTATTCATAAACTCGTTTTTGTTGGATTTTGGAATTATTAGAGGAATCCATTTCTTGAATATGGTACAAAATTTAATTTATTAGAAATCAACGTATAGTCGTCTGATTTTTTTAGTATACAACTTATAAATAATATACAAAATAGTCAGGGAAATAAAATATTCCAATGCATGAAATATTGTTCCCTTTATATACCTTTGGATTTGGTTACATTTCGTGATTATAAATCTCCAATACTAGCATTGTAGAAATTATGCATGGTTTCCAAATGCGTCTTATTATTATCTTTTCTCATTTTGGGTTGTTAAATATTGAACATTATCAAATCTGACAATCTTTATTATTCTTTTATTCTTATATTTTATATTCTTGACGTCATTCTTCTATCATGTAAATTCCGACAGTTTTATACACCTCAATATTGTAAAACAAATTTTTAGTTTTAGTTGCATCGCCTTTATGCTATAATAAGTGTTACAGGGAAAGTATAAGTGCTCTTTAATTTCGTTATAGCATTATATGTCAACACCCATTACCCGGATGTAGTTCTTAATAAATAGTTAATTTCAATTCTGAAATTTTATTAATAATTGGGCGTGTGGTCTAGTGGTATGATTCTCGCTTTGGGTTTATTACTCGAATATGTGAGAGGCCCTGGGTTCAATTCCCAGTATGCCCCATTTTTTTTAATTTGTTCTTGAATAATTTAATATTTCCATAATTGAAACATGTACAATACACTAACATCTTATTCTTTGTTTTTAACTTCCATGGCTTTGCATTACCATTAATACATAACAATCATTTTTTTGTTGATTTAAAAGGTCGCCCTTTAAAATATATATATATTAATTAGTATCATAAATAATCAAAAATGAAATTTAAAAATTTCGAAATAATGAGAAATATATTAACCTTTTACATATAAATCACTAATACTACAATCGAATCATTACAATAACCATATACTTCGTTTATTCTATGGGATGTACTATTCGACACAGCTAAAAGCAATTCTAAGCCGACAAAGATTTTTCCATGGATTATCAAGAACGACTAGTGTTAAACTTTATAATACCCTAACTTATTCGAGATGTTATTCGTTATTGAGTACTCCAAACTGCCATATCAAGGAACTTGAGCAATTAAGTCAAAGGTTGAACCACAACGAAGAAATAGCAGATGCCATTTCAAACCAGAATGTTATGGGTTTGCTTAAGGTTTATATATCTAGTGAATTAAGTAGAATATCAGGAATAGAAGCAGATAAAATTTTTAAATCAATTCAATGGAATTCCAACTTAGAGGATAGTGACCTTGTACTACCACTACCAAGGTTAGGAAAGCAGATAGACAAGCCTAATATTTTAGCTGAAAAATGGGCAAAGGCTTTCCCAACAAACGATTATATCCAACAAATAGAATTCAAAGGTCCTTTCCTAAAGTTTTTTGTTAGTCCAAAGTTTTTGTTCAAATCTGTTATACCACATATTAATGCTACAAGAGAATTTTACGGTTTTCGTAAGCTTCAATCTAAAAAGAAAGCATTGGTTGAATTTTCGTCACCGAATATTGCCAAACCCTTCCATGCAGGACACCTAAGATCAACAATTATAGGTGGATTCTTATCTAATTTATATCATGCTATGGGTTGGGAAGTTATTAGAATGAATTATCTTGGAGATTGGGGGAAACAGTTTGGCCTATTAGCAGTAGGTTATTATAAATATGGCAACAAAGATCTTTTGAAATCTGATCCTATTCATCATTTATTTGATGTCTACGTTAAAGTTAACAAAGACAAGGAACAAGAAATAAGGGAAGCTGTACCTGTAACAGAATCTATTGATCACAAAGCTAAACAGTTTTTCAGAAAGATGGAATCTGGTGATGTTGAGGCGCTGAAGCTATGGCAAACATTTCGTTCTTTATCAATCGAGAAGTACATTCAAACTTATTCAAGGTTGAATATTCAATTCGACATTTATTCTGGTGAATCCCAAGTCCCCCGAGAAATTATCCAAAGGGCACTAGAAATGTTTAAAACTAAGAATTTATTAGAAGAATCTGATGGTGCGACATTGATTGATCTAACAAAGTTCAACAAAAAATTGGGTAAAACAATTATTAAAAAAACAGATGGTACTACATTATACTTAACAAGAGACGTTGGTGCAGCAATTGATAGATATGAAAAATATCATTTTGATAAGATGATATACGTAATTGCAACGCAGCAAGATTTATATGTTTCGCAATTATTCGAAACAATAAAACAGTTAGGTTTTAAATGGGCAAACAATTTAGAACATGTTAATTTTGGCATGGTGAAAGGGATGTCAACGAGAAAAGGGACAGTTGTCTTCTTAGATAATATTCTTGAGGAAGCAAAGCAGAAAGTATTGGCTACAATGCAACGTGACCAAGTGAAATATTCTCGTGTTGAGCATCCAGAGAAGATAGCGGATATAATCGGAGTCAGTGCTGTCATGATTCAAGATATGCAGTCCAAGAGAATTAATAATTATGAATTTGAATGGAATCGAATGTTATCATTTGAAGGTGACACTGGTCCATATTTGCAATATACACATTCTAGATTGCATTCTATTGCCAATAATCATATTCATCTAAACGCATGTTCCCCCAATTTTGATTTATTAGTAGAAAATGAGGCAGTATTATTAATTCGTCTTCTGGCACAATATCCTGATGTACTAGTAAAAGCTATGAGAACTCAAGAACCGTGTACTGTAGTAACCTATTTATTCAAAGTAGCGCATCAGGTATCATCGTGTTATACAACTCTCTGGGTAACAGGTCAACCGCAAAACACCGCGGTGGCTAGGTTAGCCCTATATAATGCTGCCAGACAAGTCATCAGCAACGGTATGCGTCTCTTAGGCTTAACACCAGTAAATAGAATGTGAGCAAGATAAGTATTTATATATTAGACTGCTTGGATTAATAAATGTCATGTAAATATCCGATTTTTTCTTCATCAGCAATTGCTTTGTTTGAATGCCTGTAACAGATATTTAATAAATTGTCATTATTGATTTGATACTGGCGATCTCCCGAAATGAAATTATTATGTAAACAGACAAAAAAAAAGAATTGAACTTGTTATAACAGAAAACACATACACAGAGCATTAAAACACAAACCTAAAAGAAACGAATATATATATACATATATATAGGTTCTTCTCCAGATTTAGAGTAAGCCATAATATCAGCATATTTTTATACACACCTTTGTTTACCCTATTTTTTTCTAATGGATCCAAGTTTAGTTTTAGAACAAACCATACAAGATGTGTCTAATTTACAAGCTGAATTTCAATATATGTTAAAGGAAATCAGGAGAGCTGATACTACAGCTAGTGAGCATAAAAAGAAATTTTCACAGAAGGATGTTCAGTTACAAAAATTCGTGAAACAGAAAGGGTCTATAGCAGATAATCCTGATGAGGAAAAGCTAACTAAAGAGGTCCATGAGGAACTAGCTTCACTTGGAAAATTACAAGATGAAAAATGTATCCTTGCAAATACTGCATTATTCCTTGTATCAAGACATGTAGCTAAATTAGAAAAGAATATAGCAATACTGGAAGAAGATGGTGTATTACCCCCATTAGAAGAAGAAGTATTAAGTGGTTCTGAGATATCAAAGGAATCGTCTGTAGGAAGTATAGGTGACAGAAAGAAAAGGTCTGCTACTTCGACTGTGGCACTTGGAACTGTGAAGAAGAAGAAAACTAGTAGTGGTGTAGGTCTTCAGAAATCGTTGTCACAGCAGCAACTATTGGACCAGCAGTTACAATCACAACAACTACAGAATATTAATTTAGCAAATGCCACCACTGCAACAGATGGAACTAATAATCTTGGTAAACAGACAAAGATGAAAGGTAGAGATCCAAGAATTAAAGGGGATGGGCATTCTGTTGAAAATGACGAAGAAGATAAAACTTTGTATTGCTTCTGCCAGCGTGTATCCTTCGGTGAGATGGTTGCTTGTGATGGTCCAAATTGCAAATATGAGTGGTTTCACTATGACTGTGTGAACTTGAAAGAGCCACCAAAAGGGACGTGGTATTGTCCTGACTGTACCCAAGAGATGGCTAAGACAAAACAGAAGAGGAAGAGAAATTGAACATTACTCACTGTCGGTTTGTCTGGGGCAAACGTCTACTTTGTGTTATATACATATATGTACATCTTTCTAAAATAGACTGAACTAAAATATCTAAATTCTACTATAGGATAGTTTGGAAGTAACGGTAAATAGTGGGTCAGATAGTTAACTACTTTGGTGTCCTTGAAATAGGTCTCAAAACATTTCTGGGCACGTGATCAGCGTGTCACATGACCGCTAAATACATTTTTTTTTTTTGCCAGAGCAACAATCGCACAACCCGAATATGAAGCATTCACTTTACGGAAAGTGAAAAATTTTCTTTTGACAAGGAGAGATGAGCTTCGAAATTTTGGCAAGTCAATGTACAGACAGCTCAGTTGTCTAAGGTTTGATTCTTTAAAAACAATTGTAGTTTAAAGAAGGTATTAGTGGATCTTAGTTTGTGTTTATTCTAACAGCAGAAGAGAATCACATTAACCTAGAAATAAAATAATAATTACATAATGAGTTTCAGAGGTGGTTCAAGAGGTGGCCGTGGTGGCTCCAGAGGTGGTTTCGGTGGCCGTGGTGGCTCAAGAGGTGGTTTCGGTGGCCGTGGTGGTTTCAACAGAGTTCCAGAAGGTCCTCCAGATACTGTTCTAGAGATGGGTGCATTCCTACATCCATGTGAAGGTGACATTGTTTGTCGTTCCATCAACACTAAAGTTCCATACTTCAACGCTCCAATATATCTAGAAAACAAGACTCAAGTCGGTAAAGTCGATGAAATCCTTGGTCCATTAAATGAAGTTTTCTTCACGATTAAATGTTCAGAAGGTGTCCAAGCTACAAGTTTCAAGGAAGGTGATAAGTTTTACATTTCTCCATTAAAATTGCTACCAATCGAAAGATTTATTCCAAAGCCAAAGGTTGCTGGTCCTCCAAAATCTAAGTCAAAGAAGAAGAAGGGTTCTGCCCCAGGTGGCTTTGGTGGCCGTGGTGGTGCCAGAGGTGGTTTCTCAGGTGGCCGTGGTGGTTCCAGAGGTGGCTTCGGTGGCCGTGGTGGTTCCAGAGGTGGTTTCTCCGGTGGTCGTGGTGGTTCCAGAGGTGGTTTCGGTGGCCGTGGTGGTTCCAGAGGTGGTTTCGGTGGCCGTGGTGGTTCCAGAGGTGGCTTTGGTGGACGTGGTGGCTCCAGAGGTGGTCGTTACTAATTGCATTAGACTTATATTTTGATTATTAATATATTGTGTTTTTATGAAATCTAACAAAGTAAAAATAAAAATAAAAATAAAATAATTGACATTAAAATATGAAGTTTAGTTTCATATTTGATTTTGATATACCGCCCTCTTTTCTACCGTTCATGTTGTATAATATTAATATATCTATATATCATTTCATATTTTAAAAATTAAGAAAAATTACATTATCCTAGAGGGATTGAAAATAAATCTTAAGGTCTTTATGGTTGTGAGATTGTTTATGGGGCTACAACTGAGATATTTTACCCATATCAATCATGCTTTTCTTACGTAGTATACTGCCAGATATATACAACTCATCGCAAATTTTTTAATCGTGTATAACATGGTATTCTTATTTATTTATTATTGTTATTATTTATATATTTATGCTGAGCCGAATAAATTGCCCATGGCGTCATTTTCGGTTGATGGGTCGTCCAACAAATCAGTTGCGCCCTTGTTCTTTTGGACAAGTTTTTGGGTGGCCTTTAAAAGATTTGCTTCCCTCTTTTCCTGTCTCTTTCGCTCATCTGCAACAACATCATTGTCGTTATCAGTCGAAGAACCATTGTTTCTCCTAATATAATCAAAGTATTCTACCATCAATGCTCTTTGATTCTTGAAATTATCAACTTTCCTTAGGTTTTCATATAAATCTTCAATATCGTAACCGTGTGAAATTTCATACAGGTATTGTCTTGTAGATTTGTACTCTTTGTACAAAGTTAGAAATAATACAGTAAAGACATACATTCCTTCATAAAATGAATCACGGTTTGAGTTGTTGGCAGTGAGGTTAAAAAGTAATGTTTTCATCACTTCTACTGTAAAGAATTCATCTACACTTTCGTTTTTGATAAGAACATCAGCTAGACATGACTTCATTAGAAGAACTGCATTGAATGAACACTTCGTGTCCTTAAATGAAATCAGATGGTTAAGTAATTTTAAAAATGGGGCTAGAATGTTAATATCTTCAAATATAGTCTTTCTCATTTTTATTTGATGAGAATTTAACTTACTCTTAGAACTCGAACCATTTTGTCCAACACTATCTATTAGTATCAATACAACAACAGTGGTCAACTGTCTTAGTAAGTTTTCTTCTAGAATCTCTTCTGTCATCTCCTCGTCATCTGTAGGCAGAGGTTCACCTTCGTGGCCTTGCATAACTTTACTCCATTTCTCGCATAGTATTACGTCAAGTGTGTTAAACAGTTTTGGTAAAAACACTGGCATAAATTTCGATGCACATTCATCTGGACAATTCTTTAAAATTGGTCTAATAGCCACGTTTAGGATATGTTTCCAGCCGTGAGTAGATACACCTGGACTGATTTCATTTCTTTCGGGCTTGTAAATAGCAATAGAATTAAATAACAGTTCAGGCATCTCATCGATATCAAAGAACACACTACCTAATGAGGATATAGCGGCCACAACTAACAAAGTATATTCTCTAGTATACCTCACAATATGCCCAACCGAATCGGCGAAATCTCTTAAAGTATGCATAGCTTTCATGTGTTCATCTATGAATTCATCTTTAGATTTATTGGAAGCACCTGCTTCCCAAAAACGTTCAACCGTAGAATATTTCACGAAGGATTGAACAACGTTTGGTAATTCTTTCCAATTTTCAGGATCATGGTAAGATTGTAATTGAAACAATAATCTTAGAATATATGGCAAGATTGGAACAATACGTGGTCTCCACATATCTTGTAACATCTTAAATTCGGAGTCCTTCTTCACGCTTTGCATAGAATAATGAATAAACATTCTTGTAGCTCTGACTGGGAATAATGTTTGCCAACGTTTTGTTAATTCCATTTTCAGTTGTTTACCTTCTTCATCTATCGGAATAGATAATAGATCACTATTTTCATCTATATTTCTTCTTTGGAAATACTCTGCAATCTTAACAATACCCAGACGTTCCATAAACCAAGGAAGATCTGATAAACCAACTTCCGTGCTTTTATCTGACCAGGCCACTAACTCACTGTCGACAAGTTCAGCAAACCTTTCCTCTTTTCTATCTAATGACGATTTTAATACAATTGTCAAAAGAAATGATTTAAATGATATCTTCTCATGGTATGATAATTTGGGGAGTATTCTTGAAACGACACTTTCTAGATCAGGGTATATACTTTTCAAAGATTCTGGCATTAATAAAGCCATTCTATTCAATTCAATACCACATGCATACCTAAGTTCTCTAACAGCTTCATACTCCTCAGTATTATTTTCTTCATCGATACCTGGATAATCCATGGTAGCTGTTGTAATAATTTTTTCTAATAATGTGAATAATACGTTATCCTTTAACATTGTTAAAAACAAAGCAAAATTTTGAATTTCTTTCTTTAATAACAATGGTTCTCTAATATTTAAGGCAATAAGTTGATTTGATAACATTTCTAATTTATTCAGAATATTGTCTAATTTTGTATCATAATCGTCTGAATTAGTATACCAAATTTTCCATCGTATACAACCATTAATGAAACATTCAATGATCATAAATTGTGATAATGCACTTAAATAAGGTTCTGATTTTAAATCTAAAAATGTTGAACCAAGCACTTGTTGACCATATTGTGAGCTGAAATAAGTATTTAATCTTACATTTAACCATTCATAAGCAAAATCTAATTTCACACAGGAGATCAATCTAATAATATCTCTAATATTTTTCCTATAACTTGAACAAAATGATTGAAATTCTGTTTTTGATTGAAAATCTGTTTCAGCAAATATTTTTGATACATGATCTGGAATCTGTTCATAGTATATTAATGCATCTGCTGCATATTGTAATAAATCTGGTATAATGAATTTTTCTAAATATGGTAAAAAATTATCATTTCTTAAACAAGAACACCATAAATCTAAAGTTAAACCGCTAACAATTAAACTTTCATTGTAGGTGGCCTTTAATACTAGTCTTAAATATTTTTCAACTTGATTTTCATTATCATCCACTTTAAAGACACAAACATATAAACAACTTATCATATCAACGAATTTCTTAATAATTGGATATTTGGCGTCATCAATACCATTTTTGGCATCAAATTGTAAACTATCATAAACTTTTTCTAAAGTATCAATATTATTGAAAACATTATTTATTATCGATTTGTAATGATCGTCATTACTATAAGGTCTTGTTAATAAAATATGCATTGAATCTAAAGCCATTGATTGAGCCTTTGGAATATCACTTAAGAAACAACGTAATAAAGTAGAAATGACATCATTTCTAATAATAACTTCACTTAATGGCCAATTTAAACAAGTCTTTAAAGTTTCTAATAATCTAATAACATATTCTTGATTATTTTCACTTAAAGCATTATTCAATTCATCAATCCATATTTTAAACCATCCATCATTACTTGATCTAAATAATGTCCATTTTTCAGTAAATTTATATTTAGATGCAAAGACTTCCATTGGACATACTATCATAACACATAAAGGTTGTATAATTGTCATTCTTTTAAGTACAATCATGTCATCTAATAAAAAAACATCTTCGAATAAAATTCTAAATATAATTAAAGTAACTTCTCTTGAGGCTTGATTAATATTCCATAATTCCGATAAATTATTATCCATATCAACCCATGATTCTGTTAAAAGTTCATCAGTTGGTTCTCCACCTTTTAAAGCTTCACCCCATGATCTTTTAGCAACTTCTACCCATAAAAATGCTAATTTTTCTTTAATATAACGTGGATCTTCATTTGTTACTCTATAATTTAATTCCATTATCCATTTTCTTAAAGCAATTCTTCTTTGAGCATCGTAATTATTCCAGTGTGTCTTTAATGCATGTGTTAAGAGACCTAATCCGAAATGTTTTACTATAAAATTTGATGAATTATTTAAAGCAATTTCATAACCCCATAAAGGTGATTCCTCTTGTAATTTAACATTATCTAAAAACTGTTGACTCTCGAGACGCTGTTCATTATTTGATTTTGGTGAATATATGACTTCAAGAGCTTTTATCACTTGAGCACCTCCGTTTGAATCCATGATAGTAAAATGTATATCTCTCTATACGGATGTTTGAAACGAATACTGTTATATCTTCTTGTTTATTTTTTATAATAATTATAATAATGACTATTTATTTCTGATTATATTTTGAATCGATAGGAAAGACAGTAATAAAAAAAACACGATAACGATTATCTAGCTTATAATATCAGATGAAGTAAACACAGTATCTGACACCTCTAATTTAACAAAAAAAAATTTAGCGAAATAAAATAAAATAAGATAAAAATATTGGATCAACTAGAATAAAGCACTGACAGAGGCTAAGTCACGATGAACTACCGATAGTATCCTGTATTTATCTATCTATCTAAATGGAAACCCACTTAATATATGTAAACCTTTAATTGTTAAGACACCCTCAATGCAATGCAACCGTTGTTTCAAGCCCATTTAATCTCTACATAGCGTATACGTGATGTATCCTTCTTTGATTCGAAGAATAATGATTGCCACTGTTCCAATAGTATAGTATCTCTCTCTATCCCGCGAGAAAGCCTCCCTTCCCTTCATGGGGCAGTTTCAATATGGGGGACAACCCAAAACATTAAATATTTTGTTTGTTTTTTTGGGTTTTCTCTCTTTGGGTGTGGAAACGAGCGAGAAAAAAATTGCGCAACGGCGGCGGAATCTTTTTTTTTTTGGCTATGTTTACGGTTAGTTTGCGCCTCGTGCACGGTGATGATTATATTAAGCATGTATATATATATATGTATATAGATATATAGATACATATGTATGGTATGTATAGATGGATGGGTTGACTACAAATAGAATTTCTTTTTGTCTTTGTCCATATCTGGAGTGTGTTCCCATTCTGTTTCTTCTCTGAGTCCTCTTTGTAATCTTTTTAATTTCATTGTAAATTGTGGACCTAATTCTTGTAAACCAACTTTCTCTTCGTCTCTAAAGACGTAACGATGCCTACGGAAGAAAATATAATCTCTTTGATTATGCAATGTAATTACTTGACGACCTTCAAAATCTGGATTTTGTGGGAATATAGATTGAAATAATTGACCAACTGTCTTACCTAATTTTGTTTGAAAATTATTTAATACTAATTCAGGTATATGACTTGTTGGTCTACCATGACCTGCAATTTTTAATACTTCAACATATGAACTTATCTTAAAATAAAATGTTGGACCTTCTGGTAAATGCATAAATGTTAAACCGGTAACTTTTTTTTTATCTTCATTGATTATTACCATATCAGTAAAATTACGTTTATTACACATATCAGCAATTTCTTTTAATTTAAAACCAAATTTACGTTTAACGAATTGAACATTTGGTAAGATTTCAATTAATACATTGGCAAATTCATATGCAGCTTTCTTAGCATTGACATTTGTTGTTAAAAAAATCTTTGGCGGATGATCTCTATGACTTGTATTAAAAAATCTCATTAAATCATTTTCATCATCAACTTCAATTTCTTCACCTTCAATATTATTATCTTTATTCGCTATAGTTTCATCATAAACTCTCATATTATCTATCGTCTTAGTAACATTTTCTTTTAATCTTTTTTCTTTTAATTCAGGATTTTCTCTTTCCTCTTTTGCACGTTGTCTTCTCATTGTATGACGTTCTTTATTTTTTTGATCTTTGATCTCTGCAAAGAGTTCTTGCCTCTTCATCTTATTACTGATGTTTATATCATTTTTCCCACTCATTATTGTGTCACTATACGTACTCTCTTTACTTTGTGTATGTGTCCTGTATGTACTAATTTCTTCTCTTTTAAATATCTTCAAAGTCATCTCATCTCATCTCATCTCTCTTTTTATATTGAAACTATAAATTTTTCAAATTTCAAAAAAAAAAAAATTTTTTTTTCGGTGCACGGAGCGTCACTGCCTACGGTGCAAAATAAGAAAACTTCAAAGCTGAAAAAAAAATATAGGAAATTTATGATCATTAATTGAATGCGACTATATAAGTATGTTATATATTTTTATATTTGATAGTTGTATAGTCAGATGCTGAGGTCATTTTACATGAGAAGTAAATGTTGTTGTTGTTGTTGATTACTTCTCGAAAGAGTTATTAGAGACAGTATTCTCTACACCTGAAATCTTACCTTGTTTTAAGATTGCATCGATGATTTGTTCAATTGTCTTGTCATTACCAAACTCTAGTTGCATTTGAGACATTGAAGCTTCACCTAGATTACCTTTGGCACCTTTACCTGCAGTAAATACTTGGAAAACATCTACTACATTTGGTAATTCAGTTAATTGTGGATCAGCTCTATACGCCAGAACATCAGCTTCGGTATTAGCGAATACAATCAAATCGGCCTCTTTACCTTTGTAAAAGACTTTGACTGCATCGGCAGTATTACCTTTCTTATGATTACCTGGAATCTTAGTCTTAGGTTCCTTGTTTCTCTTTTGCATAGTATTTAAATTTTCCATGATTGTTTGTTGTTCTTGTAGTTTGCTTGTTTTTTACTCAATTGATATATAATTGTATTTTATGAGTGGTGATATCGAGTAAAAGTATATGTAAAAACAATTGAATTAATGAGAAATAAAGAGAGTAGCGGGGATATATCTAATTGAAATATATATTATCTCACCTTATATACATTTTACAAAGAAACAAATAATTAGTAAAAATATTTAAAAATCCCTTGGTCCCCCCCCCGAGGTATTATTAAGCAAATCTAATTCTTAGGGGGGGCATGGAAATTATTACAGTCCGATTTAGTTGTTATTGCAGTTATGTGTTCTAATTTGTGTGTGATATGGTAATTTTACAATTCTATAGTTTTACGTATACGGCAAATTTAAGGGGTAGTAGACCATTACATTATCCCAATACACTCCGAAAAGAAACAAACAGTACGAAGAATCGATAGATAATTATTAGTTTACGTACTATTCCTGATATATCCCTCTCATTACATCTATCGTTTTGTTTCATGGTATGGATAATTGATGACAGAGATAAAGAAGGAGAGAATGTTACTATTGTTGTTGCTCCCAGTTACTTATTGCAATTTTACTTACTTCATAGACAGAGATGAGGTAATTGAAACGTACCAGTTAGTATTATTATTATTATTATTATTATTATTATTATTATTACAGGAAGCTGCCATTATTCTACCTGTCTGTCTGTCTGTCTGTCTGTCTGTGTGGGAATATATAATTAGGGGGCAAACCAGAGAATGGGGATAGAAGGGAAACACAGGTTGCCGTAATAAGAACGGAGAGATGAATAACCGCCCGGGATTCGTACTCCGTTTCCGTTTTCCTTAAAAAAAATTTGGCTTTGCGGATATTCTCACGGGGCTGTTTGAATTTTGGAGTGATCCCATCAAAACGGAGTGTAGCGGTAGATACTTACGATATTTGAGAGAGGGATGGCAGAGCATAAAGGATTTTGGGGGGAGTAGGACATATAGCTGTTGTAACGTATGACATGATGGGATTGTGTAAATGGTTAGTTTAGGTAAGTTGAATGACAGATCTTTATTCGTATAAGAAGTAGTTTTAGTAATAGTAACTATATATAGATATTGTATGCTGGCACTCATACGTATGTATATACATCATCGGGGTACGATGGTTGAGGTTTAAATTGAATATCTTGATGTATTTGTGTTTTTTCATTATATTGATTTACATCAATTGGTAAACCCCAAGATATTTGTAATGGTATGCCATCAATTGGATATTGATGTAATGCTATCATTGCTCTTTCGGCATCATATCGATTAACATATTGAACGATACCTTGTCGATAACTTTTAGAATCATTAGTATTAATATTGTTCTCGTCATTATCTCTTTTGAAAATTTGTAAATTATTATAATATGGTCCAAATGGTTTAAAATATTCTTCAAGGTCGGATTCATTAACATATGGTGATATTTTACTAATATATAATGTAGTATTATTAGGATCTGTCATATGATTTAATTTAGGTAATTGTTGAACAGGTAACATAAATAATGATAATTTATTAATTTTATTATTATTATTATGATATTGTTTATTTGGATATTTTTCATTTATTCCAATTAATTTTTTATCGGTAAACGGTTGGGTTTGTTGGCGTCCTTGTCCTGTACTATTAATCTTGATGGCTCTACCATTAAGATATGTACCTTGTAATTCAATCATTGCTCTGGATTGTATATTTGAATTAATAAATTTAACAAATCCATAACCTTTTGATACCCCTGTAATTCGATCAATCATAACTCTTGCTCTTTCTATCATGGTAGGATATTTATCATTAAATAATTCATATAATTGTGATTCTGTAACATTTGGTGCAAGATCTCCAACAAATAAAGAATAATTATTAGTATTATTTGTTTCGTCAATTGATTTATTAGTAGCAGTAGCAGTACCGAGAGTATTATTACTATGAGTAACATTACCACCACTACCCCAATTCAACTTCAATCGTCTTTGTGGGAATGAAGGGATATTCATCCCATTTTTTAATAGCGCATTTGCAGCTTGTTCATTTGTTGAAAATTCTATAAAACAATAACCTTGATTCTTTGTAATATCTTTATTTCCAATAGTAGTATTATCACCAAACCTACTATTATTGTTATTATTGTTATTATTCATCATCATTTTGACTCTAATATTTTCTTCTCCAAGTGTCTTCCATATTTCTTTAATTGTATCTTGTGTCCATGAAAAATCTAAATCTCCCATATATAATTGATTAGTGGATCTTAAAGCATTATTAGTAGTTGTATTATTACTAGCATTATTTATTGGATGAGTTCTTGTTGGCTCACGTTGTGAATAATTATTCGATCTATTAGTATGACGATTATCTTGAAATCCACTTTGATAACCGTATCCTCCATGTCGTTGTTGGTAATTATTATTATTACTATTACTATTAGTATACCCAGTGTTTCTCTGGTAATGACTATTATACTGGTGATAAGACATTCTTGGTATGCCCTAATCTAAATGAATGAATATATTAATTAAGCAAAAAGGGTGTTAATGTCTTCAAAATTTTGTTCTTCTTCATTTTTGTATTATCATTTTACATATATTTGTTCTTACTGTTTGATATATATATATATTTACTCAATAGTATTTTCTTAATTTTTCACTTTGAAGCGATGGCCTGTAATTTTTTTTTTTAATACGTATAAGAAATACTGTGCTTTTAAAACGGATATACTATGTAAATGCTAATGTAATATTTTCTTAAAAAAATTTACTACGTGATGTATACACATGGCTATAGATATATATATATGTATGTCTGTCTATATAGGGATTAGTAGTTTATTTTTTTATATGCAAAGGCCGAGTGACGGTATGAGAGGGGGGTATGAGTGTGAATGTTGCAGCTATTGGCAAAACTGGGCATAATATTGAAGGTTTTTCCTGGTTGTTTGTTTGTTTTTCATTTTGTAAAATAGATTTATTTCAACAACACACGATGATAAAGTTGATTCATTTTTGTTTTTGTTTTTGTTAAATCTCTGCATTATCGAAATCTTCAACTCTCTCGATATTTAATTTCGGAGCGAAAGTATTATTTAATTTACTTTGAAACTTACTTGGTTTCGTATGCAAAGGTTTTGAAATTTTATTACCGCTTAAACTTCTTGAATGTCCATCGGTTTTGTTAGTGTTGTTAGTGCTATTATGGCCCCGGTTTTGTCTTGTAGATAGTGAAGATGACGATGTAGATGCAGGTACAGATGGTCCATTGTTAATTGGAAATTTTGTATTAACAGTAGAACGTACTCTCGAACCAGATGATGATGAACCATTTTGTCCACGATTAGGTTGTGAATTTGAATTGAGATTGGAACCTGAAGTGCTACGGTTTGGTGTAAATTGGTGTCTTTGACTAGATTTTGGTAATACGGCAGATGTATTAGTTGCAGGTTGTAATGCTTCTGGTGGTAAGACGTTCCATGAAGTATTAGTTGTAGATACTTGTGAAGTCTGGTAAGGATATGCAGGTTGACCATATTGTTGAGCTTGGAAATCATGGATTGAGCCATATTGTGGATGTCCATCCTGTTGATCCTTATAAGGTAAATAATCTTCGGGGAAATAATTTTGTTGTTGTTCGTAATTAACAAACTCTTGTGATGCTGAATTGTAAGGCAATGGAAAGAAAAATCCAGAATACATTTGATTACCATAGACACCTTGAGGTGGAGGCATTGGTTGTGTTGCGTGTGATATCGAAGTCCGTTGAGGAACTGAAGTAAATTGTGGATTTGGATGTTGTACTTCGTATTGAATTTCATCCTGATCACCTTCATTTTCATCACTGGATAATCGATTTTCATCATGTGGACTAGCAACTTCATCGACAGGTTTAAGTAGTGGTTCTCCATATCCTGATCTATCACCAGCATCATGTTGTGGTTCATCTGATGAAAGGTCACCAGACACTAATCTTTGAGAGTTTCCAAATGATGAGAAAGATGTATGATGTTGATGTGTTTGATATGATGGACGAGGAGATGTCGGTGCTTTCTTTTTGCTACTTTCATAGAAATTACGATTAGTCATAACAACGGGGGTCTGTATTGCAGAAGTATTAGAATTATATGGAACTTGTAATTGATATCTAATGTTAAGATTATTAGGTACAGAATCTTCTTCACTAATAGTTGCACCACTTGATACATGTAAATTTGAACCGCCATTGGTATTCATATTGCTGCCGAAGCTCTCAAAGCCAGCATGAGATAGAATAGGAGCAGCAGCAGTGGCTGCAATAGGAGACATCATGTTTGATAGTGGGAATTGGTATTCATTTTGAGGTGCCTGTTGTTGTACAGGTTGTTGTACAGGTTGCTGTTGTGGATATTCGATGGAAACTGGGAAATAATCCAATGGGAAATCTTCATCCTTAAGACCACCTGTGTCTTGAATCAAACTATTTCCAGCATTATTCGAATAATTATCTCTTGGTTCGTCGGCTTCATTCTGAAGTAAATCCTTATTTTCCACAACTATTTGTTGTGATCTAATATCTGGGTTAGTTGAGGTTTCGTACATTTCTTGAGAATTCGTAGTATTATTCTCGTAAATTATCTCATTATTATGGATATTATTATGATTCGTAATAGTGGAATGGATATTATTATTGTTAGATGGTAAAACCCTTTCTTCTGCCTCACTTTCATCGATATCTTTACTTGATTCTTTTATTTCGGCTGGAATTTCTGAGTTATTACCATCTGTAATTTGTTGAGGCATTCCATCTGATTGGAGTACTTGGTAAGATACATCATTATTTGTATATTGTTGATTTATAGGATGTTGTTGGGTTGTATTATTTTGAATATTGTTTCTTAAATTTGTTTGGTTTTCTGGAGGGTTAGGTAACGTTTTACCTGATGCTAGTAATTCTTCTATATCTTCGAAGAATTTTTGTAATTGTTTAAACAAGGGCTGAGACGAACTGAAATTAAAACGAAACGATACTGCAGGTTGACCAATTGCAGTTGTACAGCATTGTTGGTTTAGTGTTTCTCTTTTCAAATCTCTTTCTAAAGCATCTGAAAATAGTTTCTCATGTGGAACACTAAACCAAAAAAATACTTTCTGTTTCTTTTGCGTCTTTAAACACATATTTTTAAACAAAAAAGATAGAAATTCAGATTTAGGTTGTTCCAATATAGCATCTACCCCACATTTTAAATTTCTGAGGTCAGAAAATATACCTTCTTCAAATTTTTTCTTATAGATTATTGCTCTACCAAAATTTTGCATCATATATTGACAAACTTTGACGATATCTGTCCCCGTTATGTAAAATAATTTATTCCAACATATGCATGATACGAAACCAAGTTCATTATTTAGAAAATATCTTCTTATCATTTGGTTTTCTTGCCAATTTACAGGTGCTGTTGCTAAAAAAAATTTCAGATCGTTAATGGCTGTAAGCGCCGTTCCGGCATCACTATGTGGTGGTAAATTCGTTACAGTTGCGTTTAACGTTGATATACCGTTTTCTGTATTTTCTTGGGAATCAGAATGTGTGTTATCAGATGCCGGTATCTCTATAGGTATCATATTTAGTTGTTGTCGTTTTAGTATGTAAAAATTTGTTATACTATTATAATTAGTGAAATTCGATGAGTATGCGTAACTTCGTTGGTAAAGTAATAAAAAGAATTGTAATAGATGGTAAAAAAAGACCAAAGAATGGATAATAGGTAAAAAAAAGTTTCTAATAAAAAACTTTACCCAAAGACGAATCTCTTTTCTAGGTTATATGTCTTTTGAGACTTTATGTCGGTTGAAAATATAAATTCCAAAATTTTTCCTGGTATATATAATATTTTTATGCCAATGGTTGAAATTTATTTTTAATGATTATATCCAAAATGAATATGTTTACGTAAGAACGTAAATGCTAGTTAATTTATGTTTATTGTTTACAGTTTTTGCTTAGTTTTGTTGTCAAAAATCTATGTTTTTGTTTATAATTTTTATGTAACTTTTTTTTCCAGCTTAACACTTCTTCTATTGAAAAAGACAAAAATTATTGAGATCTGGTTTTAGCGGTACGTGAAATATAGACAATACCGCATTTATTTTTTGGAGAGTAAATCTAATACACAGGTAATTCAATAACATAACCAAATTCACTAAATTGCTGGTTCGAATTCCGTACTCCAGTTATTGAGAATGATAAGAAATTGAGGTAGACACCTGTGAAAATTTTGAACAATACTATTTCCTTCGAATATTACTAAGTAACCAGGGTATTAAATCCATAAAGAGTTAATTAATTGCCCAATATAATAATTACACGTCTAATTCTAAGAGGGCATTTGTACAGATCAGAGAAGCAAATGAAGCATTAACTTGATAAAGTTCTAACTTAAGAGCTCTCTTAATTTTGTTCCCAAAAAAGATTCGTTTCAAAGAAAATTCTTGTCAATCTTGATGCGCACAAGATCCGTACTGTCACTATAAATTTTTGTTGGGTTTTTCAGCTGTTCCCCTGCCCTACGACGAACTAATGATATTATTTAATTGAAAAAAAGGTATTTAAATATATACTTCTGCCAATAATTCTTAATAAGAAGCTTTAAATTAAAGAAAACCAAATTTTTGAGGATTTATTCGTAGAGCGTTCATTAATAGCTAAAGTAGTTCTCCTGGGAAGCTACAGGGACTAACAGCAACTAGATTTTTCTAAGAGAGACAAACTATCGTACTAATGCATGTATTGTTTATTAACAGAAAAAAAAATGAGATCCACTATAACTTTTTTTCCTTAAAAAATTATAGTAAAGGCGCACAGATATTGAGCTACAGAGGGCCGATAGATAGATAAATATACCGCAGAGAAACTTATATAATATGTATGAAGAAAACGAGATCTCAGTAGATCTGAAAAAGGGATGCTCCGGCATTTGAATGTTTATGTTTTGGTAGTTTGCACTAAACAGAATTTTAAAGTACTATAAGTCTGTACGTCAGATTGTCTAGTTTTACTAAGGTGCTGTATTAATTGAATTGTGCTGGTAATTACCAAAATTTGCACAGTCAAAAATCCTTCCTCCTCAGCAATTGCTGAACTTGTATTGTTATTGTTTTTCTTATATACACAGATACTTTCGTAGAATCGTTTGTTTATTGTGAAGGTGCCCCACTGGTTGCTAATAAAAATATGTCAACAAAGTGTGTCAATTAAAACCAGGTTGAATCTTAAGGGTCTGGCTCTGTCTATCATTAAAGTCATATAGGTATTGAATAGTATATCAGTAATAAAGTGGTCTTTCTAAGTGATAAAAGGCGGCAATATTGGGTTAAGATTCCCCTCTAACACTGAATATACATATGTAAACGCCCCTTCAATGAAATTTGAATTGCGCAGCAATATATGTATATAATATGTTCTTGATGTTTATTTACTCTATAATATGTTTATTTTTTGCAGAGTTTTTTGTTTAAACACATCAAAAATATGACTTTGATTAACATTTGTGTATTCTACCAATTAATCATGATATGCAAGGATTAACGACGTGTTTCGGCATACATGTTACTAGTGGTGGTCTTCTACAGTTGAAGTTAACTATCATCAAAAAAAATATGTGACTAGTCGTTTTGAATAATAAGGAGAGCATACTTTCTACTCGACCCCTTTTTGAACTCTTAGAAAATTGGAAAGAAAAAGTTGATTGAAGTTTTTATCTCCTAATCATTTATAGAATATTAATGTTTTTATTTCAAATAGACAAAATTCTTATATAGTCTCAAGAAATAAATAGGGTTGTTTATTTATCAAATACACTTCACGAGAGCGGATGCTTCATCAAGTCGGTAAAAATATGTCATAGCATCTATCTAGAGACGAGTGATTTACATCAAAAGTTTTCTTCCCTTAATGATTTCTTCTCAAAAATTACGTATACGTAAAATAATAAATAATTTGCACTTGTGAGTAATAGAGTCGCATCGAGATAATTTTTTTCTTAAGCAAACAAATAATGAGAGTTTTCGACCATTAACAAGGAGATTGTTTGAGTATACTTTGCTCATTAATAGTAGTTACTTCGATTTATCTGATCAATAAGGTTGTAATTTTGGATTCAACTGTTTCAAAGTTGTAATAGCGCTTATTTTTAATTTTGGACATTTTTCCTTAATAAATTGTTTTATATCATTTGATACTTGAGTTGAATAAAGTAAAGTTAAGATATAACTTGCCAATTTCATATCTAAATAATCTAAAGAATTTTTATCATAGTCATCAGATTCTACGAATTTGCTAAATTGTAATAATGTTTGTTTAGCTCTATTAAAGTCATTAGATGTTAATGGTTTATTACCAAAAAATGGATATAAGTCAGTGTCTAATAATTGAGCCAATTGTGATTGTATACCAACAAATCTTAACTTTAGATTAGAAAGTAGTTCGTCTCTATAAATCATTTGATTTTTTATTATTAATGATGGTAAATTAGGTCTATTAACAATCATCATCTTTTGACTTGAAGCCTTAAGTGAATCATTGGTTTGATATGTTAATGGTAAAGTTATTTCATTCTTGTGACATAAACTTAGTTGTAAAAATAATTCAATTGGATCCATACAAATATAAGCTGGTGACTGTTTCCATTTAATTGGTTTTTCCTTAATTAAAAGTGTGAACGATTTTTCCGAAGAAATATCATTTTTTCCATTTTCAAAAACAAATGTTCTTTTGTTTAATTCATTTTGTAAAGCTGTATCTTTAATGTCTACTGGATCATAAGTCCTTAGAGGGAAAGTTGTAAATATACTCTTTATTGGACCTGGAATTGGTATAGCTGCCAAAGACATAGTTTTAAAAGAACGAAAAAGAAAAAGATAAAAGAGGTGTAAAAATGTTTAATTCGCTTAAGTAAAGATTCTTCTTTATTTATTCTTGCATCAAGAAATGATATATCAATCTTTCAAACGTTTGTTGATCAATGAGTCTTTTTAAGTTCCCCTCAAAAAAAAAAAAAAAAAACTATCTCTGTTGGGAAGGATTTTCGAAATATTACATTTTTTTTTTCTTGAAATATTATATGTTTGTTTTTCATAACGATGCGAGTATTTTTCGTTTACCATGTACTGCTATGTTGATCGATCATCACCGAAGAAAGAAAATAAAGGTTATGAATAGGATGATAAACCAAGAATTTATTTGATAAAAAGAAAGAAAGAAAGAGATGCATAATAAATTAATGTAATATGAGTTTTTCCAGTTTGCACCTGGAAATATCCTTAATTGGAAAATTTAAAGTCGTAAGCTTCTAGAATGTCGTTTGTTTTTTTGCATCGGAATAATATCTTTAAAATCTCAATATTTAAATTATTATTGAAACATTTTATATAGTGTGCCTGTAACGGAGGGTTAAAACAAAGACACATACGATCCAAATATAGCAGTGTTTTACAGTTACGATATTCTGTTAAATACCAGAGACCCTCTTGGTTACAAGATGTTAGTGAAGAAAAACTTTAACCTGACTATCTGTCCATAAACTAGGAACCTTCAGACCACACGACACATCAGTCAGTAATCTATGAAAGTGCACCCTAATCTACCAACATATGTATATATATATTATTTGATTGTCACATTCTCGTTGTTATGGAGACATTCATCCTACCATTGACCTCCCACTCTCTCTCTCTCTCTCTCTCTCTCTCTCTCTCTCTTTCCTTCCCGCCGCAAAACGGAGAGCGGTTAAAATATCTTTTGCTTGAGTTTCTCCTCACAAGGGCGCCGTAGTATGCGATGTGTGGGTGTCCATCAATCGTGACATAATAATCCTCAGTACATAATCCCCGTAGAGACAACTCTCTCCCTCCCCCTCCCCTTTTTATCATATGCAACTCAGTCTACTGAAGAAAATTGGAAATGCACCTTGTTCTTACTTTTTTCGGAATATCCCGTGCTCTGTAAAGTATCGAAAGCTCATCGCAGTAACTAAATTTGGTAACCTTTATTTGAGACGACCTCTCGAGGACTAACAGGAAATCACCGTTACTGATAAATTCGTGTTATTGGAAAACTGTTGATGCATGATTATTTGGGCTTGTATTTTGCATCTTTATGTCATCTTCCGCCCTGTTTTTCCTCGAAAACGTTGCAGTACCCCTTGTTAAATAGATAATTATAACCATGCTCACATAATTATTTTTATATATGTGATGAAGAATTCGGATAATATGTTGCCTGCATAGAGGGAGAATTAACAGTGAGAAAAGGTCTTCCTTGGTTGGATGATTCACTTTATTCTTTTTCTATTTTTTTTACGACCTCAACTATATCTTGATTTAAATTCCATTGTAGTACATACATATATCTATGTGTGTGTGTATGAATAGTTATTGATAAAAGAATGGATCGAAATATATATATATATGTAGATATAGATATTCCTCTTTCTCGTTTTCCATTTATATATATAGACGAATGTTATATTAATTGAATATTATCGTAGTTCCTTATTTCTTCTCTCCCATTTTTTTTTTTGCTATTGATTGATATAATTTAACTGAAACATACAACAGATAATAAAATAAATTAATATTGTTTCTATTTCGAAATTTTTCTTAATTATGGGTTCAATAAAGAAATTTTTTGGTAATCCTGGTGATCGACCTGGTATTCGTTTTCAAGCAACTATCCCGGAACAATTAATTCCAACTAATGTTGAAATTATTGATGATGATGAAAAAAATATTAATAATAACAATAATAAGACAAATAAAGATGATACTAATATTGTTCATGATTCGTCAATAACTAAAAACGAAGATACTGAAAGTACAATATGTTCTTTATCAGATGGTTCAACAACTTTTGAATTAAGTAATTTTAAAATTCAATCAAATAAAACTTTTGATATTAATAAAAGTTTTACAGGTTTACACAAAGGTTATATGGATTTAATTCTTGATAAATTAGTCTTTTTTGCTGGTTCGATTACTGCATTCTTTTGTGTCTGGGTTATTTTAATTATTTGGGTTGTTGTTGGTGCAGTTTATAATGCTCCATTTAATTGGCAAGTTGTTATGCAAGATGGACAATCTATTCAATGTTATATATGGGATACATTACTAATGAGACAACAATTATGTAGTAGTCATGAACAAATTTTAGTTTGTTGTAATTTAAAATCAAAATTGGATACTTTTAAAAGACTTGTTAAAGAAATTCATGAAAAAAAATTATTACGTAACAATGATAATGAATCCACAACAAAAGCAACAATGATGATGATAGATACAGATATTGCATCTTCAACTGATCCAATAAAGGAGACTGGTAAAAATTTGGATTCAGATTGTCCTTGTCAAGATGATGAAGTATTTGATCCTTCAACATTAGGACAATTACCTATTGAAAATTGGTATGATAGAATATCAAATTATTCTTCTACTATCATTGGATCTTTAATTACAATGGGTCTCTTTTGGATATGTATTGCTGTATGGATTGGTTGTGGTGCTATACCTCAGGCAGGTGATACTACAGCACCATTCACTGGTGATTATTCAGGTTCAAACCCAAAATATAAAAAATTTAGTAATGCTTGGCAAATGGATATTAATACTGCTGTGGCTGTTTCATTATTAATATGTACAACTTTTTTACAAAATATTAGAGCTAGACATGATAAATTTATTGCTGGTATCTTACTTGAAATTTTTGAAAAAGATGAGCATATTGATATAATGTTAAGAAGAAAATTAAATGATTATACTCCTCATAAAGTTATTGTTATCCCAGAAGCTAAGAGAACTTGGTTACAAAAGACAATCGATTGGTATGCTGATGTCATTGGTACAGGTATTGGTGTGATCGTTGCAATCATTGTCTTTGGTGTTTGGATCGGGATTGGTACTCCAATGAATTGGGGTGATGATTGGTGGTTAATCATTGGTACCTATACAGGTTTAGTTGGCTTCATCGATGGTTATGTCCTAAGAGAAGTTTATGATAGATCCGTCGCTGCTGAAGAGGTTAATTATAATGAAGTCATTGCTGAGGATTTGGAATTGATGCAAATCTTAGGGATTCCAAATCCTCGTGATATGATCGATTCATTAGAAGAACAAAATAGTAGAGTTACAAAGACTTTAAAATATAGAATATCTGCATTTGTCAATAAATTATGTTCAGATCAATATAGTGTTGTCTGTGGTGTTTTAATTGTCGTTGCATTGATCTGTATTTCATCTGGTATGAAATGGAGTACTACTGGTCAATTGATTGCTAATACGCCTACTATGATCATTGAAGAGTTCTTTTTAATCGTTTTGATTCAAGCTCATAATTGGGCTGATGTTCAACGTAGATTAGAAATTTCAACTGTATTAGCACACAGACATCTTATCGAATATCATATTACGAAGATGTTGGCATAAAAAAATCATACACTTATAAAACTTTTTTTCTAGATATGTTCATTCTTTCCTTTCTTCTCATCTTCTTAATTACGGAAGGATCTGTATATGTATCATGAAATGTATCTCGCAAGTGAGTGTATTTATTAAGTTCATTTATTTAAAGATTATATAGAACAAATAATAGATAATTTTATAATGCATCAAAGAAAATTAAGACTCATTTAATGACATCCATTCAAAATTGAACCCATAGAGTAAACCATGGAAATAAATATCATCTTATACGGAATGCCCTCTATATTCCTCTATGTTATATCTTTCCCTCTCGCTTTTATTTTTTTTGCCACCCGTGAAAAGTCTAAAGGATATATATATATTTTTGTTCCTAGGAAGTCCAGATATTAATTTGAAAAGTAGTGGGAAATTAGACCCTTATAAGTTGCAAAGCTAAGTAGGTATTTCTAGAATCAGAAAAGAAAAAGAGAGTGTTCCAAGTAAAGCAGCAACTGCAAGCATATATTCAAAGACAATACAATTGAGAATAATCAAGAAAATGACAGGTCTATCGTTTGATAATTACCAAAGAAATCACTATCTAGCCTCGAAGACCAGTGGACAACCTAAGGCCACTTCTACTGGTACCACCATTGTTGGTGTTAAATTCGAAGGAGGTGTACTGATTGCAGCCGATACAAGATCTACACAAGGACCAATTGTTGCGGATAAGAACTGTGCTAAACTGCATCGTATCTCCCCACGTATATGGTGTGCTGGTGCAGGTACGGCAGCAGATACAGAGGCTGTTACTGGTTTAATTGGATCTAACATTGAATTACATACCTTATCAACAAAAAGACAACCTCGTGTAGTGACCGCTTTACAAATGCTAAAACAACATTTATTTAAATACCAGGGTCATATCGGTGCATATTTGATTGTTGCAGGTGTTGATCCAACAGGTGCTCATCTAATGTCTGTACAGGCTCATGGTTCTACAGATGTTGGTTATTATCTATCTTTGGGTTCTGGTTCCCTTGCAGCCATGGCTGTTCTTGAATCTAGGTGGAGAGAAGGTATGACGAAAGAGGAAGCCATTAGTTTGGCTGCAGATGCAATTGAAGCAGGTATTTGGAATGATTTAGGTTCAGGTTCTAATGTAGATGTTTGTGTGATGGAGGTCGGTAAAGATGCCGAATACTTAAGAAACTATAGAACTCCAAATGTTAGAGAACCAAAACAACAAAGTTATAAGTTTGCTAGAGGTACTACAGCAGTGCTGAAAGAAAGTATCATAAATGTGTGTGACATAGAGGAACAAGAAGTAAATGTGTCAGCATAGAAAGATGATCTTAATGTTGTCTTATGTATCACGTTCTACTTATATTGTTTTCTTTCATCTTTCTACCCAGGCATGATTTATTATAACTCATGGTATGCACTATTATGTACCATATACTAATATACATATATATACGAAATGAATAACCACTTAAATAAGAATTGTATGTGGGGTATGGCTGGTAACTAAGATATTGTATCTGAATGAAATAATATCTGAACTATCCTTTATTAATTTCATGACTATAATGATGATGTTGACGTGCCTTAACATAGTGGTTAATTTTTGATCCCATTATACCTGCGTAAGATACGGCGGGGAGGGAAAAGAAAAATATGTAGGCGACATGTTCATGCAATATTAAAATATTTAGGCGATGCGTTACGTGTAACATTTAAGTGAGAAACATTTATATAACATATTAATCTAGTCGACAGAATGGATCGCCCCCAAAAAAAAGATCTACGTTGATTAACGAAGGAGATAGTTAACTTATTCTAAAATAGGAATTGTAAATAATTCTAGTGGGTGGTATTCCATATTTTTCTTTTTCTTTTAATAAAGGATTTATACTTTTTTTGTTTCAAGTTTCATCTGAAAAAAAAAAAATAAAAAATAGGAATTTTGTTTTGTTTTGTAAAATTTGAATTTAGACACCTAGATATCCTATATAATTCCTCATTAAGAATAACCCAGACGAATTCAATAGATATTTATGTCAAATTACCAACCTATAACATTAAAGTAGCACAGTTTAGTTGTTTAAACTAAGAAAGAACATAAAATATAAAAATGGTGGGCACAATAAATGGTTCACATCCAGCAGCAACAGCTGCACCAGTAGGACCTCCAACGCGACCTGTTGTCGCACAAGGAGCAGCTGCAACAGGAGGTTTAGCAAATGAAATAAAGCAAACATTAACTAATATGGAACAACTACGTGTCATAGAACTGAAAAGTTTATCTAAATCGTTAGGGTTATCCACAGGAGGTTTAAAAGCACAATTACAAGAACGAATAGGAGCATTTATTAAAAGATCTATGTGTTCAGGAGGTATCGATCCGTGGAGGCCAAAAGCCATAAATTGTTTAATAACTAAATTACAACATAATGAAACTACATTGCCTGTATATTTCGATGTATGGGAAGCTATCAAAATGGGGCGACCTATTCCAACTTCCAAGCAACCATCAAGTACAATAAGAGGAACAGCACAGTTCCAAGTTCATGTTGGATCTTCTACTAATGGAACCCAAAATGGACATCAAGCTTTAACGTCCGGACCTCAAACTACTATTATGAATAAAAATGATAAGACTATATCAGAAACCTATATGTCATCCATATTCTATAAGATAATACGAAAAATTACGAATTCAGATATGTATTTACCAAAAACAGAACAAAGAGGTAGAAAACAAAGTAAGTTTAGATTTCACAAACATGAGTGCCTTAGTGAACAAACGACTTCGAAACATAAACTTTTTTTATTTTGTCATGAAGTTACACCTTATAATAAACGTCCTGAAGAAATAAAATTCCCATTTTTAAATGAAATAACGATGAATGGAAATAAGATAACAGATAATGTTAGAGGGATAAAAAATAAACCAGGTACTGCTAAGCCTGCAGATTTAACAAATTTTATATCAGATGCAGGATCTAATACTGTTGAAATTCTCTATGCACAAACTAGTAAAGATTTTCGAGCTGCATGTTACCTTGTTTCCGAATTTTCACCAGAGATGTTAGTACAACAAGTTATTCTTCACAGACCAAAGATCCTACGATCTGTAACATTATCTTTTATTAAGAAAACATTAAATGAAGAAAGTGATGATGATTTTGTGACAACTTCAATGATTTTAAGTTTGCAATGTCCTATATCATATACAAAAATGAAATATCCAGCAAAATCGGCTACATGTGACCATATCCAATGTTTTGATGCTTTGTGGTATTTACATTCTCAAAGACAAGTACCGACATGGTTATGTCCGGTATGTTCTAAAGTTATTAAATTTGATCAATTAGAGATATCAGAATATGTAGATGATATTATACGGCACTCTAGCGATGATGTAGAACAAGTACAAATTAATACAAATGGAGATTGGACTCCACTACATGAAGATGAACCTAACGATGGAAAACAAGAGACAAATACTGGTGATGGAGTTAAAAAAGAAGGTGATACAAGTTTAGGTTCCATTCAAACAACGGAAGCTAAGAATTCAAATTCACATGGTGGAAATGCTGACACTGTTGTTATTTCATTGGATTCCGACGAGGAACAAGAGGAGGAACAAGAGGAGGAACAAGAAAAAGAGGATGCTGCTAGTACTACTAGTACCACTGGTGCCAATGTAACAACAAGTAATATACCGTCTGCATCCAGTACTACTACTGATTTAGCCACAAGTATCAACGGCGATAATAATCATGACTCGGACGTTGATTCAGATGAACCGTTATCTCAAATTAGAAGACATCATCCTGTTCCTGGTAACACTAATAATATCAACGTATCTGTACCAAATGTAATAGAATCATCATCAAATGTCACAACAGATGAAGCTGGATCATTACAAATACCTACACCTCCAGCAGATTCATCATTAAGTGGAACCAGTACGACGAAAACGGTTGAACCTACGTCATCGACTACAACTAATAATAATAATCCAAGTAGACCCGAAAATTCCAATGGTCAAATTGTAAATACTACTAATTTTACGAAGACTAATCCTCCCTTACTTTCAGGCGCATCTTTATCATCTAATTTATTAGGTCTCACAGGTACATTTTCTACTAATAGTTCGGGACTTTTCTCTAATAAGACAAGTACGGGTACAATGGGATCCAATAGTAGATCAATAGCAGCTGGAACAACAAATACAAGACGTATTCCTAATAATGTTGTGTCACCATTTATACCACGTAAACATTATCCATCGATTATACCAAAAAAACGTACTGTAGAACAAACAAGTGATAAGAATAGAGGAGACGTTCCTTCTGATGCATTAATTAGAAATGAACTTGGTGTTGAAATGAGTAATGGAAGACCTGCAGGTCCACTGGATAATGAAGTTATTGATCTTACATCTGATGATTAAAATGTTATTGGTATTTACATATTTATATAGAGATAGATTGATATATATAGGCATTAATATTATAAATGGGTTTGTTTTTGAAAAAAATAAAAAATAACTCAGCTTGGACATTTTACTTAAATATATAACTTTTTTGTTTTTAGTATTTAAGTCTAGGAGAGATTTTACTACTTTTGCGATAAACAAAAAAACAATAATGATAAAATTGAAAATTCCAAAAAAAAAAAAACCAAATAAGAAAATCGAGATCTGCAACTACAGAAAATGTTAATTAATTTACAACGAAATGAAAAGATCATCTAAATAAGTTTGTCGATTTAAATTAACAATTACAAATTATCCAATAAAATTATTTTTTAAAGTTGCTGCCGCTCGTAGAAAGTGATATTTTGGGTCTCTTTTAGTATAAAATTGTATAAATAAGATAAATGAGAAACTAGGCCCTCATATTTTTTGTTATGTTCACAATATTGTTATAACCAAAGGTAAAATAAGATATTATTCAACTCCACAAAGAAGAATTCATCCGAAACTTTAGGACATTTCAAATATATATGTAATAAAGCTCTTTAAATTCTACGGTCACTTGTAACGACAGCTTCATATACATTCTACTAAGTCAATTTTTCTACCTAATTTCAATTTCCTCAAATATATATATATATATATATCTACATAGTAGAGTAAAAACGTACGTCATCCTTCTCTACAGCGTGTAGAAAAAAAGAGAAAGAGAATTATTTCAAAAACAAAAAAAAAATCTAAAATTTACTGTCTTACATAGTAGAAGAGATCACAACATTCTTATTGCATTTTGCCGCCGAGATTTATCATTGTAACCATTTTCAATTTAAATTATTGTTATTCCGAAATGCGTAGTATTTTCCGAAATCCGAACTTAAAATTATTTTGGGGTCATATCTTGACGTTCTACAAGTAAGTAGTGACGTACTCAAAAAAAAAGGGGTCATATATTTGTAAATATAATTTTGAGATATTATTAACTAAGTTCGGTAATTGGAAGTAACTTTTTTTTTTTTCACCATTTTTTTGTTCCATTTTAAAATAAAAATAAAGAAAATGCGGCTGATTTAAGTCTTATTTTATTCTTTCCGCTAACGTCCTCTACGTAAATTTTTGAAAAGTAATTCCAGTACTTAGAACAATTTGGCTAGTGCTTCCAAAATCATAATCTACGACTGATTGGTAAACAATATTTATAAAAACTTGACTTATATTATTATTAATTCCGTTACAATGGTTAGCGGCTAGATAACATATTTACACTCTAACCAAAAAAAAGAAAGAAAGAAAGAAAGACAAGTGATGCTCCGCGGGATATGCCAAAAAGACAAAAGTGTAAAGAAAAAAAAAATCACGAAGTGTATACACATATTTTTTCCGTGTAAACTGGAACAACTTACAATAGAAGAGAACAATAAACAAACATAAATGACTATGGCGGATAACTAAGCCTTGATGACTCCTAAACTACCTGGACGCACCACGGTTTAGATCTTAGTGGTACATATTTTAACGTTTCTATTCTTTGATAAACTCAAAAATCTTTCTTTTTTCTTTCTCGATGTGTTATTTCTTACTCATTGCAAAAAATATTTGGCGTGGTTTTTCTATCTTTTCTACATACGAATTATTCATCCGTCAAATATTAACACTATATATTTTGGCAAATGTTACGTAGATGAGATCTAGCCGTACAATAAATAACAAATAAAGAGTCTCAAAGTCATTAAACAAGAAAAACATCTTCATCCCGCGGATTTGCTACGAACACCCAAATACATACAAACACACGACACTTCAAAAACTGAGTCTGTTTTAAAGAAAGGCATTCCGCGGCTCCTCATTTTTGTTTTTTCATCTTTCCAATGATTTTAATACAAAGATTTAAAGAAACCGCATTAACTGGGGCTTAGGTTTCTCAAAATAGGAGAAAAAAATAAAAAAATAAAAAAATAAGAGAAACCCGCGGGTGACACTGAGCAACTCATCCTTACTCCAGTAATAAAAGGTTAAAGATATATCAAAAATTCAACTCCACTTTCTTGACTGAGATGCTCCCGCGGATACTCTTCTACGGCAAGGAAGTAACAAAAATATTAAAAAAAGAGATAAACGTGCATCTCTCCACGTATTTCTGAGCACCCTCTGTTTCCCTCCTCCATTTCCCCGTTCCTTGCTTACATACATATATCTTCCTCCTCTACAAATAAAGCAACAACCCTCTTTCTTTTCTTCCCCTTGGCGACCCCGCGGGACCGCCTAGTTATAAAAAAAATATATCGTCTTACACACATAAATATACGTACGACATGCTTGGAAAGTACTAAAAATCTTGCACAACCTACTCAATGCAAAGACGAAGACTAGATATTTTCTTGTTACTCAGCGACAAAAACTCCTTTTAAGTATGGATTAACAGACGGAGCTGTACTTCTTATCTCCAGTAAGTATACAATAAAAATAACAACAAAAATTTAACATTTGCCACTGTAATCACTATCATCTCTCTCTTTCTCTATGTATTATGTGGAAAATTACTGATGCAAACTTTTAGCCCCTTCTATGCTCTCCCTCTCTCCTCTACAAATAGCTTCTTACTGGAAAATCTTCACTATAAGTCAAACATTACACACACTCACACACCCTGAGTGGGCATTTTTTCAGTGATAACAAAACAAAGCAAAGCAAAACAAAACAAAACAAATAGTATCAGATTGCATCATCGATACTTTTTTTTAAAGGATTCTTTTTTAAAACTAATTCATTTTTAGATTGAACAAATAAAAAAAAAAAATCTTATAAATATATAAAAGATATTATAGATTTTAAAATTTTAATTAACCCTTGATGTATTATCATACAATTTTTACTATTCTCCTCTTGAAGCTTTTTCAATTAATTTTTTTTTCTTTAACACTTGGAAAAAAGAAAAAGTTCCCTAATTACTCCTTGATTTATTAACGAAGACTCAAAGAAATTATGTCGTCGTCAACAAATTCAGATGATGAGTCAGGTAGGCTTCATACTTATACAGGTATTGATGCTCAAGCTGAAGCAACAATTAAAAATTTAGCGAGAACTTTAACTGCTCAATCATTAAATAGTATAAATTCTTCTAACAATAATAATGAAGATTCAACTTCTGTAAATGATCATCAATCAATTTTCTCAAATTTAGAAGGTATTAATCCAGTTTTAACTAACCCTGAACAATCTGGTTACGATGAAAAATTAGATCCAACAAGTGATTATTTTTCTTCAACGGCTTGGGTTAAAAATATGGCACGTTTAGCTAAATCTGATCCAGATTATTATAAACCTTATTCTCTTGGTTGTGTTTGGAAAGATTTAACTGCATCTGGTACTTCATCAGATGTTGAATATCAAGCAACTGCTTTAAATGCTCCTTTAAAAGCTTTAAGTTATTTATATAGAGAAGTTAAACCAGTTAATGAAGAAAATTCTTTTCAAATTCTGAAAGAAATGGAAGGTTGTATTAACCCAGGTGAATTATTAGTTGTTCTTGGTAGACCTGGTTCTGGTTGTACAACTTTATTAAAGACAATTTCAACCAATACTCATGGTTTCCATGTTGGTAAAAATGCAACAATTTCATATTCAGGTTTTACTCCAAAAGAAATTAAAAAACATTATCGTGGTGAAGTGGTTTATAATGCAGAAAGTGATATTCATTTACCTCATTTAACCGTTTATCAAACTTTATACACTGTTTCAAGATTAAAGACACCACAAAATAGAATTAAAGGTGTTGATAGAGATACTTTTGCCAGACATATTACTGAAGTCGCAATGGCTACTTATGGTCTTTCTCATACTAGAGATACTAAAGTTGGTAATGATCTAGTTAGAGGTGTTTCTGGTGGTGAACGTAAGCGTGTTTCAATTGCTGAAGTCTCTATTTGTGGTTCTAAATTTCAATGTTGGGATAATGCTACTAGAGGTTTAGATTCTGCTACTGCTTTAGAGTTTATTCGTGCTTTAAAAACTGATGCTACTACTGTTAATTCATGTTCTACTGTCGCTATTTATCAATGTTCTCAAGATGCTTACGATTTATTTGATAAAGTTTGTGTTCTTGATCAAGGTTATCAAATTTATTTTGGTCCAGGTACTAAAGCTAAAGCTTATTTTGAAAAAATGGGTTACGTTTCTCCAGATAGACAAACTACAGCCGATTTCTTAACTGCAGTTACTTCTCCAGCTGAAAGAATTTTAAACCAAGAATATTTAAAGAAAGGTATTTCTATTCCACAAACTCCAGAAGATATGAATACATATTGGAAAAACTCTCAAGATTACAAAGATTTAATGGCTGAAATTGATGAAAAATTAAATAATAACGTTGAAGATAGCCGTGAGTTAGTTAAAGAAGCTCATATTGCTAAACAATCTAATAGATCAAGACCTTCTTCTCCTTATACTGTCAACTATTTCCTTCAAATTAAATATCTATTAACAAGAAATGTTTGGAGAATTAAAAACAACCCCAGTGTTAATTTATTTATGGTTTTTGGTAATTCATCAATGGCTTTAATTCTTGGTTCTATGTTTTACAAAGTTATGTTACATGATTCTACTTCAACTTTCTATTTCAGAGGTTCCGCTATGTTTTTTGCTATTTTATTCAATGCTTTCTCATGTCTATTAGAAATTTTCACGTTATATGAAGCAAGACCTATCACTGAAAAACATAAAACATATTCTCTTTACCATCCAAGTGCTGATGCTTTTGCCTCTATTATATCTGAATTACCTACAAAAGCTGCTATTGCCGTTTGTTTCAACATCATTTTCTACTTCTTGGTTAACTTCAGAAGAAATGGTGGTGATTTCTTCTTTTATTTATTGATTAATATTGTCGCTGTCTTCGCTATGTCTCATATGTTTAGAACTGTTGGTGCTGCTACTAGAACATTATCAGAAGCCATGTTTCCGGCTTCTATGTTATTATTAGCTATGTCCATGTATACAGGTTTTGCTATTCCAAAGACTAAAATGCTTGGTTGGTCTGAATGGATTTGGTATCTAAATCCATTGGCTTATTTGTTCGAGTCCTTAATGATTAATGAATTCCACAATCGTGATTTTCCTTGTGCTCAATATGTTCCTCAAGGTCCTGCTTATGTTAATGCCACTGGTACTGAAAGAGTTTGTATTTCTTTAGGTGCCGTTCCAGGTGAAGATTTTGTTAATGGTGACGCGTATATCAAGGCTAATTACGGTTATGAACACAAACATAAATGGCGTGGTTTCGGTGTTGGTATGGCTTTTGCGGTTTTCTTCTTGGGTGCTTACTTGGCTGTCTGTGAATTCAACGAAGGTGCTAAACAAAAGGGTGAAATCTTAGTTTTCCCAAAGAGTATTATTAGAAAGATGAAGAAGAATGGTCAATTACCTCAAAGGGCTCGTCCAGATAAGAGAGAAGAAGATATTGAAAAGGGTACGACTGATGAATCAAGTGTTAATGATAGAAAACTTTTAGAAGATTCTGAAATCTCATCTGATGAAAATAAAGAAGAAAGTATCGGTCTATCTAAGTCTACTGCTATTTTCCATTGGAGAAACTTGTGTTACGATGTTCAAATCAAAGATGAAACTAGAAGAATTTTAAGTGATGTTGATGGTTGGGTTAAACCTGGTACTTTAACTGCTTTAATGGGTGCTTCCGGTGCTGGTAAAACTACGTTATTGAATTGTTTGGCTGAAAGAGTCACTATGGGTACTATTACTGGTGATGTTTTTGTTGATGGTAGACTTCGTGATGAATCATTCCCAAGATCTATTGGTTATTGTCAACAACAAGATTTACATTTGAGAACTTCCACTGTTAGAGAATCCCTTAGATTCTCTGCTTACTTACGTCAACCATCCGATGTTTCCACTGAAGAGAAAAACGCTTACGTTGAAGAAATTATTACTATTTTAGAAATGGACAACTACGCTGATGCTATTGTTGGTGTCCCAGGTGAAGGTTTAAATGTCGAACAAAGAAAGAGATTAACTATTGGTGTTGAATTAGCTGCCAAACCTAAACTTTTGGTGTTTTTAGATGAACCTACTTCCGGTTTAGATTCTCAAACTGCTTGGGCTATTTGTCAATTGATGAGAAAGCTTGCGTCTCACGGTCAAGCTATTCTTTGTACTATTCATCAACCTTCCGCTATTTTAATGCAAGAATTCGATCGTTTATTATTCCTGCAAAGAGGTGGTAAAACTGTTTACTTTGGTGAATTAGGTCATGGCTGTCAAAAGATGATTGATTACTTCGAATCTCACGGTTCTCACAAATGTCCTCCAGAGGCTAATCCAGCCGAATGGATGTTGGAAGTTGTTGGTGCTGCTCCTGGTTCTCATGCCAATCAAGATTATTATGAGGTCTGGAGAAATTCTGAACACTTTAAAGCCGTCCACGAAGAGTTAGATCGTATGGAAAAAGATCTTCCAGGTCAAGCTAAGGAAGAAGATGATCCAACTGCTCACAAAGAATTCGCTACTGGTATTCCTTATCAAATCAACTTGGTCTCTGAACGTCTTTTCCAACAATATTGGAGATCTCCACAATACCTATGGTCTAAGTTTATCTTAACAATTTTCAATATGCTGTTCATTGGTTTCACTTTCTTCAAGGCTAATACTTCTCTTCAAGGTTTACAAAATGAAATGTTAGCCATTTTCATGTTTACTGTTATTTTTAATCCATTGTTGCAACAATATCTACCAAATTTCGTCGAACAAAGAGATTTATACGAGGCAAGAGAAAGACCATCAAGAACATTCTCATGGAAAGCTTTCATTGTTTCACAAATTCTCGTCGAAGTCTTCTGGAACTTCTTGGCTGGTTCTTTGGCTTACTTTATTTACTACTATGCGATTGGTTTTTACCACAATGCTTCTGTTGCTGGTCAATTACATGAAAGAGGTGCTTTATTCTGGCTATTCTCTACTGCCTTCTTTGTCTACTGTGGTTCCATGGGTACCATGGCTATTTCCTTTATCGAAATTGCAGAAAATGCTGCTAACATGGCCTCTTTGATGTTTACAATGTGTTTATCTTTCTGTGGTGTTATGGTTACTAAGGATGCTATGCCAAGATTCTGGATTTTCATGTACAGAGTTTCTCCTTTAACCTACATGATCGATGCTCTATTAGCAATTGGTGTCGGTAATGTTGATATTGTTTGTACCAAGAACGAATTTGTTGAATTTACTCCAGCCGCTGGTATGACTTGTGGTGAATACTTAGCTCCATATCTAGCATATGCTGGTACTGGTTATCTAAGAGATAACAATGCTACTGATGTCTGTGGTTTATGTGAATACTCTCGTACCAATGATTATTTAGCTACTGTTAACGCTGAATATGGCCAAAGATGGAGAAACTATGGTATCTTTATTTGCTACATCTTCATTAACTTTGCAGCTGCTATATTATTCTATTATTTGGCAAGAGTTCCTAAAAAGCAAAAGAAATTAAAGGCAGAATAATTTAACCAACAATTTACTGTTTTCTTACTTTTGCATTTCTAGTCATATTTTTTTAATTTTTAATTAATTGAATTTTATTTGTTCATTCATATTCGGTATGTAGTATCATGTTTACATATAAAAAATTTCTGTATAATAATTTGATATCCTTTCTTTTTTTTCTTTACTTATGATTTTTCTTACTTTCACCTATTGTAACCACCATATTGAAAGTTTTGAATTCCTTGCAAGACCAATTTTAAAAGTGGGCACTAATTTATTGAAGAATAGTCCCTAAATAACATATTTAATTCTATTTTTATAACCATTTCATTATGGAATTTCGGTTTAGTTCTATGGGTACAAGGTGGTGAACAAACCTTAAATAGCAAAATGTTAGTTACATCAATATGCACTTAATAAAAAGTAAAGATTTGTTTAAGTATTGCGGCGATACAATTATATACTCACTAAATCGTAAATTGTGGTTCGAATACATGCCGATATTCTTTCCAACAAGGCTACAGAAACATCTTGTCCCCAGGGAAGAAACAAAAAATTACCGTTCAACAAGTAACAGAGTATTATGAGTACACATACTCCCCTTTTATTGCATATTTTATTGTTCATCTAACTAGTAAATATTTAGTAGCAACAAAAACTTTTTATAATGTTCGGGAAAAATTAGATTGACTCCCCACTTATATCCATGAAAAAAGTACATACAAGATGTGAGATCGCCAATAAATACTTAAACCATATTTGTTTTCTTCATAGACTAAATGGTGTTATTTGGTTGTGTCGGAATTTACATGATAGAAGAATGACGTCAAGAATATAAAATATAAGAATAAAAGAATAATAAAGATTGTCAGATTTGATAATGTTCAATATTTAACAACCCAAAATGAGAAAAGATAATAATAAGACGCATTTGGAAACCATGCATAATTTCTACAATGCTAGTATTGGAGATTTATAATCACGAAATGTAACCAAATCCAAAGGTATATAAAGGGAACAATATTTCATGCATTGGAATATTTTATTTCCCTGACTATTTTGTATATTATTTATAATTTGTATACTAAAGAAATCAGACGACTATACGTTGATTTCTAATAAATTAAATTTTGTACCATATTAAAGAAATGGATTCCTCTAATAATTCCAAAATCCAACACTTCAGAATTTTAGAAAATATATGCTTAATTTTAATCTGAATGACTATTCCTTGACTTTCATGGTATATAAATGGTATAGTTAGTATTTAATAAAATTTATGTAGAATTAACTGTCGGAAAACTGGGAATTAGAGAATAATAATAGTATATATATTTACTGTAGGTAAGGACTAGGTGTCCGTTGCCAGCAGCAGAGCTCCTCCCCCTCCTATCAGAGAGAGATGTGAGAAAGTGTAATATATAATTCTATATAATTTGGAAAACGGGTTCCTTTATATACAGAAATTTTCACAGCAATATCGCATTGTACGAAGATCACTGTGTGTCACACTGTGATATAATTTCCAACATTAACAGATAAAATTCGGTCAATAAAACAAATTTTAGAATTTTAAAAAGGGTTACCCGGACAATAATAAATAATTTTAAATGTTGCTCTAAATTATTTATTTTCAATAAAATAAGCCTTGTTGGCGCAATCGGTAGCGCGTGTGACTCTTAATCACAAGGTTAGGGGTTCGAGCCCCCTACAGGGCTTTCTTTTTATTTTTGCATACGCCCGCATTTTTGCTGAATCGCTTGATATTGAATTATAGATGGTGTTTTCATTCTTATTAAATTTACAGGCTTGGCAGAAGCGTTCTTTTATTTTGATAAACAAAATGAGTTTTTGTTATTAATATTATTACATGTTTAACCCCGAGGCTCGTTAAAATGTTGATACAACGATCCTCATTTTGGGTTTTTCTATTAAAAATTAACAATGGCAGATAGTTTAACTAATGTTTTGTTAATTATGTTTTTATGATATGGCTCTATATCGTACTCAACACATGATTGCTCGAAATTTTCTAGCAGTGAGTTAAGAGTCTCTGAAAAATTCCTGAGGGTGTCATCTTTGCTCACCTCCAGTTGAGGCACATGTAACAAACAGAAAAAGTCGAAAACAGTCAGAATACATATACAGCATTTCAGTTTGATATCATATTCTTCTTGTCTAGCTTTTTTAGGCATTATGCCTATTGACATTTGGAGTATATTTAGAGCTGCAATGTATTCTTTGAGAGCCCGCTCAATTGTATCGAGTTTGTTAACAAAATTGACCTTATATATCTTATCAGGAATACTACCTCTATCATTGGAGCTATGGCCTGTATCTTGTCTAGCTAAATGTAACTTCTCCCAGTCAAATATATCATTATTAATTTCTGTTAAATTATTAAAAACGGCTTCAGCAAGCAATGGGATAAAAACAATATCCCTTTCTAAATTATCTGAAAATAGAAATGCCTGATAATCTGAAATATCAATCAATGAACAAAGCTCCACAGATATAGCTTGTACAAGTGTTTGAATATCTACCTTTGGCGAAATCATCGTGTGACCGCCTGGAACAATAGACAATAGATGAAACGCCAAAAATGTAAATTGTCTTCTTAAGCTCATAGAACGTTGCAATACATATTCAGGTGGATAGAATGTTCTTGTAACATATGTACTTGAAAGCCTGAGTACATTATTCGAATTAACTTCATTTACGAAGCTGCTTTGTTTTTTCTTATCGGGACAATCGATAAAGATATATTCAATAAAACGTTCCGTGAATTGGGCAGAATTAATAATTCTGAGGAATTTAGATATAGGACTTTCAATTAGCTGCTGTGTAAATAAAGTTGGCGATATTGTGGAGCCTGCTTTTGCCGTTTCATTTTCGATGAAATAATTCTGACGCAGAAGTATCATATCCAATAAAAAATTAAAAATGGGAAGCCACGACTCAGTTACATTTAAGAATTCGGTATTATCATCTGAGTTTCCTAGTAATGAATTTGACAGGGTAAAGATAAAGGTGTTGATCATTTCACCTGGCTGGGAGAATTTTGCATTTATCAACTTATTACCTAAAACGTTATCAATCTGTTGTAAACAATCCCTATACGATAAATATGGATTCTTTAATTTCCCAAATGTCGGACTATAAACTCGATTTCTTAAAGTTCGACCTGAGGTACTTGCAAATATATTTCCATCTGTTTGGGGTAGGAGTGTATCCACTACTATAAATATCTGGCATCGCAATAATTCGAGATCATATTGGTTATATTTCTTTACATTGAAATTCGTAAGTATACTACTGTACACATGTAATAATTTGATTGCACGTTTGTTCAAAGGTATTCTCGAGGGGTTATAAGTATCATTTTCTCGCAGAATTTCGTCTTTACTAGCTGTCGAAACAGTGGCTATAGTCAAAATAATCAACCATATATCGAAAGGAGGCACTAGCAAAGCCTGAACAGATCCAGTTACTAGATTACCGTAAACCTGGCATTCAATGAATGTGAACAGATTTTCATAATTTTGTAACAAAGCTAAGGAATTCAGAATCTCAAAGTTGGATAAATGTCTTTCGGTCAAATCGACAAGATAATGTGGCGTATCAGATCCATCATTATTTGTCTCATTCCATCCACTGGTATATTCTGTAGAAGTAGCAATGCTCATATATCGTATTTTCCTGTTGGTAGTCCACCTCCTTATTAGTTGCGATTGTCGTTAGGTATCAGAATTGAAAGAGATGTGTATTAATGATGCTAGTAGAAATGGTGTTCTAACAAATCAGAATAACATTATCTGTGTTTCCCTGGTATTGGTATAAATTTTTATTGCAGTTATAACTATGCTTAATTTCGGTAGTGTTGATGGAATCGATGCCTCTCACACAAATTAGCGGTTTGCATACTTCGCGAAGACGAGCAGATGCCGGAAGAGAGCCACATAATAAAATATATAATGGCTCTAACATTATCGTGATGTACGAGTCTATTTTGATACATTCACTAGATGGTTCAAGAAGTTAAATAGTTCAATGGTCTTATCTTTGATCCCTATTACATAGTAGGTTGGTTCTGCTGTTAATTTGTCCAGTAAACCTTGAGTGCTTATCAGTTGCTCTAATTTCAGAAGGGTTGTCTCTATCTCAAACGAATCATTCTCTTCTAGTAGAGTTTGGAACTGTGTCTCCGAAGGAAGCTGTACTTTATTGTTCAACTCCAAAGAGGTTTGAAGGGACTGGGTTAATTGCACTCTATTACTATTGAGCAAATCAACAAATAGTTTTGTTCTTTCCTTGACATCAAATTTTTTATAGTAAAATAACAATTGTGAAGTAAATTGCTCTTGTTCTTTTCTCGATGGAACGAATTCTTTGATCTTAAATTCTTTGAAAAGTACTTTGTTTTGTGTACGAATATCTTGATATATTGTATCGCTCGCAATATCTCCTTTACTAATAATGTGTGATAAGTAATGATATTTTGTTGGTTCTAACTCTTCTTCATCCGACTCCTCCACGGATGAATCTGATTCGGAAACATTTTCATTATCAACAACCTCGGCTGTCTTTGAGTTTGAACACCAGGCTTCAAATAGTTGCTCACGTTCATTATCATTTTCAATAAGGAAAAATGATGGTTGAGATTCAATTTTCTTCATTTCGATTCTCCATGTTGAATATTTATCCAGATTGAACCCATCAAACAATTTTATGAATTCATTTTTATTATTAGTATCCCTTGCTATATTGCTCGATTCATCAACTTCATTCAAATCAGAGATCAATTGTCTTTGTTGCTCCAAGTCTTCTTCTTTTACGTGTTCCTCTACTTCCTTCGTATCTTGTGATCCACTGTTATTATTATCACTGTCCAGTGTATTATCTTTATCTCCCTGTAAATCTTGTTTCGTTTGTTCAATTTCCTCCAAAATTTGATCGTAGATAATGTTTGGGTCTATATTGGAAGACACATAACCCCTTGCAAATCCAACAAGAAGAATCAACTTGTCACGATTGATATAATCCAGTAATTCTAAACTATCCGAATCATTCAATTCTGTGTGTGATTTACCAAGCGGATCAATATAGAACTTGGAACCATTACTCCATATTACTAGTTTCCAATCGTTGGATAGAGGTATAACATACACAGGAAAATCAACTTTGCTTGATAGAGATGATCCCTGAAGATCACCGCTGGATTGTTGGTTAACATTCTTCTGTTGAGGTTGAAAGACGGGCTTATCCCATTGAGTTTCCTTGGTCTCTGTATTATAATAATATTTCTTCCCATTAGGTGCCACGTACTCCTTCCATGGCCTCCTCATCGCTTTATTTCTGTATCACTAAATTCTTCAATCTTTATGAGAACAATGCAAAAATAAGTTCTACAAATCCAATATTATTGAACAGAATAATGGACATAAATTTTTTACTGCTTCTAATTTATGAACAGAGTCAATAGTACTTTAATAATTCTGTTATATCCTGCTTACTGGAACATCTCTTGAATTGTTTTAGTGTTTATTGTGCTTAGTATGGGCGGGCCATCTCTGACGTGAAAAATTAAGTTTAGATCCATTATTCAACTATCTTAATACACAAGTAGATATAAGAAGGGGGAAAGTAGACATGCAACAATACTCACGTTATTGGAATTCATAGCGATACACTCATTGCTTATGATTTGAGAAGCTATTTGTTCAAAAATTATTTACTGAGAGACAATTATACCCTTTTTTCTGATTCCATAACTTGAGAAAAGAAAAGTTATCGATAATCTAACATTAGTCCATACACACATATAAAAGACACATGAAGTACGTATTTTTTAACATATAAAGTTGATATTATTATTGATAATAAGAGTTTCCAATTTATTATATTCAACAAACATGCTACTAACCATCTAAATAAATCAATTTCATAAAAAATATTGATAACACTTTCCTTACAGAACTTTCATTACATCTATTGAAATACCCATAGGGTATCTAACACCAAAATTCCCATCACTTTATTGGCCCATATCGAACAAGAATTATAGTCTAGCATTTCTATATGATATTGTGGATATATGGAAGTTTACTCTATATTGGTGTCTCATATTCAACGGTGCATTTTATGGGGCAACAGGTCTACTAGCAACCATCACACATAGGAATCAACCAAGGAGTATAATGATATTAGCCATATACATTACATATGGTGGTGTTCAAGGATTTGTAGTAGGGACTGTAATGGGATTTTTAATTGGGGCTGTTTACAACTCCGGTCTTTTCGCCATGTCAACTTGGATTCCAATATGTTGTGCGATAACACAAATCCTATATGAAGTGGTTAAGAGTTACTCAACTGTTGGTTCGATAATGTAATATCAATTTTATGTATGAAGGAACTAGGAGGAGTAATTTACGTTCATTAAATACATTCCTCCTCATCACTACTACGTAAATAATGATACAAAGCTGTATATCTCACATCATTAGGTACGAATGACTGCGCCTGCCGGCAGGATCATCACCCACACCCATTCAAACTGAATATACATATCTATATATACGTACGATTCGATACTATTCTTGGATCAGTACAAAGAGTAAGAAAATATATATTTAAGTTTCATTAATATTCAGAATACATACAAGCTTTGTATATTGAAGAGAGAAATATAGACTGAACAGTTTTTTTTCGTATAAACATTTTCTTTTCAATTATCTTTTAACTTATATTACCCCTATCGAATTAAATAGTAGATATAAACATGTCTGCCTCTCTGATTAACCGTTCGTTGACCAATATTAGAACTGAACTAGATTTCTTAAGAGAATCAAATGTTATATCGGATGATGTTTTTAACAGAATCAACGATTCATTACCTGAGAAATATGATCCTAACTCCTCTAGAGATAATTCCAACTCCAACCAAGAGGAATATGTTGAAGCTATATATGATTTTCCACCCCAACAAGATGGAGATTTAGAATTAAAAACAGGTGATAAAATCCAAATTATAGAAAAACCTTCTAATGAATGGTATAAAGGTAAATGTAACGGTAAAGTTGGCATGTTCCCTTCGAATTACGTCAAACCTGCATTTTCGAACACCGCTCCAAAGGATTCAGGCTCTGTTGCAGGACCACCAAGATATGCAAATGATAATAAATTAGAGCAACAATATACAAACCATTCTTCTCAAGCATCCTATCAACAATCCTCACAACAGCAATCTCCTTACCCACCTCCATCTACTAATTATTATCAACAAACACCCCCACAACAAATTATCTATCAGTCTCAACCTCAACCTCAACCTCAACAAGTTGTTGTTGAACAACCACAACAACATAGTAACGGCTCTAGCCAGATGAAAAAATTTGGTAGTAAACTTGGTAATGCTGCTATCTTTGGTGCTGGTGCCACGTTAGGTAGTGACCTGGTAAATAGTATATTCTAAGTATACTATTTATAACCCGCTGTAACAAGAATGGTTTCTTTGAAAAAAAATCATCTTTTAAGAGCAACATTATGACACATTTTTCCTTTTTTTTCTTAAGTATACAAATATGTACATTACACGGTTTTATTTGAGATAATTGTCCTTCTAAATAAATACAACATGACTTTTAACCTTTTTTCCTTGCTACCTTTCCAATTATTAATGTTGGTTATTTTAAATAAGAATATATATATTTAACTATTTAGATAATTTGGTTATATTTATAGATATATCGATTGTTGCTATCATCAAGCAATATTCTTTTTTTAAGTCAAAAAATACCTGGAGTAGGTATGGTATACTCTATTAACAACATTTAATTTAGCAGTATTAGAAAATTTAATATTAATTAACTCCCCAATATCTCTATTCCATTCATACTTTCTGCTCTTTGGTACTACCACAGATCCATTAGACGATAAGTTTGAAATTTCCATTATTAATAATGCATGATTAATATATTTTAAATTCTCGTCATCTATTTCGAAATCCTGATAATTTAACAATCTTTCAACGTTGTTTAAACTTTGGCTGACTTCTTCCTTATAATGCTTTATATTTGAGAAAATGTTCCCTAACCTAATTAATTTTACAAGATAATTTATGGTCAAATAAATGACAAATGTTGCGGGTGATAAAGCCAATATACCAAATACTAACTGCTGCGATTTTAACATCTTGTCAATACCATTTAAAGCTAATGATCCGTCTACTTTTGTTTTTTGAACTTGAATAAGTATCGATCTGATCAATTTACCTGTGAAAATATTCTTAATTGGGCTATTTAATTCATTTTCATATATTTTCATGAATTCATCAAGATTACCATGCATGATTTGATCAGTCAAAACATTTTCACCTATAATATTAACATAAGTAGGGTTATTATCTTTCATTAGTTGAATTACCATTCGACATAATGAATTCATTTCTGAATCCAAAGTACCATTAGACATCATAGCTATTTCGCTTCCCTCGTCATGTCTGACAGTAGCCCATATATCTTTAATAGGTACCCAAACCCAATTATAAAATAAACCTTTCACAAACTGAATAACGTTTTTTTGTAAGAAATTAATAACTTTAAAACGAGATTCCCATGCAAACCAGACAAAACCTGGTCCATTAAGCACAACAAATAATCCAATAGGCCAATATCTAACAATAAGGCTAGGTTTCTTGGAAGAAACCATTTGAATAGAATTTGATTCCTTAACAAAGCATTGTGTGGATTCAAGAACATTAAAAGGCGATACTTCAACGTTTTTAACAAATTTATCTTTAATATTAAATTCTTTCAAGAATTTTTCTAAAATGTCAAAACATTTAATCAAATTATCATTAGCAAATTCCTTTGGGAATGATTGAATTAATTTACCAAATTTTGCCATTGTATTTTGATTCAAATTAGTTATCATTTGGGTCTTTGTTTGAAGTTCATTATTTACTAAATAACCAGGTAAACCAAACATAAATTTAACAGGATTTGATATTCTTGTTCTAGAACTTGGAATACCAACAAAATCGAAATTTTGAACTTTACTAATTTTATTTAAAGAAGGCAATAATTCTTTAGAACAAAATGTATTAGCAAATTCTGATATTTGTTTAAAAGAAAATCGAGATAATCCCTTATTATAGATATTTTTTGTCTTCGATACTTCAAAACAATGATTTAATTTCTTTTGAATTAATTTAAATAACTTCAATGATTTTCCAACTGAAGTTTGTAATAAATAAAACAATTTATTAATAAATGAATTTTCGATCGTTTTAAAATATTTTTCAGTTTCTATTGCTTTTGGTAATCTTCTTAAAGTTTCTGCTGTAACACTATAATAACATAATATTAATATATAACGTGATATAGTATAATTAATAAATTGATTAATCTCCGTAATTCTTAAATTTGAGTCAATACTAGAGATTTTAATTGGCTTCAAATTAGTAATATTTCCTTTTGAAGTAGTACTTAAAGATAATTGTTTTGTAAAATTTCTAATATTGTCAAAATCAATTTTTTGAATTTGATTATTATTACTGCTATTTGTTTCAGTTGAAATATTTCTTTGAAATCCATCAACTAATGACTTAAGTTGTTGCAAAACATGTTGCGAATTTTCAATTTGAGAATATTTTTCATTATCATTATTATCTTTATCAATATTATTATTTAGGGATATATCGGTGGCCCCTAAAGCAATCCTTTGTGTAAATAATTCTAAATCTCTATCTACAACTTGTATCAATTGTAAAATAGACTGATCCAAAATCATCTTTGATACGCAGACGATGATTTATCCAATGATATTAATATGAATTCAAAGATTTCTTTATTTGTTTTATTTTAAGTTGTGGTTAAATTGTTTAAGAATGTCCCTTTTTTCTTTAATTAGATTTGAAAAATTTAGTTTTTTGTTTGTTTGTTAATTTGTTATTTACCGGGGGAAAGCGAGCAATGAGCGGAAATAAAGGAACAAACCAATGAAGGTTCATATATATATATATATACTCATTGAACGCTCATATAAAAGAATTAAATTTGGGAGATATATCATATTAACAATTCAAGAAATTATGAAGTATCCACAATGTTTGATAGCTTGATGTTTCCAAGATAAAACAATGTTATTTCCTACCTTTGAAGGTATTTCAAAACAAGTTACATGGTCTTAAATACCATATGACATGGAAATATATACCAAGGAGAGTGGTTAGTGGTAAAATATATATATTTAAGACACTGTCTTAACATATATACATATATACATATACATATATATATATATATATATATATATGCTGTTTGAGAAAACTAATAAGAATTACTGTCAAAGAATATTATTATTCTAGAAGATTCCAGAACACCTCTGAATTTCCTCCCCGAAGAATTGTCTGAGAGAAAATTTGTAGTGGAAAGATGAAAAAAAAATGTTTTGGAAGATTGATAAAGCCATGCGAGATATAAGGGGAGAGACAGATTAACTCATCATCGAAGAATATAAAACAATTAAGATATTTAAACCAGAGTGATTTCAAAATTATCGAAGAATTGATTATTCAAGAATAGGGGAAACGTCTATTTGTATATATACACATAAATTGAGGTAATTAATAAATTTAGGTCGACTTTACGTTTTCAAATACAACAGAAATTAAAACAGACAAAATATGTATTGTATGGGGAATAAAAAACGTAATAGACATGATTTACAATACCATTCCAATGAAGTTAATATTTTGAATAATAATGAAATGTTTCAAACAATTTCATTGAAAAATCAAATATGTTCAGATGGAATAAAAATTTTTATTAATAAAGAAGTTAATGAAAATTTAATTTTACAAGAAATAATTAATCAAATTATGAATTTAAAAGAACAATATATTAAGACAAAAGATACAAATTATCAAGTTATGGTTGGGCCCAAAGGGAATCAAATATATGTTGAAAAAAATATTCAATTTGAGAATAAAATAATATCACAAATAATTCAAGATTTACAAAGTAATTTAAATACATTTAAATTATCATTATTAAGAGATAATTTATTTAATGATTATCAATTTCAAATAAATCAAGATAAGTTAACAATATTTAGTGAAAGAGATAATCTAATGAAGACAATTAATTTGTTCAATGATAATATTAAATTAAATTTTAAAAAGTTTCCAAATATAACTAATTATAATATTGATTATAAATTTTCTACAACAAGTAAATTAATTGCACAAATAATAATTGAAATTCCTTATCATAATTATGATGGATTATCCTATTTTAATGAACCAGAATATATTTCATGTTATTCAAAGAATACTCAAGATGATTTAACTTATAGAGTATTAGAACAAATACGATTACAATATATAAAGAAACAAAATATTACTACAAAACGAATGAGATGCCAATAGTATAAAATGCATACAAAGAAAACATAAAAATTCCAGGAACAAAAAATGTTTATGATGATTTAATGTCATCTTTTTATTTTGTTTTTTGGCACATTAAAGTAACATATATACATATATTCACACACGCATAATTTTTTTTTATCAACAAACAAACAAACAAACACGATGTTGGCATACAAATGTTTACAGCAGCTTCCACTGCACTCCATACTGATACATATCACACTGCCAAGATTAACGCATAGCTATTGTATTGCCTTTTCTGTTTGTTAACAAGAAATTTCAAATGTAGTTCTCTGGTCAAGAACGCTGTTGCATACATAATAAACCCATATACATATTTTTCACATAGATCCTTAAATCAAGCATACAAATATTTTTTCCTGAAATAAGTTTTCCACTTAACATTTTTCAACCTAAGTAAACATCAATTATAGTAGTACGTATTGCAATTTTCCTTTGTTCCTGTTTAATATATTTACTTTCCCCCTCTCTCACCAGAGAGACGCGTAATATATACAGCTCTAATTTTCTGCTCGTTGTGAAAAAAAGAATGTTCACTAAAACCAGAAATACAAAGGACGTGTTTTTTTTTCACAGTACAATTTTACTCTATTCTCCATACTTTTAAAAAGCTGAAGGGTTGAAAAAATGATTATTATTGAGATATTTCGCGTTTTTCACCATCTCCTTACGCGGAGAAATTGAACAAACAGAGGCTTGGCTCAAGTAGAAAAAAAAGACAGTACAAAGAAATACCCGCACCAATCGGCCGGCAAGAGAGGGTAACAATCATCAAAGAAAAAGAAACGTGGCGAGGCTCCCTCTCTCTCTCTCTCCGCCACATTCTGCACAATTTAAAAATAAATTTCTTTTGATTTGTTTGTTTTTTCGCGCCTCATTTCTGATTTATTGTTTGTTCGAGTAGCCACTACTGCAGCGGTTTCTTCAGAGAAAAGAGATCTCAAAGGAATAAAAACCGAATTCTCTTTCTTTTGCACCTCACACAAAATTCTAAATTGTTTTACTTTTACATACACACAGAATCAATTGTAATTTGAACCGCTGGATGGAAGACAGAGAGAAAGATAGACATTTCACTTATACTTTCGATCTGTTACACGAAAGAGTTTGATCTTTGAAGAAAAAAATTTTTTTTTCATCTCTTGCTATATGAAAGTAGTAATAAGATCAAGTTATCTTTTTTTTTGCATTGTTTCCCTCTGGATCAATCTTAGCTATTTACATCATTTAGGTTTAGTCCGTATGCTTTCTCTCTCTTTGCTATTATCTTACAATATTAAATAAAGTAGATAAATATCATCATCATTATTATCTATTGAACAATAATTTGAAAATTTAAGTAGATTTGTACTTCTTTAAAAACATAAAGTTTTCTTTTTTATCGAATATTATTATATAATATATACACACACACGTACTTTCTTTTAGTATTATTGTACTTTAGTTATAATTTAAATATATATATATAAATATACATATATATATTTATTTATTTTTTTTGTGAAAAAAAAAAACACATAAATAAATAATAACCATCGCTACAATAATAATAATAATAATAACAACAATAATAATAAAGAACAGGAACATAAGAACATCAAAAACGAATTAAAAATAATATACAAAAACAAACAAATATCAACCATTTTCATTAATTCATAAAGAACAATAATGTACGTTAGAAACTTAACTGAAAATAATAATAATCGAAGTAATGAAAATTCTCAGGATTCATTTGATAATCTAAATAATAATGGACAACAATTATCAAATCCTTTCATGGGTAGTGATGAAGATAATTTAGAATCTGGATCATCTTCATCATTAGATTTTAATAATACAACAAACAATACAAATAATTTAGATAATAGTCATATTTCAGATTATAAAGGTTACTATTCAAAAAATGCAAGTGCATTAAACCAAAATAATAATTCTGCATATTTAATGCCACCAAGATCTGCAAACTCTCCACTCCCACAAATAAATTCACCAAATTCAATGGAGCCAAATACTAATGAAATTTTTTCTCCACCTGAATTCGATAGATATCCACTTTTAGGATCAAGAGTCTCTTCACAAGCAAATTTACAATCTCCTTCAAATGCTAATTCCCCAAATCCAATGTCGTATGGTTCTCCTTTAGCAGATAATTCAAATGCTTCATTCTCTTCATCGAATCCTTTTAATGGTGAACAAGATTTTTCACCATTTGGTGGGTATCCAACTTCATCTTTCCCGTTATTGATAGAAGAAAAAGAAGAAGATGATTATTTACATAATCCTGATCCAGAAGAAGAAGCTAGATTAGATAGAAGAAGATTCATCGATGATTTTAAACATATGGATAGAAAGTCTGCAGGTGGTATTCTTGGTGTATTTACTTTAATTGGTGCTGGTATTGCCATTTTCGTGATTTTACCAGCTTTAACTTTCACAGGTGTAACAGATTATGGTTCTTCAAAGGGAGAAGTTATAGATTATTTAACATCATATCAATATCCACGTTTAGCAGCAATTAGAACAGAATTAGTAGATCCTGATACTCCATCATCTGCAAAGACAAGAAAGGCAAAAGATGGCTCCAATTGGAAATTAGTATTTTCTGATGAATTTAATGCCGAGGGAAGAACTTTTTATGCTGGTGATGATCAATTTTGGACAGCTCCAGATATTCATTATGATGCCACTAAGGATTTAGAATGGTATGACCCAGATGCCTCTACAACAGTTAATGGTACTTTACAATTACGTATGGATGCATTTAAAAATCATGATTTATATTATAGATCAGGTATGTTACAAAGTTGGAATAAATTATGTTTTACTCAAGGTATGTTAGAAATCTCTGCAAATTTACCAAATTATGGTCGTGTTACAGGTCTATGGCCTGGTCTATGGACGATGGGTAACTTAGGTAGACCAGGTTATTTAGGTTCAACTGAAGGTGTATGGCCATATTCATACGAGTCATGTGATGCAGGTATAACACCTAATCAAAGTTCCCCAGATGGTATTTCATATCTACCTGGTCAAAAATTGAACGCTTGTACATGTGATGGTGAAGATCATCCAAACCAAGGTGTTGGTAGAGGTGCTCCAGAAATTGATATCATTGAAGGTGAAGTCGATACTACTTTAAATGTTGGTGTCGCATCTCAATCCATGCAAATTGCTCCTTTCGATATCTGGTATATGCCCGATTATGATTTTATTGAAGTTTATAACTTTAGTACAACGAACATGAATTCGTACGCTGGTGGTCCCTTCCAACAAGCTGTCTCAGCCGTCTCCACATTGAACACAACATGGTACGAATTTGGTCAAGATGCTGGTTATTTCCAAACATTTGGTATCGAATATTTAAATGACGACACAGATGGGTACTGTCGTTGGTTCGTAGGTGATAACCCAACTTTCACTATTTATGCCAATGCTCTCCATCCAAACGGTAACATTGGTTGGAGAAGAATAAGTAAAGAACCAATGTCCATTATTATGAACTTAGGTATCTCTAATAATTGGGCTTATATTGATTGGAGAATGATTTTCTTCCCTGTAAAAATGTCTGTCGATTATGTGAGATTATACCAACCATCAGATGCCGTTTCAGTTACTTGTGACCCTGAAGGATACCCAACATACGACTATATTGAAGACCATCTTAATATTTATTCGAACCCTAATCTTACCTCGTGGAGTGCCGGAGGTTACACATACCCAAAGAATCAATTGACTGGCAACTGTGAAAGTTCTAAGTTTCAATCTAAGGAAATTCTATTATAATCTACATCCCAAGAATGAAGTATACCAAAAAACACAACAATTTTAAAAATAAAGAAATGAAAACACGTCCATTGTTTTATTTTCGTAAGATAATAGACATTATATAGATCTTCTTATTTAGTACATTAACCCTGCATTATATATAACTATTCAAATACAAAAAATATCACTAACAACTAAGTAAAAGGAAAACAACACTTGCAAAAAAGAGATTATTTAAAGATTAATTGTTCTCAATAGTAACTAATGTTTTACAACCTCAAGAAAGGATCGTACTAGTCTTGGCCAACATTTTTTAGTTTTATTTGTTTGCTGTAATGGAGGCTAACATATTTTTTCTCTCTTTCTCTCTCTGCGGAGTGATCTGGATATAAAAAAGTAGAAGAAACTTAAAACGAACTGAAATATAAGAATATTTAAAAAATTGAAGACAACTGATCATTGATACAGAAAAACTTCGAATAAGCAGGAATTGGAAGAATAAACCACGTTACCATAATTAATTAGCGACTGGTAGACAGAAGCTTAAGTCCATAACTATCATGGCCGATATAGACTCTTTAAAAACAGTGATGGAAGGTTCTACGGATCCTCGTCATGACATATCCCGCTGGCTGAGGTTACAATTCGAACACATTACCGCGAGCTCCACCTCAAAAGAGATACCAGAGGAGTTTCCTCTAAAAATATATAATGAATTGGTCACGTTTTGTAAAAATTTAACAGAAATTGAGGACCTTTCAAATATCGAATCACATAACATTTCACTCGCAACCTCACAACTATTATGTTCTGTGTTAACTCGTTTACGAACTGACGATGAAGGTAAGATATATGATGTTGCTGAACTAATGGCCAATATATTAGCTGAAGAAAAAATTATGGATACTGATACAAACGAAAAGTCTAAGAACAAAAAGAACAACAACAAAAAGACATTCACGTATAATTTTCCGAAAGAATTGGGCGCAACAATTCTGACTCAAATGTTTGAGTTATTTTCAAAAGATATCCATTCTTTAGTTCCATTCCTATTGCCTTTTATTTTCAAGAATATTAAGAAAACTTTAGAAAAGAGTAAATATTTTCATGCGTTATACTCTGTATCACTCGCTAGATTGCTACGTTCTATATTAAGGAATACAAATGGCAATTTCTTCGACATCACATACTCTACAAAATTTATAAAACTGTCAAAGTCTATTTTTGAGGAAATGAATGACAATCAAATAGATTATCCTGTAGATTTCATATCTGCTTTAGTAGAATGCTGGACGTTCATATATAAACAAGAAAGTTTCATTCAAGAACACAGGGATGATATTACTAATACTTTGTATACTAAATTCTGGAAGTCAGAAATTGCGGTGTATGGTATTTCGAATGATTACACTAGAAATATTACCGCAAAGGCACTCGCTGAAATCGTTTTTGATTACCAATTCACAAAAAATATCTTAAATCTCGAAGAGGCGTTAAAGCTTTATGTTAAAATTTTCAGACATTGTCATTCCAGGGATGTTAGGGCAGGGTGCTTTGAATCACTTACTCATTTTATTATCCTAAATTCTCTGGCTGACACCTCCTTTCTACAGGGTTGCAAATACCTGTATATAGTACAACAATTAAGCTCAATTGTTTCCGATAGAAATATCGTTAACAAGAAATCAGACACAATAGGAAGATGGCTGAATATGCTAAAGTCCCTTCATTATCTTCTTTTACCTTACATCTCAGAAGCATCAAAAAACCAAATCCTTCTCACACTCCTGGGTTTAAGATCAGATGATTCATTTCCTAAAAGCGGAGAGGACCTAATGAACCTTTCAGTAATCCAAAAGAATGAAGTATCCAACCAATGGTTTATACTTCTTCAACAAGACCTTATCGAACAACTATTAGTTAGTTTGTCTTCATCCTGCATGAACGATGATAAAATGCGTGATGAAGTTAAATGGAGATTAATATCATTAGCGACATCCGATATATATAATGTACGTCTTCACTCCTCTCAAGTATTAAAAGTTTTTTTAACGAATTTTCCGGATTTGTTAGCTCCTGTCATCACAAGCTCTTTAGAAACATTGTCAAACGCTTTCGAAAGTAAAGAAAAATCTAATTTGCCATTTGCGCAGTTACACGGTCATGCTTTGATTATTGCCAATATAATAGACATTGCTGATAAGGACTATGTATCATATGAATTGATCATGAGAGTTACTGTTTTTGCGACATCCTTCATTAAAAATCATACAACATCAACGAATGGGGACCTTTATTTTAAAGGTCTGGTATGCTGGATTCTTCTTACAGGTCTAATGAATTATGCTGATGACCAATATTTATCGACACAAACTGCCCAACTACTGCTGTTCTGGAAAGTACTATTGACTCATTCTTTTACATATAGGAACGAGGAAGAGCTATTTCGTAATTTGAAAACAAGAACTCACGCACTTACTTGTTTACTCACATTTTTGAATAACATAAACTTAGATAAGGAGTTATCAACACAGATATCCTATTTATTAACAAAATGTTCAAATTTCAATCATTCAGTGGAACTGAAGTCAGGAAGGATAGATGACGCACTATTAGAAAATGAAAATAGAATACTACAAATATATTTACGTTTAGAAAAATATATTAGATACGATTTTAATAGTTCACTTTTAATTCTGATTATGAAAAACTTTACTGACCCAAATTTGTATATTGAGCCGTCAAGCTCTCTTATTCAAACTGTTAAGAAGATCAAAAAAACATCTAAAAACGAAGATTCCAGAAAAGAAAAAGTTTTGGAGCATAGTGTAGACAGTATTCTGCGGTTGGAGGATAATTTTGCGTACGGTATATCAAGTAAAATAATATGCGATAACATCCTTTGTCTAAATTCCCCAACTGATGATAATACAGTGACAGAAATACCAGGTTTATGGAACCTTTCTACGACTTACTGGTACGATATCTTTGATAAGGATGTGACTTGCCCAATATCGAGACTTCTATCTAATGATTCTTTGGTTCTTTTATTTGGAAAAAAATCTTACGCTAAAGGTACTTTATATATGCCTAAAGTTACTACATCATTAATTGATTTTTCAATGGAGCTTTTCTCATCTGTGTTTCCATACCTGAACAGTAAGATACAATATTCATTAATTGAAAACCTCAATCTTGCGTTATTTTCTAAAGCAACCACAGTGATGAGGAGCGTTGCAATTTCTGCAAATATATGCACTGCCCTGTATACATCATTACAGATTATTGAAGCAAATGAAATAACCCTTGACAAATCAGTTGGAAATTTATTGGTCGAATCCATAAGGAAGATCGAGTTCCTAAATGACAATTATCTAACATGCCTTAAATCTAGCTGTATTGGGCTGGTAACAGCTGCAGTTCGGAGAGATATGAGCGTAGAAAACTCTTCTGATTTTATCGAAGAACAATGTAACATTCTAGTTAAGTCATTAACCGATAACGAGGAACCGTTTGCCAGACTTTTAAATATTCTTTCTTTGTCATCCATTTACCAATCCAATTCAAAATATACCAGATTTGACAACATATATGAAATTTTATTAACCATGATTAAAGATCCACACCCTGTTATTCATTCGTGGTCATTGAAGGCGTTAAATATATTAATAAGAAGACATTCTTCAATGAATTCGGAACATATCTCCAATCTTCTAGGGGCTTTACATGGTTACCTATTGAATCCATCATACGGATGTTCGGGAAACTCCACATTAAGATATAATTATAATATTCAATATAACTCACACTATATGATTGCAAGTATTATTGACACTGTGGTCGAGAGTATTGGCCCAAACTTACTTACTGTAGATGGCGTAGCTGTAAGCTGTTTCCAAAATATATGCTTCTATTTTGTATGCACAGGTGACCTATCTCAACAACTTAAAAGTGTCCAGATTTTTGAGAACATATCAATTTTTAAAATAGAAAACATTCTCCATGACAATACGTTCATTAGAGTAGCAGAAAACATTATTGCTAGCTCCCTTTTCCTAGGCATTGGTTCATCATACTTTGATATGACATTTACCAATCGTCACGAACTTATACCGAGATCCAGTAGTGTGGATGCTGCCTTCCAGTGTCTTAATCTTTTCGAACACTTGTCCAAACTTCAAAAGGGCCATTTATTCTATGAGCAATTAGAAAGCACCTGTTGGAGATATCTTGCATTATATCCTGACCGTGGTATTATAAGTAACTATTTTAAAGAATGGTTGAAGCAGGCTCCTAATACCAATAAATGGCTAGAAAAATTGCAACAAATGTATAGCATGTCCAATGATAAACTTTTCAGAAATGTACATAGTGCAAACAAAAAAATCCTTCTGGAAAGGGGAATCATAAATATCAAAGAAAAGGAAATTACAGACGAATTGGAGGAGAAGATCAACGAAACAAATGAGCCAAACACATTAACCAGCAAATCAGAACTTTCTGATGCACTCCAATGGAAGACTAAGGAAGTAATCTTGGGATTAATGGCTAAATTATGTTCTGATATGCAATATAAACCTATTCAAAGTCTTTTACCTCAAATTCCTGCTCTAATAAAACTATCATTCAATGCTACTTCAATGAGATTAGAATCGATAAATAAACTCGGCCTATCAATTCTCCACCTTGTTTTAAAATTGTTTAGTAAAATGGCAGATCAAGAGTATCCCCAGAAATCTATTCTTGAACAATACGAGGCCCAAATTTCAAGTGCGCTAATGCCTGTTTTCCATACAGGAAGTTCTCCTGACGTCATAGCTATGGCAATAAATGTTGGTGCAGAAATAGTGTATTCTGGAATTGTACCTTCCACGGAACAAAACAGAATATCCCAACTATTAATTAAGTTACTACAAAGTTTTAATTCCAATTCAATTGATATTCGTATTGGTAATATATCTATTTCTACAAAAACTGCAAAGAGAAAAATCGAGTTAGCAGTACTAAATGGTTGGGCTAAGTTAACGCAACAAGCTATTGAATTAGATAATGCAGAACTTATGAAATTTACACGAGAATATTGGTCAATACTGACTCCATTATGGATTATTTCTCTCCGTGAATATATGATATTAAATTACGAATGCACATCTTTACATATATCTAAAGTAAAAGGAGGTGAAAATATATACAGAGAATCTGATACAACCAAATTGATGCTGTATGAACCTGTCTGGCAAAACATGACTAGGGCTTTAAGTTCCATATTGCACATAGATAAAGACATACTTTTACAAAATATGGATTCAGACGAGCTTGAGAGTTTTATGTTTGCCCTGGTCTCAAAATGTTTAGACGAAACATTACGGAATATCGACAATGAAAAGTTAAAAGTGGTTCTTCTGTGTACTATACATGATATATTCAAATCTAATATCTTATTAAAAAGTTTACTGTCTGACAATATATTTTCAGAAGTTATTGGGATATTTAATAGATTAATGTCTACGGGCTCAAAGAAAGAGAAGATAATTGTCATTGATATCATTAATGATCTTATTAGAGGGTACAGAATAACGAACTCATCACAAGACTCTTTTCTTGCTGACATTGATAAACTCTATGAATTATTAAAACTCCTTATGTTTATCATATCAGACACCTTACCTTTTGTTAGAGTCTCTGACATTCAAAATACTATCGAAAAGGATATACTTTTATCACCTTCACAACAGGAGATACTTCGGAAGGTTGCAATGGTACTGGAAGTTAACATTAATCAGTTCGACGAAATCTTTAAAGTAGATTTATACGCCTGTCAACTTTTTATTATTGGTAGAATATATCTATCAAAATCAGTTAATGATATCTTACCAATCTTTTTACCCCTCCTTAAAAATATCATATCAGATTTAGCTCAGAATACTGAGTACCAAAATTTGTTAGACACGTTTTATGAATCAACATCTGTAAATTACTCCAAACTAAATAGACCGAACAGGATTGCCACATTCTTACTTTTAGTAACCAACGGATTTAATAAGTTTAAGGAGAATGATTTTATTTATAACACAAGACAACTCTCTAGTTTATCGGATCAAGATGAAACCCTTCAAATTATTATCCAGGGCATTAAAAGAATAGTACAGTTTAGTGATAAATTTGATGGTTGTCGCTGTACAATGAAAGTGTTTATAAAACAACTATTTGAAAGAGATGAATTACCCAGAAATGTAGTACGCCCTATATCAGATATATTAAAAACTTTCACAAAGATTGCAGGTTCCGATGACACGTCTAAATTCGAACCTTGCTTTTCTGTATGCCTACTATTTATTTGCAAACATTATGAAAAGTTGAAGGCTGATGATACTTTCATGGCAAATACACTTGATGACCTGGTACTATTAAACCCCGAAGCATTCAAACAATCCCTGGGAATTGTTTTAGAATCTGAACAAAAACAAACTATGGAAAAGATAATCGAGGAGGTGGAACTTGCAAAGTCTTCCAATAACACCGTTTCAAGTGTCGAATTGAAGACCTTTATATAATATTAAATAGAATTCATTTCACGGTGTGGAACTTCATTTTTTAATACAATGAAGGTTTTGCTAAATGACAATTCATTATGTAGGTTATAAGTACAAAACATAAAAAAAAAAAAATTACAAATAGAAAGTGGGAGAATAGCGCCAATGTGAACTTTCCGGCTTCTCTGAATCGATAAATCCATAAAGCACTTATTATTTAACACCATCTGTTTTTCGATTGCGAGATTGTTTTCGCATTTCCCAATCAGTTTTTAGTTCGGAGGTTAATACGCCTAAACTGTTCAACATAGAACAACACCACATGTATATATCATATCTATTTAACTTTTTGGAACTATCTGCTATCGTTCTTAGAATAACCAAACGATTTCTCTTTGTCAACTTGATTTTTATATCCATTGGGTTTTGCATTGACCATGGGTTGTATGAACATATTTTATCGCTCATGTTTGTTGACGATTTTATGTACAAGTATTTTGCCAAATCTAGATTACTTTTGTTAATCTTATTTTTAGACGAGGGGACTCCATCAACCAGAAATTTCGTATAAATTGCTGCTATATACTCCCACAGCGGAAGTTCGTGTTTATGATCGATTCTATGAACTTTCATCAAAAATTCATTGATAAGTGGAAATACACTCTCGTTCAATTTTGAACCTTTTTGCTTATCCCACTCCAAAAGTTTATTTATTATCATAGGATACAGCGGTAAACGTTTTTGTGCCGGAATGCTATCCAATAACTTGAGCGCCTGTAGTATAGTTTCTGTACTTTTATTCCGCAAAAGCTGTTGTGCGATGACCATATATTCCTGTGTTGAAAGAGATCCATATAGCTCTTCAATACGCTTCATTGTTTGATTTGAGTTTTTGTAATCCTGAAAACTAAGTTGCATTTCGAATAATGATGATAAATAATCTTTGCTATTCCATAATAGTACCTGTATAGACTGCGAAGCAAATGATCTCATATTACGGATTATGGATTGCGCCAATTGAAGAGAAGAGGTTCTTGATATATATCTTAATATTTCTGGTAGCAATAAAGGATTGTTGCATATATATACAGGGCTTAATTCCTCTATTAGTTTGGCACACTCATTATTGTAAGCTGTATTTTTATTGAATATTTTGAATATATTAAAGATCACCCTTGGATCATGTTGCGTCACAGGATTACACATATCTTTAATTTGGTTCCATACGACAAGCACACCTGCTGGGTTATTTATATTGCAATCAAATTTAATCAGTGAATATGCAATGTTTAATTGACTTTGGTTATCACCATTCAACAAAGAAGATTCCAAAGTGGCGGTCATCAATTGCCGTTTTACTTCCTTTTCCAGATGTGGTGCTTTTCTTAGAGACTGAGCCATGATATTTAGCGTATAAAATTGGAAATTTGTTAACGGTAAAACCATTTTTTGGGTTTGGAATAAATCTTCCAATCGGAGGTAGTTTCTCAGTAAAATATCATTAATTTTGGGGTTGTTAAATGATGTGGCGGATAAAATTTTGGAAGCAAGTTTAGTATCTAGCTTCGATTCTGGATATAAGTTATGGTACAATATGTAAAGATCGATAACCATAGGAAAATCTTGAGTTTTTATTGCATCATTTAAACACCACATAAATATTTCCTTTTCAGACATATTTGAGTCATAGGGATCTGTTGATATCCGACCTATAACTTCAGAAATTAGTTTCCTATCTCTAATATTATATATAATTTCTCTCCGGTAAAGACCTCTTGATGTAGATGAAATTTGATTATTCTTTTTCACAAATTGAACAAATTTATTAAACTCTATATTATGAACTAATGATAATTCAAAAAGGTTTTGTTTATTTACGTGGAGATTTGCATCTGAGGATACAGTTTCTGACCTATACTTCCAGTATTCACGAATCATATAATTGTTTTGCCCATTTAAAATTTTATCATTATTAATGATATCAGTTATATTATTTACAAGGGACTGTCCTTTCGTTGTGGTTTGTGAATATAGTTTCTTATATGGTGATGCATAAACCTTGTAATTCAAATGTCTTATAGTTACACATTGGAAAAACGGCCGACAAAACATCTATGACGACAACATATGTTGATAACTGCAATGTTAAGTCTTTATAATGCTCCCTTTTTTATTTGGTTGTTTAATTTTATTGAAGTAGATGTATTAAGGATATTTTCATCAGTTAGTTTCATACTACTTAACTGTGAAAATTTCATCAATTTTCTCCACGAGAAAAGAAAGAGAGAAAAAACATAAATATATTTATTAATGACAATTATTGTTATATACAAAAAAAATTATCCGAAAAATAAAGGAATATATATAAATATTATAACTCTTATTTAGACAAAATGGATCCTATACAGTGGTGTACAATGGTGATGCTTGAAGTAATCCTTTCTCCTTACAATTAGAACATTGTCTCCATTCAAGCACTTTACAACAACACCAATAGCAGTAGGTTGCTTGACAACAATCTAAAATATAGGGATTGGATGGTGGCTCATTACATAATGAACAATGCCGTATATCTAACTGCGAGCCTATGATAGCAGTAGTATGTTTTTCTGTTTTGCTTTGCCACGTGTAGAAAAATGTCCTAGAATTTGGTAACAATACAGTCATATTCAACAACTCTAGAACTGCATTCCATAATAACTGTCTGTTCTGAACCTCCATTGTTGCTAAACGGCTTTGCTCTGAGAATTGCCCCAATGGCATTATATTATTAGCACCCTTAGATGCCATTTTAAGACCTAATATTCTGTTTAATATCGATATATAATTACCAGTAACTATAAAATTTGCAAAATTTAAAACTTCTGCCAAACTTGTAAGTAATCGTAGTAATTTAACTAGACGTTTGTTTTGAGAAGGTAAAACTTTATCCGATTTAGCCAACAAATATTTACTTAAAACCGCGGTTAAGTACAGAGTACCTCTCATGGGAGATTTATAGGATAACCCATTTAATCTAGTTCCATAAGTCTCTTCTTCTTCTGCTTCTTCTACTTCCTTCCCCTTTAGCTTCTGACTTTTGCTATTTGATATAAACCGTAATAATGATAACCACCCATTATTTCCTTTCTTTACAACAAACATGTACAACAAAGTATCACACACTAACCTCCATTCATCTGTATTTTTCCATCCTAAGTGACCTGGTTCATTCTCATCATTTCCGGCATATATTGCATGATTCAAATCGCGCAACAGTACAGAATGTAGCTCATCATCAAGGATACGTGAATCTAATTGTGCTACTCTTGACATAATATAATATCAATGATCCTTCTGAAAATCGATGAAAGTCAACCTAATTAAACAAACCAGCCTCCTTTATACCGTTTGCCTGCTTTTTCAAGTTTCAAGTTTAGTAATGTATGATTGAATACTAAACCCCAATATATTACTAGTATACCAATAGATCCTCCTTATCTTCTTGACCTGACCCTTGTTCTTCATCACTTTATGCCATATTAGTCTCTAACTACCACTGTTTAAAGGTAATACTCACTCACCATACCATCCTATTCGTCGGTCTTACCTGCTCTGCTCTTCATTAGAAGCGGCCGGCACCTTAGAAAGCAAAACAGAGCTCTCCCGACAGTAGCTGTGTACCCCCACCGCACCCAGCCTTTACAGTTGCGCCGAAAACAGATTGGTAATTCACCTATTATTTTCAATGGGATAGGAACAAAGTGGTTCAGGAAACATGTTAGAAACGTATTAGAAACACTCCGTGGAGCGGAAACTCATGGCAACAGAAAATCAATCCCACGCCAACTATAATGTTCCACGGAGACTTTATGTCATCCAAATAACAATTATCTTCTTACGATACTTACAATATTAAATTAGAGTAAATCTATATGGAATGGAATGACTGTGTAACGTTTTTGATACTTGGTTCCTCAGCAAGTGTCGGACAGATAAAACTGTTATATAATCATCAGATGAGTCTATCATTAATGAGGCTTTTAGTCCCCAGCCCAAGCTTGTTGGAGACAAAAATATTTAGGATAATATATATATATGTATCAGTAGCGCTTGTGTTGATTTATCTGAAGAGATTTTTCTGTTTCTATCTTCTTTTATATTGTAGATAACATATCACCTATATCTGAACTCATTGTAATAAAAGTAACATTAGTGTAAACCGTGCTTTATAAAATTTCTTTTTTATTCCATGCCCAAAATACCGACAAACCCCAACAATAACAGCAATAAAGTCTTAAGGACACTGCTCACATGCCTGGTTGCTATCTTTTTATTATTAATTGTCAATGAAAGATATATTTGGAATCCACTATCCTATTCTATCAAAGAAGAACATTGCCCCGCTAGTTTACCAATCCATGCTTCTGATGATATGTCAGTACAACATATCTTGCACGACCCTAAATATAAACAACAAAGTATCAAGAGACTAACTGGTGCTATTCAAATTCCCACAGTAATATACGATGATAACCCTGAACCTAATGAATCTCCCGAATATTATAAAGAATGGTACAACTTTCATAACTATCTTGTGGAACAATTCCCATTAGTACATAAATATTTGAAAAGAGAAACCGTTAAAAATGTATCCCTGCTGTATACGTGGCAAGGATCTAATCCTATTTTAAAACCTATAATATTTTCAGCCCATATCGATGTTGTTCCAGTAGAATCCAGTACCGTTCAACAATGGGAACACCCACCATTTTCTGGTCATTATGATAAAGAAAGTGACACTATATGGGGTCGTGGATCATTTGATTCTAAGAACTTACTTATCGCACAGTTAGAAGCTATAGAATATTTACTCTCACTAGGTAATTTCACCACTGAACGTACCATATTGCTGTCCTATGGCCATGACGAAGAGACTGGTGGTAGACAGGGTGCTGTTAGTATTTCAAAATTGTTACTGAATAGATATGGCCCAAAGGGTATTCTGGCTCTATTTGACGAAGGGGCAGGTGTCATACCACTTAAGGATAAGAAAACATTTGTTGCTGCAATCTTAAACAGTGAAAAGGGTTACGTGGATTTAGCTGTAAAATTTAGCGGCTCCGGTCCAGGTAGAACAGGTCATTCTTCTCAACCACCTGACCACACACATATCGGTGTTGCTAGTGAATTGTTAAAGTCAATAGAGAAGTATCCATTTAAATCCAACTTCAAAATTACAAACCCAACTTTTGAATTCCTTTCTTGTGCTGCGGAACATTCCTTAGGTCTACCTAAATACTTACAATGGTTGATTCGATCTGCACGTCATAATCGTTTGGCAGAATATACTTTAGGTCGTCTACTTGATATGCAGGGTGATTATAAGTATTACTTTAGAACGAGTCAGGCCATTGATGTCATACAAGGTGGAAATAAAGCTAATGCATTACCAGAATATGTCACTTTCACAATAAATCACAGAATAGAAATCGAATCCTCAGTCAATGAGACTATATCTCACTTTATTTCATTGGCTAAAAAAGTGGCATCTAAATATCACTATAGCATTCTTCTCGATGGTAAAACAATAATTAATGTACCCCCACAACAAAATATAGCTCCGGCAACAATAGATATTCATCCGATAGGTTCCTTGGAACCATCACCTATCACGCCCGCAGAAGGTGATTTGTGGGACATTCTAACCGGTACAGTACAATATATTTTTGAGGATTCTATGGGTAAAGCTGAAGAACCAAATCTCTTTATGTCACCAGCCCTTTCACCCGGTAACACAGATTCGAAACATTTTTGGGATGTAACAGACAATATTTATAGATTTATTGGATCTATTGTACCAGCTGATATCTTAGATACAGCACATTCTGTTAACGAACATTTCGTTATGAATTATCATTTGCAAGCAATCGCATTTGTGCACCAATTTATAGTCAACATTAACGAATTTGGTCGAAATTTGTAGTTAAAAGTAAAACATTCTCTATATAAACTAAGCCGTTAATTTAAAATAATTGTTTATTGCCCCCAAATTTGAATTAATTTGTAACTTAAAAGCCGCCAAAAAATTCATATGAGAGTAGTTCATTTGTTGTCATTATATAAGAATAACTAATTGTAAAAATATAAATAAATAACTGAAAAGAATATTAATTTTGGGCATTTCCGAGGAAACGAATTCAAAAAAAAGGTTTTTTGAATACCAAAGAATTATCACTATATTAGCAGCATAATCAATATGAATGGGATGAAATATGAATACCATGCATTTATAGATTTTATACTACCACTGTTGCCAAAAGTATCAATGGAATTATAATATATTTCATCACTTTCAGACTTCTCATTGCTTAGATATTCTAAATTGTCTGAGTTATCATCCGTTGCCGAAACTTCAGGGATTGCACTGCTGTGATGGGGCAGCGTTGTAGAACTAGATACCGCTGCGTAACGATGTGAAGAAGTTGTCGTACCAACATTATATTCGTTATACCTTTCTAATGAATCAAACGAAATAGATTTGTTGAAATTATTCCCATTGCTATCAACGTGTTTAGATTCGAGATAACCCGAATCATCTTCAGCGCTTTCAATAGTCAATTGATTATCAGAAGTATTCTCACCAGAGTTATTATTTGTATTTTCATCTCCTACTGGATTATCGCTATTTTTACTAACAGATTCAGATCCTATGTTCGTTGAAGAATTAGTTTTGGAAGGTGATGACTTTGCAGTAAGGGTGGAATTAGTTGATGTACTAGGAATCGTATTAGAACTGGATTGAATATCCCCTGTCTGTATTTGTGTATGACTATTTGATGTTGAGGACTTAATATTGTGCTTTACTGTAGATGACTTAATATTCCCAGATGTCCCATCATCCGTTTCTAAAGTATCAATACCAGTTGTTTCACTATTCGTATATGTTTTTGAACCTCCATCGAATGTATTCATACTAGATCTAGTTGATGATCGAATATACGTCCCTGTAGGCTCATAATCTATGAAGGTTGATGTGTCTTTTCCAGTCATTTCAGAATTAGACTCTGTGCTTGAAGTAATTTGTGTACCTATAATATTGTCTGTGGGACTAGTGGTTATTGTAACTTCCCTTTCTGTACTAGATGAAGATGTATGGCTTGCATCGACACTGTTTGATGGGATTAAAGTTGGGTCACTATTTGTCGTTATTGGGCTATTAGTTGTGGAAATAATAATAGTACTTGAATGTGCTTCATCTGAAGCGGTCGAAGTCTGAAAATTTGAATCAGTGTCAATATTGTCAATTGTTGGTGAACTGGTTTCAGTAAATGAACTTTCATGGATTGTACCGCTATGTGTTTGTGACAGATCTGTAGATATATCTGATATTGTTGAAATTGCCGTACCATCGAAGTCATCACTTGAAGTATGACTTAAAGGTGTAGAAAGAGCGCCTGTGGTGGTATAACTTGTATCAGTATCTCTAGAAGTCACACCGGATGTAAAACTTTCGGTGCTAATAGTCGTGCTCCCAAAAACAGTATTGTCAGTGTCAATACTTGTGGTCTTAGAAATGGTGTTACCTGTACCTGAGGTAGTAATATCAATAGTGAAACTATAGGTATTGGACGTGGTGCTAATCGATCCTGTTTGTGAAACATCGCTCGTTATGGCAGATTCTGTTGGGTCATCCAATGAATCTGATTCCCAATCAGATGTGGTTGTTGTTGTTGGTTTTGCTGTTGTTAACGCATTGCTATCAGATGATGAAATTATGGACATTGTGGAGCTCATACTCGAATAGTAAGACCCGTGGTTAACAGTTTCTGTAACAGTTTCTGTTATGACAAGAGTATCTGTTGAAGTCAAAATATTTGTGATTGTAGTCATATTAGAAACTGTATTTGTTATGAATACAGTCGTGGTATCACTTACTGCGGTAGTACTTATATCAGTGATGGTAGCCAATAAAGTAATTGTTTTAGTCTCCGTAGTGGATGTGATAATTGATGTTGGAACCAACTCAGTTATAGTAGATACTAGTGTATCAGTAAATGTAATACTAGTAACATCTGTAACAAACTCTGTTTTAGTATCGGTACTAACATTGGTTACAGTGTAATGATTATCTGTGGTAACAGTGTTTGTATGTGTAATAACTGACGTTTTCGTTGATAATAATAAAACAGACGATGTTGTAACTATTGTTTCATGAGACGTGTGGGTTACAACTTGAGTTTGAATTGTTGTATCGGTTTCTATTAGTGTAGTAGTTTGATGTAATGTTTCAGTTACATTATAAGTGTTTGTGTGTGTTGTTGTCTCTAGCAATGTTTGATTCACATAATTGGTTTCATGCACGGTCTCTGTTGAAATATCAGAACTAACCAAAGTTACGGTAAGTTTTACTGTTTCTGTTGAAAATAAAGTGACAGTATCTGTTATAGCCTCTGTGACAGTATCTGTTGTAGCTTGTATAACAGTGGCAGTTGTAGCCTCGGTGACAGTATCTGTTGTAGCCTCGGTGACAGTATCTGTTGTAGCTTGTATAACAGTGGCAGTTGTAGCCTCGGTGACAGTAGCAGTTGTAGCCTCGGTGACAGTATCTGTTGTAGCTTGTATAACAGTGGCAGTTGTAGCCTCGGTGACAGTTATTATATCTGTAACTGTTAATGTTTCAGTGAAACTATGTGTCTCAGTATCAGTAGTAACTTGAGTATGGGTAATGGTGTCAGTATCAGTAGTAATCTGAGTATGAGTGATTGTGTCCGTATTAGTAGTTACTTCTGTATGTGTTTGAGTTTCAGTAGCAGTAGCTGTCTCAGTATTTGTGGCAGTTTGTGCGTGTAGTTCACCTACATTAGCTACCAGCTGTTCAGTATCGGCAACGGCACCTGGTAATGAAAATTGACAAATATAAACAGTATTTGAACTGCATGTCTTTTTTGCACACCCAATCTGAGTACTTTGTTTCCAAATAATTTGAACGAAATCATGATTATCAGTAGTAAGCTCCGGATTGGAATAATCATAATTTTGAACTCCAGCATACCAATCAGAAACAACCTCATCAATATCGCTTGAACCAACAGAAACTGTAAAACCATAAACCCCATTTGAAAATGTATTTTCTTGATCACATTTGTAACTACCAGCAAGATCAATTGCAGAGCTTGCGGCTTTTTTCAGCCATGTTACAGATGATGTATCAACATGATAATTTCTTTTGTTTGTGATAGCAGCTAGTATTTGATCTTGTTCTTTACTAGAAAGGGCATATTTTGATGTAAATATACCACCAGCTACTAATTGAGCTTTTAAAAAGAGTGCTATTATTGTAAGGAAAACTATATTCATTATACCAATTTAAATTAAATGCTATTAATGCGTGTATCAAAATAATTTATTAAATTTTAAACTTTTAGATCGTGTTAGTCTTTTACAATTTTGCAAAACAGGAAAGAATATAGGTAATTTCATGTACAAGTTTAAGTCAAGATATTGATAATCTTATAATTCAAGAAATCACACACATACATATATATATGCTTTAAGAATATATTTTTATGTATTTTAAAAAGGGTTGTTTAAGCTAATTAAATCTGGTATACAATACCAAAAGAATGATACAATACTAAATTTTAATAATTAATAATAACATTTGACCCTCACAGTAAATCATATAAAAAACAAAAAATTAATTAAATAAAAAAGGTTCATCGATTATCGAATCTAGAGAGAGTAAAAGTTGAGGGGATCTTGATTAAAAGGATTTTCAATGCAGTAGAAACATGGTAAAAACATTATCAATCTAAAATAATATATTATTATATAATGTATTAAATTACATACTTCGCAATTTAGCCACACCTTCTAACAAAACGATGTTATAATAATATTACATTCCTAGTAATCGTTATATTCTAAAATTTCCCTAATTATTCCCTAGCTTTCTGCATAAAGTATCTAGGTGGAGAATGTAATGCAAATCTTTTCCAACATATAGTGAAAAAAACAAAGAATAATTATCCTATTGTATTCAGAGGATAATCAAAAACACATAAATATGATTTTATAAGATAGTAGGATCTGCACCTCTAAATTTTCTTATTTTCAAGAACACACTGTTACTCTAAGGTACTTTTGTTTTTGGAAAATAATGCATCATTTCATCTATAAGACCATAAAAACAATTAAACAATAGAAAGTAAAAATTCCCCTCAATTTGTTAACATTTAACACTAACAAACTAATAATTTAGACACAAAAAATTTCGGACCATAACGGATATATACGAACAATGGAACAACATATCCTTTATGATGGAGAGGAGAAATCAAATTATATATTAAAGGTTATGTGTATTATTAAAAATATAAGAAAAGCTGGCGACACATAATTAAAAAAAGCCATACACATGGATAACCAATAGAATTTCCACGGAACCCTCTTTTTTTTTTCTTTTTTTTTCCATGGACCCCACTGCAACGTATTAGCAAATCGTATAGCGAACGAAAAAAGAAAAATATTCACTAAAAGTTCTGTACGTATGAAATCTGCACATAAAAGCCCTAGGCGTAGTCACTGCCTTTGCTTGAAGTTTGATTTCAAGCGGTAATGTAACGGAATAAAAGGGGGGACCCCAAAAAATGGGGTACTAACTTGGAAACGGATATGTCGGAAAATGTACTGAATGGAGCATCTAATGTTGAAGGTCCGTATATCACATGCACGATTTTATGCATCTCACGAATTGGAGGGTTAACATATCTGGTAAAAAATTTAGTTGAATATTCTAGGAGTGGATGTAGTATATATAGAGTAGAGGTAAAAGGCAATCTATATTATATTAGACTTTGTTTTGTAGAGGAAATAATAGTAACTTTGAATATACTATTCTTATTTTTGAATTTTTCATATCTATATCTTCACATTACTAGGCTATATAAATTTACACAAAAAGGAATATGCATGATATTAGATAATGTGGTTTAAAAATTGACAAAAACTGCCCCATTGTTGAATCCTATGGTATACTCTACACCCAAAAATATTCGATACTTGTAGTTATGATAGTGATAAAATACGATTTCAGTTGATTGTTTCCATCGCTGAGTAGTAGCTTCTGTTAAGTCACCTTGCAAACAGTAACCACTAAGCACAGAATACTCTTATTCAACTATTTGACTCGGAATTTAACTTAACAAGGAAATAGTAAAGACCTGTAAATTACATACATGCGCTAATAATAACTTATTTTCAACTGTATAAAAATGTGCATACTATTGTATATAGCTATACTCAATTCATCTAAGCAATGTACAAAAATAATAGTACCTACTTGACTTAACTCAGTAAAAAAAACAGGACATAACTAGAGAATGATATATTTATTATAGATATACCTAGAATATTAAACCCAGGGTGTCTGGTAACCCTAGGCAACCACATTTTTTTAACACCTTTTTTGTTTTGATGGTCATAGTATGATTTGACGAGCGTCACTTAAACTATTATAGAATACTTTTGGCCTGGTATACCTACTCATAGGCTGTTATTTATCTTAGCATAACGTAGGCTTATTTCCAATTGAAAATCATTTCCCCTATCATCATTTACAAGCTTCATATCTGGGGGGTACCTTGTAAAAAGGGACCATATTCCCGGCTCAATACAAATTTTATTATCCTTAAGGTCTATTGTTACAATGTATAATATTGCCTGCTATTCAATAAACTCAGATTTGTTCAACCTGCCTATGGAAATCAATATATTTAACCCTTTCAAGCATATTCGTGATTTACAGTCACTTTATATTACATACGGACTTTGGAAGTAAATCGTGAAAGGTTACAATTCTACTTTAACACTGAGCGCCTCAGTATCTCATGTGTAATACATAGAAAATACACTAAAACTATCACTAAATAGTATTGGAAAATCTTCAAGTATTTTAACATTAAGACATTTTGATTCTCTAAAGTAGGCAATTGGAAGAAGATTTTCATATTAAGGTGATATCTTCAGGAATCAATATTGAACAATCTCCAATCACTTCTTCTCATTATATATTTATTTATCATTCTGAAGAATATACTAAAGTTATCTCCCACAAGTTCACTGTCTAGTCGGTAACGAGGTTTTGGGGTTTCTCGATATACACCTTTCGAAATGAGGGATATTGCAAGTTTTTAAAATGTTAGGTGGATAAGATCTCAGTGATGTAAATAGTTATTAAAATGATTTTACAGATTAAATAAATCTTATCAGCTGCTATTGCACTAGAAAACAGCTATAGCAGTTTGATATCTTTCATTTATCCCGATGAAGATCTTCAGCAATCCACCTATCAGTTATTATTGATGCTGTTCAGAAATAATATAATAAATAAACTAGAAGAACAATAATATATGCTTTTATTTTCTCATCGTCAAAATAGTCGCCGTCAACGAAGTCTAATAGTCTTGTTTCCTTTCGTGTTTGATGCTTTCTTAAAAAATAGTTAAAACCGAGTTTCAGTTGGAAGCTTTGGCAAATCTTTATATCAAAAATCATCCCCAAACCTGGAGTTAAAATGATAAATGCGTGGCATAATTGGAGAGGTGCGTATGTTTTATTTTCCGCCACCCATTAAAAGGTGAAAAAGAGATACACCCTTAGAACTCAATTAATTTGGAAGAAAATATTTACTTTATCGAAGTCTTTCTGGATATAATTTTAATGTGCTACGTTTTTATTATAATTTCTTATTTAGTATTATTCCTTTAAAGATTTGGAACATATTATAAATAATCTTTCTAGTTACCTACAAAAATGTCAATGCAGATATTATAGTGATTGCAATTGCAAACACATCAAATATAGGTTTCGTACCCCTATTTTCATTAAGCTTGACTACGTAGGAGCTACTTGAAGTACATTCCGACCCCGTTATTTCTGGTACCACCGAATCATCCAAACTCTCAGGCCATATAGTTGTTAGTACACTGGTCGAACAACCACCTTGACAATTTAGATATGTAGCAACAGTGGTCATCTTAGTGATATAAGTGGCAGTTACAACTTCTATAGAATTCGAATGTGTGACGGAACATAGTTTAGTAATTGTCGAGGTTAGGATAGAAGCTTCTGTGATGACTTTCGTAGATTGTGTAGATATTGTTTGACAATGGCCAGAACTACATGGGATTGTTACAGTGGTCTTGCTATTTCCAGAAGATTCCCCTTTGGATGTTAGAATAATTGCTGAGGATTCAGTCATAACATCAGAAAATGTCGATACTGATGAAATGACTTTGGAAGAATTAAAATATGCTGTGCCAGTCGTCGAACTTGACATGGAATCTGATGTTACATTTGAGCTTTGAGTTAAAGTCGACGCAATATTGGAAGAAACCGCAGAACTTAATGTTGAGCTTGGGGCATAAGCGGACACAATGCTTGAATCTATGGTTGAACTGAATAAATTTACGGATGATTGAACTGAACTGGACACTAGATATGTTATGCTACTAGAAGAAATGTCTAGGCTAACTACCGAATCAGATATAGCAGTTGAGGAAATATCTGAATTAATTGTTGAACTAACTATTGAATTAGACTTAGTACTAGAAGAAGGTTCTAATGAGGCAATTCCAGAACTCGATAAGGAATTGAATGAAATACTAGTACTTTCTGTTGAACTTGAGATAACGCTTGACGATAAATAAGAACTTAACGTTAAGCTCTGCATGGAACTAGTTTCCAACCCAGAACTTTCTGTTGAACTCGAAACAACAGTGGAGGAAAATTCAGAATTGCTAGTAGAACTAGAAATAACCGCCGAAGATGATCTCGCTGAAGAGATACTTAAAAGAGCAGAAAAAGGAACCTGTACGTAGTACGTTGTTTGGTATTCAGGTAGACCCAACACATTTGCCAAAGTGGTAATCGTAGTAGAAGAATATGTCGTTTTAGTTTCGACACTAGCTGTCTCTGTAATAGCTGTCTCCTTATTACAACTAATATCTTCATCTATATCAAACACATAACCATTTAAGTCTGAAAATGACTCGCCATTTGGATCAGTAATTGTTAAATTGAACATCGAACCTTCTGATCTATTTATAACTACCACTCCAAGTGGTACTACCTGATCTGCTGTTAAAGAAAGAGTTATTTCATCAGCGTCGTTTGTTGATCCTGTATATTCGATGAGATTGTAGTACTTCTCCATCAGATCCATCATTGATTTAATTGGGTCGTCTGAGGATAGTGTAACATCATTACAGCAATAAAAGCTTAAATCCGATACTATCATCATCATGGCTGCATCATCAGCAGTTATACTAAAGGTATAATCCCCAGTAATTTTTGGGATAAAATTACCAGTAACAGATAAAGTGAAATTAGAAGCGTTTATCTCATTATTGAATAGGGTAACAGTATCTGACGAACCATCAGTGAGAGGCTCTATCTGAAAATTTAAATCAGAAACGGAGTTTACATAGCCGATTTCATCCACATTAGCTTGTGTCATATAACGTAGGAGATAATCGTGCGTGGTGGGCCACTCATCTTCAGATATGTATTGCCAAAAAAAACCCGAAAACCCATCATGCTTATCAAGAACGGTAAGGTTTAAATTGGAGCATTCTTGGGCATAACAATACGACACTAGTTGAGTAGCTAGAATTAGAAAGATATATATTTTACTATTATAATACCACATCTTTTTTCCTTATTTTATATTTTTTTTCGTAATATCGTTTGAAGTTTTACTTAACACAGAATAGTTAAGGTATAACCGTCAAAAAGAAGTTGATCTTCATCATTGCCAATTTGTTGAAAAAATTGAATTTTATTCTGCTTTATATATCATTTTTGTTTTATTTCATATTACTTCCTCAAAGAGAGCAATCTTACTAACAAGAGAACTTTTTTTTCTAGTCTCCTCAATAATTGTAAATATTACATAGGTTGGTTATGGAATCTTCTGTGGGAAGTTATAATATATGCAGATCTTAGATTTTCAAGTAAATCCTATTGTTTTGTTTTGTTTTGCTTTCCTTTTCGTTAGTTTATGCTGGACTAGTTCATTTTTCCGCTCAGAATTCTCATACGAATCAAGTTTTTTTTAAAAAAATGAAATTTATAACGGGATTAGTTGGGCTGCCCCGCATTTTCGATGCGGAAAGAAACCCAGCATAGTATATCTCATGAAAAGGTAAATCTTTGCTGGTCTTTGAAGTCAGGGGAGGGGAAGAAAAACTCATATTGAGTTAGCCAAGAGTTTAAATTGTAATAAATATTTATCATCTTTAGGAGCATGCAAAATGGATAAAAATAAATTGCTTTAATGATGAGAAAAGGAGCCTTGTTTTGTAAGAACTAAAAAATATGCTTGGGATTCTATTAAAAATGAATTTTTGCATTCACCCCTTTTCTCTTATTACACAACTATTTTTATTAGTGAGCTGAATATTCTAAGGTATATTGTGCACAATTATTATAATTCAATAGGCTTATACGACGATACTAGAATAAGAAGTTAATGAATGTGAAGGTTAACAACTACGCCGCTAAATTCGTGATATATAAACACAGGTGTTTGAAATACATAGTCTGTATATTAAATAATTCTTTCCAAAATACAATAAGAAGAATTATCTGTATAATAAAAAGGTATGCTATTGACAGCGCGTGTATCTCAAATTGAGTCTCGAATTGTATGAACAACTCACGAACTGTTTCAATATGTGTCTAAAGGATCCATTGTGGAATAGTTGACCTTACAGTTGGTGTCAAATAATTTGCATTAATAAATGTTGCTTGACTCTATAAGTACAATATATATATAAATCATGTGCTATTATCGTACCTTGAAATAAAACATTATAACCCTGAACTTCCTGCTATGTATCATTCTAAAGTACACCTTATGGCAGTTAACATATTTTTTAAGAAAATTCTTATAATGAAACATACTAATTAAACACTTCTCAAACTTGGAAGAAATTTCTTTGCAAATTTGCCATTTTGTGGGGTGCAATTCTAATTTACTTAGAAATTAATTCAAATCGGAAGAAACACTAATGATATCAGTCCTAGTTTTGAAAAAGAATGGATATTCGTATCGTGCCTCTTAAGTAGCCCTTTATCTTATGAAGTGTTTATTAGTTTTATATCCGATTTTCTTGCCCAATTTCCATATCCGGGACAAGATTCGAAACATTTTCTGTTTAATAAACATGCTAGAGATGAACTGGTGCTATAAAAAATTGAATGTTCTTATTGTTTATCGTAGTGCATTATCTTCTCTACTGGATAATGGGCTCTATTTTTGAATAACTTAGCTTGTCATTCTTTCAGAATTCACATTATCCTTTTTTTGGTCGGTAATATCATTTAACTGTATGGCAAATCTTCGCTCTATCTTAAGAAAAGTTGTAGCTCTATTATAAATAGGTGAGATAGCTAACCTACAATTTATTTTATGACCCTTGCATCACGTTATTGATTTATCAAGGTTAGTCCTACTATTATATGGGTATTTACCTAAAAAATTATCTGGATCATTCTTCAAATGAAGTTCTTCATTCTTATCTGTTCCAAGTAACATCTGATATTTTATGGCTTCGTTCGTTTTATTATATCCCAGATGTAGTCTTGAAGCAACTAATATCCAACAAATAAAAAGTCCTAGAAGTTCCACATTAAATAAATTTGTTTTTACGTGAAAAGGTGAAAAACATCTCATGCTAAATTTCAAATGATGTTATAAAATATGGTAGTACGTTTTTTCAGAGGGCATTAATGAAATTCTACTAGTACCAATAATTTTACCATGAAATCTAATAGGCATGTAGTAGCGTTAATATAAGTATTAATAACGTCCAGGTATATTCTATGCACGTATTGGATACTATTCCTGATGTAGGTAATAATAAACACCCAGTTAATATGTTTAGTCCCACGAATGTATCCTATTGTTTTCAATAAAGACATGTTGGAAGATTACAAATTAAAGTTTTGAAAACTGTTGCCTAAAATATCCTAATTCTTACTGAAACAGGGGTGAAATATTTATTCAGTAAGAATCACCCAAGAAGCATTATATACCTAATAAGGTTTGTTTTGATTGTATTTACACCACATATCTGAAATTTTCTTGATAAATGTATAAAGATATCTTAAGTGCAAACAGTTTGAAGATATAAGCTACCTCTCTCACAGTTCAATAGGGAAGTTAGATAAAATATGTATTAAGCAATATATCTTTTTCACTAATAACCCAACGCATCACAAAATCAGGGAAAATTTGTAATTATTTCTGCTTTTGGGTTGCTAAAAATAATTTTAGCCTACCAAAGTGTGTTTAAAAAATGAGAGCTATTTCAGGAAATAAAAAAAGAAATACCAAACAGGTACGCGTAACCCAAGTTGATGACCCACTTTTCTTTTTATAGTGTTTGCATGACGATAGCTAGTATTGGCGTTGCAGAACATTTCTCCTTTTTTCGAGAAGTACCAAAAAAAGACATTTCTAGCCCGTTTTGGAAATTTTCTCCTTCTACCACAATCAAACTTTATTTTCTAATCTGACTGTTTTGTAAACTTTTTCTAATAAGGTGCGCTGTTACTATGCGCGAAGATGTTTTGTCGATCCAAATTCTTGGTTGAGTGACGTGAGATTTACAAGATCTGCCCGCTTACAGTGTAATTCAAAGGAACCAAGTTAACTTCAAAGTGGGTCACAGGCAATTGATTTAGCTACCGTGTTATCATAGCAATCTTCTTTTACTCAAGAGAGAAGGAGAAAACGTTTCTCAGGAGGCGTCTTTGTAAAAATTTTATTAACCGATATATTTGTCAATATTTAAAATATTTGAGATCTAGGCCTTCGAGTAACAGAGGCCTATTTTTGCGACATAAAGTTAACCGTCATGAAAAGTAGGGAGCGTATTCTTTTAATAAGTGAAACTCCAACCAGAATATCGTCTTCACCATGGACTGGAAGCCAGTTAGTAAACATATATAAACAGATGGTTTTTGGGCAATTATCTTCTTCCTGTTCCATGCTTCTCTCAACAAACAATAAAAATATAACATCACTCAAATTAGTACAACAATATGAAAATGCAGTTTAAATACCCTCTTATTACTTCCGTGGTTGCTCTCTTTGGTAAAGTCGCAACTGCGGGTTCGGAAACCGATACCTGTTTCGCAACCCTAGGTTCATCTATAGATGGTTTGCAAGCCAGATTCTTCAAGTACGTCTACCCAGATTATGCTAGAGAATATAGTGACAAAGATTATGTAACCTTTGGCTACGACAGAGACGATCGCTACATTACGACTTTGACTGGGGTTACAGATGTTAATTTCTTCCATTTTTTCAACATTAATCAAAATGGACCAACATGGGGTGAAATTAATGGCTTAAATATCACCACTTCTAATTTCACTGTTGAATATAGCGGTTGGTTTACCCCAATCGAAACGGGTGACCACATCTTTACCATTGGCCAAACAGACGATGCAACTAGGATCGAAATTATGGGAGATAGTTCCTCTTATTGTTGTAACAATACTGATATTAATAGTACAGTGGTCGAGAGTTATCAAATCTACAATAACCCTACTGTACACGAACAAAATGTTTACCTCCAATCAGGTGTTTCATACCCTCTGAAGATTGTTTATTTCAACAAGGACTCAGTTGGTATTCAAACAATCAACTTCACTGACCCTTCCGGTACTGTACACGATACCTTTGATGGTTATGTCAAATATTACACTGACGTTGTTTGTGATAAGACTCCTGCGCAAACCTCAACCTCCGAGTTACCTGAAAGTAGCACGACTTTGGCCTCCGTTATTGTGTCTTCCGACCCCGAATCAGTTTCACATTCTACTAAGACATTAACTCCTTGTGATTCATCCTCTACCACCTCTTCTCACCCATGTAAGACTACCACATCAAGACCACAAAAGTGCCCTTGCCGTAAACCGTGGGTTCATACCAGACATGGTGGATGGACACATGAAAGACCTCACCACCATTGTTAAGGTTCCACTTTGAACGACCATCAAAGAACAAAAAGGAATCTATTCTTATACCACTAAAAAATGAAGTGGCTCCCAATTTTTAGATTATCAAATTCTCGGTTCGGTCCTCAAAGTCTAATAAACTGATTGAGAAACAGAAAATACTGAAGTTTTTATATGTTGTATATTATATAATGTAAAATAAATGATCAGTTTTCATATTTAAGAATGGCAGAAATTAAATTTATTCAAAAAGACTGGAAGTTTAAGAACCGCAAGATATAAAAAATATCAACTTATATAATGTTGTTAATAAAATAATAAAATTTTCGACAGTTTGGTTAAGATATCTGATGATTTTTTCTGATAGTAAGTTGAAATTCGAAATCTTGATCACCCGAGAATGGTTCTGAACTGTTTCCTTGACATGGTGGTATAAACTAATTTAGAAGCTGGTTTGAATAAATAGCTCCTCTGCTTTGAGTTTGTATCAAAATATTCAACATAACACTTAATAGACAGTGACAGATTGAAAATATCACTTTGCTTTGAAATTGAAAACAAAGTTGAATGAACAAAGATATTTAATTAATTTTTATAAAATTATTTATTCTATATCTGAATCCCCTGTCTTCTCTAAATTGCTCAATTACATATATATATATATGAATTACATATGATTGAAGGCTAGATGAGTTCTTCTATCCATAGATCATTAGAGGCGTATATACTTTAGTTACACTTTCACATGTGTATGCCATTTTAATTGTTAAAGAGACATGATCATACAGTACTTTTTTTCTTTAGTATTTCTTTTCATCGACATAAGTTAGCACCACTTAAGTCTATCTTGAGTTTCAATATTAAGACTGAACATTATAGGCTTAATGTCGATTAATGGACCTTTTGAATTATGTAATAAAGATGGGAATAAAAAAAAAATGTAAATAAAGCAAATAATATTTACAATTCGGAGTAGCTTTTGATGAGCCGGAAAATATTATCTATGAAAGCATCAAATTTTGTAGTTCATTCATTCAGAGTATCAGAATTTAATACAGCATATACAATAACAATTATATAGCTGTATGTGCTTTGAATCAATTGTATAAATAATCGAACAATTTGCTTTTCGGAGTCTAAGATGTGCATGAAAAATACAGTAATTAAAGCATTAAATAATGGACCCATCCAGTATAGTACAATCCAAATTTTACGACAGGGAGGTTTTGAGGCTTCAGAAGCTTCTCTTTTAAAACCCAACGCGTTATCAACACTACCACACCTCCTAATTAAGAATTTTCTCCCTCGGATATTAGCCAAGATTAAAAGCGACCATAGATATATTTTCGTAACAATTCCAAGGTAATTTAATTGTATTTGCTCTTCTTGCCGACTCATTACATATAAACAATCTCTTGCTGTTAGTAGATACGAAATATTGGCTGTGGTTACGCATGCTAGAAATAAATACAAGATATTTTCTTCAGGGATGGACTTCAAATAGGAAAAACAAAGTGTAAATGTTGTACTTTTTTTACAAGGCCAATATTTGTAGCACGTAACTATTTACATGCTTGGAAGAGTGTAAAATGTAGTGAGCAATTTGATAGAGTACATCATATAAATTATATATAAATATTATTTATTATTTAATTGGTATTTTATTATGTTATGCATACTTGAATATCAAAAGTGGCAAACACTTGACTAACTGAGAGTTGTATACAGAAATGTAGCTATAGGTAGGACAAAAACTTTTATGAGTGTGACTTAAAATTGGATATTGTAGAACTGTTGTTAAGCAATAGAGATAACCCAATTGGCTGACCATCCGCTCTTATTAAGTAATTTTCTAACAATTTGGTAAAATACCTCAAAATATTGCAAAGTGACAGGTAGGAATCAGTTTAGATATACTAGTTGTATCCTTAAGGTTTTCTTTCACTATGAAATTCTGCCACTTATAAATCCAGAATCGAAACGCTGAGTTACGTTTCTGACCAAAAATGATGAAATCGATCAACATTTGAGGTATAGTTTTCAAACCAACTATATTCAATTGCTAACAGTTATTCGTGGACGTCTAAGCTGAAACTGTGGTCTTATTTTTTCGTTACAGAACGTGTTTGTATGTAGGCAAGATTAGTGTATATGTGGATAAAAAAATATTACAGTCAAATAAAGTTTTATATTAGTGAATACATGTTACATAGTAATATATCACAACGAGTATCAAGTATCCATAAATCTAGTTGGCACACCACAACTTAACAATAGCTAAATGAGTACATAAGGAACGAAGTAATAAAATTGGATGAGATACTCATAACGTTAGTGTACTATATCATTATGTTCTATATTGCGGACATAGTTGAGAACGGTAAATATGGTCCCAAATATAACTCCGAGCAATTTAATAGACTGGTTCTTTATAAATCTGAATAATACTTGAGAAAAAATGAATGACTCCTGGATACGTTGGACCGTGCAGTGGTCTGACATATCCAGATTAAAGCATTTGACGAGTGCTTTTTTTTCACTCGACGGTGAGTTCGTGCATGACTACCTACTTTGCACTTCTGTCAGAGGGAGTTTTTAGTGTTTGATAATAACAAATTCGGCGTTTTCCCTCGTCGAATTGCATTTCGGGCATGGTTATGTCCGCAATTAAAGGATGGAGGGGTACACAAAGTTAAGAAAAACAAGTAGTACTTAAGAGGCTACCAAGACGTTGTATATTATTATTGGCGCAGTAGAAATGTAGGTTGGGAGTTGAGGGAGTGCCGATGGCGCGTTTTGGTTGCGTTACGGCAGCTCTAGCCGTGGCACCACTATAAAGGTTGGTCTTACTTGAGTTATGTAACATACAAGAAGTGGGTGCTGTGATTCCCGTTTTATACAACATTGGGTTTCTAGATGTTCAGAACATGGTAAGACGACAATTGGCTGTGACGGAGTGTGAAGTGTGCAGCATTGCCAGCTGGGTTCAGGAATTATGGAGCCTCTGCTACCAGCAATCACTCCCACTCGAGCAACATGGACCAGTTTGAAAAAGTAATTGCAGGTGTGGCTAGTCATGATGTTCACAAAATACTGTTAACATAGCTGGTCGCTGTGTCGCCCTTCATTCCTCTTTAGTATGCAGTCCCTGTCCCCCCACTAATCCTTTATTATACCTTTTTCCTCCAGCACTGTCGCGACAAGCGGGTTTGGTCCTTAACTATGTAAAATATGTTTTTCACAGCAAAAACATTTATTGTCACGATAAGCAGGTTTGGGTTTAGACAGAGAGATGGTATATTTTATTTAAATAAGCATTCATACATCATTGGCTGTTGTATTAAGTTAGAGTGTATATGGTGGTGTAGTTTTTGAAATGGCAAATGGCCTATTTTTCAAATGTAATGTGAAAATATGTAATTGTCAGAAACTAAGGGTAACTTACTGTGACACTTAGTCCAAAAATATTGTAAAGAAATAATTAGCAATATTGTAAAGAGACCAGCAAAAATATTTAAACCAGCACAAAACATAAAAAATAAAAACAAACCAGCAATATATGCAGGTGAGTTGTTTAAGAAAAACTAATGGTATATATAAAGCCGTTATTGTAAAATAAGAAATATTTATGATTAAGTAATTTGAAGATTATATAATTTAAAATAACCGATCAATTATCATATCAAAAAAATGTCCGAATTACATTTAACTAACAAACAAAATATTAAAGAATCAACTGAGAGTAAAAACTCTAACTCAGATTCTCTACAGTAATACCCAAAATGGCACTGACAGAGACTGGAGTATACAATCAAATGATTCAATGCGTCACTGCATTGGGTTTTAGAAAGATGGGACAGTAACACGGTTATCTTCTCTGTTGTGTTGGTTTTAAGATTTGTCGATGTGAATTTAGTATGGGAAATATGGAGAGTCAGTAGTTCAGTTTGGGAAACCAGATTGCAAGAAAACCATAGATCATACATGATTTAATACGTACTTGGGATACTTTTAGATGAAGTGTGTTTCTCTAGGTATGTGTTACTGTTGTTCTCAGCAGTGTAGTCGAAAATATGGAAATTGTGAGAAGAGATATCCGGAGGTTTCGAGGTGTCCAAAGTGGTAAAGTTGTACACAATCGTGAATGTTTGGTTTATCTAGGTGCATGTTCGAAGTCAATGTTGTGTATTATGAATTTAGCTAAAAGATGAAATCGATCAGTTCTTAGGATATATATTTCCAAATGAGCTCATTCGATTGAAAATTAACAGTTATTTTATGTATTACACCTTTCGTTCATCTTTATATTTCCCTCCCTTATGCTATCCCTGTTTTACCAGGTATAAATTTAGCCAATAACGAACATCATATATTCATTTCTCCAGAATATGAAACAGAGAGTTCTTTCATGAAGATATAATAGTAGGGTGTAATTCCTGGCGCTCTCTTTTATGTTTTTATTCCCATCTTCTCTATATCTTAAGTTAGTAGTGTGGTTTCATTTTCATTTGACTAACTTGCTTTTCAGTGAAAAGCCAGGAACTCTAAACCTGAGAAGTGGATGAGAGAAACTGAGCAAGAGTTAACAGTTTGTAATATTATATTTAGAAAGGAGGAGTGTTTGATTGCGTTTTTGAAGGCATGCAATTTATGTATGATGTTATAGTGTGAGATAGCATGTGACAGCTGTTTATGTTATTTGTTTATCTAATGATGCTCTCGCATGTATATGGTGGTTAGAAAGTGCAAATTGCCACATCAGTTATTTGGTATAGAGGTCGGATAAGACAGAGTGAATGCTATTTCATGACGTTATAATATTTATATCTCGGACGAATGTGGATTGATTTATTAAATTAGGGGTAATGTCAATTATGCCAAGATTTTGGCCCAGGGTTATATCAAAATTTTCTTTTTGACAATATAATATCCAAACGGAAGCTCAACTGGTTAGGAAAGGAGTGTCTCTGAAACTATGTCAAATAGTATGTATTTTATTATCTGTTGATCATAGAATATTAAATTGTTGATTCTAATGTCAAATAGCCATTGTGCATTGCCAGTTACGTGGTAGTATTAATATTATGTTACAGCCAGTTAGTAGATGTGCCCTGTAATTAAGGAGAATTATATCTTTGCAGTATGAATCTTATTGAAATGTCAAAGGTGGAAATTATTGATGGGTATAATATGAGGTAGTCTGTTGCAGATATGTTTAAACCAGATCGTGGTGTTACCGTTTGTATTATTCATAGTTCGACAATCCTTTGGGATATTGATTGTTCCATAATAATAAGTGTTCTTAATATTTAATATAATTATCGGTTTCGATGACAGATGATACGGTTCAATGTGTTTAGTTATGATGTTGTTCAGTTGTGGTATTATTCCCGAATTGTGAGTAACCTTGATATCTGGAGATAGTCGATTCCGTTCCAGCTAGTTAATTCTTATCTCACCAATAAGTGTGGAATATAATTAGTAACACTATCACAGAGTCGATCCTGTTCTAATCAATCTTAAAGTCCAATATGTTTGTAATTTCGAAGAATATCCATCTCTCAGTAGTAGGTGTTGCCTAATGAGTTTATTATAAGGAGTATGTCCCTTTATGATAAGTCAGTTTATCTGTCCCTACGATATCCATATTAAAAGTATTATCTAGAATGTATTCCGATGTTTCAATTGTAGTATCAGTAATATCAAGCTGGAGAGTAATAATATTGTCATGAGCTCGTTAGTCTTTTGGAATATTGTTCGTTCCCTAGTGAAAATGTAATAATTGTAGTATTAGGGTTTCTGTCTTAAATATTCAGTTGTTCTGGTGTTTTGTGTGGTGTCACCGAGTAAAATATAATGTTAGGTAGTAATTTCCGTAGTTCGAACCATACCTCCAGATAAGTTAGTTTTCTGTTG